CGCTATGTCCCTCGAGCGTCTGAAGTGCCGCACTCCAATTCCTTTCAACCTTTGGTGATCTTGGTATCCATTGAGGTATGCAATTGGCAAACTGCTTTCTTACTATGCTCATCTCGGGCGTAAAAATAAGCGCGCTGCAGTATGCCTGGAGGGGAGCGAGTGCAATCGCTGGCTGGTTATAGAGTATAAACCGTTTTATGTCCTGGGCATATTTAAACAGCTGGGGACTTTCGTATGCCTAGCCTGTTTATCAGCAATATGAATCCGCAACAATTAAGGCTTGCTTACAACTATCATCAACTCCAAGGAAGCGATTGCATGAATTCCTTCAGAAATCTTCCCCATCCAGCCAAGTGCTTCAAACCAATGAAGAAGATGTTGTTTTAAAAACTGATGCACTGGATCATTATCACGGAACTGAACTCTGCTCCTCTGAAAGTGTTGTATCCAGTATAGACATGCATACTGAAGTTCTGGAGGAAGGCACTGCTGGACTCGACTGCTGTCAACTTCTGTGGCACGTATACCGGGACTATTTAGGCCACAGATGTTTTCTTTAAGGGAGGTTGACATAAGCCGTATACAGTTACTGGCTAGCGTTTGGTGTGTTTGCGTTTCATCTACCCAGAAGTTCTGGTCCTCACATCGGTTGTGGTTGAGAAGGAAGTCGCGAAATGAAGGGTGGTGAAGACGAAGCGGTTGATTACCACTCTTTGGAACATCCAAAACAGAGTGCAGATCGTCCAATGTCTGATAGATATCCTCGGTGACGTTAAGCAGCCTCTTTAGAGCACATGCAGAGAGCGGTGAGAAGAGAAGGGCGGTACTTCCAAGAACCCGTCTCAACATACAATATACCTCCTCTTTCTCCTCACTTGTATAATCTGGAGAGATGGAATGCTTGAGAACAGTGATATAGATTTGATCGAGGTATTTTTCTGGTGCAGTGACATCGCCACCTCTGCCTGTGAGAATAGTATTAAGCCTTTTAGGTGCAAATTTCCTTCCTTCGTGGATAAAACGACAAGCGGTTGCGGCCCAAATAAATAACCCACTTGCAATTTGCACTAGGGATGTAATAACTTCTTCGCCAGGCCAGCTAATATCTAAAGAGCGTTCATGTCTGATGCGTTCGAAATTATATTCGAGGAAAGTACGAATATCTTGGTCTACGATCGACGGCGATATACGGTGGAGTACATAGTCTTGGTGTATATATTCTCCGTATTCTGCATCCGATATTTGGCATAGCCCATACCGAATCGGAACCTCGGGCCTGCTCGTTAGAAATATTCGCAGCCGGACTCTATCTAGGGATCGAGCATCCGCTAAGAGGTGCAAAAGAATCTGAATATCGTTTTCATTACTGCACTCGTCGAGTGCGTCGATTACAATGGTAAACATAGGCGGACGTAAATTGCCGGTCAGTTTCGAGAGGGGACCAAGGACTAGATGGCGCCATTGATCCTGGAAAGATAACTTAACAATATCGTCCTGGGCTTTAATAGCGTCACGGATGTGCTGGTGGAGAGGAGGTATGCTAGTCGCAAGCTGCTTCGATATAGTGGTGAAGAATTTGCCTGCGTGGCTAACATCTCCACCACCACGTGAAAAGAAGAAGCTCGCTCCAAGACGTTTCTTGTCAAAGTATGTCCGTGCGACAGTCCGGGCAATCGTGGATTTTCCTGTGCCTGCTAAGCCGTTTAACCAGAAGATCAACCGCTCGTCTTGTCCATTACCCCAATTGTATATTTCTTGAAGGAGGTCAACGCGTGTATTAGGAAGGCAAAGGGGATCATGTTGATTTGTAGACGAGTTGAAGGCCGCATCGTCAGCGTACGGTAGGTGATCGAGGAGACTAGCTAGTTGTCTACTTTTAGTTGGTGCTTTATCTCTAGTACAGCGCCCCCTCAAGAAAGTATGAATTATATGTACTTACAACGCTGTCCAGGGTGAATTCTCTTATTAATTTCCTCCTGAAGCCGAGGAAATACACTTGTCACCCCTTGGCTACAATCTTCGATCTGCCCAGTTTTCCTAATTGCTGGCATGCTCTCTAGGAGTTCTTTTGTGTATGCAGCGGCTGTTACTGCCGCATAAGCTTGCCATATTTTGTTCTTATGAGAATCAGAATAGTCACAGATGCCACGAACAATTAGACACGGATGCCTCTGGATAACACCTGCGCCCTCCATTTCAAAACAAATGATACCATGATCCTTCTGAAGTCTATTTCTCTCGGCTGGTGAGATCTGAAGTTGGTTACTTGACCCAATATTGCCGTAGTGGATTTTTGGGGTATCAGTCTGCCTGACCGCGCTGTTACCTCGCCTTTTCCGCTGCTGCGAGAAATCCTGCCCGCAACACTGCTGGCAATCCACATTTGTTAAGTCAGTTGGATGCGAACAGTCGTCTTGGAACAGTATATCCTGATCGGGGCCTGGGTCTTCGAATCTATGGCGTTCATTTTCGTGAATCCTAAGCCGCATTCTTTTCAAGAGAATTGGGATAATCGTTCCAGTTCCAGTAGCATGGTCGGCTCGTAGATTGTTGACAGCTCCCAGAAGGGCATGCGGTGGGCCGTTTGTGTGCCCAACCGTTTTAAGGCGACCTTCGTCTTCTCCTACCCAGGCACCAGAATCATATCGAATAACGCCACCGGAATTACCCCACGGATAGCTCACCACTACATCGCCAAGTACAATCTCAGACGCAGCACCTGTCACGCCGTATCGAGGTACTCCACCTCCTATTCCAACAACTAGAAAGAATCGGATATTTGGAAACGCTGAGCTCATCCTAGCTGCGAGATCTGAAGCCGCATCTGTCCCTATAGTCGGCTGTACCCCTAATACAACATTATGTTCTCCAATTCTTCCTCCGTAGAAGCGATATCCATCTGCGTAGATTTCGTCATATTCTTGCTCCAGTGCAGATTTTGCAGCTATTAGCTCCAGATAAAGTGGCGCTATCCATCCCACCGTGTAACGAGTACTCTCCATTATAGATAGCTATTTACAAAGCCCAAGGGAGCGCGATCGTAGTCCTAAGAGGAGGTAGCGGCAGGTTCGGGAGGATTAAGATCTACAGGAGACATATACGTAGCAGCCTAGGTGAAGAGACGAGCGTCGCAGCATGCCGAGGGTGTCAGTCGGGCTTATCAAGGTTAGTGCGTATGTATGAAAATAGGTTGCTAGGAATACCAAAGAACCAAGAGTTTATTACTTCAGGGTATCCTTCGTTGTAGAAGGGGAGCAGTTGGGCGGGCTCAGCCTAAGGTGGAAAGCGCCTAGTTGCACTGGCACAGCGTACAGTGTGGCGCAATACAGGGGCCAGGCTTCAGCTGGAGGCGAAGTCGACTAGACCGAAATCATTGGATGAGCATCTTGACCATGCTGGCACGGAGGGCTGGTTCGTTCCGACTATGACCTTGCGAAAGTCGAACTATGATATATAATGAGGTACCCTTTTGTACGGATTCCTGTTGCAAATCACGTGATATGGTGTTGTGGCACTAGGCTGCCAAGACTGAGACGCTGATCGAGGGTCAATCCTGTGTTCTTTTCCTCACCAGGAATGTCGCATCACCCACGAGAGGTTAGACTACTAACGAAGCGCCCCTGAAGAAACACACTAACGAAATAAATTTACCAAACAGCTATTATGTAAGAACAACTAATCTGTTTCGTATAACTAGCTGAAATTGTTCAAAGCCGCAGCGGTGTGCTCACTTGTGTGGCGAATTTGCCTCCTGCACCGCGTACATTGTTAGTGGTAGTTTTCTAGCATTATGGTAAGATTCTTTGGTTTCAATCACCACCTTTATTTAGCTGCTGATAAGACAGCGATGGTGCTATTATGTTAAAGAGACATTGTAGCATCAACGTGCACTCTATAGGAATTGAGCAATAATTTAACTATACTGCGTATTTTTAAGGTAGTTAGGAAGAATACAAAATAATAAGATATAACCGTGGGCCGTGTCTGCGATATTATCACAAAGATATCGATATATAAACACACTCTAAACAACTTAGAGATCAAAATATCTAAGATTTGTTTTCGGAACACAGGTAGTTTCGCGACACAGGGAGGGAGGTTAGGTGCTGACTTCTATCATTCTATGTTCACTACGCCCCCACACTCCTATCCCCCACACTCCTCCCCCTCTCACCCACCCGTCTAACACTCTCCTCAACACCCCACCCATCCTTCAGTAAACCCCCAACGTCCTCCAAACTCAGGCCACATGTTTCAGGATAAATCCGCCATATCGTCCACCAAGCAATCAAACATACCCCGGCGTAGAGAGCGAACGTGCCAACCGGCGTCAGGTATTCCATCATAGGAAGGAATGTGATGCCGATGAGGAAATTAGAACCCCAATTTGTAGCGGTGGAGAGGGCGGAGCCGAGGGAGCGAACGGTAAGGGGGAAGAGCCTAAGTTAGGGAGATTAGACTGGGGAGGAAGGAGGAGGGAGGAGGGAGGATGGAGAGCTTGGGGGTTGGAAGTTTGGGGGCTTGGAGTAAAGATTGAGGAGAAGACGGGAGAGAAACGTACTCAGATTGCTGCCACGGCACATTCCCCATTCCAATTGCATAACCCGCTACATACGTTACCATGGCGAGTAAAATGACCATTGGCCATGTCTTGTTACTACCCGCAAGCTCATTGGCGGCAGTAGAAATCTCGGTGGCTTTCTGCGCTGGCAGTTGAATGAAATTGAATGCTAGGGAGCAAAGTGCAAGACCAATGACCATAATTGGGACGGACCAGAGCAGGATTCGTCTGCGGCCTACGAGGTCGATATAATGGAAGGCGAGGAGAGTGAAGGCAAAGTTGGTGGTGGCGATAGAGAGGGATGTTAGGGTTGGGGAGCGGAAGCCGACAAGGGAGAAGATGGTGGCGGAGAAGTACATTAGGGAGTTCTATGCGCCATAATAGTCAGTCTCCAAGTCCTTTTCGGCATGCAATTGGCTGAAGGAATAGGGCGATGGTTCGGAAGAAGGAATGGGAGAAAGAACTTACAAAGCCGCAAAGTTGCTGGAACCCCTGGAGCATACATGCAAGAATCAAAGCCCTCCTATTCCCGTCCACAACTATGAGCTGCGTGACACTATCATTTATCCTGGCTGCTTTTGCTCTCCACCCGGCCTTCCCCTCTTCTGGTACTGCTCTTTCTCCAGCCGCATCTTCCTCCTCATAGATTTCTCTCTCCACTCGTCGTAACACGGAGTTCACAAGGCCCTCAGCACTCCCATCTCCCCCATAAACCCTGCTGAGGACTCGCTTTGCTTGCTCTTTCCGATTTACCTTGACGAGCCACCTTGGGGTCTCAGGCATGAAATATAGAACGAGGAATTGTATTGCTGCGGGTAGCGCACCGAGACCAACCATCCATCTCCAGCCGTGGGGGTGGGCCGAAAACAGCCATCCGATAATGTATGCGACGACTTGGCCTCCAGTGATGAATAAGGTACAAACCGTAACTAGCCGGCCTCGGAATGGCGATGGGGAGAGTTCGGAAATATACCTTTATTTAACGTTAGCTTTCTCTATGATCCGATGCAGATTTCCAGAATGTCTGTCCACAGTGGGGAACATACAAAGGTACGACGAAGCTCGCGGCACCCACTGCGGCCCCAACCACGCTCCTTCCACTGATCATTCCTCCCACAGTCCCTGTGAACGCCTGCCATAACGCGCCCACCACAAAAAAAAAGTCGGCTAGCAATATCACCTTCTTTCTTCCCCAGTGATCGGCCAGTACACCTGTGAGTGGACTAGCGATGAGAGCGAAGAGAGACGTGCATGAGGTGATGAGGGACTTGTCGAGGATGGACAAGGGTCGAGATGACAGATCAGTGTTGATAGACACAAGAGTGGAGGATATTACGCCGGTACTGAATGTTCCATCAGTTCCTTAATTCATTCAAGCTAGGGCGAAGAAGGTAGGATGAGGGGAAAGATATACTCATAACCAAACAACAGCCCGCTAACCCCAGCGCAAAAAGTCAAGATCCATATAAAAGCACCTGGAGAGCCCAATGCACTCTCATCCACGTCGGGAGCCTCATCATGAGCGTCACGTTCTCCGAATGATTGTCGGTGGTTGTTGGAGATGAGCGGTTCCGCGGCTGTTGTGGTCATGCTTTGCAGTTCAAAGTCATCAGGGGAAGCCGTGGCTGCGATGTGAGGACTTCCTCAAGCATTCGGAGTGAGAGATTCGTTGCCAGCGGTGGTGTCGGCGTGTGAGGTCGAGGGTGACCAGCTTTCAAGGGTCATTCGGAATGTGAGATGTGGGCCGGAATCGCGGGGCTGGGATTCGTTGGCACGTGCTGTGGACAGAGCCTCCCACCGTCCATAGACACTGAAATCCAATCCGCTAGTAGTACGGATCCGTAAACAAATGTAAACAGAAAGCCTAGGTTTCAATGTCGCTCAATGTCATGTTCCTTTCTCCAGAAACCCGCTCTCGCCAAGCTCCCACCAACATCCCAACGCGCGAGACAACAGCCCAAACGGCACCCCAATCTCTAATGTCCGAAGAGAGTGTTTTTAGTAGTAAGAGGATGTCTACAAAGTTGTGCTTCTGTGTAATATAGTCTATAACTTTAATAAGGCTTGTTGCTATTGGGAAGTGTGTGAAAGCTGCAAGAAAGAGAAATGTTGTTTGGAGTCTTGGAACCAAGGTGATTCGCTGCTGCGGATTCCGCCGATATTTACCCTTCAGTGACCGCATACCTAGGTACGCAGGTAGCTTCTAGGCGTAGGCTTTGTTGTATCAACTCCACCGCATTGCTGTCCTTTGCTCTAAGGTACTCTTTTTGGTCTCCCCTCTATTCTGGACTCTTTTTAAGCTTCTTACCTATCCTCGAACGGTCTTGAGGTGTGCAGACAGGCGGCGAAGCCACCGCAATGGCTTCGCGACTCGTGCTCTGCCTAGGAGACCTCTTCATCCCAGACAGAGCTGCAGTACGTTCGCAGAGCTCCCTCTCACGACTTCCAGACCTCACAAACTTACAGGACACATAGGATATACCAGCCAAGGTACGCCACCGCCCACCTCTCCCCTGTGCACTCTCCAGTCGTTCCCACAAGCTCACCAGCTCCTCGTGACCAGTTCAAAAAACTCCTTGCGCCTGGCAAAATCGGCCAAATCCTCTGTCTAGGCAACATCACCGACAAAGACACGTTCGAATTCCTACGCGGCATAGCACCAGACCTACAAATCGTCAAAGGCGACTTTGACGTCGAAGCTCCGAACCTCGCTCTCTCCAAAGTTGTCACACATGGCTCGCTACGTATAGGTTTCACACACGGGCACACGATAATCCCGCCTGGTGATGGCGATAGCTTGCTGATAGCCGCGCGGCAGATGGATGTGGATATCCTGCTATGGGGTGGCACGCACAAATTCGAGGCATATGAAATGGAGGGCAAGTTCTTTGTGAATCCGGGGAGTGCCACGGGGGCTATGACCACCGGGTGGTGGACTGAAGATGAAGACCCGACACCTAGCTTTGTGTTGATGGATGTGAGTCGACCTTCTCTGTGATTCTAATTTGCTGCGCTGCAGTGGAGTGCATGTTGACAGGCCTCCAGGTTCAAGGCGATGTCCTCGTGCTGTACGTGTACCAGCTAAGAAAGGATGCGAATGGCGTCGAGAATGTTGCGGTGGAGAAGGTCTCATTTCGGAAAAACGGCGGCGGTGTATCATAGAGAGGTGCCGTTCGCAGTTGGCCACCATGCATGCTACGAATGTCACTCAAGGGAACGGACAAACTCCTTCCCCCGCAATTAGGCATCAATCAACCCCGTCCATGTGATGCTAGCATACTTGCACATGAAGAATCACGGCTTCCAGCAGCATCTGGGTCAACATGTTGTGTCTCATTCATACGTCCAATTGCATCAGATTTCTATTCTTGAGGCTCCTGATGCGGTTTGTACTACGCTTTACCCCACATTTCGTCTATCCCGGAGCGACGGCCTCACCGGCTGCTGTCACAGCATCTGCTCTCTCGAGTCTTGTCTTCCACCACATTGCAATGCTACCCTCACTTTGCTCGCTCGTCCAGTACCTCCTTCACCGTTTGCATGACCCTGCTGAAGCACCAAGGCATCGCAGCAACCATTCCAAAGTTCATGTGCCCTTGAATCTTCCGCCCTTGACCGAAGTCTATCTCCCTCCCATCAAAATCTGTGATAACACCTCCAGCTTCCTGGAAGAGTATCTGGCCCCCGGCATGATCCCAAATAAACGTATACCTCTCCTTGCCCTTCGGTATCCTAAGGATGACATCCGCAGCACCAAGAGCCAAAGCAACATATTTCAGTTGCTGGGACCAGATGACAGTGCCTGGCCATTGCGCCCCTAAACGCTCTGCAACAGCTCGATGGTCGTCCTGCACCAAACTCGTCTTACCGAGCGTAGCCTCGACGAAATCGATGTCTATGACGTCCCTTTGTTGCACTTGATCATTGTCGTGATTTATGCGCTGCGCAATTCCAAAGCCAGAAGCATGCATGCTTCGGACGAAGGTCCCTTGACCTTTAACTGCGGATAGCACGACGCCGTAGCCGGCATCGTCGACTTGATCCTCGTGGACCTTGGTCCCGAGTCCACGAGCTTCGGCACCGAGATCGAGCTTGAGGTTCGGACACCCGATAACACCGACTTTCTGCACGCCGTCTTCCAGCAAACACAGACAAACCGCATACTGTTTCCCTTCCATAAATGTTGCCGTGCCATCGACAGGATCAAGCACCCAAACCCTACCTTTCCTCGTCGACTCGCTGATCCCGAGATCAATGCAATCAAGCATTTCGTCCATGTTTTTTGGCGTCGCTAACCATTGCTGCTCAGGTGCAGATCCGCCCTGGCGCAGTCGGCCCTGCACCTTGCCCGAATCAGATATCGCCGCATCCCCCTCGTCGCACAATACTTGCGGAGAAGTCGACCTCTGACTCTGTACCACAAGCTGCCAGACCCGTTCCCTGAGCACCAGATTCTCTCTCAGCGCCTTTGCCGACTCTTCTCCGACAAACTTATCCTCGGGATACACGGCGTGAATCGCGGCGATAATCAGCGCCTGGGCGGCAAAATCCGCAACCGTGACTGGGGAATCGTCGGCTTTGGTTTCAGCGCTGACGCTGTTGTTCAGGGAGCGCAGCACCGATTTGGTGAGGATTGATGCGCGGTGGATGGCGCGGAGGGCGATGGTTAGCTCGTCATAGTACGGGTTTATTAGGGATAGAATTGTTGGTGTTGGTGTTGGATTCGGCATTGGAAGACTTTATTGCGCAATGTGGCGAATGCGGGGAGCAATTGTGGTACGCTGGGCAGTGGACATGGCATGACAAGGGTAAGATTATGTGTGCAGTGAGGTTGGTGGAGTCCTTAGTATTTGGTAGCCGAGGTGCAAGAACATAGTGTCAAAATCGACATGGACCTAATTGAAAGCTTGAGAGGCATCGTGTTGATGATTTCTATTACTCAAAGTTCATCAAGCTGCATGAATTGCAGCGCCTACACTGCGGCGCCGCACATGAATTGAGCACTGTGTTCGCTGTGTCTATTCTTGGGTGGACCGGCGCTTCGTGGAGTGCACAAGGTGAGAATCAGACTCCTGCCTCAAATTCCCGATCACGATACACGTGAGAAATCATGTCATAAATTCAGGGCATGGCGAGACGCTCATCAGTTTCAACCGTCCATATATCGAGGGCCGTGCACCGTTCACGGATTGATTGGATCCAGCGGCAGACTACGAATCCGTGTCACAGCCTTGGTTACACCACGTCTTCTTGCTGCTCTGCTAGCGCCTCCTGGTTGTTTGTTAGTTGGACCTTGTTAACTCTGATGTACTCCTGTTGTGGCTCGGAAGCTTTCCATATTGCGCGCAATATACATGTCCATACGTTGCACAAGCTTCCCACACCCTGCAAGATGATGCAGAGTGGAATTTCGCGCACTATATTCGTCTGACGGCCGATCAGCAATGACACTCGACAGCAGACAGTTTTCAAACAGTTTCGAAAGAATTAGATTTGTAGACGCTTGGGTCCGGTGGTGGAAGATGCCCGAATTTGTATCGAGGATGGCGTCCGCCATTGTTGTGTGTCTATTTGTGGGGAAGGCAAGCCACAATCCTTCGATTGTTTGAACCGGTCTTGACGTCGCACAAGCTCTCGTCGACTATCTTGCTTCGCCTGAGGCGCTGTACAGGAGCTATCGTATCGAAGGGGCCTCAGATACGTTAACCGCGACGTCGAGATAAGAGTATATTGCTCGAGCAGCTGTTCCTGCCTCCATCAACCGGACCAGAATATGTGAACTTTGCAAAGAGCAACGTGGGGGTCGCGCACCCTGGGTCTGTGCCATCCTAGCGTTCACCGGCGAATGACAGCCAGACATGATATGCAAGTCACCTTCACTGGCGTTGCCTCCCACGGCACGTCTGCAGGGCCCCTGCACGAGTTGCTCTGCGACGGACCACTGCGGGCAGACCGGCTGGCAGGAATGTGGATAGGCATGAAGTCGTTATTTCGCTTGTCAGTGGTAAAAAGCGGTCCTGTGTAGGCATGAAGATGAGTGCTGTTGTGTAGTGATGCAGAACGAGCCACGTACGGCAAAATATCCACCGAACAGGCGTTCCAAGCTGCCATCAATATTGGTTCGCCATGGCCGGGCTCCCAAACAGGCGAATGCCCAAGGCCGAGGCCCCAGGTCATTCCTTGCCCCTTGATTGGAGGAGAGAACAAGGTCAGGCTGGCTGAGCGGCGTTCGCGGGTGAAGCGAACCACTGAACCACCATTCGCGCCACGTTTCTGGTAATCTTGCAGCTCGACAATCGAACTGTCTCGTCCTTCGTTGGATATGGCCCTCAAATTGTGTTGAGGAATTGCAATCAATGCTCCCAACGCTGATCGAGGGGCATAGCAACAGGACACGAATCGTCCCTGACGCTCGCGCGAACGGAGACAGCGCCATAGAGATGACACAATCTCGTGCATTGCTTGCGAACGAAGACGTTTCTGAGCGAGAGACACCCCGGTGATACCAGATAACGTCGTTATTCTGCTGGTGTCCAGGTAGGTTGGCGGTCTTGCTGTTTTGGGAGACAACAGCTCAGTGGCATGACGCGGCGAGCCATTTTGTGCATTCCAACCAACAACTAGTTTTCTCACGAGGCGGAAAGTTGGCAGCCTTCAGTGCTTCTAAGCAAACTTTCCACCCTGATCGAAGCCTTCTTCTGGTGGAGAATTAGAAAGCGGTACGTACTTTTTGGCTCACCTGCAGGGCTGAGACTGTGAGACGGACTGCCCCTGCGTTCACAACCAAGTCATGCCGTCCCTCAGTGCTCTGAAATTCGGCATGCTGAGCTTAGACGCCAGCGATCTGCCTCAGACCTGGGGTATAATCAGCAACACTAGAGAAGTCGCACCGCTTGAGGATTTCGCAACCAGCCAAGCTAGTCCCACGCTGTGCGATTAAAGGTCTGTACGTACGTTGCCCACCTGTTACAGGCGACAAGTAGGCGACGAATCTCGCGATGCGATGCAGCGAGATGTGGACAGGAAGGGAAGTGCACCCATGACCGATGAAACCACTTCTCTTTCGGCTCTGAAATATCGGGCCTAGTGCTCGTACCTACATTCACACGCTGGGTCATCCGTCAGTGTCCGGCGCAGGGCAGGGCAGGTGACTAGTGGTGCGCCATTGCTCTTCGTCATCCCAAGCCGCGTTGCTATCGCGAGCAGCCGACCGACTCGGACTTTGGTGTCACAAGGGAGCGCTCAGCTTCCCCGGCGACGGCAGGCAGCGCGAGAGGGAAAGGGCTGTCGCTCTGGCTGCGGGTGAGGCAGCAAGTGTCTGCTGGCGAGCGAATCACCCGCGTGCTCGCTGCTGAGCAGCTGGGCTGCAGCGACGACAGAGCAGTGGCCAATTTCAGCGGCTGGGCGAATGGCAGGCCAAGCGAGGACTGGTGAGAATGGGTGGTGGGCGTGAAGGGTGCGAAAGGTGCAAGCAGGTTGCGGCGGCAGCGAGAAAAACTTGACTTGGCGAGCTGCAGGCAAGAGGCAAGCGACGGCATGGGCCACTTGACAGTCGAAGTGCGGAGATGCACCCATGCATCCATGAACCCATGCGTTTCTCGGCGTGGGTGGTTTCCCTGCTGTCTGCCCTGTGCCTGGCGCCCTCTTAAAACTATCCTCCCTCGCCGCTCCCGTCTCCGCAAGCCTACCATCAGTTGGTCCTCGCGTTGACGATTCACACAGCTCATGACTCTTCCTTTTTGAACCTCAACTGGTTTTTTCAAATAAAAAAACCACTTCACACATCAATCTTCACTGTCCCCGCCTCCACCACCCTTCGTCTTCGCGAGCCAGTTCCCCATCTCTCTCTCTGCGACCATTGCTTTCGTCTCACAGCCCCAAACCGCTTCCGTACTCCAGATGGCGTCCCAGATGGAGTGGTCTCACGACTTTTGCCTCTCTTGTGATCGCCAGATTGCAGAGGGAGCATACTGCTCTCAGGCGTGCCGGTTGGCCGACCTGGAGAAGGCTGGCACCAACGAGCCGACGACACCCTCAAATCTGTCTTCTTCCGCATCCTCGTCATCATCCTCTCAAGGTTTCTACCTACCCCCTGCCGTCAACTTCTCTGCGTTGAAGACGCCATCAACATCACGAGGTTTCGACATGGGACCCTCAAGTCCTCACCAGTACTACTCCACTGCATACGGTTCGTACTTTGCCTCAACAGCCTCGCAGCCAGCAGCAGCAACAGCAACATCAACAGCAACAGCACGTCAATCACAGCAGCGAAGTCTCACACCTTCCTCGTCACGATCATCGCTTGCATCTGCTGCTTCCCAATCTACGTCAGGCATATCATTACAGGCAGCGAGCCAGCTGAACGGCTACGTGCGATCATTCGACCCAGTACGAGACATGAAGAGAAGGTTTACGCACTACTAGACGCCGTTAGTTTTTCTCTCTGTGTTCCCGTAAATTGCATTTTGACGACGACGACGACGGAGTACCGAGTCTTGGGGAGGCGTTTATCGACTTGGAAGGAGCGTTCGACCACCCACGTCTTACAGCAGCATTCGTCTCCACATTTGAGTGTGAGACCCCGGCGTTTTCCACGGAGTTTATCGCCTTGCATTATGGGCTCTCGATTGGCCTGCATCCCTTTCGCTTCAGTATTGTATATTGCCATGGATGTTCTCTTTTTGTTAGTCTCTTTAATCGATGGAAGTGGAGGGTGAAACACAAAAAGCATATGTCAGTATTTCTTCAATGCTGCACGATGAGTGGTAGTGCGTGGTAGTACAATTGTGTCATTGCGAGCATTTATTGCCAGGTGTTGGGTTCTTCGTTCGGAAATGATGACTAGGCTCCTTTGAATGGAGCCTAGAGGAGTTGGTGGATGGTAGCATGGGTGGTAGGATGAGCATACGTGTTTGCATCTCCCTGGCGATAGATAGCCATACCTAGTATGGGCGAGACTTTGGGTCTCTGTCTTCTCTCACTCAGCTCAACGAGACCTGTTGCATGACGTCTCTGTTTCCACTCCCTGCACAGCATGTAGCTAACTTGCAACTGCCCAAGGGCACTGTGACCGAAACTAATCGACTTGAACACATGGTGACCGCGCTACCAGTTCAGTTCGCATTCCTTGCAATGGAACAGGTCCCCGTTAAGTGAATTCCCGGAACATGTCTCACCTTCATTATGATGCAGCTAGCCTTCCCAACGCTCTCCACGTGAGTTACCGGAGACGATGCCTTTCAACATGAGTTTGAAGCCGGCCTCAGGTTCGGGCTGTTCCCGGGGCCACGATGATGCATCCACCCACTCAGGCTTTTCGTACCCGCAATCGAGGCGGGGCCTGGCCTGGCCACAGACGCCGTGGCTATCGAGTGTGGCGCGAATAAACTTTGACTCTTTCGACACACATGGCGCCACTGGACAGGCAGGTAGGCGTCCTGGATTTGTCAACAGCCAGGCACCCGCGTCCGTTCAAACGTTGCATATTCCTTTTCCTTGGGCTTTCGCTGATTTTCGTGCAGAGTTTTCTACATCACCATGGTGAGGGGCCACATGCAGGATAGGCACGCCTTGTTGAGCTCCAAAGAAGACGAGGCAGAGGCAGGGGATATTTCCGGCCAGGACTGCAGTGCTGGGGATATTGATAGTGTGCACTGCGCAGCAAACGTCGACGTCCGCTGCGTCCAGCAGCATGGCTCGAACAAGGAAGCCCGTTGCCGCCCGCGCTCTTGCTTCGCAGAACCCTTCTGCTGGCGTCCCTCACTGCGCGCTCCCATGTATTTTCTGCAAACCTCCACCACCAAGTCGTTTCGGATTGGATGAGTGCGTATCTCGCTCGCTGCAGTCTCCACTCTTTCATCTACATTCTTGGCGCTCTTTCCCCGCACTGAAGGACGGCCCGGAGCCCAAGTGCGATTCGTCATGGCGCAAGCGCAAGGGCCATCCTCGTATTCCTGGAGCGCCCCTCTTCTCATGGACATGAAAAAGCAAAACCCCCACGAAAACCCTTGTTGAAGGACGGAAATGCTGGGACGGGCTGCCAGCAGCGTCATGCGGCATAATTTTGTGTGTCGCAGGATGCTCTGGCGACAGATGATCGCCCTCGTCTCGGGCGCTTCCTTACTCTATGGGGAAGGAATGAGCAGCCACAACACCACTTCGCCGTCGAATTCTAGGTGGCGTTGATCGTGGATGTCCTTTTTCCTTAGTGTCATTATTTTCCAGCCTTGTTTTCCTGACTCTTCATCGCCGTCCTCGTCGCCGTGTTATGCTTTCTTTATCATGATCCCACTCGACCGGACGTCGGAGATTGAGCGCCAGCCTCTCGGATCCCGACAAGGCAAATCACACCACCACACTCCTCTTCCGCAGTACTCTCAAACTCTCCGGCTTTTATGTCATCGACTTATACCTCACGTTGGACAGATAGGCTTCTCCACTCTACTAGTTGTCTAGCTCATAGGCCCGTCAAAATTATGTCCAGCAATAGGCTCTGTCGGAACAATAGCCGAGCGAGATAGAATCACAGATCTGGTCGATCACTGCGATTTTCGATATCCGACCAGCTCTTGCCAGTCGATGTGATTCACGAGCGCCTCCCAAAAGCCATCAATTCGGGTTATAGCGAATCCTATCACTCGGTCAAGAGAAAAGTCAAAATTCGGCGAGCTTTACATTCAAAGCGAAAACAAGGCCGAAGACAATCAATGTCAAGTGCTTTTCTTGCGATGTCGGAACAGGAATTATGCAGGGCAGAGATTTCAAGGCGGTGCAAGTACAAGGCCACGCCCTGTGCTTTTGGGCAGAAATTTTTTCCATCGCGAATTTTACAGGTAACGTTTCATCTCGTGTCTCCCTCGCACCATGTCAAAACTGTTGAGGGATGTAAATGAACTACAAGTAAATCTGGGAAATACAAGAGGAAGATCTGCGATACCCGCGCACCGCGAAATCTGTTTACATGACAGGGAAGCAACGTCACAGGGCCTACCTCCCTACCACCAGTCTAGATAACTTACCGGTTCCGACAGCGTAACTCTTCCGCGATATCACGCGAGACGAGCCCCATAGTGGTACCTAAGTCAAACATCGATTCAACAGCAATAGGCGAAGAAAGGTTTACCTTTCGCATCACAAAAATTTCTCGCCACAAGCGCCTCTCGCAGACACAAAGCTAGATAACTTGCGCAGTCCGAGAAGAACCGAGAGAGCAGTTCCTCCGTAAATATCAGGAGAGAAGATCAGACTCCCATCAATTATCGGACCTGCCCGGTTTGTCCCCATCTGATAACCGGCAGCCTTCCGGGAACGAAATGCTTCCGAGAGATATCATGAGAGAAATGTCCCGGATGCATGGCTGGTTCCTACATAGTCAATTTCAGAGCTCAGTAACAAGAACCTCCTACGCCGGTAGTCAAGTACCGGCCGAGCAGATATTCCGCAACCTCACGAGAGAAACCCCACGCTCCCAGGAAGTATATTCCCTGTGCTGATATTATTCCCACGATTCATCAATTTGAGAACTATCTAGTAGTTATTTGGTAGTGCCACGCCCAGTCCAGCATCATCCCATCATCGGGGTCCCTTCGCCCGACGAGAAATCCCGGAGGAGCTTCGGTCAAACTACAACGATCGCACCATAATCGTTCCATCCTAAACCCCAGTGAAGGAGTGAGAGGATACACGACCAACGTGGACTGTGGAGCCTTGATCAGCGAACCTTGAACGGCTCCAACGGTTCCAGATCGCCCTTCTACCGAAGTCAGATAGCTAATAGAAACAGCAAGAGTCAGGCCAGGACCACTACCATAATACTCCTTTTCCAACCCCACTCCTGAAAAGGACAGGACAGGACCAGCAAACGTGCTATCCTAGCCACCAGGGTAGACCGAAGAACTCCAAGAGATGCCGGTAGAGAGCGTGGAAGGGTTTCGAGAAACAAAAAGGTATCCAGCACACAATCGTTCTAGAGGGCAGTCGCAACTGGTCCGCAATTGGTATGGTATCGGAAATTGAAAATTCCCTACCTCCTCCCTCAAATCTCACCGTCTTTTCATCTCCCTCTCCTGAATCATCCCATATCATCTCACGTTGTCTCAACCTTCGTTGCCGGCGCAGACGCGCTCTGCTTCTTCATCCTCTGCTTCTCAGCCCACTCTCTACTCGCAATACGGCCACGCTCAGCTGCTTCAGCCCGAGCCCTCTTCGCCGCCTCTTCCTTCTCTCGCCGTTCGTTTTCGCGCCGTTCTTTCTCTAATTTATCTCGGTTGAAGATCTCACGTGCCTTGAGGCGTTGGGCTACTGCATCGGCTGCAGTAACAGTGGATTTCGTCACAGGGCCCGGGTTGACAATGGTACTATTTCGATTAGAGCTCGGTGAGCTGGATGTTGATGTTGTAAAGGTTAGTCGAGAAGAAGTGATTGTCGTACTCAGTCGTTTGCCCGAGTTGATGGAGTTAGTGCGCTTTAGAGGAATAGAAGCACCATCCATCTTGCTCTCCTTTTCTGATGCAGTAGGTTTGCCATTCATTAAGTTTTCTCGTGCTTTGCTTGCCGCCGTCTGTCGAACTGGGGCAGGGACATTCTTCCGAGCAGGGGCTGGACGGGCTTTAAATGCAGCTTTCTTCACGGCTTCATCCTCTTCTCGCTTCAGACGCTCTTCCTTCTGTGCCTTCAATTTGGCAGCCACAGCCTCGCCAGGTAGATGAAATGTTGACTTTGTAGGTGGTTTCACCGACTTGGGAGGTGGTGGAGGGACTGGGAATGACATGCTGATTGGACGGCGTTTCGAAGCAAGGTAATCAACTACCTCTCCAGACCCCTTCCTCACCTTCACATCGGCATTCTTGGGTGGTGCGACACGAGTGCTGGCTGAGCGGGAGATAGAGGGCCGTGATGTCGCACCCTTGGACACATTGGAGGTGGTAGGTTTCAGTGACTTTGGCGCGGTCGGGGTTTTGGAAACCTTGGCCGCGCACATGTTTGGAGTCGGGACTGCATCGAATCGCGCTTTCCGTGGAGACTTTTCATCGGCCTCGTGATCGAAGACTGGAATTGCTTTACCGACTTGCTCAATGGCTTCCTCGAGCGCATCGATAGCTTCGATAGATTCCTCAAGCCGCATGGGAACCTTGGCGGGAGACTTGGATGGACTGCGACTGGGACTGCGGCTCGTAACAGGTGTTGCTTCTCCTTCGCATGGCTTTTCGGATGTGAGAGTTTTGGGTTCTGGTTCTGCTATGACTTCGACGGCTGGTACAGCCACTCCGGATTCCGGCTTGACCCGGGCCTGCTCGATCCTGACCGCTTCTACCTTCTGGACGTCTGGCACGGTTTCTTCCTCAGGCCCTGCACTCGGAGCGTTGGCAATTTCTCCCTCAGCAGCAGGAAGATGCAGTTGAGGCGATGGCAAGGGCACACGCTGTGACTTAGACAATTCCTCTACTCTAGCCAATTGACGACGGGTCATGCGGACTGCGCGTGAAGGGGGAGATGCGGGACGTTGATCATTCATTGGCACTTGGACGACAATATCTGCACCCCATAATTAGCTGGCACGTGTCATTCATGCGCATGCCGGGACACGCACCGTCCGCGGGCGCTTTCGCCAGCTCATCAACGGCTGCGTCGCTCGCTGGGCTCCCCGCAGCTCTCCTCTCGTCTTCAAGGACTTCGACCTCCCTCTCGTCGCCTGGCGGACTTGCTTGGGCCTTCCTGGCCTTATTCCCTTTGGCAGCCTTTTTCGCGACCTTTGACTTTGCCTTCTTTGGGGCCATATTTTTGAGGTTCGGATGTCCTTGGGAGAGTTCGGCGACGGCGTTGGCGGAAACTTCGCCCAATGGGATGCGGTCAGTGGACGGGGTTGGGGGTAGGAGGTTTGACGCGTCGGCTGTCTCGTTGTCGTGAGTGCGGGTGGCTTCGGCGCGCAACGCAGCACGTGTTAGGCGCATTGTGACAATAAAGACTACAGCAAGTGTAGCGTTGTGAGCGAGGTGCTAGGTGTAGTGAATACTGTTGGGGAATACATGAAGCAATGGGTAGGGTGTGTATAAAGGCGTGGTGTTGATGTTTATTTCTGTTGCCAAGACCGCTGAAACAGGGCTCCCTGACAACAGCCGGGCGGCACTTGGACCTCACCGTGAAACAGTCACGTGAAACAGTCACGTGGAGCGCACTCCTCGGACGGAAATGGTCCACGGATGACCTCCACAGTTCGCCGCGACTCGCAAGGACCCCACACGGCAGATGCGAAAATCCCCCTGATAACATAGCAAGCGCAAGGAAGTTTACCCATGTTCGATAGTGAGCAGTTAGAAACTTCTATACTCACAATCAACAATCCAATCTGCTTCCAATTTCTCGTCCTTGACGCGTGCTGACTCCTGACACTAACAACACATTACGTGCACGCAATCCCAACCATCGGATTCTTCCAAGGCTTGGTCCCGTCAACAGCCGTCGCTGTCCTCATTCCACCTGCAAATCTCGCCCTCTTCGACGGCCCTCCTCCGACACCGGCAAGCTGGCTGCCCCGCGCCGACTCCTAGCTTCCATCATAACCCGCCGCTACCCCTCCTCCTTCACCCTGGCTCCCTCACGCGCTTCGTCCCGACTCAACCTCTTCTCGCGCCACTTCGACAGCAAGCCGTTTCTTGAATTGAACACGCCCTTCTCAACCGAGAGGAGTGCGCCGCTTGAAGACGACCAGGGGAATCTGGCCAAACCGAAAGCACCCAACATAGCGCCAGCAGAGGCCATCAAGGAACAGACCCCAAAAAAACTAGAGAGTAGAGAGAAGAAACCCCAGCCCGTCATGTCCAGTCAAGCGCCCCACCCTGCGCTGCTCATTCCGGGTCCAATTGAGTTTGATGATGCCGTTCTGCAGTCGATGAGCCATTTCAGTGAATCCCACGTCGGCCAACCCTTCGTCAACACCTTCGGCGAGGTCCTCTCAATGCTACGCAAGCTCTTCCAGACCTCGGATCCTGCTTCACAGCCCTTCGTCCTCTCTGGCTCCGGCACACTAGGTTGGGATCAGGTTGCAGCGAACCTGGTGGAGCCCGGTGACGAGGCGCTTGTCCTCCACACTGGTTATTTTGCCGACTCCTTCGCCGACTGCTTGGAAACATATGGCGTCAAGGCAACACAACTAAAAGCACCAATTGGCGAGCGACCACAGCTCCATGAGATCGAGGCAGCTCTGAGTGAGAAGGCGTACAAGATTCTCACCGTCACACACGTCGACACCTCAACCGGAGTGTTGAGCGAGATCAAGACGCTGTCAGAAACAGTCCGCAGAGTCAGCCCGGACACTCTGATTATCGTCGACGGCGTGTGCAGTGTTGGCTGTGAGGAGATCAGATTCGACGACTGGGGTCTCGATGTCGTTCTCACAGCCAGTCAGAAGGCAATCGGCTGTCCCGCCGGTTTGAGCATTCTCATGGTGTCGGGCCGTGCCATTGAGACATTCAAGGCAAGGAAAGCAAGGCCGACGTCGTATTTCGGGTCGTGGAAGAATTGGCTACCAAGTATCCTTTTCCCTGCCGGATCTACAAGCCCCGATTACTCACTAACGTCATCCCAGTCATGCAAAATTACGAAGCAAAAAAGGCATCCTACTTCGCAACGCCCTCCCCCCAGCTAATCCATGCACTTCACACCTCTCTCACGCAAATCCTCTCCCGACCACTCGCCCAGCGATTTGAAGACCACAAAGCCGCATCCCAGAAAATCAAGAAGGCCGTCACATCTCTCGGCCTAAAGCAGCTTGCCTCGAAGCCCGAGAATCAAGCCAACGGCATGACCGCCATTTATCTTCCTGACGGTATCACCCCGCCGGATGTCCTGCCTAGCCTGATGAAAAAAGGCGTCATCTTTGCGGGCGGTTTGCATAAGGAGATTGCGGCAAAGTATATCCGCTTTGGACACATGGGTGTTAGTGTCACGGATTCGAAGAGACCCGATATTAATAAGGCAATCGAATCCTTAAAGGATAGTCTTGTGGAGGTGGGGTATAAGGCAGACTAAGATTGAAGAGGTCAGAGAAGGGCCAACCCTTGTATACTACTGTTTCTTCTAATCACATTAGTGCTAGGAGAACGTAATTATGAGTTGGGCAAGCAAATGGATAGAATACCCAAGAATTAATAGAAATGTGAATGGAGCTAATGTTTCAGTCCCCGCGTTAAAAATTCCCAGCTCTATTGCCTCTCATGAGAATGCTAATTGTTTTTTCAACCCACAAGCGAACAGAGGAGCTTTCTGCTGCACAGGATTATAATCATTGGCTGAGGTTCAAAGTCTCAGAACATATCAGAACATCTCACAGTCCCTCCATCCAAATCTAACGACTTGCATTCAGAAATTGAATGCCAAGATTTCTATTCAAAGACGGCCAAATCAGCTAAGCAAAGACAGTTTCTCAAATGCCTTCACGAGAGGCGCCTCCCTCTTCCGATTCACTTCCTCCAAGCTCGCAAAAAGGGTCGCTTCGCCACCCATGGGCCTCAAGACCTGATCCCCGACCACCACGCCCCCTGCCCTATCACCCGGATCTTGACCCGCTGCCTCCACCCCACTGTTCGCAGGATACATCTCCTTCACTGCATCCTCGCACCTTTCAATCACATCCCTAGTCGCATTCTCCACAGCCTCAGCCCTCTCCCTCATTCCCCTCTTCACCAAACCTTCGATCAACCTTCTTACCTCGTCATTCATCCCATTGATTCTCTCAATCAACCGCTCAATCGAATTCATAAGATATTCTTCTTCATAAACCGTCCCCTTTTTCCCTCGCGCACGCTTCCGCTCTTCCCGCATCTTCTTCTTACTCGTTTTCCGCGTAGTAGTAGTGTTTACCGTTCCAGTGCGGTTTGTATAGCGTGTCATGAATGTGCCACCAGAGGTGGTATCAGTTGGGGCCAGGGAGATGTTGTCTGGAATATTCGCCTCCTGGTCCATAGTTCCTTCAAAATAGGCGAGCGGGTCCGAGGCCTTCTTCTCGCGCAAATCGCGGAGACGTGGGACTTGAGCCTTGAGTTGCTCTTTCATGTCGGCGAGGAACTCATTCATGCTACCGCTTGCTTCGATAAGGCCCGGGTCGACGACTGAAGATATGAGAGATGGCTCGCGGTGCAGCGTGACTATGCGCATAGCTTCGGCGAACCAGCAGCCACGACAGAGGAGCTTTGCTGCGGTGGACAAGTCGGAGAGGTAGTCGAGTGCAATTGCTGAGGCTGAAGCGTAGTCTTTTGATTCCGTGAGGGAATCTAGGAGGGTGGTTGCTAGGGATGTGAGGTCAGAATCACTGAAGCCAGACAGGCTTGCGCAGGTTAGCGTTTCACGCCAGGCGGATGTCCCGAAGGACAGGTATGAATTGTAGGCGTGGGAATAGTCATCTAGGTATTCATATGCAATTGCCGCTTCTTTATGTCGATGTGAAGTGCTCAGATAGTCGGCATAGATACTCATGATATCCTTGAGACGTGCTGTGTCGTATTGAAACATCTTCAACGCTTCGGGATAAAGAGCATGCTTCACGACATATTCCTGTAGTTCGCCGAAAACATCAAGATCTTTAAGATATCGAAGTGCTTTGGTCTTGCGTCCAAGTTGGTCGTCAATCTTAAATTTCCGACGAAGAGGCGCCAGGTCGTGGAGCGATTGGAGGTGTGGGAGGTATTCCCGAGGGTCCTTTTGGGATTGCTGAGCTATTAGAAGGGCGAGCTCGAGATTATAGATTCCAAGGGCTGCGTCGTATAGTTGGTTGACATCTGCAAGGAAGCAGATGTGCTCAGCTGCCTTCTCGGTGAGAGGGCTTTGGGCTGCTGTGGGATAGTGAGAAATTTATTTCACCAAGGTGGGAGAAGCTAAATCGTTTTTACCTTGCAATTTACCGATCATTTCCAATCCAGACTCTAGGTCCGCTGGCACTTTAACTACGTGAGCCGTGACGATGTTTTGGAGGTGATCCTCTCGGTATTGCGGCTGCTCGAGCACAGCCAGGAAGGCATCACAGATTCGATTGACTTTGGTCTCACTTGGAAATTTTAGGCCATTGGCCTTGATACTTGGGTCTTTGGTTTTAAGGGTTTCTTTGTACATTGTTTCCGAGACGTCCTCGTTCCTAGTTTTGTTATATGCACCGTCGATATGAGTGAAGGGAATTGCCTACCGTAGCTGTGAAAGCAACAAATCAATATGTTCAGTCCTCGCAATCTGTTCAACAATACTCTCGATATTAGCCAGAAAGCGTTTCGGGTCGTGATCGTGTAGAATATTCATATCCACACGCTGGTTGCGGCATGCTAGAAATGCTTCTGCATATCGCTCTCCTTCGATACCTCGTCGGATAGCGGCAAGAACAAGCGCACGAGGGTAGATGGTCTCAAGATTCCCCCGTGGCATCTGCAGTATAACTGAGTATGTTGTTGGCATAGCGGCAATGAGACGAGCACCTCGTTCAATGCTACGACATCTCTCGTCCTTCTGTGGCTCATCCAAGGGAACTTCGAGTTCTAGGAATCATGTCAGCTAAATCCTGAAGAAATATTGGAGAACACATACCATCTACACTTGTCATGTGGACAAATTTGAGGAGATGTTGAGCGGTTGAGAATATTAAATGGGCAGGCGTAACCAAATAGGATGTACAATTTCGAACGAGGATCCGTTTGTTCGCGTAAAGTACACCACTTTTAGTTAACCCGAAAGCGATAGGCTAGGCTTGTGAGTTTCAACTTATTGCCAGAGCATGTTTGGTTCATACCTTTCCATCTTGAACAATAACCATTGGTTCTGGAGGACACGAAGAGAACTTGTTGATCAAAGTCGTTCGAGGACCCGAATCGCTCGATATCTCATCGTGTTGGACTTGGTACAGAGATCCATCTTCGAATTGAGCATACAAGCCTTTGTAGTCCACACTGGGTAGGAGGGAAGATATATGCCTAGTCCGTGCTATATGGCCAAGCGGCACAAAGTCTTTCTCTGTGATCCTCCACAGACAGCTATATTCTGTATCCCAATCATCAGTTAGAATAAATATGTCCTCGTCCCCGATAAATGCAACATGGCGAGGACAATGACCATTGAAAGCCCCACTTCGCCACATCAACTCGGGAGCGGGGACTGGCCTCCGTCGCATGTTAAGAGCATAAACAGAAATATCCCGATCTGAAAGAACTGCGAGCCTGGTACTAGACAGCGAAATGGCCACGTCGACTGCTTTATGGTCAAGAGCAAGTTGGTGTAGGGATAGTGGAGGAGGTATGTTGGCAATTCGTAATGGTGTTAACTTTAGTGATACTATGGATGATCATTAATGTGAACTGAACGACGAAGCCCCGATAACTTACAACCATCGATAGAGGCGACAAGTCCAAAGTCGTTTGGGGGAGTTGCAGGCCCGGTAACAATAGTAAAGAGGTATTCCAGAACTTGGAGTGATCCTAGTGAATCTTGTTATCAACTCCGCTCCGCAGGCGTGGATACGAGTAATGCTTACCAGGTGTGAATAGTGCCAGTGACAAAGCTTTCTCTGAATGCCAGTTGCATAAGACATTCGGAGCACCAGGCTCAGGAAATACCAGCTCCTGTTTTAGATAGTAGTGGTAATTGCTCATCGTCCACAATTGGACCTTGGCCGGGTAGCACACTGCAATGACATTGGAATCGCTACTCCATCTCAGGGTCAACGACGTGGTGAGATCCTGCATCACTTCCGGGCTAAGTCGTAAATCGAATTGTCCGTGCCGGAGGCCGTTCCGCTCAAAGAAGATGACCTCAGTACGATCACTCAGACGGCGGATGCTCGCAATTAGATTGCCCGATGGTCGCCAGCTCAGGGCGCCTTCAAGGCCATCTACGGGTTCACTAACGCCATCGAGCTGTCCTTCTCTTGAATACACACGGATCATCCTTCGACGCCCTCCTTCGACGCCGTTAACGGCAAAATAGGCACCATCGCCCCGCCAAGAGATCGTCACGAACCCATCATCAAAGGGACTCAGAACTCCTTCATCGACACGCTCTGGGACAGTAGGGTCTTGCAAAGCCTTTGCTCTCTTGCCCTTGAACTGAGTCTCCTTTTTCCCCCAGCCCACAGATACGTGACTAGAAACTTTAGTATCTTCCGGAGTAAGAGTGACGTTTGCTACATTTTCAATGTCCCGAGTCATGAGAAGTAGCGTCTCGGCGTCGGTGGTGATGGCCAGAAGCTCTTCGTCTGGCGACCAGGCTGCGGCGGATACTCCAGCGTCTATAGATCCAACAATCTCGACTGAGTCCTCATCCGGAAGCGGGTGCTCTCTGACCAGAATAATGTCTCCTCCAGCCAAGACGAGGCATGATGTTGATGAGTCCGAGAAATGATGAAGACTTTGTATAGAATCGTATGGGAGGGAAGGTAAAGGGCATGGAGCATCCCACGAAGCAATGTCCTCTAGTTGATCTTCGGCGCTGTCTCGCCCGTAGTGTAGACGTTTGAGTTCGATGACGGCACGTGATTTGGAAGGCCCAAAAGCACAGATGACTGAATTCGAGGCAACATCCCAGGCTGTCGCAGCGAGTGGCAGCGGGTTGTCGCCGGAAAATCGCAAAAGCGACCTTCCAACGATTCGCAGGTTGCGCATATCTGTGTCCTAGATGCTACATTCGAATGGTTTCTTGTGGTGGGTTGCAAAGATTTGTGAATGTTCAGTGGCTGAAATTTTGTTGGTCGCTGAAAACCGAGCTTTTCCCGATCGGGACATACTCTATCATCATTCGATCACTTGCATTCAACGTCCGCACCCTGTAACTGAGGAAACACTGCTAATGAATTTGATGCTGAAGCTGTGTGTAGTACAATTGTTCTTGGGAATCTCGGCCTATTCTACACTCCCCGTTTCCCACTCATAACGTTGCCCAAAACTCATCACTCCATATCCTCAGCTATCGAATTTAGGGCTTGTTCTTCCTGGTCTGCCAGACTGTTGGTGGTACTGCAGTTAGCTCCTATATCACTAGTGAGAGGTGGATAGACTGAGCCTTACCGGCAAGAAGGAAGGGAAGGGAAAATCCAGTAGCTGTCCAGTTAGCTAGCGCTCCACATGCAAGGCATCTCGAGGCATACCGCAGAACGCCCAGTATCTAAAAGCAAACCATTTGGTCAGAGGGTTGAACGGCAAGTTGCTTCGCGGTCCCTCCGGGTAGTGGTAGGGGCTGGAGAGCTGGGCTCGGGTGGACTGGAAGCCGCGACGGGCAATAATGGCTGGATTCGCGGCTGCGCGGAAAGCTGCGCGGGAGAGCATCTGTAGGCGTCAGCTGGGACGCCAATTGGTAAATGTGCGGCGTACTTTGATAGTGTTTGGCGGAGTGGAGAAGATTGGGAGGTTGCGGGCTGGGGGACGCTTCTTAGGTTGAACGAGCGGAAGGACGGAGTTGCGTGACACAAAGCCGAAGCCACGGCGGTGCTTATGTAAACGTTCGGCTCGGCTCGGCGCGACAATTCCCCGCGCCGATGCCAAGGTCCATGGAATCTTTTTGACCTCTTGACGGCAGGTGTCTCCGACCTTTGTCACCTCACTACGCTGTTTCCTGCGCGTCGAGTGCTTAAAGGCTTTGCGCCGTGGTATCTGTCTTCATACTAACCGTTGGGCAGGCTTGGACACCGCGCCCACGACGCCTCCGCCATGGACGAGCTGTTCGCCGTCTTCGAGGGCAGCCCGACATCGAAGGAGCCACGGGCCCCAAAGAAGAGCAAGAAACGTCAAGCAAATGGCGACGTGAAGTCACCTGCCGAGGACTTGCACATGGCCGAGGTCGATGCCGCGCCCGTTCCCGCACCACACGAGACCTTAGAGAAGAACAACACGCAACAAGCTTCAAAACGCCAGAAACGCGACCTTGAGCCTGGACCCGTGCTTACGGATGCCTTCGAGACTGAGCAGTCGCGCGAAGTCGCTGCCTCGGCTGGCTTGCAGGCACAGCAAGACGGCCAGGCAGTCGTGCTCTCCCACCAAGTCCGCCATCAGGTCGCCCTCCCGCCCGACTACGACTACATCCCCATCTCCGAGCACAAAGCGCCAGAAGAGCCCGCAAAGACTTGGCCCTTCACCCTCGATCCCTTCCAGCAAGTCTCAGTCGCATCGATCCAGCGGAATGAGAGCGTTCTAGTATCAGCCCATACCAGCGCTGGAAAAACCGTAGTTGCCGAGTACGCCATCGCGCAGTGCCTGAAGAACAACCAGCGCGTCATATACACCTCGCCAATCAAGGCGCTGAGCAACCAGAAGTATCGAGAGTTCCTGGCCGAGTTTGGCGATGTTGGACTTATGACAGGTGATGTGACAATCAATCCAACGGCCACATGTCTGGTCATGACTACAGAGGTATAATCGTTGCAATGGGACAATAGAAGATTATTTTATACTTACGAAGCCTAGATTCTGCGTTCGATGCTTTACAGAGGCTCTGAGATCATGCGTGAGGTGGCCTGGGTCATCTTCGACGAGGTCCACTATCTGAGGGACAAATGTATGCACCTGCGCCACTCTGATTCCGCACATTAAAACTGACAGCTTCCAGCTCGCGGAGTGGTATGGGAAGAGACCATTATTCTCTTGCCAGACAAAGTCCGCTATGTGTTCCTCTCGGCCACTATTCCAAACGCGATGCAATTCGCCGAGTGGATCACTAAGACGCACATCCAGCCGTGCCATGTTGTCTATACCGACTTCCGGCCGACCCCGCTTCAGCATTACTTCTTCCCTGCGGGCGCTGACGGAATCCATTTAGTAGTCGACGAAAAAGGGGTCTTTCGTGAAGAGAACTTCCAGAAAGCCATGACATCCATTGCTGAGAAGCATGGAACCGACGCGGCCGACTTCATGGCGAAGAGGAAGGGCAAAGGTAAAGACAAGAAGACCAACAAAGGAGGCAACAAGGGGCAATCTGATATTTACAAGATTGTCAAGATGATCATGATGAAGAACTACAATCCAGTTATTGTCTTTAGCTTCAGCAAGCGTGACTGCGAGAATTATGCCCTCTCCATGAGCACCCTCGCATTCAACGACGAATCCGAGAGGAAAATGGTGTCAAAGGTATTCAACAGTGCCATTGAGATGTTGTCAGAGGAAGACCGTGAGCTCCCCCAGATCCAGCACATTCTCCCTCTCCTTCGACGAGGCATTGGCGTTCATCACTCTGGGCTTCTTCCTATCTTGAAGGAAACAATCGAGATCTTGTTCCAGGAAGGGCTCATCAAAGTCCTGTTTGCGACCGAAACTTTCTCTATCGGTCTCAATATGCCCGCAAAAACCGTTGTCTTCACGAGCGTTCGCAAGTTTGATGGTGTCTCACAGCGGTGGGTGACGCCTTCGGAGTTCATTCAGATGTCTGGTCGAGCTGGTCGCCGAGGCCTGGATGAGCGAGGTATAGTCATCATGATGATTGACGAGCAAATGGAACCGGCCGTGGCCAAGGATATTGTCCGTGGAGAGCAGGACAAACTGAACTCTGCGTTTCATCTTGGCTATAACATGGTCCTAAATCTCATGAGGGTTGAAGGCATCTCTCCAGAATTCATGCTGGAGCGATGTTTCTTCCAGTTCCAGAATACAGCAAGCGTCTCTGGATTGGAAAGACGTAAGTCAACCGGGAGTCGTTGCAAGTCCCGTCCATACTGATGCATCCTTGTAGAACTGCAGGAGCTTGAGAACAAAAGGGCGAACATGAACATCACAGACGAGCCCACCATCAAAGACTACTATCAACTGCGACAGCAACTAGACACGCACACTAAAGATATGCGCGATGTGATAACGCACCCAAACTATTGCCTGCAGTTCATGCAGTCGGGCCGCTTGGTGAAGATCAAGTATATGGATCATGACTTCGGATGGGGTGCTGTGGTGAACTTCACTTCCCGCAAAGCAGGCAAAGGTGAAGTGCTCACCCCGCAACAATCTTACGCTGTCGACGTACTGTTATCCGTCGCGAACGACACCAAGTTTGCCCCACAGTCTAGCGGTGGTCTCCCTCCTGGTGTGCGTCCCCCTGCTCCCGGCGAAAAGGGCAAGATGGAAATCGTACCCGTTATTCTTTCCTGCATTGACTCCATTGGCCACCTACGTGTATTCATGCCTCCTGAGCTCAAGTCAGTGGAGCAGAGGAACAACGTTCGAAAGGCACTAGAGGAGGTGATGAAGAGGTTCCCAGACGGCATCGCGATCCTTGATCCCATTGAAAACATGGGCATCACGGATGAGTCCTTCAAGCGTCTCCTCAGGGTAAGTTATGGCAATCAGCAACTTGTAAGGTTGGGGTATTGACTTCCACAGAAAATCGAAGTCCTTGAGTCTCGTCTCCTCGCGAATCCTTTGCACAACTCGCCAAGACTGCCAGAGCTATACGGTCAGTATGCGAACAAGATGGCGGTCTCGGAGAAGATCAAAGACGTGAAGAAGGAGATTACAAATGCTCTCTCTGTGCTGCAGCTGGATGAGCTCAAGAACCGGAAGCGCGTCCTGCGCCGCCTAGGCTTCATTGATGATGCCGACGTCGTTCAAATCAAGGCCAGGGTCGCATGCGAGATCAGCACTGGCGATGAGTTAGTGCTCAGCGAGCTTCTCTTCAACCGTTTCTTCAATGAGCTCACACCCGAGCAATGTGCTGCATGTCTGAGCTGTTTCATCTTCGAGGAGAAGAGCAAGGAAACTCCAACACTAAAGGAAGAGCTTGCGAAACCATTTCGAGAAATCCAAGCTCAAGCAAGGATCATTGCCAAGGTATCCCAGGAGAGCAAGCTAACAGTCAACGAGGAAGACTACCTGAACACTTTCAAGAATCAGCTCATGGAAGTCGTCTTTGCGTGGTCAAAAGGTGCTTCCTTCGCACAGATATGGTAGGCCATCGCAGCTTGGCTAACGTAATGTCATTTCTTTGCTAACTTGTTTCATAGCAAAATGACGGATGTATATGAAGGTAGTCTTATTCGTTTGTTCAGACGATTGGAGGAGCTCCTGCGGCAGATAGCACAAGCAGCCAAAGTCATGGGCAGTGAGGAGCTGGAGCAAAAGTTCACGACGGCTCTGGACATGGTCAGGAGGGACTTGGTTGCAGCTCAGAGTCTGTACTTGTGATGGAGCCTTGGTTTTGCAACGAGCGTGTATATTAAGGGAGTCCGGCGTCGGTATGGGCACATTCTAGGGCATCTTCACGGGGCATCAGGTCGATACCTTTCTTCCCTTCATGCAGCTCGTAATGAGCGGGCTTTTATGCATGCATGAAGCAATGCCAGCAGTAAGCGAGCACTGGCGCTGCCGTTTCTAAAAAAGGAACGGCAGTCGGCGACCAATTTTGGATAAGAGTCTGCGAACACTGATGATGGCGGGCAAATACAGTATGAGCTAGTTGTGCAGCTGTCTTTGAAGTGTCATGACCGTCTGGCTGTGATTGGACCACGGGTGAAAGCCTCGTCGGTTCGCCGAAGGCAAGTAAACTTAAGGCTGAAGAAGGTCTGTGCAGGTGCGCTAACAAGACGAACTCTCGGCCGTTCTCCGCACACAACACCAACACCACAACTGCTTTCACCATCACCACCCGCTACCTACTTCACTTGCACCGAGTATATTGATCCCCTTGCCACGGCGCAGCCTCTGCGTATCTATATCCGTTTGCGGGCCACAACAAGCATGAACGTCATCAACCAACACTTCGCACCCCCTCCTCACCTGCTAAACAACCGCCTCTCGCCTTCCCGCTCTAGTAGGCCCCCAACCCACCCCCTATCCCCCCGCAACAAGCTAACTATTGCGTCCCCATAGTCCTGTCGTCGTCGAATACCATGTCTAGCAGAAAGCGCAAGGCGGACGACGAAGGCAGCGGCGGAGATGATGATCGCATGTCCGCATCCCCTTCTGGGTCTCCTGCTGTAGCAGCACGCCCTCTCCCACGTCACTCCACGAAACGCATGCGCACAAACGTTTCCGGCCGTCCGCTTCCCCTACCACGACTGCTTGAGACGCTAAGTGCGGACGAGATGCGGCACCTCCTGCAATCCATCTGCCAGCGCCACCATGACATCGGCACCGAAGTTGTCTCTACCGCTCCACGGCCGAGCGTCCAGTCAACACTGGAGACTCTAGGCAGATACCAGTCCGCTTTCCAGGCTGCATTTCCTTTCGGAGGGCGGCCGTCGTCGGACTACTCTTACAATCGTGTTCGCCAAAATCTCATCGAGCTTCTTGACGCCCTGAAGGACTTCACGCCCCACTTCCTGCCGCCCAACGAGGCCCAGCCTGCAACGTCGCTAGCATTCCTTGATGGCGCTACTGAGATCATTCATCGTCTTCCTGACTGGGACACGTATCAGCACAACCGGCATAAGGCGGAGGCGTATGAAGAGATGGCAAAGGCATGGGCAGCAGTCATCCGCGAGGCAGTGAAGCGCGCTGGTGGCATACAGTTGCAGTACGGCAACTGGGATCAGAAGATGGCGAAGCACAATGAGGAGTCAGGCGGCCGCATGCAAGAGGCGGTCAATGAGCTGCGTGGAAGCTTGGGCTGGACGGGTAGCAATGCGCCGACGACGGTCGCAGGTGGGCCTGCCGATACTATATCTATCCGGCAACAGTTGCTGAGTGGAACCTATGGTATGGGTGCGCCTGTGCGAGTTGGCCCCTGGTAACGGACTGAAATGTCTGGCGAGTCTGCAAAGGGCGATGTCGGTATTGATAGAACACGGCAGACACATGGAAAGACAGTAACAGCTGGAGGGATACTCGCTCGCGATTGCCGTGATATTGGATGAGCATAGGGAGTCATCTGCTCATTACAATTTCCCATATTGCGTCAAACACTGCGGATATCGTCGTGGCATTGCATAGCGTATGCACGTTTAGGAAGGGATACCACATTTTGGAGTGCAAACAGTTTTGTCCACTTCCATGGGAGGAGGTTTTCACGATAACGACCCTGGCTTTCATTCGATGCATAGCGTGTCTATCTATTCGTTCATCGGGAATCTTTAGTGTCCCTTACTTCCTAGGGTTTTGGGCGTACAGACGAGGGCCTGAGTTTCGCCCTCTATGTCGTCGGCGTAATCTCTTTGCAATCGATATACTCATGGGTGGGCGGTTGGCAGTATGTTCGGGAGGGTTATCTCTAGCTTCAATGATAGACCTTATTTGCGTATTATATGCTGTGTTGCTGATGGCTGACGTTGGGAGGGTTTGACGCTAGCGTATCAATCTTCCAGACACGGCCTGCAGTGCTCGTGGTGAGCTGGTGGGGTCACGTGATGGCGTGTTCAGCACGATTAGAAGCCTCAAGTTTCACTTCCCCTCATCGCATCTTCTCGTCTTTTTATCCACCTCCTCTTCTGTCCAACCCTCGTTTCTACCACTTCTTCCTCGTTGGATTAGCCAGTCATTATTAATACCCTTTCTAGACGTGATGGCGATATTGAACGACCAACCGGGACACCAGGTCGAGATCCTCGTTGACGGTTCGCCGCTCCCGGAGTAACATGACGATGAAGAAGAGCAAGGACCGGACGCGGTCACCAAATACATTGAGTCCAAAACTGGCTCAGAATTTCAAGTGCGTTCTAGCTTCCCTCGCCCTTTCCCTGGCACTACGGTTTTGGTCGACATTCACCTTGATGGAAGACGTGTGTGTGGTACTTTCGCCCACCAAGAGTGCATGGCTGGCGCTGGATGTACCATTATACAAAGTGGTGTGCCCTCATATGCTCGTGATCAATGGTTTGAGCGGACCTTTTGCTTCGCAGAGCTTACAATCGGTAAGACCCGACGAATCTCCGGGTTATGCACCCTCCTCCCAAAGCAGGTATGTTAACATTCAAGACCAGATGACTCCGGTATTCTCCCAGTTAGGGACAAACTCAAGAAGACATTGGATAGAATAGGGGAGATCTCAGTCTATTTCTACAAGACAAGGAATCTTCAACAAAAAGACAGCCACACGTTCAACGGGGCAGATATCTCAACGGTTGGAACGATCTCGGAGAAGGTCCTCAAAGGCAAAGCACTTTCACACGAGGTTAGGTAAGCGGATGGTATCCATTACTTGTCCATGATAGAAACTAACATCAAATCCAGCTTACAGAAGCCGCGGCAAATACGAAATCGGACTGTATACGAGTTCGAGTACATTCAACCGCAGAAGGAGCCATTTGCCTCTTTCTGCTTTAGATATCGCTCCCGAAGTGTGTTTTAAATGCCCTATTTCTCGTAGTTCGACGGCTCACAATGTGGACCTCCAGTTGCCTTGAAAGCGCTCTGCATTATCCCTCGATCGTCAAGTCCGCTTCCCCTAGAAGACAGACCGGTCGAAGATTTGACACTGGAGGAAGCCAGGGAGCTTTTGTGGCGTCAACGTGTGAGCCTTACTGTAGTGTCTAAAGATTTTGAGTACTAACTCTAATGAAGCGAGATGCGGCTGCACGCATGAGGCAAGAAGGCGTCAAGAGGGAACACCCAAAAGATGACGGCAACGAAAATAATGGCAAAGGTGACGAGGTGACGTTCGTGAGCGTGAAACGTCGCAAGTTACCGCCCACCCCCAATAAAGATAGAGTGGAGGTCGTCGACTTAACGTGAATCACTGTCACGATGGGTCCTCATGTTCAGGGCAGATCAGGGTGGAGATTATGGCCGGGCGGTTTTCAATGGCACTTCGCCTCGGCCCCCTCGGAGTGACTTCGTCCTTGATTCAGCGTTTCTAGTGTCTGATACCTTCTCTCTTCTCGCAATCAATGACGGATTGGTACTTGGCGTCATTTTTGCTAAAAGGTTATAGAGTCAGATTTTGCAAGGACTTGCCAGCAACGCAGCCATCCGTCAGTATACAGGCGTGCAACACTGCAGTACATCAAATTTAGTACTAGTTAGTAAGCATAGAGGTGGTTATCAGTACAGTAACTGTATGTGAGGCCCTTTCACTAGCCGTTTACGGTAGTGTGTATGGATTTTGGGTGGAGTAGAGGTGCCTGTGTAGCTGCATGAGGCGCCTTAGGGTAGCCAGAAATTAATGCAGATTATGCTAATCCAGCGTGTTTTATTAGCAATCTTCTAAGAACTCCACAACACTGTAACCTAGCCCCTCTATACACCTTATAATGTTACTTTTCTTAGTACGTTACCCGCCAGCCTTGAGCCTCTCAGCGCATTAGAACTCAGTCAGTCGATCTGCCTCTGAGAAGGCGCCTGTTCACTATCCTGCCGCGTTTCACACATAACAATTAGGGCTATAGAGCTACAAAAGAACTAGCTACGTAACAAGGTACTAAGCACTAAGCTAACTAAGCTAGCAGAGTACACTAAAATAGTGAGGAACGTAGCTTAAGAAGAGGGTTGATTTACTTCTGTACCTACTAATACTTCTTAATTAGGTTAGATACTCTGTAAACAGCCCGTTATACTCCGTACACTACAGTAAAATCTATCAATTCATCCGTTATGGAGTACTAATAGTTACCCTCCCTCTCTACTCAGTACAGTTAGCACTTACAAGCAGGTTAAACAATACAGAACAACAGACGGCCTCAAATCTACTCCGTTGCATACGGATGGCCGCACTACTTACCGGGGCTTACTAGGGCCTTTTCAGTAGTGGGCTAGTCAGCGAATGACACTATCATATACATTAAACAGAATCTCCTGTAGGTCGACAGGACATCCCATTAATGGATATTTCTTTCCTTCTGATTACTATTGGTTCTCCACCACTTTAAAATTACAATCAACGCAGATACTCTCATAGCCGAATTTCCTATCAAACGCTAACCCGTCTGTTCTTCTTCCTTCTTTCTTCCTTCTTCTGTTCATCTTTTCCCAGATCACCTTCAACTTCTCTCGTTCTCCGTAGCCTTCAGCCACAATAGTAATCTTTCCTTACGTGCCTGAGCTCGAGGTGGTTATCGTCGTCGACGGGGCACCCCTCGGTGGACATGATAGTGACGAGCACTAGACTCAGCAGTACCAGCAAACGCGGTCACGATAAATCTTGAGGTTCCTTCAGGTACTCTGTTCGCAATCAGATACACCTTCAATCCTCCATTCTCACCTACCTAGATCATTCATAGGAGGCTGGCATTGAATGAACGGTTACACTCCCTATATTGGCTTGACGCTTCCTTGGAGATGGAAAGTTACATCTGTTCCAGGCCCAGCGTCTGGCGTAGAATCTAAGGAATATATCTCAAAGTTTCGCTTGTATGGACCGACGACAAGAAAGAGCACAGCGAGATGAATGATTAGCTAGTGGATGCATTCAGTGTACCCAGAGACGAGATATGTAAACAGCTTATCGAAATCCCATATAATCTACTGCCGCAACCTAAACAATCGGGAATAAATTATGCATCTGAATAGTCTAACTTAGCACACCATTGTAGACAGTTTCGATCCCTATTTTTCCAGTGACCCAACACCGGGCAAAGCACTGGTTCAACAACAGGTTGGTATCATCCATCCACTTGCCATGCAGCCTTCCGGGGCCCTCAACTTTCATCAAACCTGTTGATGATCAAAATTGGAGCATCTTACAATATATTGTTGATGGCTGTCAAAGGTAAGCATTGGACCCGAGGGAATCTGGACTGACTTGGATTATCTTGACCCATTCCGGATATGCTCTAGCAACAAAAACACGTACCTGGTATTAGCATCCCAAGGATACCTTGTAAGATTTCATGTAACTGGACAGCACGGAATTCTGACTCTTGATCCTAACAGATCTACAAATGAGACTGACGAACCACCTAGCTATCGCGGCGATGAACTATGGATCCCCGCCCGCAAAGGGAATGGTGATGAAGGTTACTACGTCGATAAATCGGTGGCCTTGCTTCAGTCCATTACCGGAATTTCCTCTTGAATCCGCACAAAAATTCTATACTAAACAATTGTTGCAACACCACGGCCACTGGCTCGACATCAATGATATCTCTTCATGTTGCATCAGTAGCTGTGGCTCACCCCTTCCACACCTTAACCTAGTTCAGGCACCGTTCAAATTACCTATTGAGTATGGGCAAATCAATCATGATTAACAGTCATTTGATGTCACATCTGCAAGTACCGTATCTACCTCCCCAGCCTCCACCTGTCCAACTCTGAGCACAGCAGCTGGGACGCCAACTGTCACTCTCAATACTCTAACACCCTGTGTAAAGAATATTACGTTCCAGCCATGTGCACTAAATCTTACCCTTTACGGTCACTCCTGAGAAAATGAAGCTTTTGCGCTGCATGCAGCGCACAATGACTACTACAATACCACAGAATATGGCTTACACAATCGATACAGCTACGTCAGCGAAAACGCAACGGATCACTCCCTTCTCGATATATATCCTAGGAAGCGTCCCTTCTTCCTCTCTAGACCTATATCAGCTGGAAGTGGGAACTTGACTGGCCACTAGGGTGACGACACCAATTTTCGTTGGGGAACCATTCGTATAACTATCCCATAAGCCTTTATTTTAGTGTTGCCGTTGTTCTATACTTTGGTGTCGAAGCATGCGGGCTTACTAGTACCACGGATATGGGGCTTTAGATGCACTGAATGCAGAGCGCCTCCTCCCCTCTTTATTGCAACCAAAATTTGCAGAATACAAGAGCACAAGAAGACTTTCGTTGCGCTACTACTGCGAAACGAACAAGACTAGCCCTACCCGTACGATTTTCTCTCTTCCCGTACTGGTACACTATCTTCTATAAAGACTATGCAGAAGTCGCTCCGATATTGCATGCTCTAGCGTGGTACTTTCTTCACGAAGAGCTTCTAAGAGCAATTGACAACCAGTTCATGCTTGGTCTCAGGATCCTCATCACCACTACCCTAGCCCCTATCCTTCGAGCCTCCCCAGGAGTCTTCCTAAGTATTGGCCAAGGAACGAAATGGTATACTTACAACGACATCAAATACTCAAGCGGATATAATGTCACGCTCGACACACCACCAGTGCACATTCCTGTGAATGTCAAGACTAGTAGCATTATTCTGAGCCAAATGCCGGAAGAAGATGACGGCAATCAATCCTCGGAATTCGGTTATAGCGCTAGATGAGGAGGGAAAAGCGGAGAAAAATTGTATTTGGGTGACGGCGTTTGCCTCGGGCCGGCGCGGGCCCAGGAGATCAAGCAAGACCCCCTTCGTATGGCTTAAGGTATCATCTGGCTGCGTAACATAGTTTTCGTTTGCTGATTAGACCCCTTTCGACTACTAGTACCACCGCCTACAAGGACTTGAATCCGCTTGCGAACATTACGATTGCGGGACGGGGTGGTAGCGTCTGTGGCGGAGTGTTGGCCACAAAAGGTGGGAAGAAACTAGACGTATAGGAAGTTTGTGCCTAGGTAGGAAATGGAGGTGGTCTTAGTAGATTTAAAGGTATTTTAATCCGCAGGACCGATCCTAGATGTTAATCGATTTGAGAAGGCATTTTCGTGTTCATTCTTTCAACATTTTTGTCCAAGGGGTGCTCTTGGAGCAATTTAGTAGTTCGAAAACTAGCTTAGACCTCGTTCATAGAGGTTTCCTTCATCGCGTATATTGGACTTTGTATGAAATTCCTCACAAAAGATCTGTAGAAATAGATACAAGTTACATATCGACACAATCTCGTATCATATCTCACACTGGCCCTCCTGCGAGGTGTACCCCAAATTGCCCCACATGGAGACTGCGGGGGAAAAACATTAGGTACACCCCGCATTTCGAGTCTACATTCAACGTGAATATATACATGACATGTGCAGAGGTTTATTCAACGAAACTTGCACTAACGCGTCAATTCCTACCTCGTTAACCCCAAAAAGTACAACATGGATCCGGGCGAATTCGGCTACTCCACGCTCCCTCTCCAACATGACCCCTATCCAGCCATATCACCTGATACATTGAAAGGCGCGAATGGAGGCAAAGTCGCCGTCGTAACGGGTGCTGGGAGGGGCATTGGTGCTGCCATTGCAGAATCTCTTGCCATGTCAGGAGCAGATGTTGCAATACTCGACCTTAAGGTCGAAAATATGGCGCAGACGAAGGAAGCATGTAAAGCCCATGGGGTGAAAGTTGAGGCTTACGCTTGTGATGTCTCTGATCAAAAGGCGGTTGTTGAGACGTTTGATAGCGTTGAGAAGGAGCTAGGTCCCATTGAGTGAGTCTCAGACGCATGTGTTTAATTAGTTTCGTGACCTAATGCGAGGTAGAGTACTGGTCAACAATGCTGGTATCCTAGATCAAAGACCTCTCATCATGTCGACTTTTGATGACTTCTGGCGTCAGATTGAGGTCAACTTCAAAGCGGTATATCCCCATTCTCCCTTCTCCTTAGGTGATTCGCTCATTTTAATGATGCCAAAAGCCCCTACTCACAATCCACACCATGCTACCTCGGATGCGTGAGCGAGGTGGCGGATGCATCATCAACATTGCGTCGAGAAGCGGCACTGTAGATGTACCAATGGTAAGAAATCCCTTGTACACATTTGTTGTCCTATTTCATACTTACTACAAGCGTCTGAGATGCTACCTAGGTGGTGTTTAGGATAGGCACAGTGTGTTTTGAGACTGAACATGGATGGAACAAACCCCCCTTTCAAAATATTTGCTGACTTATGACTCCACGTTGGTAGACGCTAGGCTATGTACGTATCTTCGCATCTTTCCCTTGGGTTTCCTGCCTGCTAATGATATCAAATGAAGGTTACTTCGAAAGCTGCTCTCATCCGGGCTACACATACCCTGCAAATGGAGATGGCTCTAGACAACCTCGATCCAGCCATCCATCTCTATGCTCTGCATCCTGGTGGCGTGCTCACTGGAATGGGTGGATGTACGTCCATTAGTCCTCCTTGCTTTGTTCTTCCTGCACAACAAGTTTCTGGAATCTGGGAACACAGCTGATAACCCGAACCTAGCGGCGGCAAAAAAAGACGTCCTTGAAAAATACGGGGATGTGCGAGACGAGAAATTCTTCATGGAACTTTTCAAGGATCCCCCAGCACTATGCGGGCAGACGTGTGCATTTCTAGCGTCGGGAAGAGGCAAGGATTTGAGAGGACTGTATTTAGGTATGTCATCCATTTCTTATAAGAATTAGAGTGATCGGCTAAAACAATCAGACTGTCGGCAAGATGTGACGAAGCTTCTAGAGAAAGGAAGAGAGACATTACTGAAAGAGAAAAGAAACAAACTGACCGTGAACTTCTTGGAAGGATACTGCAATGAACCCTAGTTAGAGGGATTGGCGAGACACAGAAATGGGGCGAGGCCATGGATGTTTTGACAAGAGGTTCAGCAGCACCCACACCTATCAGTGGATTTAGATTAAAATACTGAGATGTGGGCAGATAGGCACATTCATTAACATAGGTGCTTCGTGTGTTTATCCCCTCACTCACAAGGGACCATGTTGCTGCTTTCCCTCTAAAGGTCATGTTATGAATTTCTGTGGCATCTGGCTGGGTCTGCACGGCACAGTTTCTCCCTGCTGAGACCTTTGCCGCTTTCAGTAATTACAGCCAGTCGAATTTTCGGCAGTTAGGTTCTCTGTGGTGGCCTAGTTTCGGGTCCTTTCAAAAGCGAAAACCACTAGGCAGTACCTTAGGAAAATGTGCTCTGAGTTATAAGTATCTTTGATTCTTTTGATTCCAGCTAAATCTCTTCTGAGTAAGTATAGAATGAATTCCAGTACGCTGCCATATTGGATTGCCGTAGTCTTCTACTTCTTGTCACATGTTTTCATTCGGATTCTCGATTGATACACCGATATTAGCCTGCACTATCGGGGATGGATGAGCGTGTTAGACAGCCAACCGAAGATATGGTCTGAAAGTGGAGCCTTCTCACTGGTCTCATACAAGACTCACTAATGGCTCTAAAGCTTCCTCCTCAAACCCCAAAGCTTGCTAGATATGTCATCCTTTCCATGTCAGGAAAAAAAAGGCATACTGCGAGAACAAGAAGTGAAGTATAGCATTCAATCCGAATGAGACTTAGTCGCAAGGATAAATGTGAAGATTCATTTTTAATTTATGAGACATTGTAGGTGAAGGCTTAGGGATGCGTTGAGTTTCGAAGAAATTTGATGGTCATTAGTCTGACTTCTTGCTGTATTAGTATGAGTAACGTTATTCTCAATAAATTTCGTCCTAATACCTTTCAATACTTATATGAACTTGGGGCATGGATCTTTGCATGATTTGATTGGGACTCTAGTGTAGCCACCCTTGCAAAAGTAGATACCCTTCTATCCAAATTGTACGGGAGGGCATTAAAGTGCGGCAATTACATTAGGCATAGCTCTTCAGTGGAGACTCTCTTCCAAGTTGCGTTGATATAGGAATCCAATCGCTGCTAAGAGAACACGCTTCATCAGCTTTCAAACAGCTAAGACGGAATAACTCCGTATTTGCAAGGGTAACTCATCGTTGAAATCTACCGAAAAGCATGCCTAGCCTCTACGCTAAGCTACCCATCAATAAGACTCTCATTGGCCATCACCCTTCTTCAAATTCATCAGCACCTGCTCCAGAACTTTCCGAGCGGAGCATCAGTTGACATGAATCTAGCGATCATGGTAATTTGGAAGTGTATGAAGTGGAATTAGGGGTAATAATTGTGTGACTCATGATCTTTTGGAAACATTATTGTCTTCTCTTGCCGTGGCCCCTTCTTCTGCTTGTGGAATTCAATTAGCGCTAGCATCGTAAGCGCTAGTGCAGCTTTACTACCAATGCCGGCATGCTTAGACCCCCTTTTCTTGCTTTGTTCGAAGTCAGGTGCCCAGAGGAATCACCAGAGGCGTGTACCATGTCAGACAGTTTCCTTGGTCTCTACATGGTCGCTACTGATACTTTCTGGCCTTTTCTTCTCACCTATATGAATTTCCGCTCTCACGATACGCTCGTCTGCCTCGATGTACTCGGCTGGCCTCTCTAGTTGTATGGCGACCTTGTTCCGATGGATGAAGATATCTGGTTTGCTCTCAAAGAACCGATCGATGTCCTCAAGGGTCCTGTTTGTGCTCGTTAGAGCTCATAAATTTGTTAGACTAAATATTTGAGTCTCACCTGTTTGCTGTTTCTGGATAGAAAAAGTACGTGATAGGTATGAAGGCGAAGCAAATGACAGCCCAAATAATCCAGAATCGCCAGCCAAGATTGTTAATACCAGGCAACGTAACCTGAACAACCATGTAGTTCATAATCCAGTTCGTACTCATTGCTACAGGCCCAGATTCAGCCATAGCAAATGAAATCTCGGGGTGAGGGAGTCTTACCTAGTGATGCCCCTTTCGTTCTCATCTCTAGCGCATTTATCTCTGCTACAGTGGATATTTTAGTATCCGCGAATTGGGGGAAGCCACTGGAAACCCTTACTTGGATATAGCCATGGTACACCTAGCACGCCCATTCCAAAGCTGGCAAAGAAGATAAAGAAAAAGGATACCGCTACAATGCCGAGCTTATACTCATCACCGCCATTAGCAGAGAGGCCGAGTGCAATTGAAATGACGATCCAACAAGTGGAACATGCGGCTGCAGAACACATCATGACTTTTCGACGACCAAATCGCTCCTACGCTGTAGCATCAGCCCGGCCGCAAAAAGGCTAAGCGGCGAGTAAATACTTACGATGACGAAGTAAGCCAGACATGCGAAAATAAGGTAATCTACAGACCCAGCGGCCGCAAGAATGCGGCTCAGCAACTCCGAAATATTGAGAGCGTTGATGAAGATGTAGCTCATGTAGTAACTACCAAGGTGGATGGGTAGTTAGCATGAGCTCTATTTGTAGGGTATAGGAGTGGAAGTTTAGTAAGAGTAACTCAAGACTGATACGGATATTGTCCATTGAACTGCAACTTGAGCCGTGCCTCAGAATGGGGTTGCTAGCATCGGCTTATGGCCTGGTATTTGTGGTAGGGGATGGTCTGGAATTAATACCGTACCTCGTCACGTTAATACCAGAAATTTGATTCATAGCTTGCATCCAAGCACCGAGGATCATCCGACGTAAGACGCCTGAGGGTCCACGACCAGTGAGAAGTTGTCCCCATGTATAGGTGGATATGTGTTCTCGATCCAAGATTTCCTTGATAATGTTGAACTGCGCATGCACCGATGGCGAATCTAGAGTTGCTCCATGACCTTCCAATGCAGCCAGAACCTCGTAAGCCTCCTCGTACTTTCCTTTGCGGATGAGGAGGCGCGGAGAGTCCGGCAAGAATGGGCACAAAGCATAGATGCAAAGTGTGAAGAATATCTGGAAGGCGAGTGGAAAACGCCAGGCTACATCTCTTGGAGCAAAGGAGAAGCCCAACGTTAGCCAATTCGATATGGAGAAGCCAGTAATGCAATTTGCTGCTGCTATTAGTCTGGAGATTCAAGGCGTAGCAAGGATAGCCAGACATACCCATCTGAATGATGACCAACTTACCCCTACTCCTCATTTTGCTTGTCTCGGCCTGCCAAACACCTGCGGTAGCGGTGTTCATTCCAGTTCCAAGACCTGCAACAATCCTGCCAACCATCATTTGCGCCACGGTTGAACTCGCGGTCTGAATGATAGCGCCAATGGCAATAACGGTAGACCCAAGCAGAATCTGGCGTGGACGGCCCAAAGGATCCCCAGTCCAGATCGTGGACATGGCTCCAATGAAGCAGCCGATATTGTATATACTTGTCATGACACCTTGCATGTTGGCGGAGGGATAGTCAAATGTTTCAAGAAAATTCTCGTTGATGATGACATTACCAAACACCCCTACGCACCATATTAGCTTCCTTTGTTATTTTCCTTGATTCCGCGAACCTTGATCGTATCCGTAGAATATCAAGACAGTACTGGCGGCGATACTGATCCAAACAGTAAGCCTTTCCCCAGACCCTCCAATATACTTGCGTGGCATGACTAGCTGCTTGGTAGACGTGCGTGAACAAGGTCCAGTGAATGGATAAAAAATCGTGTCAGACAAGACTGAAGTTTTAGATCTACTCAAGAAAGCATCCAAAGAGCGTCCGGTTCGACGGCGGTGGCCCCTTTTATGTTGATTCATATCCCACTCCTCACACATGGTATTCTCTCCACGCCCCCAGCTTCAATAGGTACCCCAGAATCCATAAAAGACCCACTTATGCGCGTGCTACTCGCTTTTGTGTCTCCCGAGGCTCTAACTCATCCTAAACGGGCAAGGATAGGCAAGGAAGAACAAGGCCCAAGGGAAGGAGACCTGCATAGTTCAGGGCGTGATGATGATGGTGCAGGGACGTTGAGGTACACAGCGGAGAACTGACCGTTCGGCATACCTTCTCGGGGAAGCGCGGCTAGGCATTAGTAGTGGGCATGGAAGGTCTGCCGAGGGCTGGGGATTTGGCAGGTGTGGCGAGTGCGGAGTCGCCACGTGAGTTCTTCCGTCAAACGGACTCTCTTTCCTCGACTCGATGGAACCACAACTTTGTCAACCAGCTATTATTCTCGGTATCTCTGAGAAAATGTCTTCAATATACCTCGAGCACGAAAAGCATTTTTGGGAGCCCTAAACTCTTGATGAACAGCGCCTGAGTATTCTCCTTAGACATTAGCAGGAAATTCGGGGAGATTAGCCTGTATTCGAGCACTCATAGTTAACTTTCCAATACTTTTGACGTCTTCCAGATGCTTTTCTTAGTTGGCCCATTGCTCAGGTTGTCCTTCTTAGTCATAAGGGCCTCATGATGCTTTTCGTTTGTACTATTATCTATCTCTTGAAGCGATAATTAGAACAAAGGCTCTGGTATATGTGTTTAATATTGGGGAATGGAGACTACTGTTTGTTGGTATTTAAAGAACGAGGGTTTAGTATCGTTTTGGTAAGAGAGATCCTACCAGCTGCATCTGATAAATGACTATGGAGTGTAATGATTGATTGGGTCCACCCGTCTGATCTTTTCATAATGCTGGGAACCTTCTCACGTCTGATGAAAGTATACGAGATGCACTACCAGTAAGAACAGTCACACAAGCACCATGAAGAATACAAAGCCATCCTCTAGTCCGTAGAGCAACCGGGCATTCTTAATCCAGTTGAACAGATATTTCCTACATACGCTCAAGGCACCGAACGGATTCAGTTCGATGAGCTGAGTCATGTTTCCGGATTCCAACGAGAAGTCAAAAGTAAAGCCAGACGGCACCAAAAGCTGAAGTCGATTCATCTAAAAAACTGTCGGCATGATTGGTGAGTTGGAGGAGAATTCTTTCAGCGTTATTACGCACGATGTAGGCAAGTTTCCCCACATCCATGGCCTCGGGCATGACAAAGGGTTTCATCCATCTGTACTATGAAATTTTTTTTAAATTTAGATATCTTGTAAAAACTGTTTTCGGAAGTTAGTGTGCAGATTATACGACTTAGCAATGTTAAGAATCTAGTTAACTGCTTTCGTATACAACAAATACCTTTTGTCACGGAGATGCTACAAATAAGAGACAATAGCCCAAAAAGGAGCACTAGTAGATTTGACGTACAGTATCCAGTAAAGATCCAAGATGTTGCGTGAGGAAAGGGGAGGTTGGACAGGTTCGAATTTGAGCGTTGGTGCCGGGCCGATGCGCAAGCATGTGATTAACATTGGGTGTTCGGAGGAAGACTCCTCCAATGGCCCTATATGGCGATGGGGTGGCGTCACAAGTCAATACAGTGAAACCTTTCATCTAAAACCTGCGGTCTAACTGTACATCTGTATCTTGTCACCTAATGGGGGATATAACAGGTAATGCAAGAGAGACGGTTGCATCCAGTTAACCTTCTCTCTGATTACAGTAGGAGTTTTAACTGATAAACTCTACCCCAAGTGTATTCCATGTTGGGTGATATCGTGCTCTATAACATTTCTTCTTACCGCGTCAGTAATGCAAAACTGTACAATTGACATAAATCTTCCAAGGACGAGGTGGAAAAATTAGACAAAGTATCCAAGAAATGGCAGCAAGGAATATTGATCGGGCTTAGGGTGTCGAATTAAAGATGTTAGAGCATCATCCTACCCTTGGACCCAGTCTATCACTCTCCCACAAATTGTCGCGAGGTTCAGATCCAGATATACCAGGCGCACCATCCATTCCCGAGGACGCTCTGTGCGCGCCTCCATTGAAACCTATCGGCTCCTGCACCCACCTATCACTCATTTTAAAACCATCTCTTCCGAATCTGCCCCATTCGTCTTCGCTGCCGAGCATATTGTTCAAGTCCATTGGGCTCAGGTGATAAGTCCTCGGGAGTAAAGGAACGCCTACCCCTTTGATGGGTGTCCAGAACAGCTGTTCAGCCGTGGTTGTGGTTGTCATGGGAGAAGATGTGCTCGATGCGTACTGTAACGAGGTGCTAGTATTATGCTGTCTGATCATCGAAGCTTGGGCCGCGGGGACCTGAGTGGGATGACCATGTTGCTTATGCTGAAGCAGCGCGAACATGGGCAAGGATTCCCACCGAACAGATGAACCTGGTGGTTCCACCCCTTCGCACCCATTTGTGGATATATCCCTAGTTAACCGTTTCATAGAAGCTGTGACGAGACTACCCGTAAGTGGAGAAATGCCTATCGTGTCCTCTCTAGGGATGAGTTTGCTGTTCTTAAGAGCATCGGGGAAGGGGAGGTTCCAAGTTTTGGCCAACGCATGAACGATCTTGAATGAACGTGCACCAAAATAGTGACAGGTAGAGAGCTCTTCGAGTGCTTGTAGGCCCTCAAGCAAACCGGCTGCGCTGGTCTCGTAATCCTTGGAATAGAGAAGGTGTACGATGCAAACGGATAATAATATATGTGTTAAGATGAGATGGCCGCACCGCAGTTTGTAATGCTGCCGATAAAGGCGAAGGAACTCGGATATTTTGTTCGCCGACCCGATGCACATCTCTCTTGGTCGAATATCGGAATGAATGAGGTCATACTTAAGCAACGGTCTAAATAGGTGCAAGATGATAGTATAATAGTACATGCTGCGAACAGTTAGCAGAGTAATGGTATATTGATTACATCAGCACATACTGAAGGACTACGATATGTGGCTGAGGTTCAATGTTGGGATTATCTGGAACACGAAGAGGTGGTGGCAGATTATTGTACCAAGTCTGGTACCTCTTATAGGTCTCAATAAGGCGTCGGTCTGTGAATCGATCTTTCGGGGCAAAGAACATGTAGTTGTTGTCATTCACAAGCTCGGACAAGGCGCTAAAGGCTTGAAGGAACATGCGACTCGTGACCGTCACAAACTCAATGTGATGAGAATTATGGTGGCAAGTGCCATAATTACCTGTCGTGATTGGTTCGTCGAGTATTGGTTTGTCTAAGTTGATGGCTGCTCTTGGAAGTTGAGTTATCCTCCCGATACATACCGACCAGGCCCTAGCAATCGTGTCATCAGCGCGATAGCCTTTGCGTCAAACCAAGCGCAACTTACGTATCCACCACAAAGCACCCCCAGAAAGTGACTTTGCGGACTTCAATTTCTGAGGAGGTCAGTTGGAAAGGGGGGCAGGCTGAAGTCTGTAGATGCAGGCCGAGCTCAACAACCATTCGTATACACCGTCCGATGTACATAAATCCTGAGCTATCACGCCCAGCAGAGGGCTCGCGCATCGCCATGACGCAGAGTGCCTGTGTAGTGGTAATAGAAGGGCTCTCATCCTCAAAGAGCAGCCTCCTGGCCTCTGCGAAGAAGTGATCGCCGGCTGTACGCGGGTTTCCGGGGTCCAGGCGCGCGCGTGGTTCGTCGGAGAAATGGCAGGCATATGCTAGGAGGGCATTGACCAGCAGAGGGCTGCAGTATTTCTGGCGCCCACTGCGGAAGTCTTTGTAGAAGCACTCCCGTGAGAAGATGATATAGAAGGGATGTGACCACATAAAGTACAGCTCTAGCAATCGATTGACAAAATGGATGTCGTCGGTCACGGTGGTCCATGTGCCGTTTCGGTGCCTTTCGGGAAAGACCGTGGGGACACGTGAGCACGTGTAGTTTTCATCTTCGGGAACCAACCCTAGACTAGAAGTGTGTCCAAAGTGCCTCGACTCGCCTGTTCGGGTAGTGGCAGGCTTCCCAAGTAGGAGGGAGAGATCTCCCTCGAGGGAATGCTTGGCCGACGTGGTTGTGTGTGGCAGTGTCACCGTCGTCTTCTTCCACGATTCGGCGAGCGATGCAAGGTCAAATGGATCCTTCTTGATATGCCGTATAAGCTCATAGACTTCCCGCTCGGGGAGCGTGCGTATCAAATTAATGATGAAGTCGGCACTGTCGCTGGTGGTAGCGGTCACAGTGAGGCTGTCGCGCTTCTGCGCTGTGGCCTTGGTGCGACGGCTTTCGGTCTCAAGGTCGTAGAAGCAGTCTGTCTGGTACACAGCAGTGCACGTTGCACAAACTGGGGTGCCTCCATCGCACTATTTGTCAGAGTTGTTAGTGAAGGAGGATAAGGTACTGGGCATGCTGTACCTTAGACTTCCGTTTTCTGCATGGAACACAGGCAGATTGTACACACCTCCGTTTGTTTCCCTTGGGCTCACCCTGGCCCTGCGAAGTGGATGAGGAGGTACTTTGTTCCTTTACCACTGTGGCGCGGGCCATTCCCGTAGCTCTGTCTGAGGGATGCAATAATGGTAACAGAGAGGAGTCTCGCGGATCATGGCATATCTAGGCACTCACACACTTTCTGGGATGCTGGCAACCATATGGCATCAGCTAGGGAAAGAGGCAAGACAGCAACCATGACGGTAAGGCATTAAAGCTTCTACACCCGCCACACGCCTCGGGAGAGTGGCCGAGGAGATGCACACTGCGGTGGTCAGTGCTTCCAGCGATTAGAGAAGTGAGGCGTCGGCGAAATTATTTATTCAGGCATCCGTCCAATAACGTGCAGGCCTCGAAGTTCAACGCTCGTTGCTGCCGACACCGGCAGACTTCTGCTAGCGGCGCGGGTATAACTACAGAATGTTATCACACAACATGGAACATGATTAGGGAAGAGTCTACTCATTAAAACTTTTGCTGGAATCAGGGATAACATTAACAGGATATAAATTTCTGTCCTCCTAAATCACCCCTCTATCGTGTTCCACCTTTGGCGACAAAGTTGCAGCATGTTGTACCCCAGTAAACAATATATTATTGCTGTGACTTCAGTGCCGGCAGGAGGCTCCGAGCCATCTGTCGCGCCTGCTGCGCGAGTACTGCGTCTATCACTACTAGCGCTGCCATGGACTCAACGATGGGCACGGCCCGGGGTACGACGCAGGGATCGTGTCTGCCTTTCGCCTCGAGCACGCCTTCATTCTCGTCGTACGTTGTGGTGTTCTGCGCCTGCCCAATCGTGGCTGGTGGCTTGAATCCCACGGTGAAGTAGATGGGAGCGCCATTAGAGATGCCGCCCTGGATGCCCCCGCTGTTGTTGGTCTTGGTGGTCAGACGCGGCCGCGGGACTGACGGGGATGTGCCTGTGTGCAAGGCGGGCACTGAAGGCGCTTTGATGAACGGGTCGTTGTGTATTGAGCCAGGTACCTGGCAGCCGCCGAATCCTGACCCTATCTCGAAGGCCTTTGTGGCAGGAATGCTGAGCATTGCATGCGCAAGCGTCGCCTCGAGCTTGTCAAAGCAAGGCTCGCCCAGCCCGCTCGGGCAGTTCCGAATCACGCAGGTCACGGTTCCACCTATGCTATCTTGGCGGTCTCGAAACTCTGCCACGAGCTTCTCCATGCGCTGACTGCTCTCCTCGTTTGGACACCGCACCGGGAGGAACGAGTCGACCGTCTTTCGATCGATTGTCTCGATCAGCTTGAGAAACTCCGGGTTCGTAGATGCAGTGCGGTGAGCCAGGGTTGGTGGAAAAAGGAATTCGTTCCCAATCGAGGCCACAAAGGCCACAATTTCGACGCCGTACGCCTCGCGGAGGTACTTTTCGGCAATGGCGCCCGCTGCCACACGCCCTGGACAAGCGTTAGATCCCACAAGGTCTGAATGCGACCCGGAATGCTTCACCAATTGTCTCTCGCGCGCTACTCCTTCCGCCGCCAGAACTCGCCTTGACTCCGTATTTCTCCAGGTACGTCCAGTCCGCGTGACTCGGACGCGGGTATAGATCCATTGTGTTGTTCCCATAGTCCTGCTTCCTCTGGTTCTCGTTCATGACCCTCAGACCGATCGGGGTGCCCAGTGTGATGCCGAACTCTGTACCGGATTGAATTTCTACCCGGTCCTTCTCATTGCGCGGCGTGGTGATGGCAGATTGCCCAGGGCGACGTCGCGTCATTTGTGGCTGGATGTCCGCCTCGCTGAGGGCCATGCCTGGGGGGCAGCCGTCCACAATACATCCCACTGACAAACAGTGGGATTCGCCATAACTAGTCCAAAAATCAGCCATTGGCACGGTATTGATAAGCGTGAAGGAGCACACACGTGGTTACCCTGAAATTGTGGCCGAATGTAGACATAGTTTAGGTGCAGTTGAAGTAGTGAGGTGGAAAGCTGCTTGCAATGGACGTCAGAGTCACTTGCTGTCTCGGCAATTTTTATTTTGCCAGGGCGCTGACCCGATCTGCAAGCCCGATCTCGGAAGCCGTTGGCCCCGAAATAAGGCTGAGGCCAAGGCCGAGGCGGAGCACGTCCCAGGGCTTAAGAGGCTTAAGAGGCTTAAAGTTTTGAGTTCACCTTCAACGAGGGGTTGATTACAGTCTACGTAGCTACTACGCTGCTTGACCGGGTATTCGCGCGAAAAGAGGCCCGCGAAACAGAGCACGGATGTCTCATCTAAAAAGCCGAGAACAGAGGGAACAAGACTTGATTCCGCCTAACTCATGACGGTTTGTGCCGTCCAGCCTCTACCAACGATTTCGCTGTTCCAGCTCTCTCCTCGTACAATCTGCGAAGGTCATCTACTGACGCTTTCTTCATATTCAGCTTGCGCGGGATAGAGGGAGGTGCAAGTGCCGGGCTATTTGAAGGTTCGAAAGAAGGCATTCTATGAAGCAAGCCGGGAGATGGTGCGCGTGGCTTTGGCCTAGGGACCGGCAATGATGTCGACTTTGAAGGGGGGCGGTTGGTTACGGGATTTGTAGGGGGATGGACTGGCCGAGCAAGAGAGGTGATATTAGGGGGTTTGTAAGTGGACGCGGGCCAGCTCGGCCGACGAAACTCTGTCGATGGAGCTTGGGGCCTAGCTGAAGTTTCAAACGGAACATTCGATGGAGAAGCGTTGTCAAGCTGGGTGTGCGAGGGCATATCTGTTCGTGTTTTCTGATCCGAGGGCTCTCTAACATGAGGAATAGCTTTTCGTTTCACTGCTTCCGAGATTGGAAGATTTGCTAAACCTGGCAAAGCCATTCTTGGGTCAGACAAGTTCCGTGCCTGTACTCCTACGGCGGCGCTCTCAGCATTGTCAATCTGCTCTGCTGTCAGGGCTTTCCTCTTGGGGAGAATGATTTGAGGTGGAGGATGAGAATCGCCAACACTGTTCGTACCAGATTTCTTCTCGTCGGGGAACTCCCATTGAGAGGGGCGCGGGGGCGCGAATCCATCCGCCACTGCAGAATAGCTTGTTGGGGATTCCGCAACGTCGTGAGTGTCATCCGAGACAATGGTAGAGTATCTTGGGGGTACCATGAGTGGAGGGGCTGGTTTTCGCTTAGTCACGGAATCATGAGAAGAACGACCGGATGTCGATCGAGGTTGTGAGTTCGTAGAGCGAGGAGGTAAAGGAGGGGGTTTCTCGCGAGGGCTGCTCTCGTTGTCCTGAAGTATGATGCCGGTTACTTGGTTGTCTTCATCATCTACTTCCATTTCCGGACAATATGCCCTACCTTCAAGGGGATCTTCCCAATCATTTGAATCAACGGGCAGGCGGAGGTCTTGCTCGAAACTAATTGCATCTACTCCGCACTCATCCCGAAGACCAACCGACCAGGCCTCAACCGCTATTGCAAGAATCCGCCGAACTATGGAAGACATCTTGGCGTCTTCTAATTGGTCTGGGCCGCACAACAGAGCCGGTGCAAAGCAGACGGCCAGATTCTCTGGGGTCATCTTGTTACGGGCTTGCTGGGATGCGACTGCATCTAGGAGGGGTAGCAGATGCCTGGTCACGATTTCGCGTGAAACAACTGGTAAAAAGGACCATTCTGACGAAGGAGAGATTAGATCCTTTAGTCTCTCGAGATCGGGGACATCGTCTGGGTCATTGAAGAATCGCTTCAAGTCTCTATATGAGGCCTGAGGAAATATCGGTTGACGGAGATCGGCGTACCACGACTTGATTATTCCGGCGGCCATTAGAACTCCATAGGCATCTCTCTGGTCTATCTCGGCGATGATTTCATCGAGGTGCTCAGCACGAGTATAGCCGGGGATGGCAAGGGTCGCTCCGTTATCTTTCCAAACGATGAATTTCTGGCCTCTGTCGTATGCTTCTTTTAGGATTTCTTTCAATTTGGCATGTGGCGGAACTCTGAAGAGCCCCTCGGCGACGATATTCTGCTCCATGAGCACGAAGCAGGTTGTCTCTCGGAGGACGCGTGGCAGCCGGGGTTTGCCTTTGGAACTAATTGGGAGTGGCTGGCGAGCAGTGAATGCTCGACGACCGCTCGCATATGGGGCAAATATGTCGTCAGATATGCGCCGGTCATGGAGGTAAGTCGAAGGAGGAATGAGGAGGTCTTCGATGGGAATGTAGAGAGCGAGGTTGCTAAGTGTGGACGCTGGGTAATTTGTCAATCAATAGCCCCTCATTCTCTGTTAGGCTACGTGACGTACCATGAATGATCTTCCTCCTGAACTTGGGACTCACGATGGTGGAGAAGATCTCGGTGAGGATTCGCACCCACGCTTTCTCATGCACAATGTACAGCTTTTGCAGCCGCTTGCGCATGGCCCGTGACAGGACGTGATAAGCTTGCAGGAACCAGCCCCAACCAGGCCTATTTTTCTTGAGTGACGTCGAACCATCGGAATCGCCCGCGAAGAAGACGACTTCATACTCATAGCCCTTGACTAAGTCGTCTTCCTCTGGTAGTCTCGCAAGCACGTATGGTAACAGCGCGTCGAAGTCGGCCTCGCGAGAATCTGGCAGGGCCGCAGCATTTAGGACGTATATTGGCCTGTTTTCTTTGGAGGGGATGGGCGAACGATACAGGATGCTTGAAGCGGCTCGAGCGAGTGATGTTGAGTACTCGGTCGACTCCGGTCGCGGTGCAACTGCGTTGAGCGACGAGCTGCGTAGGCGACTCGCTAGGTGCGCCCGCATGCCACTCATAGCTGTGGGTATTAAAGTAAAAAGGTGTTGTAGAACAATTGAGCGGGCAGACGAGGAAATGGACAGGAGACCTCCAGGGCTAGCGTTGGGGAGACGAAGGCAGGGGAATACGGGCATGGCCACAGACAACCCCACGTCACTTTACAAGGTTCCAGCGTCGCTGGTGGCGCTGATGTGGCGCTTCCAGGTGCTGGCACGTGCAGGTGATACAAACTTGGAATGCAGTGTCCAAAGAACCTGAGATAAGTGCCGCGACGTCATTTGTACAAATAATGAGGGCGTGTGTGACTTGGATACTGCGGCTTCCAACTACCCGCCCATTCTACTGCTCGATTGATATGCAGCAGTAACTCTGGTCCTGCCCCTTGATGCACCATGATTCATGATAGAAAGTGGCATACTTTTGACACTTGTCCTAATTCTGGCCACAGCTTCTATAGCTTTCACAAATCCCAAAATCCTCGTGAATATGCTATAGCAGGCTCCAACTTTCTGTCAGACCACCCAGATCGCGGACTTAGCACTGCGGCTCCTCTGGCTACTCCTCATCCGTATCTGAATCTGTGTCCTCTCCGTCCTCTTCAGCAAAGACAACTCGAATCCCTAATTCCTGTAATCGTGCCCGCAGGGTCTGGACTCTCTCTGTATTCCTCCTAAATTCTTCGTAGCTAGTTCCCGCATCTCTTAATGCATGACGAAGCATCTCTACTGTCAAATCCTGACCCGCGATGTGCTGGCTCAAGTCTAGACGTACAAAGTATTCTCGAAGGACTTCGAGCTCGGCCCGTAGCTGGTCCTCATTGACATTTTGGGCATTTTGCTGTCGAGCGGTCGTGACAGTATAGGAAGATTTGTTGTCTTCTGGCGGCAGCGGGTCAGATGTGGAGGTGTATTTGTTAATGACCCGAGGCTCGAGGAAACTTAGAAGCTCTCTGTCATCTAAAAGAATAACGTGCCGAGCAAGATGGACTTCATCAATGTGCCTAAGCCAGGAAGGGTTTTCACCCGAACCGAGTGTCTCAAGCGAGGAAGCCACCTCAACCAACAAAGAAGTTGCCTCGGGGGTGTTCCATAGGTCCTTAGCCCTCGGTACATAGAGCTGGCATAGTAGTTTTTGATGGTCATCGTTGGGTTCCTTGCCCCATATCGGTTTGGGGATAGGACTGATTTCGAGCTCCTTACAAAGTCTCGCCGCAATCCATGGATATTGCTGGATAGCTAGACGTAATGATGACCTAGCCTTCTCCGGGTCCTTTAGGTGGTCGTAAGCAAGGGCGATAGACATCGCCAGATTCGGGGCAATTTTCCAAATCCGTTGCAAGTGATCTGCGTCTACTATATTAATAAGGCTCTGGGGCTGTCGTCCACGAAGAGCCAATTGATCGATCACCAGGCGGATACAGTACGGGTCCCCTTCAGGATCCATGCTCAGGAGTAGCTTCGCCCACTCAAAAGCGGTGCGCCAGGTTGCACGGGTACCAAGGACACAAATGTGTCTCCACGCCGCCAGCCAGAATTCGCGATTTTCAGGGCGGCGGAAATCCAACCGCGCTTTTCCTTGGGAAAGATTCGTTGCAAACGTAGAGTGTACTGCACGGCCGAAGGAGAACAGGGCTCGCTCGAGAAGATCTCCAGCAGTCGCATTGTCACGCTGCTGCTTGGCAATCTCGGACACTTGAAGCAAGGTGGAGATGTGGTATGCTGCGAGTTGTGTTAGTACCAAATTCCAACGGCTATTAGTTTACGCAGTGTCAGGGAAGTCAGGTGTTGTATCGATAATCTTCTTTCAGGCATGGTATGATCTTTACCCACTCAAAAACTAACTAGTCAAGTAAAGCAAAAACACGATGCCATGGAAAGCACTTCTAATTGATATGGCAGACTTACGGTTGAAATGAAGTAGCTGGATCATTTGTTCTGGATCCATAGATGCTACGCACGTCTCGAACTGCCTCTGGACAGACTGGTAGGTGAAGTTGTGGACAAAACGGTACTCAACAGCTCCGTCGTTCCTCTTTTCCACGACTTCCATACCTAGGCCGCCCAACGTAGCCCGTGGCCACTCTTCTTTGCCTTGGACGAAAATATTCCGCCGAAGGCCGATAGAAAGATTACGACTTCCCGGTGCATTTCGAGCTGCTACATTTGCAGCAATCCCAACTTGTAGCTGCCCACGGCCACGCTGTCTCAGTCGAGCTGGCTCGTCGTCATTGCCACCTTGTACGGCCGCACGACCAAAGAGCTTGCGCATTTCATTGGAAGCCTGTAGGTGCTGGGTGTCTATAGCGAGGACTGCATACAGCTGCTGCATCTCGTCGCTAACAGTCGATGTTAGTTGGTCAGCGGTGGAGCTGCAATTGGCCTGTGAAGTAATGTTTAGAGCGAGAAGAGCACGGTCAATTTCGTCTAGACCAGATTGTATTTTTGGCGATGTGGAGGAAGGGGTTGCGTTTGGCGGATCGTTGACCTGGGCCTTGTCTTTGCCCTTCTTCTTTTTCTTCTTTTTCTTCTTGCTCTTCTTCGAGGGCAGAGGGGCTGGGGCGATGGCAGGTGTTGCCTCGCCCTCGCTGTCTAAGGAATCCACTTCCGGCTCTACATCATCCTCATTCCCGTCGCCCGCTTCAGATGCCTCCCCCAGCAAGGCAAACAAGCTGGGTTTCGGTCTCGAGGGAAGCGTGACCTCCTCCTCTGATGGCTCCTCTTCATGTGGTTGTGCGAGTCTCTCCAGCCGTTGGCGCTCCTCAAGCTCCTTCTGAGCCCGTCGCAGTAGGCGGGAAGACATCTTGGTGCAATGTGGGATATTAGTTGGTTGTGTGGCGGTTCGAGTCGGGGGACTGATATACTATTGATATTGGGAGAGGAAGGGACGGCTTGGCGTGAAAGCACGGACCTCCAACACCGGTAACAAGCCGTGGGAGCGCCTACTATCCGAGCATGTCGAGCCTTCTGAGCGTCAACCTTTCCCAAAAGCCTCGACATCCCCGCACTCCCACCCCGTCTCTTGCTACCCGCGGACCTAGGTACTCAGGTACCAGATAGGCTTCCGACCTGTTCAAATGCGTCGGGCGGCTGTCCAAGCCTTTCGATCTGCCCGCCGTCCGTGCCTCCGCAAGTTCGCCCGTAATCGCACTCCTGCCTTCGTTCCCCTCAACCATGGTCTTCTAGGGCATCGCGCCGTTTCTTCGCGCCGAGAGCGTACCTCGTCCGTCATTTTGACCTCGTCTATGCAGCTCCGGTCCTTTGCGTATGCTCTCGTCTCGGCTGCTGTTGCCTCAGGCGCCTTCTATGCCTACAGAGGCACCAGCCCGGCCGGGACCTCGGCTCCCTCGTCTGCAGAGCACAGCAGCAGCTCGAACGCGCTAGACAGTAGCCCGGGAGACCACAGCAAGCATACACGGCGTGCCCTTGTGGTTGACCAGGGCTCGCTCTTCACCGGCACCATCACAGGAGACAGCCCGCTGTCGAAGGAGACGGACGACTTCGGCCGGAAAGTACTGGAGATGTTGACGCCGGAACAGGCGACTCAAAAGCTAAGAAAGAACGAGGAGTCCTGGCTGGTCGGGAGGGGGCAGGGCGTTGTCCGCTACGATGTTGTGCAGATACCCAGCAACGACCCCATTGAGGATGACCACGCCGAGAAGATCATCGAGGTACCGCAGACCACGGCTGCAACAGAGAATGGCACAACAGCCAGCGACTGGATGTTCTGGGGTGTCTTTGATGGCCATAGGTAAGAATCATACCTCTACCAGCTTCGATTAGCCACTGATTGATACAAGCGGCTGGGTCACGTCGGCAAAATTACGCGAGACCCTGATATCGTTCGTAGCCCGTGAGCTCGATAGTGCCTTCAAGTCTGCGCTAGCTGACCCGTCGCTGCGCTTTCCAACTCCCGAGTCAATCGACAAGGCCATTAAGACGGGGTTTCTGCGGCTCGATCATGAAATTGTGCACGAATCCGTTGCAAAGGTCCAGAAGGCACAGTCGAAGCTTGCTGCGGCTGAGCTCCTGGCCCCCGCTCTGTCCGGTTCATGTGCCCTACTATCTTTCTACGATAGCAGATCGAAACTTTTGCGAGTAGCCTGTACAGGCGATTCCCGCGCAGTCCTCGGCCGACGAGGAGCAAGTGGCAAGTGGACAGCCACCCCGCTCTCAACAGATCAGACCGGATCAAGTGCAAGTGAAGCTGAGCGCTTGCGCAAAGACCACCCTGGAGAGCCGAGCGTGGTCAGGAACGGGCGTATCCTTGGCGGTCTTGAGCCATCACGTGCATTTGGGGACGCAATCTACAAATGGTCTCTCAAAACTAACGAAGAATTGAAGAGGTCGTACTTTGGGCGGAGCCCTTCTCCACTTCTCAAGAGTCCCCCTTATGTCACGGCTGAGCCCGTCATAACCACAACAAAAGTCGAGCCAGAAAATGGTGACTTTGTTGTTATGGCTACCGATGGCCTTTGGGAAATGCTTACCAACGAAGAAGTTGTTGGACTTGTTGGTCAGTGGTTGGATGCCCAGGGCAACACCAATGGACGGAATGCCCGGACAGAATCCTGGTTGAAGAGCTGGTGGTCAACACAAAAGACTCTGCCAGTTGAGCAGAAGGGGCATGATTCTGATGGCACAGGTCAACGGGCCCCGATTCGTCAGCAACAATGGGGCACTAAGACGTCACTGAACGAACGTTTCGTTGTAGAAGACAAGAATGCCGCAACCCACCTTGTTAGAAATGCGCTTGGTGGAAACGATCAAGATCAATTGTCCGCTCTGTTGACCTTGCCCAGTCCTTTCTCTAGACGATATAGGTATGGCGTTTCCATCCCCCACCAACCCAACATGGCTAACCATTAACAGAGACGATTTGACAGTCGAAGTTATCTTCTTCGGCGAAGGCTCTACCACTGGCAATGTTACCTTGAACAAGGAAGCGAGCGCTTCCTCTCCAGAGGCAAAGGCGAAACTTTAAGGTTAAAGTGTAGGTGAAAGATAGTCAAGTGCCCATGTATCTATCCTCGCATGTCTTCATCCAGCAAGGCGTTCCTGGTACACTTTCCAGTCGGTATCCGGTATCCTCAAATAAGGGCGTTCTTGGGGAACAAAGTTGGTGGGTTAGCTCTCTTGACATGTAGACTAGAGATCTGCAAGGACGAGGCCACATTCGCACAAGCACCTCTTTATTCGATAATCGAACTGCTCTTGGCCGAAGCCTTCGCCGATTCTTCAATTTGGCAGTCCCATCATGATACTTACCAGTGACACAGAAGCTGGTCTCCACCTGATCCATCCTGGCTTGGGATATTAGTCCCTCTTGCCACCTAACGCAGAACCTTAGTGTATTTTAGGATAGGAAAATTCACCTTACTAACACTCTTTTGTTCCAGCAAGAGGTTTAACAAACGGACTCCAACTTGGTCATGTTCCTCGTTAGGAAGTAACATGACTTATATGGTGGCAGAATTACCCCTGCATCCCTGGAGAAATGGAGCCACAGTTATGAGCCCTGGACTTCGTCAACGTCCAAGCTTTTGTTTCATTCATTATTTTCTATTTTTCAACCAATCAGCGCATAGCACTGTCTATCTGCCCTACCCTGACGCGGCTTGCCAAACCTATCCAAATTAACCAAAGGGGGGCAGCTGGAACACGCAAATGAATTATTCCGCCTGTATTGCCTTTATAAATTCCCATCCTCTTCACAATTTAGGATGGTCGCAATTCCACCATGTACTCCTTGAGGCAATTTTTGGTTCTTTTCATTGCCTATCATGGTGCCTATGTCGAAGCGCTTCCTACGCAGGGGGTGCAAGCCGCGCCACCAAGCGAATTCACAGCAAACCCTTCCATCGGGGGAGGAGGAAGTCAATACAAGGACTCGGCACATTTCCGCGTCTACGGTGTATCCAGCTCTACCGCTGACCAAACACTTAAAGTAATGGAAGCAGCACATCAATGCTTTGTCGAGACACTTGGCTGGCGCACACCCGGACTGTCATACAAAAGCGACAGCGGTGCTTATTACAAGGAAAATATTTACCGTGTTGATGCGAGTAGTATGCCTGGTGCCGCTGCACAGACTTGGACCGATGCAACTGCGGGATTGGCGTATTTGAAGGTTGTGGAACAGTATATGACAACGCCAGGGGTGATTGTGCATGAGTACGGGCATGCAATGACGTATTCAGAGAAGAATTGGATTGATCAGACAAGGTACGCCCTTGATCTTTAGCTTCTGGACTGGGTTTGCGAGTGCGCACTGCACGATGTAGAAGGACATTCACTTTTTGGGCGGTGTCTCTGACTGTCAAATAGAACCGGCGCCTGGTGGGAGACTATTGCTAACTTTATTGCTGACACCTATGTCTCCACTCCTGTTTGCGAAACGGCCAAAGCAAAATCTAGCCTCCCGAGCGGCGACAGCTTGATCGAGCTTAAAGAAGTCATCGGCAACTCATACAAAGTAATCGTGGATGGGACATCGGGATCCGGGAACTACTACCAAGCCTGGCCGTTCCTCTCTTATATCACCAACAATCCAGACAACTATTCCGGCCTGGGTTCTCAGGCTCTCCTCAACATGATACGGAAGTACAAACTCAATAGTAATGAGACGCCTTTGCACTCACTCGAGCGTCTTTTATCCGGCGTGACTATCCAACAAGTTGTAGGAAGATACTGGGCGCGGATGGCTTATGTGGATATCGGGCATTCAAAAGCGCAGCAAATGTTCAGTTCTCAAAAGAAGAGCTTGACATATGCAAACTTGGATTCGAATGGGAACGGGAAGTATACTGTGAAGTCTGCTCGACAACCTCGGTATATGGGATCCAACATTATCCCTCTGAAAGCGACGAGTTCGACGATTAACGCTTCTGTCACAGCAAGTGGAGCATTTACAGCAAGCCTTGTGGTCAAGGCATCAAGCGGAACGTTCCGGTATGTGGACTTGGTGAATGGAAGCGGGAGTGTGACGATTGCGAGTGGAGAGGAGGCGAGTTTAGTGGTAGCGAACACTCCGTCGTTAGTGCAGTATGATCCTTTTTCGATTCCGGCGGATGTAAACAAAGGATTGAGCTATTCGATTCAAATTTCCGGGGCTACGGCCTAGGAAAGAGTTAGATACACCCTTGTTACTATTCTTGGAATACCATTTTCCCGTTTGAAATCAATTTGCATGCCGTAGATAGCTAGGCAGCAAACATGTGGGCGACAATCTGAGTGGTTTCAATAACCTCGCGCATGTCCTACGCTGCAGTATGTCTAGACCAGTGCGTGTGAGTTGACGAAGAAGGGACAAAGTAGCAGCCAAACACAGGCTGCGGCTCATAACCTAACAGAGCATGACAATTTAGGACAGAAATCTGCGCCTATTAACGTTCTCCTTGATTATAGTAAGAGGCTTCACAGGCAAACTCTAGCTTACAATGGCCATATCCTATGTTTGGTGAGAAGGTGCAGTGACATGGATAGCTTTAAATCGGAACGGTTCAGGATAGAAAAATCTCGTGACCGTCACTTCCGGGGGAACCGAGCAACCATCCGTACATTACTATGATGTCCTGCGGCCGCTCACCGTTCGTTACCAAACTCTTCAACTGCCCATTCTCTGAGGGAAACTCTACTTTGACGGCACTGCGTGACATTAGTATCCTGACGTGGATTCAATTCATGGATTAACTTTTCGGGTATGCGCCCTTGCATAGATCCAGGTGCCCCAGCGTCCTCTTGGAGACGCTTACTTTGCTCATGTCTTCGCTGATAGACATGGCGTCCCCATTCTCTCCACGATATCATCTACACAATGTGGAAGGTGTTTGATATCTAAAATAAGTCAACCCCAGCTCCACAAGGTCATCAAATGACACCCCTCGATACCATCGCCGGTACATTTAAAGATATTCCGGAGAGGTCAATGTTCTGCGGGTTCCTTGAATTTTATTTCCTATCGAAACTTCATGGAACACGTTGAGGATAGGGTGATCGAATGGTATGGGCAGACCTTCCGGGCGCGTTCTTGGTTAAGGCTAGGAGGCGCTATGCATACTTTCGGATTCTTATGCGGAAGGAGAGATTGGCGTGGGCTCCAGTTCGAAAAGGAAACATGGATATGAGAAGCCCTAAATGAAGCAGGCACTAAGAGTCTATTCTCTAATATAGCCGGGAAAAGATGTTGCGACTTAGCGAACAGCTTGCCTTGCTAGTGCGATTTAAGGGCATGAGGCACTGCTAGATTTATGCAACGACTCGCTCACGAGTTTTGGCTTAGTTCAGGTCACAGGCTTTCAAGCTGGTTCTTTTCTCCTAAAACGACGCGAGCCACCTCCCTCTTTAAACTCCATTCTGTTCAAACCATTTCTGAAACGATCCACTCACCACCTCTTCGTCCCTGGAGCCGGAGTTTGATAAGTGCTCGACCAGCTTGCCTGATACGTACTCGTCCCTATCACCGTAATACTCTTCTTATCTGTGAACGATGCGCTCGTAACAACGCTGCTCTTGATCCACGTAGACCACGGCGCAGCAGCCGTAACACCTGTCACGCTACTCAGTGATACGGAAGTCGTTTCCGTCCATGCACCGGACCAGACGGTTGGACCGGGAATGGGATAGGTGGTAGTACAGGGAGTTGTGCGAGTAGTGTCTGTTGAGCAGTATACCTACGCTCAATTAGTGGACAATCTTAAGGTGGGGAAAGAAGGGTTCGGTACGTCGTAAACGACCCCGGGATCTTCGTACGAATACGCCCCAGGGAAGGAAACACCTTCAGGTAGATCCACGGTGCCGTTGCCTGTAACCTCTATCTGCACACAATTGGGATAGAATTGCGCCCCTCGGATCGGGTTCTCCTCGTACGATACTTCACCTTCATGGAGACCAATCATTTCGGCCCGAATGAGGTAGCTATGTCCTATACTTAGCATGCTATCCATTGCTTGTGACAAATGGATTTGTGCGTACTGTCCCGGCTTTAAGCTAGCTGGAATGCGGATGTTCATATGGCCCCCATTCTTTGCTATGTCTGATGTCGTTGCCCATTTTCCTGGTATCTCCTCCGCATACAGTCCTTCGTGCCAAATTTTGACGAACGAATTGTCTTTTGGAGGATCTGGTGAGATGTAGACTAGAGCAGGCCCTTTTTTTTTTTTAGATTCAGCCGATGTGTCTAGGAGAGGCTGGATATTATACCGTGATGTGAGCTTGCAATTACATCGTCCGCGGCATTCCTTTTATCATGGTGCCTGTACTAATTGTTACCACTAGGTTTGAATAGGTTTCTGATTCCGTCCGTACCAATCGAGAGTGAGGTTGTCTCCTGGAGCAACTTTGATTTCATCTGGAGCTTGGATATCTCCCATGACGTTACAACGCATATCAATCGAAGTCAGGTTTTTGACTGGTGAGTTGGAATATCCACCACCGCCTGGTGCGCCATTGTATGCGGGTGTCCGTATGCCTTTGAAGAGCCCTTGGTCTACACCATTAACAAAGACGCCCTGCAGAGAGAGATGAGGTTTTATCTTTCTACGATTACAGGAATACTGACCCAGACGAAGGTATGGCCGTGTGCCTGCCCATGATAAGAGGAGAAGAGCAGAAGCAAGAGAAAATTGATCATTGCGGAAGACTGTGTGTATGACTTGAAAGAAAGAAGAAGTAGACAGAATTAAGGGTGAAGACTATACATATACAGCAGGAGGCACACGGAAGGCATGGCCTCCGATAATGTTTGATTCAAATGCCGGGATCGTAATCTATTCCTACAGCACCTAGATTAAGATCGAAAAAATATATTCAACAACGCCAGAACAATTCGTGCCTAAAGCGGTTGCGCTTTATCCCGGACGGATATAAGATACCCGGATATTTACCTGAGCCTGGATCAAGCTATTGAGGTTTTGAAAAATACCAACATTCCAAGACGCGCTTTCTCGAGAGGAGTCTTAACCGTACTCGTCTATGAACCTATCTTGACATATTGACAATGAAACGGCGCTGGATGTATTAGACTTACTTTTTGAAGATCCAGATGGCAAATAGAAACAATAAGATCAGTCATAGAGGGAGGGGTATGAGGCACCTCTGAAATCGGTAAGAGGTATTGCACGTGACCGCACGGACCCTAACGCGTGCGCGCTCTATGACACCGCGTCCATCCCGCCTCGGCTCCAAACTCCCTGTGCACATAACATCTCTCTACGCAACTATCTTCACCTCCTTCCACGCACTAAAATCCTTAGCTTTTCCAACGATGATGCTTGCAGCCTCTTCCTTCTACACCCAAAACTTGTACAACCCGACCCGACCTTCCCCACTCTCTGAACGCTCTGCGAATGCCGCTCCCCGCGTTTTCTCATTCAACATGGCGACGATGCCGCAGCCGGAGAAGAAGCCAACTCCCCAACGTGCATACAAACCGAACCCGGTGATACAGAGTCGGACAGGAGACGCTGCGAAGGAGCGACGACGCGAGATGTTCTTCCGTAAGGTGCAAAAGGGCCGAGATGAGAAGATGTGGGAGGTGCGCGGCGATCAGGTACGAGTGAAAAGTCTACTAGATGATGAGTTTAAGGAAGCTGATTGTGCATAGATTCAGCGTCTTGATTTCATCTCGAGTCACAAGCGCTGGGAAGCCGAGAAGGCGCGCCAGGCCCCACCTTTGGAAGACGGCTACCTAAACGAAGATTTGCTTGAAGAAGCGGCCGCTTCGTGGCCCGGAAACACCACGACGAACCCAGAGAAAGACATGGCGGAGGTGGACTATGTTCTGGAGCAAGAGGAACGAGAACTACAGGCGCTGATCGCGTTGATGGAGGAAGAGCAAGCTGCCCAGGATATGACATCACAGCATTACGGGAGCGACGAAGAAGACTATGATCAGATTTTCATTGAGTATACAAATGTCGCGAACGTCCATCAACAGGACCAACAACAGCCACTACAATCCAACGCCAGATACGATGACCCGGATGCCATGGACACGACCGAGGGATGAAGGCGTTCTACGGGTGTTGTTTATGTTCTTCTGCTTGCGCGAGTGTGATTGGACGCGCGCTGTTGTAATGTGCCCTTTGGCAAAGTAAGATTATGTTTTGATCAAGACTTCGCCGGCACTTGTACGCTGAGGGAATCTCGTGGCATGTATGCGTGCCTTTTTTGGTTATCGGCAAGGAAGGAGGACAAGGTCTCGCAAGAATCTACTGCGTGGGACAGCCTTGGTCCATCTCGCTGAGCGCTTCTTGCGCCGCATTCATATCGCCCACAAGATCGGGTGGAGGGGATCCTGCAGATTGCATCTGACGAGTGTCAGTAACTTGCAAATGTATAATAGAGCACCGAAGAATTAGTGTATACCTTTTGCATCCTCTCAACAATATACTCCCTATCCGACGTATTACCATCGCTATATCCCTTCTTTTCAAACCTGGTCGTGATCTCGCGGACTAACAATTGCTGTTCCTCGTACCTCTTGAGATCCTCCTTGGTCACCTTCGTTTTATTCTCCTCCATCCATTTCGGGAACTTGTCATTCAGCTCTTTCATTGGCTCATACAGGATCTCTTTGTTTGTCAGCTGCTCCATCATGCCCATTAATATTTTGGAGAAATCATCATCGGACCCCTCGCCTCCAAAGCCACCGTTCTCCATTTCCTTGAGCATTTGGGCTAGGATATCATTCTCGTCTGCGGTTGCGGCTGCTGCGCTGGCTTGATCTCCGGATTCTTGCATCCGCTCCATTGTTTTTCGTATAGTTTCCTGGAACGACTGCTCTGCCTTTGCGGCCGTGGCTTCTGCACTCGAACTCGCTCCTTCCTCCTTCAGCCCGGGCGCGTGAGAAGAGGAAGGCACCGCGTCATCCACCTCTTTCATAAGATGCTCAAACTGCTTCTGCAAGTCTGCTTGGCCGAGGAGTTGCTCCATCTCTGCCTGCAATTGCTTTGCGAACTCTTCATCGTCGAGTCCGGCAAGGTCATCAGCTGGGGCAGCGGCAGGTCTTCCGGGGCCAGAAGCTGCTGGTGCGGGAGCCTTAGATTCGAGCTTTGTTGCTGCAAATTCATCCAGGACGTCTGGATGGCTTGTCAGCACTTGGAACTGGTGAACAGAGGAGGCAAGTCTCACCGTCCAAGTCGCTGAGGTCGTCTTCGTCTGGGTCTGGGGCCAGCTCAGGCTTTGCTTCTTCTTGCTTCAAAGCCTCTTCCTTAGTGCCCGCCATTGCAAGTGATTCCCTGGTCTTCCAATGTATGTATTGAGGTCGAAGAAACCTGCAAGCCCTGGGGTTGCTCTAACAGCCTCGGCCTCGGCCTCCATCGAGTATTGGCGGGGCAGTCCGCCTTAGCGCGGGGCGATCCCGGCCTCAGCCTCAAGTGGCGGGCCGATAGGAAATGTCCCGATCACGTGCCATGTCCGTTTTGTAACCTCACCTCAACCTCAAATGTTACTCACCTTCGCCTTCACCTTAGCCTTTCACTCCCCCGTACTATTTGTTTGAAGCTTCCCACGTCTGCAGATAGCCATCGCCGCAACGCTTCAGCACGCTACAAGCTGCAGGCTACCCACAAATTCGATCCGTTTCTGCGAAGAATTGTCGCGCGATAACCTCGGACATCATGTCGCTTTGTATGAACAGACTGTCTGAGGAGAGGTGCGACACTGCAAACCCTCGAAAATCATCATAAAGTCATTAATCTGCTGGCCAGGAAGCAATGGCGACGCGACCACCCCTTCGGCTTCTTTGCAAAACCCATGCGCAACACCCAAGGTGTCATGGATCTCAAGAAGTGGGAGTGCGGTGTGCCTGGCAAAGAAAAGACTATGTGGGAGGGTGGGCTATTTAAGCTCGAGGTTACGTTTCCTGATGGTATGTCTCTTCATATACTCCAACATCATCATGTTCTCCTTCTAAAAAGTCGCAGAGTACCCAACCAAGCCACCGAAGTGTAAAAATCGCCTGGTTTCCGGTTAGGTGACAAGCACATGCTCACATCGTCCAGGTAAATTCGTCCCCCCGCTCTTCCACCCAAACGTCTATCCCTCCGGCACCGTTTGTCTGAGTATCCTGAACGAGGAAGAAGGCTGGAAGCCTGCCATCACGATAAAGGAAATCCTGCTGGGCATCCAGTCACTGCTTGACGAGCCAAACCCTGAGTCCCCTGCACAAGCGGATGCGTTCAACCTCTTTAAAAAGGACAAGGCTGCCTATGAGAAGAAGATACGTAGTCTGGTGAAAGAAAATCCTGCGCCGTAGCTGCAGTAGCTGCACCTCTACCATGTTGCGTATCTGTGCGTGGTCCACAGGCAAAATAAATGGACGATGGGCGGAGGGGCCATATGGCTGCTGGTTTCTTTCGGATTGATTTCAAGACATTATGATCACTGGACGGGGGCGTGTTACGGAGTGGCACTTACGGCCTCGGGCGTTTAAAGGTGGCTGTCGAATTCTTGATGGGTTTCTCTTCGACTCGGAGGGTCCAAGAGGCGGATACCCTCCTTTCTGAGCTACATAGGTCTTTTTTGAGCCACAATAGTTCCTTGCAGGATATCTTGCTGCTGCATTGGCACAAATTCTACTGGTTAGTACTCGAGATTCTTAGACCTATTTGATGAACAATTGCTGCCCGGCTACCAGATGGATTCCCATGAATGAATACCGAAGAGGCCAATTAGGCCCATCGTCGAAATTCCCGTAGTTGAAGCGTAATCGCAAATGAAGGAAGCACACACCCCCCATATCCAGATTGCAGTACAGCCGTATTGCCTGATTCGGAACCTTCCAAGGTTGCCATCCTGATATAATACATGTCAAATAGAAGCCTCAGCCAAGCCAATGATTTTGCCTCCAGACAATCTTGTAGAACCGAAGTCCACGATCAATATGCGAATCTAGGTAAATCTAGTACGGGCGATAGCCAGGAGCACCTCGACCACGATAACCCCCACGGTATCCACCACGTGGTGGTCCAAAGCTTGGGCGCGCATAGGGAGAACCACGGCCGCCGTAGGAACCACGTCCGCCACGACCCCGTCCACGGGTCATGCCCGGAAGATTCGTTCGTTTTGGCACAACCTATCATGGTCAGCTCTTGTAACTAGAGAATAGAAACAGGACGTACCTTCAAGTTCCTGCCACGGAAGACGCTGTCGTTGAGAACGAGAGCTTGGGAGACAAGGTTCGGCTCAGTGAACTCTACATACGCATACCTGCATACGCTCATTAGCGTTCCAATCTTACTGCCAAACTCTTGCCAGGTAGCGAAGGTTCCTGGGAATCTTCAAATGATGGGCTGGCGCGTTGCCGAGACGGCAAAAGTACAGTGTTAGGGACTTCGAGTCGCGGCGACAACATCATCATCTGAATCTCCAAGGAAAGACCTCCTCTTGGCATAGAGCAACTGACCCTTTGGGATGACCGGTGAACTTGTCCAGAAGGATCGTCACCCGGTTGATGCTGCCACAGCTTTGAAAGTGCGCCTGAATCTCCTCGGGTGAGGCGCCGTAGTCTACGTTGCCGACGAAGACACTGCGGGCGTCTACGTCCTCCTTGTTCTCGCGGAGGTCGTGGTGCTCGCGGTCGAGCGACGCCTGCATCTGGCGCAATTTGGCCGCTTCTTCCTCCATCTCCTGAACACGCCTCTTCATGGCGGTGATCTCCTCCTGCGACTATGAGTTAGCTTGTGCTCTTGACTTCTTCGTGTCGACAGAGCCTTGTCGCATCCTGGGATGAAGGCGCAGTCGTACCTCGTCGTGTCCGTCTTCATCAGGCGCGTCGAGGTGCTGGTCCTCCTCGCGCTTCGTGTCGATTTCAGTGTCGGCCATGGTTAAAAGTGAGCGTGAGAGTTGCCTGGGGGGCGTGTTAGCTAAGGCAGTCGTTGAGGACTGAAGTTGGGCGAACTTACAGAGCAAGGCTGCAGATCCCTTAAAAATGATGACAAGGGAAAAGACAGCAGTTGAAGAGGCGATGTGTCACTGATGTTTACAGTTACGCTGAAGTGGTAGTGAAGAGGGCAGGATGATGTGACTAGGTTGCAGGAAGGAATGGCACCCTTTTTGGTGGAAGGTGGAAGAGGCTGCGCGAAACAGCAAAATGACGAAGACAAGGCTGACGAACTGCGCACGGGCGAAGAGGCTTAGTAGCTGACTAACAGTAGCTCTCACGTGCTTCCTCTCAACCTTTGAGGTCTTGCTCACAAACAAAGACACATCAGAGAGCACCGGGTCCATCTGTGGCCGGAAATGCAGGGTTAGAAACTAGATAAAGGAATGCCTCTTGTTCTGATATGCCACTCTCCGGTCACGTCGAAATTGCCTAAATCAATTCATCTGTTCCGTTCACTGCAATGTCTTTTTCTGGTCTCTATTCGCTGGCAACTGTGCCGATCTACTACTTCGAGGGCTGCTCACTATTCAATTCTTCTACTCGCGTCTCTGGGTGTAGCGTGTCTGTTTGCAGTTATGAAACTAATCAGCCCTCCCCGCGGCTTAAATCTAACTAGATGAGCACACGAGCTATTTGGCCTAGGTACGATTAGATATTCTCGTCAGCCTTCTTACCTGCGGCCATCGAATTAAGCCCTAAGATTCCCCATTGAGAGCGCTAGAAATTATCAGCCTAGTCTTTTCCTTTTCTCTGTGCTTGAACTGATCGCATCCATATAGGCATTTGGTGTTGCGTATGTCACTCGACTTCCCCGTAGATAACTAATTGCTGAAGCCTTGCAGATACTTCAAATCCAAGTTCCGCTGTTTCGATGCCTCCGTAATCATAGCCAGCTTCGTCGTTGAAGTCCCATTGCAAGGCGTAACAGAGGAGGTGCCTTCCCTCATTGTGGTCTTGCGCCTAGTGCGTGTAGTGAAGATAATGGACAAATTGAGCGTCGGAGCTGAGGAACAAATGAAGGACCTTGAAGAACAACTTGCATAGTGCGAGAAAGAGAAGGAAGAATGGAAAGAAGAGCTTGAACGTGTTAGATCGAACTCGCATCGAGGTTCGGAATACATCCACTGATACTAATGTGACCGCTCGATATACAATATATGGTACAGCTGTTTAGAGTACATAAGATTGATAAGGCCACCAATGTAGGTATAATGCTCTATGTCCGGCTCCAAGATCCCATAACGCCGTATGCTTCCTTTAGGGGTCATCTACAGCCGTAGGTCTCCAGCAAAGAATCGGCCGACTTTGTATACGACCCTCGATCGTGGTAACTTGCTATTTACCTGCTGAAAGTCAGTACAGTGAATTAACTGGTGAATCAAGGTGACCCACTAGTGTCCCATCACGAAAGGCCAGCTGGCCATCGTGAACTATTGGGATTGGGTTTTTTGGAAAATTGAAAACGTCTTTGAAAGTATCACCACCCTCTTCACTGGGTTGCAACTCCACGTCACTGTTTTGCGTCTTCTTCTTTCCGAATGGAAGTGGTAATGTCTGAGCGGACGTGGCGGGTCGGAAACGTTTCCGCGAATCGGCAAGCTCATCGTGTACATCTAGACGATGAGATCTTGCGAGTGCTAGTGGTTTGCCGAATCTCGCTTTTCTAGACGGTCGCTTTCTGATCTCCTCGATTTTCTGCTCTATTTCTACTTGAGTCATATATTCAATGGATGGCCATAGGAACTCTGGGAAGGCCTTGTAGAAATCTGTTTCAAGCCTCACATCAGGGCCTAGGTCAAGATTGATGATCCGCTGTTTCTCAAAGCCCAGGGAGAAGTCGCTGTCATCAGCCTCGCGGGAAGCCCTCGAGGATAGAGAGGTGCTATTGTTGGCGCGGATTTGCTGGCTTGGCTTGGGTTTCTGGGAATCAGCATCCATGGAACCTGGCATGACATGACTGAAAACTGGAGGTGTAGTATCATCTACTATTTGTATGGCTTCCCGTTTGCTGTTCTTGTGGGGAGAAGGTCCATGACCGCGAACGCGGTCTTGTGTTTGAGGCCGAAGCGAGGACACGTTAGAATGCTGCTCCTCAATCAGATCGCTGTCCTCGCTGGCGCTGTATTCTGGAAATTGTGCCACATAGCGTTGTTTTGTCCTTGCATTTTCAAAATTCCATAAATACGCACCCCACTCAGCCTTTCTCTCTTTTCGAAAATCGCCGGTCTGAGAAAGAATGGCACCAATGTTAGTCATCCACACCGCCTTCCCCTTCTGATACTTTTTGTACTTATGGGGAAATTCACGCCTTATCCAATCGCCTATGTCTTTGGCCGTCAACGGCAGCCCTTGTGCGGCGAGTAAGGCCATGCCAATCATCTCTCGAAAGGTGTAGGTCCCCTTGCTTCCGCAGGATCTGGGATTGGTACTCGATGATCGCTTATTCCCATGTTTAAGGAGCTCACCTGGAGAGGTTTCTTCCCCTTCTGAGAGATTGGCCGACCCTGGAGTAGAGAGCTTCCGTGAGCCACTGGAGTCACTAACACCGAGAGCATATATGGATTCGTTTGATGGATCAGCTGAAGATATATCGCAAGTCGAAGCGTCCATTGCGGGTGCACTTGAAACATGAAGCCGAGGTGAGGGTTCTGGAAGTGGAGATATGAAGTTAATTGGCTGACGTCTTGTCCCGGACTTGTGGAGGCAGCCAGGAAGTCGCAGTGTACCAGCTTGATTGGCTTCAAGAACATTTCCTGTTATAAGCCCAGCGTTATTAACCACTCTAGCTTCGTCGCCTGGTACTTCGTTTTGCGAACAAGTCTCTGCCTCAGTCCCATAATCGTGGGATTTGGATTTCCCGGAATTTTCTTGATCCACTGAGAGTAGTTGTTCTGGTGGTGATTTGATTAGGGACCCAGATTTTTCGCCGCGTGGCAACCTCTTCGTAACGATTTTCTTCGAAGCCGCACCAACAAGGCCTCCTGGGCCGAAACGATTCCAAGACATGCTTGGAGCATAGAGTTGTTTCAGACTTTGAGGGGTTGGCTGCATATCGTTGTATTTATCTTGCACACGATTTTGAGGCTCTAACACAGATTCTGGGGTTTCTGGAATGGAGAGCATTGACTCGTCGTTGTCGAAGATTTCTCTCTTTTTGCATCCTTGGCTATAGCAGTTAGACGAAGAATGTGTTCAAGATTGAGTATTCGAAGGTACTTGCCACATTGCTTTGTTGACCCCTGGCTTCGCAAAAATCCGCTGCTTTTGGCACACAGGACACCACATCAAACGGGAAAGGCTCGTCTTTGGCTCCGATTGATCAAACACTAGTGAGCTGTCATCTGGGCCAGACTGGCTGATGGCGGCAGCCCCATTGAGACGAGACTCCCTTGGAACCGCATTATAGACCTGTATCTGACTGGATTTCTGAGTAGGAGTATTTGGGATTTCCAAGCAATCCTTTCCAGTGCTCAAGCCAAAAGGCTGTCCTATCGTATTAGACGAAGTATTTGGAATTGTAGATTCAAGAATCATTCTGTCTAGTTCGTCATTTTGCATCGAAGCCATCAAGGTAGTCTCATCCAAGGGGACTGGCTTCGGACCACGCCTTCGATCCCATACTGTGCCAAGCTTAGGAAGATTATCCCCTAATGAAGACAGTTCAGCAGCCCGAATTGCTTCTCTGTCCTTTGTGGACGAGTGACTTGTCTTCTGATGTGAGGTAACAGATGATATGGTGAAAGAGAGTGATGTCATAGATTTCTCCACTCTTGGAGACTCAGCAACTTTCGGAGTTCTAGAAGAGACCTCATCCGCTCTGGCACTTCCTGGGAGATTTGGACCTATTCTATCACGAGGGGAAGTCTGTGCGAGAGAGTACTTAGTCAGAGTGGTAGGTGTCAGTGCAACTGAATTTAAACCTTTCCGTGCCTTCTGGATGCAAACGAAACAACTCCAAGAGTCCCTAACCATCGTGAGCATATGGTCTCCGGGATTTGGGGGCTTCGTACCAATTGGCCCCATCCTTGAGTGGGGGCTTACGGCACCCCTCATGGAATTGACGTTTCAAGCACACGGGGCATCGAATTAGAGGGTCATAGGTCTTGGTAGAGCCCTTTTGGCAGACCCGACATTTAGAAACGCCCTTGCCAGAGCCAGTAGAGGTAACAGAAGGAGTGACGACACTAGACATGGACATCTCATCATCATCCCGCGCGGGAGTGTAGAGGGAATTAGGGTTTAGGAAAGCAGGTGCTTTGTTGTCCGAGTTGCGAGTTTGCTGATAGCTCTTTTTGGGAAATATACTGGGAACAACGAACTCGGCTGAGTGTCTAAGTTTAAACAGTAAGTAAGGTTGGGTCTTCCGGTATGTTCAAGGGACACTTGCCTGGTGCTAAGACCGACGCGACCGACACTTGGGGCGGATTTGACTGCTTTCACGCCTTTTGTCAATGACTTCAGCCTCATCAGCTTGTCTCCGTAACGAGGAAAGCGTTTAACACCAAGGAGGTGCTTTGGGCTCCTTTCCCCAAGGACTTCTTTCACTGGTCCTCTACCTAAAGGGTCTTCGATAGGGCTCATACGCTGACGCTTCAACGGAGGCGGTGATATTAGAGGGGGCGTCCGATCCTTTTTATTTTGATGACTTTGAGCTTCCCCTTTGCCGTTCACTTGGCCAATTCCACGGTCGCAGAGTAGAGAACTTGGCAAGCCGCTCATCGGGCCATGATGAGGGAAGCCATGTCGAAACGACTCATTGGTCTCCTTGATAATTGAAGGCATATCTATTGTTTCTCGATCTTTATCGGCAAACGCTGGAACTGGGCAAACAGTGCTATTCTGGTTGTTTTGGTGATCCGTATACCCAGCAGACTGCTCTTCAGACAGGCCCTGTTTCAAAAGATTAGCAGTGTATTCAAAGACTCCAGACATTTCGGCTCTTCATTGACGACGTAATATCAGATCTTTTCAGTTTATATTTAAAGTCAGCAGGTCGCTCCGTTCGAGGCTACTGCTCTCCCCTCACCTGGCTCTTCGCAACGCCCACGTAGACGCAGAAATAGCAACGGTCCAAGTGCAAGGGCAAAGATAGCAACCATCAGAAGGGAGTAATGCGATATGACCTTTTACCAGTGTTCATCCCCGAGGGCGCAGCACGCCAAACGCGTGGTTAGGAAAAGAAAAAATCGCGTCTCTCACCTGCGCATTCTGCGTTTTATGCGGTATTGCTGGCTGCGAGAGGTGTGCACTCGGATTTCTTACAATAGGAAGTTCTCCCTTACTAGTTGTGTTCATAGCGTGGAAAATTTGCTCCTGCGGTAATAGAGACGAACTGATTAAGGGGAGCGATCGCTCGCCTCTGAACGGCCAAACAGACCTTGAAGGGGTGGGTCGTCATGCGAGAAGTTTATCGTGGTTGCGAGAGAAGAAGTTTGTTTCTGGTACCGGTATGCAGGTGCGGTTGAGGAACACTAGAAGCCACGAAGTCACGTGCATTGCGCCACCGCCACTGCCGCCCCACTCAAGCTGCAGCCGCCAGAGAGATATGGATAGTCGACACCTGGACGCTTGCATGTATTCTTGGGTCTCCCTTTACTTTTGGTGTCGCCTGTCTTGAGACTGCGACCTACGCAGCCATGGATTTTCTCAAGTCTGCAGTCGCTTCGGCCATATCAAAAGGGCCGGCCTTTGGGTACAGTTTTGGTGATCGGGTAGACGTTGACGAATCCATCTGGACATTGTACAATGGCACAAAGCGAGTATGGCCGATACTATTTTAACACCCTTCTATTACTTCGTATCAGGCTGACGTTAAATCCGCAGGATGATGGCTCGAAGTGCAGCATATTCTCCTTTGACGTCAGCGCGAACAAGTCTCGACTACCCCTGGCCCGCAATGCGGTCCGCAAGCTACGCACCCTCCGACACCCGGGCGTTGTGAAAGTCTTAGACACTGTAGAAGTATATATCACACAGCGGACTGTTCAGGGCCCAAGCTAAGACAGCGCAGACGGAGTCATACATTTACATTGCGACAGAGAGGCTCACCCCATTGAGTTGGTATGTCAAGAGGAAGAGTCTCGCTGAAGAGACGCTGAAATGGGGCTTGCATAACATTGCCGTAAGAAGTTTTGCAATGGTGAGGTAGTTGAGGCTGACATTTCGTCGACCAGAAAACCCTCAAGTTCATCAACAGCGACGCAACGTCCGTTCACGGCTCTATCCGTCCCGCCTCCGTCTTCCTGAGCGAGAGCGGGGAGTGGAAGCTTGGAGGCTTCGATGCCCTGAGCTCCATGAAAGAGGACGATGCCATTCTTCCTGTGAGTCAACCTATCAATTCCCGGCTGGGTGGCGTTGACTTGCAATTTAGACCTATGGCGGCCTCGTCCCCGACTCAGGGCGATATATGCCTCCAGAAGTGTCAAAAGGTGGATGGGAAGTCATGCGGCAAAACCCTACGCACGCAATAGACGCGTACAATTTTGGCACTCTCATCCACGAAGTCTTCAATGGCAGTTTCCTTGGAAGTGACCACCTCGGACAGATGAAGAATATTCCTCCAAGTATGCATCAGAGCTACAAGCGGCTACTCAACGCAAACCCAAAATCACGAATGAGTGTGGGTCAGTTTCTGGATCAGGGGCGACGCCTAGGGGGTTTCTTCCAAACGCCCTTGATTCAAGTTACCGATGATATCGAATCTCTGGGTCTAAAAGGTGATGCTGAGAGGGACGAGCTTCTCGGGAAACTGGATGAAGTCGCGGATGACTTCCCCGCAGATTTCTTCAAGATGAAGGTCTTGCCCGAGCTTCTCAAATCAGTCGAGTTTGGCGGTGGCGGTGCAAAAGTCTTTAGCACTGTCATGCAGATAGGGACGAAACTTTCCGACGAAGAATACGAGAGCCAGATTACGCCCGTTGTCGTCCGTTTATTTGCAAATCCAGACCGGGCGATCCGGGTGTGTCTGTTGGATAATCTCCCTTTGATGATTGACCGCCTGCCTCAGAAGATGGTCAACGACAAGATTTTCCCTCAAATGGTCACCGGATTCACGGATGTCGCCCCGGTAGTAAGAGAGCAAACGGTGAAGGCAGTCCTTGTGGTGGTGCCTAAGCTGTCAGATCGGATCATCAATGGCGAATTGCTACGGTACCTAGCGAAGACCTCCAATGACGAACAGCCTGGCATCCGGACGAACACTACTATCTGCCTAGGGAAGATTGCACGCAATTTAGGTGCCAATACGCGGGCAAAAGTACTCTCTGCTGCTTTCGCAAGATCGCTGCGAGACCCCTTTGTGCATGCTCGAAACGCCGCTCTAATGGCACTAGCTGCAACTTCCGACCTTTTCACTGAAGAAGATTGTGCTACAAAGCTTCTTCCAGTAATGTGTCCTTCGCTTGTCGACAAAGACAAGGGGGTCCGCGACCAGGCCCAAAAAACGCTGGATATATATCTTGCCCGCATTCGTAAATACTCTCAAACTCTCCCTGATGCTGCTCTCCCCTCTCCCTCAGCCTCTTCCGCTACAACTGGCGCTCCTCGCATGGGAACACCCGCCAACGATACATCTTGGGCGGGCTGGGCGATATCGTCCTTCACCAACAAACTCACTGCCGCAAGTGGAGATATCCAATCCGGGAGCAATGGCCAAGCCACACAGCAACGCCCATCCTCTGTCCCACCTCCGACTACCTTGAAGATGGAGAAGCCTGCTTCGTTGACTTCAAAAACCGGCATGGCCCTCACGAGACACGGCAACACAGTCCCTTCCATTATATCGCCAGATACATCAACCGGCTTCGATGATGCAGACGATTTCGGTGATGATTGGGGTGGTTTTGGAGACGACAACGGAGTCTCCAAGGATAAGGAAGAAGAAGATCCTTGGGCACCTACAGCAAGCATGAACACAACAACTACAGCTTTTGAAGATAAGGGTGAGCCGGATTTTGCGGGTTGGTTAGCAGCGCAATCGCAATCGAAACAAAAGGCTAAGAATCCATTACCAAAAGGGTTGGCAAAGCCTTCCGCAACAAAGATGACACGACCGGCTGTTGGCGCAAGACCGAATACTACCGGGGCGACCGGGGCACGAAAAGTGGTTACTGCTCCGAAAAAGGAGACCCCGAAGGCTGAGCGAAAGAAAGCTGCCGAAGACGAAGAAGAAGGGTGGGGAGATGCCTGGTAGTGGGTTTAAGACGAAGAGGAGCGATTCTAGATAATACCCCATTTCGAACTGTAAATAGTGCAGCATTGCTCAGGCGTTCATAGAAGTCTGGATCCAACGTTATGGTTTTAGCTTTCATGGCTCCAAAAAGGCTAGATGAAGAATGGCATAAGACGACGCATTCAACACTCAACGTGCTTAGCTGAGTGATGTTTTACTGTCTCTTATGGCGTAGAGGAATGGAGATCTGAAGAAGTCGAAGAAGGGTCCATGTCATTAGGAATTCATTAATGTTTCTCCCCTCGCTACTTTTACACATTTATACACGCCTCAAATTCTGCCCAATCCATGGTACCTTCGCTAAGCTGCACCCCTATTCGCCTCAACCATGTGCGGCGTCTCTCGGGTCACCAACTTCTTCGCTTCCAGAATTTCCTGCCGGCTCATTCCCATATTACTCAGATACTCATTGAAAGCTCGAAGGATCTTCTCCAGTCCCTCCTTCAGGCTCTCCAGCACAGCCTGGACTTCGGGGATCTTCTTTCTCTCGGTGTCTTGCCTCGCGAGACAATCCAGGTCTGTCCAATGAACATCCAGTCCTTGCATATATGTCTCAATCTTCTTGATAGCTAATGAAAATGTGCGGATGATTTCGGGCACTTGTCCGTTGAACTGGCCGTACTCGTCTTCCTTTAGGCTTGCAACTGTAAGGTTTGTGAGCGAAGTGATGGCGTTCATGATTGCGGACTGGCGGGAATATGGAGTGCCATTGATGACAGCGTTGGCGTGGCGCCGGACGCAGCTTCTCCAGGGCCAGCCGAGTGGGGAAGCAACCAGTTTAGTTTTGTAGACTGTCCACAAGCTCTCTGCTTGGCGTGCGCCCTCGTTAAGCTGGACCTGGCCTTTCTTCAGGTACTCTCGTGCTTTGGAGTCGGCGGCATTTTGGGGAGAACTATGTGCTCGGGCAATTTGACTCGTTTTCCACTCAATTCTTCCCATACGAGTTGTTGGAAGGGGCTCCGGGGCGGCGACCTGGTCTTGTCTAAGCGGCTGGGAGATGCGGGATACGAGTTCAACAGGGCTCGCTCTTGTTGGTTTGCCATTCTCGTGAGACTTGTGGGCTCCAAGGGAGGCGTCTTCGATGCGCTTTGTGATGTGATTGATTTCGGCAAGACAGAGCTCGGTGACCTGTTTACAGGTTGGTCCCTTCTTTCGGTCGAGATCGCCGTAGATGCTCTTTCGGCGGTCGTCGAAACGGTCGGTTATCATTGCGAGTTCCCATAAAGCAATGTTCTAGAGCACGTTAGTGCTTGAATCCATCATCAGCTTGGCGTTAAAATGAACATACATTAACTTGTTGCTTCTTCGACTTCAGACCATTCAGAAGACTACCATTAGGGTCCTTGGATTCACTGGTAATGGGCTTGTCTTTCTTTAGCGGCTCCTCGGAGATGTATATATCGAAAGTGGAGTTCGCGAACTCCCAAAGCAATGCAAGCAAGGTGCCTTCGGCGACGAACATGGCAGACAAAGTGAAGAAAGGCGGCAGGCCAGTGGGCTTCGAGGTCTTCGCAAGGCTGACGAGGAAGCGCGCACCCCAATAGTGCCATTGCCAGAGCACCCAGCGGAGACCGAGGAAGTAGACCACACTGCCAACACCATATGTTGAGAGCATCGTGGCGAAGGCGCGCGGGACGATTTGCCACAATTTCTGGAGAAGGCGATCATGGATTGCCTTAGCTTTTGCGGTAGGACTTGATTCGCCGTCCTTTCGTTCCTGCTTGGGTCTTAGACCGGGAACCTCGATATTGTCGTAGTCGTTCCACAGGTGAATAACTGTCTGTACCACAGAAAGGAAAATGAACAGGTATCGAAGGTACAGCGGCCGCTCATTCAGCTTGATCCTCTCATACAGCTTGCCATGATCTGTGAAATCCAGCCTTGCCGACCGGGGTTGCGACCAGATGTATATCTCACTATAGAACCAGGCGGAAAAGCTGTATATTGCAAGCGTCGCAAGGGTGTTCTTTCTGAAAGCGAAGGTGAGGAAGGTTTCAACGGGCCTTGCGGTGTTCCGCCGTCCGACATGCCACTGGGAGACACGTAGGACGTATATGGAGAGAGCTGGGATGAACAGCAGGAGCGATCGGATGCCCACCGAGCTGAAGGGGATTAAAGACCAGAGCACTGAGCTATCCCACTTGCCCATCCAGATGGCAATCAGGTAACAGAGCCCGTATGTGTAGAGACTGGCGCTCATGAACCGACGGTGCAAAGCCGGCGTCATGAAGTCGCGATACGGCCGCGTTGGGACGGCAGGCGCCATTGCGGTGGGTGCTGTAGGGGGAAGGCGCTTGGAGTAGAGGTATATATTTATACCATGGCAGGTCCAAAAGCAAGCGATCAAAAAGGCTGACAACAGAAGGAGGGAAGAGAATGAAAGTGCGTCCTCGGGGTGAAAATGAAGCCCTTGGACAGCTTCGTTGAGTTTCTTCAAACAAAACACTTGCCAAGAGCACGTCGTCGGGGGTACCGCGCTCGAGCTCCGACGCGTCACGTGTAACTCATCTTGGCGTGCACGGCTTCGTCATTCGCCGCGGCATCGTTCCCTCCTTCCAGGTAGCGACATTCACTACCTTCAACCGCTCCCCTCCAGGCCCCTCATACTACCCGCACATCCTTTCACGACTCTGGCTTCACTTTCTTCACAATACACATTGTCGCTAACACAATCCGGCTCCGTCCTCTAGCGTATCGCCCTGCTAAGTGGTCGCAATCATGTCATTCCAGCACTCCTCCGCCATGGAATCGCAGCCTACCAACTGGCGACGGGAAGACGACCCACAATATGCCGACGACCCCGAGTTCCGCGATCTCACCCAGGAGCTCTCCGACAAGCTCTTCTCCCTCACATCCAACATATCCCGTCTATCGAGCCAACTTGCCCTGCTTGGAACAAAGCGAGAGACGGAGCGGGTTCGAGAGCGAGTGCGCGACATCATCGATGAGACGTCCGCGAGCTTCAAGGAGATTGGAGAGGGGCTGAAGAAGGTTACGACGTGGCCGGACGTGGGGGTACGTCCATCGATAACAACCCTCACGGTTAGACAGAAGAAGACTGACACCTCACGATACAGCCCTCGCAGAAGTTCACCCAAGCGAAGCTAAACCGCGAATTCAAAGCCTCCCTCACCGAGTTCCAGCAGCTCCAGCGCCAAGCCATTGAAAAAGAAAAGGCCTCGGCCTCTGCCGCACGCGCCGCCCTCCAGGACCAATCCTCCCCCACCCAAGAACACGGCAGTTTCCAGCAGCAGCAGGAGCAGGAGCAGTTGCGGCTCGCATCTCAGGATGAGGTCGACTTCCAGGAATCCCTGATCATCGAGCGTGAGTCCGAGATCCGCAACATTGAGCAATCTGTCGGCGAGCTCAACGAGCTTTTCCGCGATGTGGCGCACATGGTGCACGAGCAGGGAGAGCAACTTGACATTATCGAGGAGAACGTCGAGGTTACGCACGATGCCAGCCAGGGCGCACATAAGAATCTCGTCCAAGCGAATCGGTACCAGAAGAGTGCCCGAAGTAAGGCGTGCATCCTCCTGCTCATCTTGGCTATCGTTTTGGTCATTATTATCTTAGCAGTTGTGTTGGACTAGCTTATATCTTGGGAGAAGAGGCATTTACTCCTTTGCAATTGGCATCAGCATTGTAATCTCTTAAGAGTCCTTATACCACGGCGTCGCGCGGCGTTATAGGCACCTGTTATGGCACGTTATTGCCTCCCACAGAACATAGTTAAGGTGGCGTTAATTTGTTAAATCTCTTGCTGGAATTAGAGAAATTGCCAAGAGAATGCTCGTTTCTGCATTAAATCAGGCCGTCGTACTCTGTCCCAAATGCCAACTTGCCAAAACTAGCACTCTACACTGACAGCCTTCCCGAGCCTCCGCTTGGACATGCCTTTCTATACACAGTTCGACGCCATGCAATTTACCATCAGGCTTGCTGAATTATGAGTGACAGACATATATCATCAAATCTAAATCGAGCCTTCTTCATGTTTTCATACATTCATCCCATACCCATACATAATCTTACAGCTCCATCCAGACAACCCCTCACACCGCTACAGTCCCACAAGCCTCAATGCTCTCATCTTGACTCCCTCCCAACTGTTCAGCTTTGGCCTCACATCAAGAAAGAAGTTCAACTCTTTCCCCGCCTTCTTCTCGTCCCTCCCGGCATAGAAATCAATGACATACTCGATCTTCTGTCCACACCGATCCACAACCCAGTCGTGACGGTCAAACGGCGCTTGATAGCCAATCAGTGTGTTCCACCGAGCACGGGGGGTAAGGGAAGATGAGAGACCGGAGAAAGAGGCAAGGCGGGGACCACCACAACTACAGAAGTCTATTAGCACTAGGCCCATTCATGGAGTTCCTAATAACCTAGCGCACGACCCTGAGATAAGGACAGAATGAACTTACGATTCAGAGCCCCTCCCTTTCTCCCACGCTTTGATCTCCACCCAAGCCCTCTCATTCACGGCATTATGGATCGGAACGATCGTCTGCATATCTGTTTCCCGCGCACTGTAGCTTTTCCGCTTCATGGCATTAAAGAACATTTCTTCCGAAGGGTAAATCCAGTTGCCAGTCTTCTTGTCTGCGCCCGTGTCTTGCTCGCTGTTCGCCGGTCTGCCTGCTGTCCCATCTTTGGACTCTGAAGGTAGCGCACGCGGTATGGAGGAGATTTCACGGTGCGTGCCGAGGCGCAGCGTGGAGAGCAGCCCGCGGGAGGAGGAAGGTGAAGGGGTTTGGTCTACTTGCGAGGAATCGCACCCATCAGACTGGAGAGGCGAATGTGGAGACTGCACACTGCCATCCGGGTTTTGCGATTTCGCCTGTCTAAGCCATTCTTCCCGAGTTTTGTGGTCGACGGGGCAGGCGGAAGCTGGATCTTGTTCGGAGGGCATGGATGAAGCTATGGAGGTGCGGGCGTGCAGTGCGGAGCTCTCGGTGATGCTATGGAAACTTTGCGTATCGAGGGGAGGTTCTTCAGCCACAGGAGTGTGGCGCAAGGTAAGTAGGTGGCGCAAGATAAGTAGATGCTCATTGGACGAGCGAGCGACAACAACCTCACCGCTTCGGAGGGGTCTATATAAATCTAGATTCACTCTGTCGTCTACATTCAATTGTGCGAGATTTGGTGGTTTTGGCTTCTCAAGGCCAGCTCTAGCTTCCCTCTTCTCTCTCTTCTTAATTTTACAGTGTTTTCAACCCCCCTCCTCCTCCCCAGTCCCCTTCCCTTCGCTATATACCCCTCCACGCCTCTTCATAAACAAAACTTTCTCCTCCCTAACCCCGCAACTCCCTAACTCCTTCTACAATGGCTGAAATCTACCGTGCCAGCACTACCGCCCCCGTCAACATTGCCGTTATAAAATACTGGGGGAAACGGGACCCAAAGCTCAACCTCCCCACTAACTCGTCCCTTTCTGTCACGCTCTCGCAATCAGACCTCCGCACCCATACAACCGCTTCCTGCTCTCCCTCGTACCCTGCTTCCGACTCCCTCCTCCTGAACGGCTCCCCGCAAGATGTGTCTGGCGCGCGAACCCAGGCTTGCTTCCGCGAACTGCGAGCATTGAGGAAACAACTCGAGGATGCAGACTTGGCGGTACCCAAACTATCGGCCATGCCGTTGAAAATCGTATCCGAGAACAATTTCCCCACGGCAGCCGGACTAGCGAGCTCAGCGGCAGGCTTTGCGGCATTGGTCCGCGCAATTGCAAATCTATACGAGCTGCCGGCTTCCCCGACAGCGCTGTCTCGCATCGCAAGACAAGGCTCTGGCTCGGCTTGTAGGAGTTTGTTCGGAGGCTACGTGGGCTGGGAACAAGGCTCCGCAGTTGACGGCTCCGACAGCGTAGCATTCCAGGTGGCGCCGGCGAACCACTGGCCAAGCATGCGGGCCATCATCCTCGTCGTCAGTGCTGCAAAGAAAGGCGTGAGCTCTACAACAGGGATGCAAGCCACAGTCGCCACATCCTCGCTATTCGCTTCACGAACAAGCGAGATTGTGCCGAGGAGAATGGCAGAAATGCAGAAAGCGATTCAGGAGAAGGATTTTGAGACTTTTGGAAAAGTGACCATGATGGATTCGAACTCCTTCCATGCTACCTGTCTGGATACGTATCCGCCTATCTTCTACCTTAATGATGTGTCTCGTGCCGCCATCAAAGTTGTTGAAGAAATCAACGCTTCCGCTGGCAAAATCATCGCAGCGTACACTTTCGACGCCGGGCCAAATGCTGTGATTTACTACCTTGAGGAGAACGAAGTACAGGTGGCAGGATTGTTCAAGGCGATGATGGGGGAGAAGGAAGGCTGGAAGAGTGAAAGGGGGGAAAAGGTCCAAGGGAACGAGCAGGCGTTCCAGGCCGTAGAGAAAGAGGCCGGCGTGGCGGTGGCGTTGTTAAGAGAGGATGTTAGTCGGGTCATTCTGACTGGTGTTGGAGAGGGCCCAGAGAAGACGGAGGAGAGCTTGATTGATGAGAAGGGGCAGCCTACTACTTGAATTGGAAACGAACTGGTAGGTGAAGGCCTGGGAGATTGAGCTAGTAGATACCCGTGATAACGATCGAATCGGAGCGTTGGTCCCGAGACAGGAACGCAGCAGAAATCAAAGTTTTAGTCAGAAATGACATCGCTGTCAAAGAACTCTATACTCCAAAAAAGTAGATATGTTCGTGTCGGCTAAGTATAGCCTGCTGCGACACGCAGCTAAGTTGCTGCTCGCACACCCAGAACGCCGTCATGCAATATGATATGGATCCAGTACCATCAAACCCATTATAACCGCGACCGCTCGGCTAAACTTCTACAAGGCAGAGAAATACAGAAATTCGCCAGACACCATAGGCCTTTAGGTCAACGCACATTATGCTTATCGCTAATGATACTGCTAATAAACTCCCAACTCCTTTAATCTCTTACAGTTCTTCTTCTCCATCTGCCTCGCCGCCCTCAACTTGTCCTCATCATCCGAAAGCCAGCCACGCGCTTGCTGCATGAGTCTTGCTTGCTGCTGGTGTTCGTATTCGCACTGCACTGTTAGTGAATGCACATATTTAGTCTCCGCCATTTCATCCAGTCTCCGCCACTTCTTCGCGCTGTAATCTTCGACATCAATGGGGTTTACCCAATAAGGAATCTTTAAGCGCAGCGAGGTGCGATGGTATGTGGCGGGGGGTTTTGGGCCTTCGAAAACGATGGAGGCAGCGGGCGATGAGGTATTACCGCTAAAAACCGAGGAAAGAAGAGGGAGAATGAAGAGAAAGAGAAGTGGGAGGAGAGAGGAAAGCGCGCTGGATAAGCTGGGCTGCGGCTCCGAGCCAGGCGGCTGTGCGGTGTCAGGACGTCGTCGGGGTCGTCCACCGCCAAATTGGTGGACGCGGATGCCAGGACCGCCGCCCAAGTTGAAGACAAAGCCAGGTCCGGTGTCGAAGATACCGCCACCTGGGACTCTATATCAGCATACGTCGCCATCGACAATAGAGACTTGAGTGTTTGAAAATCGCAGGGACATACCAAACGGTCCTCCGAATCCACCGCCCATGCCTCCTCCGAAGAACTGCCTGAACATTTCTTCTGGCGATATCTCCTCTTCCCACATGGGACCTTGTCGCTGCGCGCCAGACGACCGTCCGAAGTTGCTGAACGGTGATGCGCCGGCTGAGGAAGCGCCTGGGAAGCGAGCATCGGGGTCACCGCCAAAACGATCGAATTTCGCCTTCTTGTCCGGGTCGGAGAGGATTTGGAAGGCTCTGGAGACCACTGTCTCTGGATCAGCTACAATGTCCACAGTGACATAGATCGACCCCTTCCCGCCCAATTAATCCGCATTCACTAACTTGCGAATAGGAAGAGAAATAGTATGCATACTCTTGAACGCATCATCTGCCCCGTCATACCCATTCTTGTCCGGATGCGTTAATAAGCTCAACTTCCGATAGGCCTTCTTGATGTCGCCTTCACTACACGATGATTTAACCTCCTCCAGTCCTAGAATCTCGTAGAAGGCGGTCGGCGAGCATCGCTTTATGCGGATGACGGCTGCTTTTTGTTCGACAGTGAACGCTCGGCCTGCGCTGCCGTCGTGATGTTGTCGGTTTTTTGCATCACCGTTGGGTCGGGGGTCCGCGCCGCTGGCCTTTGCGGACATGGCTGTGATGGACGTGGGTGTTGTTGTGAACTAGGCCGAGGGGGCCGGGGAGCAGTTCGGCGCCGATTTTCAAGGCAAGCGGCGGTGATATTATTATTAGTTGCGGAAGCAGGTGTAGAGGGGGTGTTGGAATAGGAGGTGGGTGGGATAAGGGTCTGGAAGTTTTGGACTTGGTTGAAGTGGCCACACGGCTGCCAGGAACAAGCGTGCGCACAGACCGTGCATGTCATTGACTTTCCAGACTTAGGATGAATGCTATTGCAACTTTCGCTTCACCTCACCACAGCATTCTATATCAAATCCACTTCCGAATCTCTTTCGAACACAATGGCAGAAAATACCGCCAAACAAGGGGTTCTCAAATCCCTCCGTGACTGGGGAGGTTCGTCATCTACACCACACCCATCTATTCTTTCTCACGTGCTTCGGCCTTTACCAATACTCACCTGCCATATCTAGAAAATTCCGTCCCTCCAACCCTCCTCGCAACTCTCATAACGGCCCAGCATATGCGGCCCTTCCAGCCCCTCCCCATGATGTTCCCTCCCGTCCTCTTGTTCTCAAGTTACTTGAATTTGAGTGACTACAAGACTGATGCTGCGGGCATCACGGCCGCGTGGAGTGGTCTGTATGCGCTTTTGGCGCTGAGGAGGAGTACTGTAAGTCTAAACCATTTTCTGTTGAGATTGAGCATGAGATTTTGGAACTAACGGATGGATGTGCCTCTGCGCAAGTGGCCTTAGCTAACGAATGCTTAGGGACTGAGGAAGAAGTTCACAGTACGAGGAGTCGTACGAGGAGCTTCATTGGGCCTTTGTGCAGCAAATGTAGCGGGCTGTGGCTTAGCCTACATTTTTGGACAAAGAGAAAAAGAGGGATTGTCAAAAAAGGAATGAATGTTAGATGTCGCCCTACTGTACCATATTGTAATTGTAAATCTCAATTTGACTCGACGGGGACGTATTCGCATATATACTAGGTATTAGGGGCCGGCTGGGATGTTCATGTATTGTTCCATTTCCGTAATCCTAATGTTGACCTATGAACCGGCACTACCTTGGTGGAGTAATGGCTTCATGGCTTCATGTATATCTCAAGACCTAGCTATAGTTCGTCGCTTGTTCCACAAATGATAAGTACGCACTAACCAGGTCATCTTCACTTCTGCCATCCTGACCCTCTATCCTCGAGAATCATGCGCCATAACGCCTCGGATGCACAGCCATAACAATAGTTCCGGTCCCATGCCATCATCGATTGCCTACGACGTATCCATTGGATCTCCACTACCGCCAGCAGTATTCCTCGAGGCCAATCGCAGGGCCTTCTTCTCAGTCTTCCAGGCCCGAATCTTCTCTTTCAGCTCCGTGTTAGGAACTACTTGGTCGATGGTAAGAGGCACACGATTAAATGGGTCATTAGGATCGCTCAAAAGATGGCTCCGAATGGTGCTGCGATCGACCGTTTGCTTGCTCGATGGCAAGATGACAGGGTCTTCCATGAGCGACGCCATAATAGGATCACTGAATTCGTCAGGAATCTCTCCGAGATCCGCCTCCTCATCATCAGCCTCATCTTTCGCAGCTTTAATCCGCTGGGCAAGTTGTTCCCAATCCTGAAGCTGCTCGGGAGACTTGAGAGTATAACGCTGCAAGATGTTCATCGCAGTCGTGAAATTCTCAGGCTTGTATGATCGGCCGTCTGTTGCGACGGAGTCAATGAACCGCTTCTTATCCTTCAGATTCAAATAGACGTCGGATATCTCCGAGAGCATCTGTCTCGGGTTCCACCCGTACTCCTCAGCTTTGTCAACCTTCAGATTCGCTTTCTTAGGACCAACAAGTGCATCCAGGTTATAGTCCAACATATGGGCTAATCTCTGAACAATTTCGGGCATGGTAAATGAGTCCCCGAGTGCTTCTGTGAAGAGTTTTAACATGGATACGGTTTCATTGGTTAGCTGCATGTAGCTCTTTGCTTTTGACTCAGCAGCTGCCAGTTTCTCCTCGTTCTCTTGTCGAGTGTTTGTATCCATGTCATCTGGTGAGTTCTTGAGTAGCTTCGAAATCTCATGAATCTGCGTGAAAGCCGTGAACGACTCGTCTAGAACAAATGTGACGTCATTCAGGAGAAGATTGACGAAGTGAACGAAGAAGTCTAGATTAACACTACAAAAAGATTAGTCCTTGATACAATGAAGACGTAAGCTATGATACGTACCGAGCCTCGGTACCAAGATTCTCCCGATAGACAGGATTCGGCCAGATACAGCGGATTACTTGGAAGATCTCATAACGGATGTTGAACTTGTCATAAAATTGAGTGTGTGCGCCGGTGCTCTCACATTCGATGTAAAACTTCATAAGGGCATGGAGTAAGTGCTTCGTCGCAAAATCGTGAGCAAATAGAACATCCCCTAGGACGCCTCTTGAACGACCATATACAGCCCACACACCATGGTAGAGAATTGTGACAAGACCCGATTTTAAATACGGGTTCTTAATGTACTCGGAGCTTCGTAGAAAGGTGATACAGACCATCATCAGCTCTTCGCACTGCGTAGAGGTGATGATCTGTGGCATATATCTGGTGATGAACTTGAAGTTGTCGACAATGTCCTCTAGGAAGTACTCGGGCAAGCACTTAAATGCCTGCGGTTGTTCGGCCGGCAAAGGCAGCTGAAGGGGAGTCCGAGGAAAGTCAAGATTTGGAGAGACCAGCCTCAGCAGCCATACTATGACATAACGCATCAACTGCATTGACCTCGCTTGGGAGACTTCATCTAACAGCACCCCTTGAGTTGCCAAGATCGTGCAGTGGCCTTTCTCGATCTGATCTTTGATCTTCTTCACATGGTTGTCGAACAGCGCCAGCTGCATTGGATTCTTAAGTAGTGTTAGCGTGAGCCTAGTTCCAAAGGAGGGGATAGATATCTTACCTGCGCGAACTTGTGCCGCTCGACTTCCATTTTTGCGAGCTGCTTTTCTAGCCACTTCACATCTTTCTGTAGTTGTGATAGCTTGGTGTTCGCCGCTTCCGTTCCATAATGATGAGCGGCTACTGTCAAGAAGAATACTTCAGTGATGAAATTAGTCGTTCCTCCCGTTTTCACGCTGTAAAATTCATCTGAGGCATGCTGGTCGGCATTAATCTTGGTTTCATCCTCGATCTCAACGCGTGGGGAGCGACGAAGGTAATCAATGTCAATCCGGTCAATCTTGGAGAAAGTGGCATCCATGAAAGGCTCGCACAACCGGTCAAGAACGACCGTGACGTTTACCATGAACCCATCGGACGAGACCTCTTTCGCGTCCACTTGTAAGGCCCTCCGCTTGTGGTTCGCATTCACGGTCTCCGCAAACCAATTCAATATCTTCTCTCTAGAATCTTTGACTTTGATAAAGCAGTTTGCAATATCAAAGAGCTCATCTTGGTGCGTCTGAAGAGTCATGCGAAGGGCTTTCTGCGAATTTGCAATATATCCCTTGTCCCGAGTAGTTGGACTCGAGAAGTAGTTCAGCGCAACTTCGCCTTGCATAGGGGAGAGTCGAAAGAACGGTCCCAGGAGGGTCCTGTTCTCGAGATGTTGGGGCGCAACGTCTGGTGGAAGGAATTTTGCAGACTGACTGAGCGCAATGAGCAGGGGCTGGTAGCGTACAAAGTTCCGCATCGCCAGGAGGTAGGGTTTGTAGTCGTCATTCATGGACATCTTAGCCAGTTGCCGACAAAGTTGCTCCATTGCACCAACAAGGACATCCTTGACACTTTCATCATCATCGAATCGAGCAACGGCTTCGCTGAGGAAATCGTGACAGAGCCCGCGATCGTGTTCGGAGTCGACCAGGAGATGTTCAGCCAGTGGGTTCAATGCGGGGGGATCCTCGCCAAACATGTCAGGTATTGTTACAGTAAAGATGCAGTAGCTGAAGCAAAGCCGTCGGGCTTCCTTAACCACGGCATACTTCGGGTCTTTCTTGTTGTGCATTCCCCGAAGCATTCTCGATACCCTCTTCCAGCATCCTAGAAGATAGTCGAGGGGTTTACCTTCAGACTTGCTTGATGCCGCCTCTAGAATCGCCTGATCCAATGTGTCTGTCGTCAACCTGAGGGGCCTGCCGTCATCCTCCAGGTCGGCCTTGACGCCCTCCGCGAAGTATAACCGGTGTCCATGTGCATCCTGGGTATAGTTCGGATCCAGGGTAACCCGAAAGATGCTGCTGATGGTCCTATCTCCCCAGGCTTCAATGCTGCTATCCTGAGCTGTCAACGCAGCCCGGCCCTCAGTGACGTTCTGCGGAGGGGGCTTGGACTTGATGTTTATTCGAGAGGCAGGCTTGCCCTCGGCTGCCATGCCTATTTGGGCGAAGGGGTTCGGTTCCGATGCGTCTCGGGCCTGGTACGGTGGTTCTACAGCGGTTGGCGGCGACTGGTTCTCGTCGGGCTTCGGTGTCGAGCTACTGGAGGGTGAAGCTGTGGGAGCTGGCGAACGACGGGGGCTTCCGTTTGAGCCCGATGGGCCACTGAGCTTTGCAAGGCGCTTTGCTCGAATCTACTCTTTTGTCAGCTCTGTGGATTAGAAATGCGGAGGGCAACTGTACCTTGTCGGCGTCCGACATAGTGGAGTCTTGGTCAGCCATGTTGGAGCTGTCTGGAATTGTTGTGTCGGAGGTACTGGAGACAGCAAGTCAGAATAAATATGACGCTCAACAACGACGGTGATTCAGTTCGTGAGGGAAAGTTCAAGGGTGGTGGACGGGCTTTAGTGCCTGGGAACCTAGTCGTCGGCTGTGAGGCGTCACCAAACTGCTTCCCCCGCCACACTTAACTTCCACCAGAGCACGTGCCATGCGGGATATCGAACTTGTTAGAAGCCAAGCGAACTCGAACCTTTCAGTGCTGTGCACGGATTACTCGCCAGAGTAGAATGGCGTGTGCCGCTACTCGTTACACATAATAGAGGTTTGATTTTTAAGGGCAGTCAATGACTGCGATTGCATTTCTTGCTGGGAGTACTGAGACTTTGAAATTGCACCGCCAACACAGCGGAAGCATGTATCTCTCAATCATGTCCTGCATCCTATCATTTTACATGGAACATGTCGGGGGCTATTCCGGACAGAAGTTTGCATCCCGTTAGCCTTTTCTATGACTCTAACACCATGTATGACTGCTCAGAGCAGCCCTGTTAATTCTCAGTGGGAGATGCGGATATGCTAGGGAATGCCTCAAGGCAACACTGTGGGCAGTCCCACTATCGACCAGTCGCAAAGCGCAGCAGGACTGTGCTCCGACGATGTGCAGCTGCAGGACAACATGATTTAACAAGAAACTCTCGCTGGTGGACTTGGACTCGTTCTGCCTTGTGGGTTCCATCGCAAAAGCGACTCGAAATGGTAATATTTTGGCCTCCAGTAGCGAAGGCCTCCCTCCCATTTAGCCACAGAGGCTGGCCCCTTATGGCTGTGTAGGCCTGAAGGAGCCCATCTTGCTCGAGTATTGTCATAGGACAGCCCGATGGACTGATGGCTCATGAAGAGCGGTGAAGTAGCGGGAATGATAGAGTTATCAAGTTGTTGTGTCGTTGGATTTACGTGCAAGGACGTGGTTAAGCGGGTCTGGGGGAGATGCAGGGACAACCAGGCTCATCAATCCGAGCCTTGACAGGTGGATCCGCGCAACAGGACCTAGAGCTCCCGACGCCCGTCGAGAGGAGGAAACGCAGTCAAACACATCCAATAACCCTAAAAGCTTCTCCAAGTGGTCTCCAGGGACCAAAACAATGCTGCCAAGGTGGGACCCGCAGCTAGCGGGCGCCGAGGCGATGGTCATTCCTCCTGTGGGAATAGGCGCAGGCCGGTGAAGCAGACAACAATGAAAGGAAAACACGGGACTGAGACCGGACGACGGTAATGACGCATCACACAAGGTTGCAACCAGACGCCCCGCGCACCTCCGCAGTTGGCAGGCCGGCACATGTCGAGGCGCAGGCCAGAAGTGGACAGCTCGATGAAGCGCAGTTGAGCGGGGAGCTGAGTTTGCCCTCTGGAGCCTGGTACTAGAGCGTCAATCAGAGAGGGTTCGTGGGCCGCTCCACTGCAACAGAGGTGAGCAGAGGTGAGCAGAGGTGAGCAGAGGCGGGCATCGGGCGGGCGAATGATGGGCCATCGCCATCTCAAACACTGTGCTGAAACGATTCTTGCTTTCACGGCCGTTGTCGTGGGTGATGACGCGCCACCCAGAGCTGTTGCCGCGGCGCAGATAGCGGCTGATGGGCAGCCCAGGCAAGGAAGAGCGCGTCTCCCTTCACTGCGGCGGACTCCTCTGGTGAAGGCAGCGGGGACCTGGGGGACATTAGAGCAGCAGAATAATGGCACGGTGCAGGACGACGAGGAATAAAGAGAGATGCGCTCTAGGCGGGCGAGGAGGAAGAAGAAGAAGAAGATGATGATGATGATGAAGAAGAAGAAAGCAGCGTGGCTTTATCGGCCACGACGCATTTGCAGTGACCAGCTATCTCCAGGGCTGCCAATCTGGAGTCCTGATGCGCCCGCCTGGAGTGTGAAGCCGCTAAAGCCCGACTTGGGGTTGCTGCTTGCTTGCTTGCTCGCTCTGGCACTTCCACCTTCGCCTGCTCGACTCTCCGCTGCAACAACACGCTCTACATCCTCTCCTACGCCCGCCCTTCCGCCTGCTCGGGCTGCTGCACCGTCCGCGTCTGACTGAACTCTACACTGCACCAGCCACACTCGCTCGCCTCCTGTCGCCAAACAGCGCGACGCCAGGGCAACACAGCCGCAGTGAGAAGCCTCTAGCTGGTCAGTGCGGCCCTCCAGACCTGCCTGTGCCTGCTGCCTCTCACAGTCGTCCTCACCACCGACTACTTCAACCGCTCTCTCCGCTGCACGTTGGTTCCTCCTGCTGATAGTTCTCTGCCTCTCTAGCTCCCCAACCCGCCTCTGACACCCTCCCGCTTCCTCGCTTCCCCCCTCGCCATGGCGGAGATTCGTCGAAAGCTCGTCATCGTCGGCGACGGCGCCTGTGGAAAGACCTGTCTGCTCATGTAAGTCTTCCGCCAGCTCCCCCCACCCACTCCCCCTTCCCCCCATCGCCCTCGCCCTGGCTCGCGTGTCTCTGTCTGCAGCAGCTAACCCGCCTTGTGTGCAGTGTTTTCTCCAAGGGCACCTTCCCAGAGGTAAAGGCCCCTCCCGATCCCCTGCGCATCCCTGGGCTGCGTCAGCCTGGGCCATCGGCGTCTCCATCACGTCGTCCGCGTCCATCAACTCCCCGTTATGCATGTACTGACACAATGCATTGCACAGGTCTACGTTCCCACCGTTTTTGAGAACTACGTCGCCGATGTCGAGGTCGACGGCAAACACGTTGAGCTTGCTCTGTGGGATACCGCGGGCCAGGAAGATTACGACCGTCTCCGCCCCCTCTCATACCCCGATTCACATGTCATCTTGATCTGCTTTGCTATCGATTCGCCCGATTCTCTCGACAATGTCCAGGAGAAGGTACGGCCTGCATGAGCCTGTTTCTCTTGGAACCCACATACTGACGCTCTCCCCCAGTGGATCTCTGAAGTCCTGCACTTCTGCCAGGGCCTCCCTATCATCCTTGTTGGCTGCAAGAAGGATCTCCGTTACGACCAGAAGACCATTGAGGAGCTCCACAAGACCTCGCAAAAGCCCGTGACACCAGAGCAGGTCAGAACCGTCCCCCACAGCAGTAGCTAGAACACCAACTAACATGTATGCCAGGCTGAGGACGTTCGTAAGAAGATTGGCGCACAGAAGTATCTTGAGTGCTCAGCCAAGACCAATGAAGGCGTCAGGGAAGTGTTCGAACACGCCACCCGTGCTGCTCTCCTCACACGGAAAGATAAGAAGAAGCCCAAGTGCTTGATTTTGTAAATCAGCACGTCCGGCTTAAGGTTCAGGCCGCCACAAGCCCATGACGACGAATTTGGACAAAGAATGCTTCTGTGGCGGTCCGTGTGTTATGGTGGCTCCTTCGCGATGGACACAGCGTGGAAGATGGATCTTGGTGGAAGGCGAATTGACCTACCCTGGCTAATTAGAGCCTTTTTCGATAGCACCTATGAGGCGTTTTGCTCCGGAATCTTGAAAGCACATCATCTTGGGGTAGTTCACGATGGGATTCTCAGCGGCCCGAAGAGATTGCGCAGGTTATCGGATTCAGCAATAGTAGGACTGTCTTAGAACTGCTTGCTCGAAAACTCTGGAGATCGTGTCAAGTATGCTAAGATGGTTTCCGCAATCCCCCCTCCCAGCAACGACCCCCCCGTATACCAACTACCTCTGGTCCTTTTCGTCCTGCGAGCTTTCTTCTTGGCCGACTCTGAGGAATTTCCTGGTTCTGAGCGCACATCGATTCCCTTTCCCTCCCCCTCTTTCATACCTGGCCTTTTCTATATATTTCGACTTGATGGCTGAATTGTTTGTAGTTCTGCGCATCCTCGGTGTAATAACTCTTTCATTTTCTCCGTGTGCGTCTCAGTCCTGTGTAGGGTGTTTGCAATTGATATCCTACAAGTCCTAATACCGCTCATCAGCGTCGCCATCTATCTGCTTGACGTGAATTTGGACAATCATGACCATCTTCCTCAGCACCGAACCTATTCCGAGTCTAATAATCCTAGCCCCACTCGCCCTAGATGCTTTCGTGTACATCCCGTAATCCGCTTCCGCACTTGCATGCGTCGTACCGCACATCCTTCACCCTCTTCCGTCGTGAACCCCACTATCGGGTTTGTAGACCCGATAATCCGTGATCCTCTGACCACTATTGTTCAAGTACCTTGTCAATTCGACATCGAACAAGTCAAAGATGAGTGTGTATGCAAGAATGAAAGTTGTCATCCGTGTGACAGACCTCAGAAGTTTTCACATTTTGCAAAGAGGAGCCGCCGCAAATTCACACCGTTCGAAGCAGTTAGCGTAAGAATTCGAAAATTCACATGTTAGCGTTCTATCTGTGTCATCCGATTCCTTCTAAGCGGTGAAAGCTGGCTGAACTGAGGGGCGATATCTGAGTCTCCTTATGATGTGACTTACCTTTGGCCATTTTCTACAAACGTTCTACGGCTTACGAGAGCGTTGTGAGATTCTAGACAATAGGCATGCGCAATGCAATGCTGGCGGGTGAGGATATGGATGTTTGTAGGGTAGGCTCGGCTCTGTCTGTTGAATGGAAAGTGCTGACTAGGTGGTTTGGCAGAAGTTCTAGATCGCTAAGGGGATGGGGGGATTTATGGCTAGAGAGAACGCTATTGTAAATAGCATGTGATGGTGATGGTACGATATTGCTATGCGGTATATGTGCCATCTTAGATGCTACGTTATCTTTTGATGGTAGAGACAGATCCCTAAAACGACTGCCTGACGGACTGAGAAATCGACTGTAAAAGTGGTCCATACTCTGAGATTCAAACATTATGTACAGCTAACGTAACCTGATGCTCGAACGTTATTCATCCAATGCTGAAATGCTGTTCCTGCAACAATGCTGAAATGCTATGTCCACCCCCAACCTCCCAAAATCAATCCAAAATATCCAGGTCGATATAGCAAAGAAGAGATCAAGAGTCTGACAAGACATGACATAGTTCGTACATATATGAAAACTTGGAAACTCCTCCAACACACACTTGATCTTTCACATGAACATAGAAAGTAATCCCAGCGCTATCGATAACGCGAAAGAAGATGCTGAAGCTAGCGGCCGTCCTGCATCACCTTTTGCTGAAGGGGTTGGTCCTGGTGTTTGCTGCGATTCTGCCGTTGGATTGGCGGCGTTGCCAGAGGCAGGGGATGTTGCCGAGGATGAGGCGCCTAGAGATGGAGTAGAGTTAGGACTATGACTAATGGTAGGCGTTGAGGTTGGTGAGGATTGCTCACCTTTCGAAGTCGCCGTCCGGGACGCCGCACCTGATGTAGCGCTCGCGCTCGAAACAGTTTCTTTCCCAGCCTCCTTGACGCCAAATCCGACCTGGGAGTTGTCGAAGTCGAAGACCGAGTAGACATTCTTGAGGAAAACGTCTCCGACGAGCCATTGCGTATCGCCAAAAGTCTTGCGGCCAATGATATTGCTCTTGCAACTCCCACCTCCCAAGTCTCCGCCAATGTAGTCTGCTGTTGAAACGTTGTAGCTTTTTCCTCCAAACAGGAGCTGCACAACCTGCGTAGATTTGCAGGGGACAGTGAAGGTCTCTCCACTTTGGGAATACCCGGGGATGAGTTTGTGAACAGCCGCGGCGTCGTTAGCAGGCATTAGGATAAAACTCGTCCCAGAATCCAAAATCGCCGATCTTCCTTTCAGGCTGAGGGTTTTCCCATCAACACCTGCGTCATCTACAGGGATCTCCCAGAACCCATTATCATTATTTACAGTCTTCACATAGTTCAGATCACCGTCATATCTCTTGGTGTTAACCTCCCCGAAATTGAGCTCCCCATCGTTGGTTCCGTCCTTCGCCCTGCTAAGATGTATGCCAAAAAGTTTCGCTTTTATGAGTTTGGAAGTCGCAAGGACATCCATAAACTGAGGAGATTCGATAGTGCCGGGAACGGAATCGCCGCGCCCGATGCCCAGAATTCCATCCATGGGGTAGGACGAGAATTCTTGGGAGACATTTGTTGCGAGACCAAAAGTTAGACTGGGGCTGAGAGAAGAGAGGTGCATAGTGTCAGTTGCGATGATTCCAGACACAGACCCCGTGCCGTAGGTAATACTAAACGTAGTGTCTCCTTTCTGCAAAGTTCAACTCTATTAGCCGTCTTTCCCCACTGTTCCAGACGTCATATGAACGTAATAGGACCCAGAGGAGAGCTCACCTTCAGGCTTGTAGAGTCTCCTTCCCCAAACGTATTATGCGCCCCACAAGCCTCACTCTTACAATCTTGGCCCATAACCCACGTATTACTCGCCGCACTATCCAACAGCAGGTGATACTCCTCTTTACTGTCTCCAAACGTCACCGACACCATGTAGCTCATATCTGTGCCATCTTGGTCAATCGATTCGCTATTCTCCTGTGCCGGAGCCTTCGAGTTGACGATGTTGTACTTGTTGTCTCTTTGCTGAAGAGGGGTGGGAACTCGGCGTAGACGTAGCGTTGTTGCGCGCCAGTCGTCGGAGCCAGTGGAGAATCTGCCAGATGTATAGGTTCGCCGTTCGTGCCGCTGGGGGCTTGGAGTACCGCTGCTGTCACCGTATTCTGGTGTATAAGGATAGAAGGCCGTGACGGGTGGTGGAATCGATATGGACAGACATGCTGCTATGAATACGAGATGTGGTATTCCCATTATATTAAAGCTTCCCAGGGCATGCGAGGGCGAGAGGTGTGAATAGCTAGGTACAGATCATTTAAGACGACCTAGACTGTTTAAGAGTATAGATGGAGGAGAGATATGGAGAGACGTCGAGACAAGGAGCCGCAACCATGGATCGACGGTAGGGAAGGGGCAAAGCAAAGGAAAGCAAGGGGAAGGGAGCTGTGCCAATTGAGGGGTGCGGGAGTCCGATACGTCGTTCCGTCCGGAAAGTTACCCCTGCGCAATCTCAATCTGTCACCCCGAAAACTAATGCGAGCGTGGCAGCAGAACAAACAATGGAAGGGAGAGGGAAAGGAAGAAAGGAGAGGTGGAGGAGCCTTCATCTCCAAAGGCAGGTTCTTGAGGTGCATGCAAGCTGCATTCGCGACAGTGGCTCGTGAGCATTGAAGGGATGATCAGCTTGTGGCCCCTGAACACCCAGCCCAATGAACATGTTTGAAACAGCCACGGATGTGGCCATTCACCAATCGATTTCATGGAGACAGTCAGCCATGGAACTCTGAATCGCTTTTTCGATCATCGCATCGAGGAAATGGAATGTTGGGTGATGAGCACCTCCAACAGAACACCCTAGGGCCTGGTTTGTGACACGAACTTGTATCGTCTCAACCCCCTCCCTTGTCCCGGCAACCGTCTTTATGGATTATATCCCTTCTTGTGAGAGTTCCATGGGTGGCACCAATGGACATTAAAAATAGTGAAGTTCATGCAAGATTTTAATCCAACACATAGTAACCGAGGCGCTGGGACGGACAGGTACCGAACAGTACCTCGTCTGTCATCCAGCGAATAGATGTATGTAATACAACAGCTGTCAACGATTCAAGCTCAAAAGTCCTTCCACATATCTCCTGGCATCAATTCCAATCCCCTCGCCCAACCCCTTCGGGCCCCACCCAGCAGCTGCCCCGCCCATTTTTTGGCCAGTTGAAGGTACACCAAGCCTCCACATGCCACTGCCCATTCTGTTTCCTGAGCTCTTTGTTGATGAAACAGCGCCATCGCGAGCTAGGCGAACGAGGAAAGCTTCCCGCAGATCTGCCACATTGAACTCTTCCGATTCGGCCGACGTATTAGTGGGAGGATCTCGTTGAGAAGGTGGGAGTCTCATCCAGACTACCCACCACCCACGGCTGGTCTTGCATGTTCGTTCAATCTCTGAGAAGCTGCGTCGAGTGCCTGATACGGCCGCCAAAATCTGCGAGTGCACGTTGAGAGCCTCTACTCTATTCCAACCTGAGAGGCTAGCGGCGCTGCTAATTCCTTCCGCAATAAGTGTACCCGGCTCTGGAATGTTTGGAATACTTGTATGTATAGTAAGTGTGAGAGGGTCGTATACTAAATCATAGATTGGCTGCGTATTTGGTCCAGAGGTTGAGTTGGAAGAGACAGTAGTGTAGGGTTGAGAAGCTGCCGCAATGCGTGAGGCAACCTTATCTGGAGACGTGCTGTTACTCAGTGGGCGGTGTAAGGGGGAGAAATATGTGTGTAGATTCCGGTAGAATGAGGCAAGAGTCAGTGATTCCGTCCGATGATTGAATAGGAATGTGTAGATGAATGGACGATGCTGCGAACTTTAGAATGGATGGATTACATAGGCGTTTTGAGACTAGACCTACTACGTAGACGACAGGTCGCAGTCGTATAAGTCTGCGCGACGAACGCATCCCACCCAGCTCCTTCTCATAGGAAGGAGTCTTATCTTCCCAGCCTGGATCTTGTGTCGCTTTCTCGCCTGTGAGCTCAACGTGCACAGTTCGCAGTGGAATACGGTTGTTCCACTCGTCACCATCGTCGGCATTTTCGTCTTCCATGTCACCTTTAAGACCAATAATGAAGTATCCAGCATTCTCGTGCTGTATCTGTGTCTTCAGCTTCTCCTCTGCACGGTCAACATCAGGCTCAGGCTCTACGTAACGCATAGAGACCTCTGGCGATGCGTCTCCTTGGCAGGTAGTGTCTGGCGGTGAATATGGCTCACTGACTGGGGCGCTCTTCCCGCCCCAAACAGTGCCATAACCTAGAGTCATATATTTCATCCAGGTTTCCGCACCGCCTAGAGAAGCCATGATAGGTGCAGAATTGTTCATTTCAGATTGAACCGTCGAATCAACAGCGGTTGAGGCTTTGTCTAAAGAAGCCTCCACGGCGGAAACAATAGGAGGCGGTATGCCGGGCGGTATTCCAGAGCCTACATTCGTAGCGCTGCCACCCAAATGGGGTTGGGGTTGAACCTTCTTGGGCTCCGGAGTCGAGCGTCCTGATTCGGGCGCTTTGGGAGCCTTTCTCCGCCTCTTTCTTCGATCGGCAGTCGGGTTGTCTCGCACACCATAGGCATAGTCCCCGTAACAATATATCGACTCGATCCAGTGAGAGAGAGCACGGAGTGAACCCCGACTCACAGCCCCGACCCCTGAAAAGACAACACCGTCTGCGGCATGCACGTGGTTTCCGCTCCCAATCCAGGGTTCGAGCTCGGACGTGTTAGCTGGCGATTTGGGGTTGGCAACAGCCTTAGGGTGCTGCAGGGGCGACGGCTCGCCGAAACGAGACACCATAATGTCCACCAAGCCGTCTGTTCTACGGGCATAGTCCTCCAACACTTCTCGTTCCCCACTACCCCACTCTTCTTCTCCGACGCCCATGCCAAGTTCACCCCCGGCAGCAAGCTTCAGGCCCCCGAATATGTCGACTGCGGGACTGCCGTGTAGTAGGACATCCCAGTTGCTTGCAAACCGACCCCAGAATGCGGTCAGTAGGTTGCAGAACTTAGATCGGTCCAGACGGGCCCATAGGTCAGTCAGAGAGGCAGAATGGTGAAGGAGGAAGACAGAGTGGGCACGAATCAACTGCTGAAGTAGCAGTGCTGGAGGGCTGACTTCTCGCGCCGAGTACTCGACGGCCGGCGCTGCAGAGCTCGCGCTCGCACCTGCCGTCCTAGAGGCGGTAGTCGCAGCTGAGGGCAGTTGGGTAAGGTCGACGGAAGCAAGAATCCACCAGCCCGGCTCCAACTCTTGCAGGACAATGCGTGACTTGTGTGTTTCTACTGAGTCAACTGCCTCGCCGTTGGAGAAGCTCCTGCACAACATCAGTTTGTCTGCTCCAGAGCCCGCGCAACAGCATAACTTCAAATATACCGGGCAAAGTCGACCATGCCCTGAGCCAGTCCCACCTGGCGCAGCTTTTCGTTCTCCTGTTCGCGCAGTTCGCGCTCCGCTGGACGGTTTCGGCCATCGACCTTGGATCTCGTCTTTGCAGCCTTGGAGTAGTAGAACACGATTTGGTCGTGGAAAGTCTCGTCCGAACCTCCCAGTGACGGATTGTATATGGCGAGGAACGAAAGCTGCGCCGGAACAACCTTCGGAATGGCCGACGCAGACGACATTCGTGCTTTGGGACGAAAGAGCTACCGCGTGTGGAAGAGAGAGATCGGCTTGCTCGGCGGGCAATTGCGTCACCGAGCGAGGCCGCGGGGGGAAGAGCCTGAGGGCGCTGAGAGAGCAGTGCAAAGGTGCGTCCTTGAAGTTGTGACCGTCGAGCAAGCTGTGATATGGGCGCACCCTTCTATTTGTAGGCCATTTTCCTTGGCCCTACTTAGTTCAGCGGTTGCTGGTTGTCAGTGAATGTGCCAGGGCAAGGCCAGTGCCCCCGGTTCCATGCGCTGGGGCTACGCCAAGGCCTTGATCTGATCTGCATGGTATACCGACCTCAGGAGTATCACAACCATCCTCATGTCTCAATGATGCTCTGGAGGCTGCCCTCTCCTGTCCGCCCCTTCTCTGGGCTCAATTGTCGCCCCTACAGCTCCACAAAACACGTGGAACCTCTCAGAATACTTTTCTGCGGATCTGATCAGTTCAGTATCGCATCACTCTCCAAACTGAATAAAGCGAAAAACAAGGATCCTCTGCTGATAGAGTCTATCGATGTCGTCCATCGGCCCGGGAAACGTACAGGCAGAGGCTTGAAGACCATAAAAGACGGTACATATAGCTGTCAATCAACCCGTATCGTCGCATCCCAATTGATTCACAACCAGTTCCCATCAAGCGTGCTGCGACCTTAGATTTCAAGCTCCCTACCCACGTGCGCGACACCTTCACGAATTGGGAACCTCCTGTAGCATACAATCTTATCATCGCCGTCTCTTTTGGTCTCTTAATTCCCTCGCGAATCCTTGACGGGGCCAAGTACGGAGGGTTGAATGTTCACCCTTCGCTCCTACCAGATTTGCGTGGCCCAGCACCGATCCACCATACCCTGCTCAAAAGACGTAAATACACTGGCATTACTATACAGACATTGCATCCAACACACTTCGACCATGGTACCATACTCTCTCAGACACCTGCACCTGGCATCGAGGTTTGTCCAGGAGCAACGCCCGTCGAACTGGTCGACAAGCTGGGTAGCCTAGGCGGATCAATGCTCTTAGACGTAATTAGGCGCCGAGATTTTTTTCCACCTGTGCATGATGTTGGGTGGTATGCCAAGTCAGGCGGCCCGGTTGACAATGCGGAGAAGATCACCAGTGAGCATCGCTATGTTAATTTCTCAACTACCACAGCCGGCGACATCCAGGACCGCCACCGTCTTCTAGGCAACTTGTGGTGCACTTTGCTAAACGGCAAAAGACTAATTTTGCATGATGTTTGCCCCTACCACGGCGAGGATTCTACACGCCTTGACCCGGGCTTGTTTGTCGGAGAAACGGGCGATCTTTTAGCTCGAACACAAGATGGAAAGCTAGTCCATATCGTAGAAAGCACCGTTGAAGGTAGGAAGACAGGAAGTGGGAAGGGCTACCTGCGGTACCGTCCGTTTCTAGTCCTACCAACAAATACTGTGGAGGAACGGCAGTCTGAGTGAAAACTATGCGACGAACGCTCTGAAACCTCTTTCTATCAACCCCGAGCGAGACTTTGCGCACAATTGCCATCAAACCCAAAGATTGGCGGCTCTACTTAGCTGGAATTCACTAAAGCTCTTCTCCTAGTGCTCTCTACCTGTTAGATACTGACAGACAGAGAAACACTCTCACAAGTCCAAATTTAAAATCAGTCACCGATCAAAGTCACCTCAAAATGTATACATATGACCATCGGACCCTACACCAAATCTCTTTCCTTGCCGCTGTGCGGACACCAAACTATTGCAACAGCAATTCGTAGACATGATCGACTCTAATCATAAGTAATCTACACAATGGATATATCTACCATGAAGAAAGATTCACTAAGTCATCCTACATCTTCAAGTACTCCTCAGATCCATTCTCTTCTCAGGGGCTTCGATCATCCATCAAAGCCCAGACTTAGGACATGGTCGCCTTCCCATCAAGCTATCTAAACCGGTCCCAGGGTCCAAGCTCTTGGCGTCGGGTCGGACTTCATTACTCTTTTCTTCCTCATCATACCAGGAGCGAGTGTTGATTGTTTTGCTGCCTCTTAATAACTCTCTGTACCGCGTCATCATCATACAGTACTGAAATTCCTCCAAGAGTTTGCCTAACACCTTCCGTTCTGCATCTGGCTCCTCACCATAAAATTCATGGCAGTGTGCATTCACTCTCAGATTGAGGAGCGGGCTCTTCTGCGGTAAGTTTCCGAGGGTGATATAATAATCGCAAATAATGGCTTGCCGCCTGCACCCGACACAGCAAACGGCCGTATCCATGATATCCCTTTTGAGAGCTGAAACGATGAAGCGATCAGCGAAGACATAGGTGGCAGCCAAGACGTGACAGAGCTCCGTGTACGGTTCCAGGGAATAAACATCTTTTCAAGTGCGAAGTAATTTTCCCCGACTACATTGATTCTACAAACAGTTCGAAAGCTCGAGGCTCAATGTCCTCCATCGGAATAATGCCTATCATCCCTTCCTCGAGTCTATTGGATCGGAAGGCACCGGCAAAGTACCCTAAATACTGCATTAAGAGAGATTTGTGGAAGACTATTCCTTGTCTTTTGGAGCAACCTTTACAACGGCGGGCAGTTAGGCAAGCACGGGTCTACTTCGATTAGAATTAGTTACTTACCGGTACCAGTAGCTTAGCGTGGATTGACCTACGGAATATTCGGAGAACTATTCGGAATAACTTCGATGCATGTCGAGACCGCCATTGCTGCCAGACTCTTGCCCCCTTGGATCTTTTCTCTCTAAAGCGATATCCTCTCGGAAGTAGCGGTTGGATTTGAGGTGGCAGGAAAAGGTGGTCTGAGTAGGTGGCTAGAGTACAATTGCACCTGCTAGAGCTCTCTTGTAAGCAAACGCTTTAGGTCGCCTGCACGCTAAATCCGGAGGTTTGCATGCTCTCTCATGTATTTGGGCTGTGTGGCGTAGTCGCTACGTTTCCACGATCTTAAGCATTGTCTGTGGTCACTCCCTTTTCCCCCAAATCTTTTGAGATTATCGGCCAGATTCTTTCACTCAGAACCATTAGACGATTACATCATAAATCGATATTAGACTACATAGATCGTTACCATCACCACATCAACCACATTTTAACTTCTAAACCCATCCATCTTCTCCTGGCTATCCACATCTAGCTTGCCCAAATTGGGGCTCAAAGGAGACCTCTGGAGTGTGGTTACATGCCCAGGACGCCTTAGATTTAGAAATGCTTTATGGGGGACTACCAAGGAATAGATTCTTAGGCTACACTCAATATCTCTTGCTTTCAGAAACCTCCCGTGCTTGCCATACTTGTCAGCAAGTGTAGAAGACTAGCATAAAAGATTTAGTCATGCAAGAAATCACGACCAGCAACCTTTCTCCTCAATTACAAAGAAGGTCAATACTGATCATGTGGCATAGTCGTACCACCCACAGTTCCCTCAAGGTTCTCACGAACCTCGGCTCCCCAAAACGGCAGCGTAGGTGAAGTGGGGTTTGGCCTGGTGCGGCATCCAGAGTAATTGTGCCCCACCACGGGCAATCTTTACAGTAATTGAGCGTCCAGTTTCTTAATCTATCTCACATTAAGCCCCAGGACTTGCCTTTTCCCCCCCCAACCTTGCACTTCTAACGTCCGTTGATCGACCTAAACCTAGTAGAGTTGGTTGACAAGGAGATCCAACATCATGCCGTATGATTTGAAAGGTAGAAACGTGCTGATTACTGGCGGCTCACGGTAAGCTGCTACTCCTATCATGCTATGTCCTAGATGGAGGGGAGGGGTGAAGTATTGTTCTTCCGTCTCATGTTGTCTGCTTTAAATCACCATCTTTCCCTCAACCTTTCTGCATACTGGCTTGTTGCTATCTACTTCGGAGACTCCGCCCTCCTAAACTGTGCACGCGACTAACTTCACGTAGCGGTCTCGGCGAAGTCCTCGCCATAACCTTCGCAAAAGAGGGCTGCAACATAGCCATCAACTACTTCAACCGCATTGAGGCTGCCGATGAGGTCAAGGCTACGTGTGAGGGGTTTGGTGTTAAAGCTGTTGTCGTCAAGGGTGTAAGCCTTCATTCTTTATGCGAATCTTTTCCTGATCAAAAAGACCAAAAGCTGATTTCTAGGATGCATGCTTGACCTCGGAATGTGTCCGCAGCGTTGAAGAAGCGAAAGAGAAGCTAGGAGGCCTGGATATCGTTATCGCTAATGCAGTACGTCTTTGGTTTGGCATGTGATTCTCTTCACAAACCGCAAGCTAAGCCGAACATAGGGCTGGACAAAGTTCACTACATTTGGCGACCTGGATGCCATGAACGAAGATGAATGGGACAAAGCAAGCCTTCCCTCTCACCGCATTTTCCGCTCCCCTCGCCCCATATCTGTCTACCGTATATCTTCTATGGACATTTCATTGGCTGAAGCTAACGCCCACAGTGTTGGTCGGCCAACGTCAAAGGACCTTTAGCACTCTTAAAAGCCGCTAAGCCAACATTTAACTCTAACCCCGATGGCGGTATTCTGCTTATTACTTCATCAATTGCTGTATTTATCCCCTTCCCAACCTTACTCTCTGCCGTTGACCAGGCAATAAATAGGCCGTATCCCAAGGCGGTTCATCTATGGCTTACGCGGTAACCAAAGCCGCACAGGTCCAACTCATGAAATGCCTCGCCAGCACGCAGGGCCCCAAAATCCGCATCAACGCCGTTCTGCCAGGCCTCCTTCTTACTGAGTGGGTACGTCTACTCCATCCTTTTGTCTTTTCGAAGCCTAGCAGCGTATGTGTACTAAAGCGGGGTAACGGATAGGGTCTTCGCTACCCGCCTGAGGTGATCGAAGCTGTCAAGGCTAAGGCGGCGTTGGGATGTGCAGTAGATCTGCAGGATTGCGCGGATGTATTTGTCATGCTTGCTAAGAATACAAGCATGACGGGAATGAAGGTCCAGATAGATGGGGGCGCCAACATCCAGGGTTCCTAAGTAGATAAAGAAGCGGGGTTCGGTTTCTCGGGCCCTGGTTTCCTAACTAAGGGTAGCAAGAAATATGATTTGGAGGGGGGGTGGAGGATGGAATGATCCATCAGGGCGTATATCTTGAGGACATCTCCATCTGAACCCTTCAGTCTTCATCAGCCTGCTCTGTATCATCCAGAGCCCTCACTACCTCCTCCATCTCCTTCGGGGTCGCGATACCCCAGACACCCCCTCCCTTGACTGCCCCCTTCATGCCAACCTCCTTTCCCACAAGGTTCCTCCCGACCTTGCCTGGCCCAATCCCAATATACCTCTTCACCTTCTCTTCCTCGTGCAAATATTTCACCGATTTCCACCACTGCACCGTCTCTACGCACGATCTGGCTAACAGATCCTTCAACTGCTCCATGTTCTTGAATGGCTTGCCGGTGACATTCGAAACACAGGGCATCACGCCGGGCCAGGTAATGATATCGCTTCCATCCGCCTTCTCTTTGTATAGTAACTGCTTCATCATTTCCTGTGCCGGCTTCATCAACGGGCTATGAAACGGTGAGTCACTCTTCAACCGCACGTGCCTTGGATCATGACCCCCGAATTGCCTCAAATTTGTCAAGAGCATGTTGATTCTTTCGATGCTCCCACTCAGCACAATTTGGTTCTTGGAGTTGATATTCGCAACCAGGACCTGTTGAACCGCTGGAATATCCTCTGCAGAATCGGATTTGGAGCCGGGGGAGGACAAATCGAGGAACTCGCGGATACCAGAAACCAGAGCCTTCATGCGTTGTTCTGATTCGCAAACCAGAGCAACCATGCCGAATTCACCGCCTTCGCGCTCCACGGCATCTTTTGAAGACTGACTCATGACTTCGGCACGCTTCCTCACCATCTTCAATGAATCCTGGAAGCTGAGATAACCGCCTGCAACCAAGGCCGCAAATTCGCCGAGTGAATGACCCAGAGTGATATCCACTCGCTCCTCGGTCTTAAATCCAAATTCCTTCTCCATGACTCTGAGAATAAGGATGGAAGTCGCCATGATAGCCGGCTGCGCGTTCTCAGTAAGTGTGAGTTGGGAGTTTGTGCCTTCAGCGATGATGCGGGTGAGAGGGAGATCAAGCGTTGCGTCGATTTCCTCGAGGATGGGTTTCGCAGTATTGGGGAAGGCTTCGAGCCAGGGCGTTGCCATGCCTACTCTCTGCACGCCTTGGCCTGGAAAATGGAATATCAGCATGAGGTCGCCAGGGGCAATTGGTGTTTTCTTGCTAGGGAACTTCATACCTGGGAAGAATAGAGCAGTCTTCGGTCTCTTTGCTGGCCCTCGCAGCTCCACAACGCTCATCCATCTCCGCTCCCCGCCGACTCTTGATCCCCCGCACCTTGAACAAGCTCGTGATAAGCCCTTCATAAGCCCACTACTCTTCATGATAGCTTTCGGCATTATGATATTGCTCCCCGATCACCCCTCGGTCATTGTCAGGTTGTGAGCGTTGTTCACGGGGATGCGGAGGTTCAGGACCGGAGTGAGGTTTGATAGGAGCTTACACAGTAACTGGTGTTCGAGGGACGGCTGATATGCGCACGGGCCAGCCGTCTGCTTCCGACTCACCGAGGTCACGACAATGCTTTTCCGAGTTGGGGGTTGTTGTGAATAATGGGTTGGGCCCCCTGCAAAGGGATGAGGTATTTAGTAATGAGAAACTGCAAGTGACCAACGCATCTTCGAAACATCTTAAGAATGAATATCTCTTCCATGGCAAGGGAAGATGTCGTCCTGTGTTTCATCACTTAATCCACGACCCCTCGTAATACACACAACCAAAATTCATCATAATTTCGCCCTTATATGCCCTAATATAGACACAAGTGAGGCCACGCTTACTTTGCGCAGGTTGATAAAGCTTGGAGAGCAGGTTAGTTATGCTGCAACAGCAAAAAGATATGGTTACAGTCACTCCACAGTATCAAGGCCTCACCCTGGGTTTCATGGATCTTATGCAGGGAAGTTTGGAAACTATCAACTTATGAGAGGTATTCGAGCAGGGAGCACAAGGCACAGTGAGGGAATGCAGGATGATGAGTGTATCGTATGGCAGAGCTGTGGTGAGAAGTAAACCTTATGGCTGGAGGCAGAGGTACGGATACCGCCGAGCCTCTAGACCCGCCTCCAGCCACCTTAGAAGTGCCGGTGTACTCAGGGGTCTGGATAGCCATGACAGTTGTAATCTGTACGGATCCGTAGAGCTTTAAAAGTTGAGAGGGAAACACCTCAAACTCGTACCTGGCGGGGGGCCGTGTATTACGAGATGAAACACGGACCTCAGAGCTTGCACCAATCAAATATGAACCGATCATCACCCAATCGATATCGATTCAACCAATATTGGTTAGATCGCCAATATCGTGCCCAGAATACATGAAAAAAAAAATCTTCTTCTGACTTTTGAAGCTTGGTGCAGAGCATATTAAGATGCCTTTATCAATTGATGAAAGCGAGAACTTGTCTCTTTCTTTGGTTCCTTCAACAACGAGATCACTAAAGAGCTCCTCCTCTGTCCATGAGCACTGTCGTACTCCAACAGTAGGGGAAAGGGAGGAGAAGCCTGAATCGAAATGGATGTGGTGCAAGTATTGCCAGTTCTCTGCTCAGTGTACAACTAATATGAGGAATCACCTGTGGTCGGCTCATGATATTGAAGTAGCTGTTCATACGACAGCAACTGACAATGTTGAATCCTTGTACGCTAAGCTCCTTCAGCTTAACGAGAATGAGAGCCTCTACCACGAGGTCCTTCGGCGCACAGTCAAACAGAAAGATATTAATGATAGTCTTCTGGACCTTGTTATGGCAGGGCAGCTTCCATTCTCATGTGTAGAATGGCCCGAATTCCGTGCCTTGGTTCAAGCGTTGAATCCCCAAGGCTGCGTCTTTATCCCCACATCTCAGGATATACTCGAGGAGCATTTTTCTTCCTGGTATATTCAAGCAAAGGATATCGTACGAAAGAGGCTTCAATCATCTCAGACAAGCATTCACCTTACTGTGGACATCTGGAGGTCATCAAGCTCTGATCTATTGCTTGGAGTCTGTGCTAGCTTTGTCGACGCTCAAGATTCCTTTCGCAATATTCTCATTGCGCTTCGCCCCGTACGAGACCGTAGTGGCCAGAGCCAGTGGGGTGCTCTACTTCCAGTCCTCCAAGATTACGGGATTGATGAGAAGATTGGCACCGTTGTTAGTGATAACTCGACTACCAACGACACACTTGGTCGTAACATGTCCAGTTATCTTACATCAAAGAAGATTAACTGGATCTACACACACCAACATCTGCGGTGCATGGGCCATGTTCTACACCTTACTGTTCAAGCCTTTCTGTTCCTAGGTGAGAGCCAGGAGCAGGATATGGAGTTGTACGATCAAGAACAAGGATTAAAAGAAGAGTCAGGTGCAGAATACCAGAAAGGAAGAGCAAATACTATTCGGGCAAGGATGGGGGTTGTGGGCAAAGTCCACAATATCGTTGTCCACATTCATACTTCACCGCATCGTACGAACGAGTTTGAGAACGCTGCTGGAAAGTTGATTCCTTTGGACAATTGTATGAGGTGGAATGACTGGTTTCGGATGCTTCAAGTTGCACTTGAACAGCCTGTCCTGAGCGCTATTCGAAACTACGCAGAAGAGCATATTGCCCTTGGTACGCTTGATAAAAAAGATGGGCTTTGCGATGATGACATCCTTGTCTGTCGTACGATAGCAAACTTCCTTGAGGTGTTTGACGGCGCAAGTCTCTATCTTCAAGGCCAACAATCCACAATTGAGCGAGTCCTTGAAGTAGTAGAGATTATTCAAGAACATCTAGAACTATCATTAGTATGTCGTACGATGGCGCAAAACAGCGGGTTTGCACTAACTTTAGCAGAGAAACAACAAGTCACTTAAATCCCGTGTTGAGAGCGCGAAAGCCAAGTTTGATTCCTACATTGAACAGCTTGACCTGACACCGTACTACGCTGCTGCCCGAATACTCAACCCAGAATCTCGTACGATATGGATCAAAGACTCTACTTATAAGTTACGAGTCGACAGCCTTTGGGAGATGTTCCGTAGAGAAAGCCATCCATCTTTTCCCTCGTACGAGACTGTATCTGTTCCTGCTCAGACACTACAACAGCCAATCAATAGATTTGAGCAGCTTCGTCGAGACCTAAGAGAGAGACACAGGCAGCCTCAGAGTCAAGATGAATTTAAGAACTACTGTAATGAAACAGTCTCGTATGGGCTCAAGATCCCAGCAATTGAGTGGTGGTTACAAGATACACAGAAGAAGCGCTGGCCACAGCTATCCTCTTGGGCGATTGAGGTCCTCTCCATACCCTCAATGAGCGACAAGTCAAAAAGAGTCTTCTCAGGTGGCTCTCGTACGGTATCATGGGACAAAACTTATTTGACAGCAACTACACTTGAGCAATTTGAATGTGGCAAGGATTGGAAGCGCGAAGACTTTCTTATAGATAACTTTTAATAATATACTGTCGCGTGAACTTACTTATTGTTTTTATAAGAGCTATATCGTCGCTACCGCCAGCGAGATCAAAAGCAGCTACACAGGCTCTCTTACTCTCTAAGCTACGCTCACACGCTCCGTAAGTATCACACGCTCTACTACCTTCATACGAGCTCTTTTTGCCTCCATTTAAACAGCTATTGTTTGTTTGCAACTCCCCCTTTGGCCTAGTATCAATGGACTGCTGTCATTAGCTGCTAAAACCGCTCTTCTACTTTGTACGAGGCTAGCTTCTTGACAGACACTAGCAGCAGTAGCAAGAGCAACAGCAACCACGCAGGCTCGTATAATCACCACTTGTTTAGCCTTTGCGGCTAGTGTTGATCAAGTAGCGAATTCAGCCTCTGTTTGTCACGGGCTCTTGACTTTTTTGCGGCTGCCCCCTTCTTATCTCTTTTATCGTAAGAAGCTAACTCTTGTCTGCTAGGGTCATCATCCCCTATAATGACGCCATAGCCACCACCTAGCTCGCCAACGCCAACGCGAACCCTGTTCTCTTTGTTAGAGGGCAGCGGCTGGCCCCATAGTTGCATAGTCCGCAGGGTCAAGCAGTGCTAGCCCTTCTAGGGCAGGATGTGGAGTTCGTACGAGGTAGCATAAAACCCCATCAAATAGCCTCGCACTGTCCTTCGTACGCAGGCCCACGGCCGTTCTCAGAGTGCCGCTGGGTAGCCGGATACTTTGGCGGAGTTTGTGCTAACTGCAAGTGGAAAGACCACGCAGCGCGTTACCCTATACGAGGTCGGAATGGTGATGCTTCCCGTGGTGGCCCTCTCCGCCTGGCTCCTCGTGGGCCTGATAGGGATGGGTCGCGGCGTGGCCCTTGTTGATCGACGATGCTCCTGGGGCTACGTTCTACAACCCAATTGTATTAGCATATTTATTTACAGTACGATCGCTCTTTTGTTACTTTTTGCACTTCTTAGCAGTGGGAGATGTCTGCACTGATATCGGTTTGATCGATGGCCGCTCAAAGTCTGTCCAAAACAGTTCCTTGGACATGAGAAACATGTTCTAGAAGAATCCAAACTCAGCTTATACGACAAGGCACTCAAGCATTCCCTCACAGGTTTGAAAAGTCCAACCCCCAGGCATCATCATCGTCACCCAGACCCATATCCATATCGCCCATACCTCCTAGATCCAAGTCTTGTAAACTCCCCATACCTGCGCTCATATCACCAGCCCCACTCGCACCAACGCCCATTCCACTCAGGTCTAGTCCGCCGCCTGCCGCACTTAGATCCAGATGTTGATCCAGCTCTCGCTGCAGACTCTCCTTGTTCATGTCCAATTCACCGCCGGCGGCCGCAATTGTCGCAGCAGCGGCATCGTTCATCGCCTTGATGTCGATATCTGGTAAGTTCTGTGCCTGAACGTCAACCATTCCGACATCTGGAAGATCGATCTGAGGAGCTTGCAACCCGGCTTGAGCAACTACCACAAGTTGAGCTTCGACACGGCGATGTAGACGGACGATGGTTTCCGCTGCGACAGTGTCGGACGACATGAGACTTGTAGCGTTGTCGAACTGATCTTTCAGTATTTCCCGAAGGTTCGACCGTGTGCGAGGAGGGGTCGGGGCAGCAACATCTACAGAGAGCGGACTATTCTCAATGCTAGGCGCGCATATGAGACAGACCCCAATGTCGAGCGCTGCCGCCCCATTGCCTGCTTCTGTCTGAGCTTTGATTTCGTCCACGATCGCGCACAGTGTTTTATAAGCACCGAGAATACTAAGACAGGCATATATGAGGCGATGGGTGTAGCTTGGCGGATTAAGTTGAAGCGAAGCAGGTGAAGGCCAGTGTGAGAGTTGCTGTACCGTATGGCGGAGTGATGAGGTGAGAGTGTTGTGAGGTGCGCTTGTCCATTGGTCCATCTCAGTCATGGATGCATACGCCGAGCGCTCATAGTTGAGATTCCCTTTAATAGCTTGAAGAAGAGTTTCTATATCCGTTCTGTTTGGGTGACGCTTTTTGAGAGTGCGAAAGCACTTCTCAAGCCGCCTCGATACGATAGAAATAATCGTGGAATGCATGGCTTGTGCATCTCCAGAAGTAGGAGCTGACCGGATCAGCTTGTGGAATATCTGCATCAAGACATCAAGGTCTTGGTGTGTTTGTTTGAGTGCATGAGACGCCATCCACGTCAACCCTCCAACTAGCGAAGGCAGGAGGAAAGTCTCATGCAAATCTTAGAATTGTCAGTTAGAATAAGCGCGAAAGAAGTTTCGGATAGCACTCACATTCTAGGCCACCCTTGACAGAGTCTAAAGATAGAACTTCTGCAGAACAGGCCATTACTGTTTGGCTGAAGAGAGTCGGCACGACCAAGTAGAAATCCTGCGGACGGCATGATGCAAAAACATCGTCCTTCAAGCCTTCTTTATCTGAGTCGTAAAGTCCTCGTAACCAGCTGCCTAGATGCCTCCCTTGCTCCTCCGTCAAGTCGTCGGGAGCCACGCTAATGTGACCACGCTCGAGGAGCTGTGCGACAAAGGAATCATGGTTGATGCCAAGATCGTGGTAAGTTAAATCGTATCGATGAACAAACGCCAGGATCAGGACAAGTATAGCGCCAAATTCATCGTACACTGGCTGATACTCGCCTATAATTATCAGTTATGGAAGTACTAGATGGGTGTTCAGCTACCTTGGTCCCCTTCATAACGCCACTCATCCAAGAACTGACAGAGTGGTCGTAGAATGCTGGCTGGGGAAGTGAACTGAAGCATCACATCCAACGCCTGTGGCTTCCGGGAGAGCAAGTTGCATATCGTCTTAAGATACATGGTCATTTGTGTTTCACAAAGATGCGATATGAACTGAAAATGGTTAGCGATGTGGCACAAGGCCGATTTTCTCTCCATACCTCTGTGACAGCCACAGCAATAGCTCCGCCATTTCCGTCCAGGTTCTCTAGCTCATCTATGAACATATTGACCTTCTCATTATCTTTGCATTGAGCTAGTAAGTCCTTCTTCACATACTTCGTTTCCGGCGGTCCCTGCATTGGCGTTTCGCCAAGCAATCGCTCGACGCTGTTCACAGGGATAAGACCGTGAAGAGCGCAGGAGTTGAGAAAGTCCTGCCGGACATCAGATAAGGAATTGTTATTCCCCATGATGTCGTCAAATCCCTGAGAGAATGCAGGAAAAGCGTTCGGGTCAACATGGCTCAGGGCTTGCGTGATGCACAATTCGGCGGTCATTGGGTAGGTTGACAAACTGGGGTGAGTTAGGAGAATGGGGATCTTATTGACCAAAAATGATTTCAAGCAAAACATGCTCTGACTAGACTCGCTCCGGTACATGGCATTCGCCAAAACATCAAAAGAGGCCGTTACTAGGTCTGTAGCGATGTTTTGGGTATCGATCTGTCTGAATCAGCGGGTAGAGCAGAGGCTTCATGCCGGGCGAATCACCTTATATCGCGAATGAAGATAGTTGAGTATTGTAAAATCATCTGTCAGCGGACGTGCAACAAGCTGACAGGTCAGCCTGAGTGGAATATTGTCGTTTCAGAGTCTTACCAGGGAATTTAGAAGTACGTAGAGTCCCGCTCGAGTGTTGATAATGGGAGGGTCGATGACTGCATCCAGCTGAAGGGCGGCGACTTCGAGTCTAGCATTCTCAGCTGATTCCCCATTGACATTGGTGAGGGACTTGTCATGGAAGTCATGTTCTTTCTGGGATATTTCAAGCCGATTGGCATATTGTAACGATGTTTGAGACAGGAATGGAATAAAAGTTGACAACGATTGGGCGAACGTTTTACGAACATCTACACCCTGTAAGCATGAATAGCGAAGAGCAGACGTGCACTGCAGATATTGAAGAACCCTATAAAGATGATGAAGATGATGCCTACCTTTTGCTTGGCTTCTATTCAACAACTCTAGGATCTTAACGTTCTCAATGAGTCCAACAACTAGCATGCCCAGAGCCTCTCGAACATTGATAGATTGTTGCTGCGGCTGTTGATGCAGCCCAGCCATGGCCTGGATCATGGAATCGCTGGTATGCGAGGTCACCATTGCGGACATCCATCTTGATGCAATAATCAAGGTACGTAGAGCCTCAGTGTTGGTAGCTGGCCGCTCCCCTGTCGAGAAAGCCTTGTGCAGGCGGTGGAAGACGATCTCTTCTAGCTCAGATGGATTGTGCCATTTTGATGAATCCTCCTTTGATGGTAGTGCGTTATCTCCAGTCTTCGGTGGATGATCTCGCGAGAACTGGAAGGCTGCCGACAGGACGTCTGACGCGTCAACCTTCTTCAGGGCGAGCAGACGCTCAAGATAGATGATTATCCGCGGATCAAGGCTATTAGCGGCAGCAGACCGAGGCTTGAGCAATAGGCCTGCAAGTTTCGGGCCTGGGAGGGGTGACTTTCCGTGGAGTTGAGCAGCCGCAGCGTCGAAGAGGTCTGCGCGAACCCGGCTTTCCAGACATCGGTCAAGAAATCCGGCCCACTCCTTGATCAAGGAATCCATGATCCATGAAGCAGGGACGGCTCCAGGAGCCGAAGATGTTGGTTGGAGGGGTAGTGTTATTGAGGCGTGATGGGGGAGGAGTGAAGAGTGGTTGGCAGCTGCTGATCGCTGCCAGGACCTTTCTTGGCGCGCATCCAACAATGAGGCTGGGACGCCGCATCACCCAAACAAGATGATCTCGTGAGAAGTCAAAGGCGCCGACGTGCGTATCCGGTGTCCATGCAGCTGTAACATGCTCGACATAGATGTATCGGCTGGCTTGTGAATCCTTCCTGCATGCTTAATGCGCACAGCAGCCGTCACCCAGGACGCCTATTTCCACAATCTCTTCTTGTTTGACACGAGATGAAGTCCGGTACAAAAATATCTCCGCTACTCCATACTATTCAATGTTTCTGTTTATGCGTAGTGTTCAGTTCGTTGGTGCAGTCTGAATGCTGGCCGACCAGGCTCCGAGCCCACTTACCATGCAGCTTCCCCTTCGGGAGGATCAACAAGCCCGTGTGGCTGGTGAGGTGAGACAATGAACTACGGCACTTGGCAATTTGCTTTTTCTGCAGGGCGCACGAACATCATCACCGGATCCGCGGCAAAACAAGATCTTGTCCGATCTGATCTCATTACCTACCCCTATCATTACGCCGTGGTCTTGCCACCTCCATCCCAGATGGTGATGGATACATGTTCCATGATGCCTGCCGAATCCGAGAAAGGACAGCAGCCTTCTAGCCACTTTCCAACGCCATGCAATTCCCGTGATCCTATGCTTCTTGATCATCCCCATCCGCGCGAGTAAGCCCGAGCACCTCGTAAGTGATAACTGACGCCATACTCCAAACTCAAAATCAGGACTCGCGGCCGCGTCTAGCGCTATCCTGATCCTCCACATCAGGTGCTCGCGGACCCACCATCCAATCCTCCATTGCAAGCCACTGACTCCACGTCTTCTCTGCGCCCTCAATTTCAGCCAGCTGAACGTCCTGAAGCGGCTTGAGGAAGGGAACCGATTCGTGCGGAGACATGTCGTACTGATACTTGACTTTGGCCCATCCAACGCTCTTTGCTGCGAAGAGGTAGTTGCGCCGCTCGCATTCGTGCACCGGCCCTACTCCCTTTCTCCAGTCATCGCCAAAGAAGCCGTGCATGACGCCTTCCCTGTCAAAGCCCGTAATGACTAGGCGCCGAATATACGGGACCAGAGAAACCCACACCGGGGGGGTTTGACCTCGAGAGTTCGGTACTGGGCCGTGTCTCGGCCATGGTAGGTTGTATGCCCCAGGCCCAGCCGGGTGAGCAGCTGGTCCTGCGGAGCTCATGACTGGGTTGGCCGTCCACTGGAAAGGTAAGCAGATGTTGATGAGGGCGGCGACTGCCTGGACAGCGCTCTCGTGCTGTGCGTGGTCGAGGAAGTAGCGTTGGCAGCTTTGGTATGCAGGATGCCACTCGAAGACGTCAAACTGGGGTGCTGTCGACATAGCCTGGCCGGACCCTGAGCCTTCGGAGGAAGAGCTCGCGACCGTGAAGGGCCCTCCTCTTGCTGGGAACGAGGGGTACCCGTTGTTAGGGAAGCTTGAGAAAAATGACATTTGTGAGTATTGGAATAGAGCCACTGCAAAGTCAGTGATGTTAGTATGTGTAGTTGGCTGAGGAGCATGAATTCGAAACCTACATGTCAGGTTGGCCGGTCGGTGTTGACAAAGCCACAGGGCCGAGAGGTACTGGCAGAGTTTATGACGACAGCAAGTGCGGCCTGCAGGATGGTCGACCTTGCAACAGAACGAGGGTTGTACCTTTGTACCTTTGTGTATAGGAATTCGGGGGAGGGTCTGTCGAGGTTTATATCCGCCGGGCCTGAGGCTGCTGAGGGCTGAACGGATCAGGGTCAGGGCCAGGATGTGGCTTCAGGCGCCTCCTACGACGACTTATTGAAGCTGTGGTGAAGTTCACTTTATTCCAAAACCATCCCGGGGAAAATCACGCCTCGACTCGCACGTCGCACGCCTCGATACAACATGCCCTGGATGGATCGCTACAGGGGCATATCAAGATGCAAAGAAACTAAGCCAATTGGCTAGCAAGGAGGTCCGACGGCAGAGATAGCGCTCTACAAGTGTGGCTTTGCAGTTCGTGGATAGGAGCGCTGGTGGTGGTGCGAAAGAGCAGTTTTGCCCGCCTGAGGCTTGCGAATTCCTGCAGAAGCTCTCCAACGCTCGTCACCAATGGCCTTACGGCGACGACGCCTTACGACCCAGTGCTTCAGCTGCCCGCCCCTCCATAGTTGCCAGTGAGAATTTGCAATGCCATGATGGCCGTCTGCATATACCCCAGGTCCAGGACCAGGCCCTGGCGGATGCGTTCTCGCTTGGTGCCGAGCGGCGCCCTCGGGGGCGCCGAGGACAGTGGCCTGGATCCCGTGGTCATGTCAGGGACAGTTCATGGAAGACGAACGCAGACAAACGCAGCCCGGCAGCGAGCTGTTCGCCGACTGTTTGAACAGACAATAATACGCCGCGAGCGCCTGCTGGCTCGCACATCGTCAAACGCGGCAATACTCCGACATTTTCGGCCACTACCACAGATTCCATTGCTCAATCCGGCCAAGGATAAATGTGCTTCAACATCGTGCTTCCTTCTGTCGTGGTGCCCATTTCTCATCTCCTAGCCCCGTCTGTTGGCGCCCATAGAATGACAACGTGGTTGATAAACAAACGCGAGGTTTACAGCGGCCTTAGCCGGCGCCATCTGATGCACTCCTATCTTCAGCCTACCGAATCAAGCAGGCAATGTACTCAAACTGCTGTTCCAAGACGAGATGGACGTCACACCAGCCACACGGAGTTGCTTTTTGGACGTGAAACGCGTCTTCCAGCTGGACCGTACGTTGCACAGCCACACCGGCTGCCGCACACGGGACACGATGGCTGCAAGGCATTTGCCCCGTCGACTTTAACCACAGTGTTGGGATTATGTGATGCTCGACCAAGAGCCGAGCGTGACGTAACAGTCCACACATGGGTGCCCGAGCAAGTCCTGTCGCGACATCACTTTCGCCTTTCCCTCCCAACAGCACCGCATCGTGGCTTGCTAATCTGCTCCATTGCAGCATCGAAGATCTTATCGGTTCCTGGATGACAGCTAGTATGGCTCACCAGCCCTTCTCACTGGCCTCCTGCATTAGGGCATGTCTTTGTCATAGTAGCACAAGAGTGCGCCCACAATTGACTCTCTGCAGCTTTCCAATGGCCTCTCTATGCCACAGATACACTTAGGTGTCTATCTGACATCCGGTCATGAGACTTTTCAGGCGGTGCGCTGGGCTCTGGAGGTAAGCTTTTCTGTTCTTGTTCCTTGCGTGCAGATATGGCGGTGACAGCCAACTCACTGCCATAGGCTGGCTATCGAGGGTAAGATGGCCCTGAAACTCAGCTCGCGTGTAGTACAATCAGTGATGGTTTGCCTCCAGAATTGATTCTGCCCAAATGTATCACAACGAAAGTGAGTCTGGTCGGGCTATCCTGGACTTTTTGTCCAGTGAAGCGAATACGGAGTCCCTGCAGCGCGAGGATATCCACTTTACGTCCAAGCTCGCTTCAAACTCTATATACGACGCGGCCCGGAAAGCTATCAAGAGATCTGTGAAAGAATGTGGCTTGGGATACATTGATTTGTTTCTCCTGCATTCCCCCTACGGTGGCAAAAAAGCACGATTGGAGAGTTGGCGAGCAGTCGAAGATGCAATCGAGGCTGGTGAAGTCAAGAGTGGTGGAGTGAGCAACTACGGGGTCAAACATGTACGTATACACCTACTTGCATATTCGCCTCCCAACGATTAGTACATTCGCCACTTATGAGCGAGCTGACTGCCATTCAGCTCCAAGAGCTGATTGCGTCTACACCCCGCATCATGCCAGCAGTCAATCAGATTGAGGTACACCCTTTCAATACTCGAACAGACATCACTTCTTTCTGCCAGGAACATGGCATTGTTGTAGAAGCGTACGCGCCGCTTGTGCGAGCCTTGCGCATGAAACATCCGACTATTGTTGCTCTTTCTCAGAGGTATTTGTGCACGCCTGGGCAGCTACTGGTGCGGTGGAGCCTCCAACATGGCTATATACCTCTGCCAAAGAGTGTGAAGAAGGATAGGATCGTGGAGAATGCGAATATTGGCGGCTTTTCGATCGACGATGCTGACATGAAGGCCATGGATGGGTTGGATGAGTATTTGGTGACCGGTGAGCTACCCCCAAAGTCTCCATATTCTTCCCCACTCGTATAACCACGAGTCAGTTGATGGTCTGAACATTGCGAGACTGTCTCCCTCTACTCTGACGAAAATTTGCAGACTGGGACCCGACAGACTGTCCATGAGTGCCCAAGAACAAGTCGCGCGTGGGGGTGCAAAGTTGGCCGCCATGTTGGAGAGGAGGAATGAGGAGCCTGGAATGGGCGATGAGTGGGAGACGAGAGCAGGCTGGTAGGGCTGTAGCCGACAGGCTGGATCCATCCACAGACAGTGAGAAAAAATTGCGCCTCTGCGTCGCTTCAGAAGCTAAGCCGCCGAATTTTGCGTGGTGCAGATGGGCAGCAGAAAAAAGCCACACTTCCGCGGGGGTTTCGAACACACTGGCTAGCATCCCGCATCTTGAAAAGAGGGACGTAAAGCGATGCCGCGGGGACAGTGGCCGGACTCGGGATGACGGCCATCAATTGTTAATTGCCATGCTCGCCTGTCCCGACTCTTCGAACCCTCCTAGCTCCGGGAGAAGCGGGCTCCCACACAGGTCACGTGTCAATCCAGCGGAGCTTTGCAATTGGCCAGGACGCTTATCAGGAGCCTACGACACCACGGTTGGCCCATCGCAGAAATCTCGATGTCGTTCGACGTGCAGCGATGGGGGCTCAATGAACCACTAGGGTGCTAGCAACCTGTCCACCATTGGCGGAGATGACGTTGAAATTGCTGTCCGCGCGAACATTTCTTTTCAAGCACCACCAGCACGCCAGCACGCCAGCACCCCGCCAGCATGAGAGCTCAACCACGCCTATTTATACGGCCTAACGCTCCTCTACACCTCTCCATCGCGCGCCTGATCCTCCTCTCCAGCTCTACAGACCCCATATACAGAACCAATTACCATTTAGATAACCTGCACATCTTCATTCACAATGGCCGAGCCTGAGTTTGAGCAAGCCAGGAAGGGTAAGAGCCTTTACCACATACCCCTCCCCCGCCATGACAGGCAGCTTGCTCTGAAGCTTCAATTGCTGATGTTTTGTTCTGAATGGTAAACATAGCTAATGATTCACTTCAGAGCTCGTCTCTACCTTGGAAAGCTCCACCTTGTTCGAGAAGAACCCAGAGTACAAGAAGGCACTCGAGGTCGTCTCCATCCCTGAGCGCATCATTCAGTTCCGAGTCGTCTGGGAGAACGACAAGGGTGAGTGCCAGGTCAATAAGGGATACCGTGTGCAATTCAACTCTGCTCTTGGTCCCTACAAGGGCGGTCTCCGACTCCACCCTACTGTCAATCTCTCCGTCCTCAAGTTTTTGGGCTTCGAGCAGATCTTTAAGAATGCTCTTACTGGACGTAAGTTTCCACACTGCCATGATTGGTTTTAACCAGCATCCCTCTGACAGCATCCTCAAGTCAACATGGGTGGTGGTAAAGGCGGCGCCGATTTTGACCCCAAGGGCAAGTCTGACAACGAGATCCGCAAGTTCTGTGTTGCCTTTATGAGGGAGCTCAGCAAGCACATTGGTGCTGATACTGATGTCCCGGCCGGCGATATCGGTGTCGGCGGACGTGAGATTGGTTGGTTGTTCGGTACCTACCGTGCCGAGCGGAATCGCTGGGAAGGCGTGTTGACTGGAAAGGGTGGATCATGGGGTGGGAGCTTGATCAGACCCGAAGCCACTGGCTATGGTCTTATTTACGTGAGTGTTTCCCTGAACCCGCCGGCCGCTCTGTTCTCATTGAGATTGTAGTACGTCGAGCACATGATCCAATATGCCACAGGAGGCAAAGAGAGCTTCGCTGGCAAGAAGGTCGCTATCTCTGGTTCTGGGAATGTCGCTCAATACGCCGCCCTGAAGGTCATCGAGCTTGGTGGAACCGTCGTCTCCCTCTCTGACAGCAAGGGTGCCCTGATTGCCACTGATGACAATTGCTTCACCCCCGAAGTCATTCACAACATTGCCGCACTCAAGATTGCTCGCAAGTCCCTTACTGACCTCGAGAACCACCCTTTCAAGTACATTGAGGGTGCCCGACCCTGGAAGGAAGTAGGAAAGGTCGACATCGCTCTTCCTTGCGCTACCCAGAACGAGGTCTCCGCCGACGAAGCCGAGGCTCTGATCGCATGTGGCGCGAAGTTCATCGCTGAAGGTTCTAACATGGGCTGTACACAGGGGGCGATCGATGCCTTTGAAGCCCACCGTAAGGCTAACGCCGGGAACGCCATCTGGTATGGGCCTGGCAAAGCTGCAAACGCGGGCGGTGTTGCCGTCTCTGGTCTCGAAATGGCACAGAACTCACAGCGCTTGAAGTGGACTTCCGAGGAGGTCGACCAGAAGCTCAAGGGCATCATGAAGGCTTGCTTCGAGAACTGTCTCGAGACTGCCAAGGAGTACATCACTCCTGCTGAGGGCGAGTTCCCGTCTCTCGTTGCCGGCGCTAACGTTGCGGGTTTCAAGAAGGTAGCTGCTGCTATGCAGGACCAAGGTGATTGGTGGTGAACAATACCTGACAATGTCTAAAATCAATGGACTGTCCATGAATATCTTGATACCTTGTGGATGGAGAATTGAGACTGGACGATCACTTGTTGTAAAAATGGCGAAATGGCTTGGAGCACGATTCAACTTGTAAATACTTAGATACCTCTTTACGAATATCACGGACGAGTTCTGATAACCCAGACTCTTTTCTTTGAAGCCAAACTGCAGCGCAGCCTTCTTCATACGTGCTCCGACTGTAACCTCGTATTTACCCCTCCTTCATACCCCGCGATCATCTGTTCAAACACCCCATCAACACCCCATCAACAAACAAACGGGAAAAATAAAGTATGCGGTGACTCAAAAACCCACGAAGCCCGCGTTATGACCAAATCCAATACCTCATTATCACGGAGTGGCCCGGTCGGCGTTCAACGCAGATCGATCGCGTGCAGCAATCGAGTAACAGTTTCCCCGCGGAACTCGGGAGCGCCATGAGGGTCAGCTCCGCATATCGGACGACTGCAGTTCATGCATGCAGACTCAGCGTACATATGGGAGGCAATGGGAAAAATGTTTACGATGGGTGTGTGTGGCAATCAATGCAATGTATATGTTGTGGCCTCTTGGTTGAGTGAATATCAAAGGTGCGCATGCGCTGTACCATTACCCTTATTAGGAATCAGGATAGGATTACGGCTTTCGGAAATTCACGTTTAATGTCATGGCTTTCTTGGAGGTGAAGGGAGAGCGAAGAAAGAGTCTCTTAGTAAGCATATCTGAACAACTAGTTACTCCAGCATTCGTTCCAGAGTATTAATCCTTTTCGTAGCACTCGGTGATAGCGTGCCATGGCCATATCGAACTATAGAATATGCGGTAAAATAATTCCTTCATACACTTCTTTCTAATTAAACGATCCACGAACAGTTGTCCATTCCCTCAATAGCTCATCAACCTCATCCTCTGGTTCCAATGTTGCCTTCTTCTCTTCCCCTCTGGTCCCACAACCATTTCTCGAGATACTGGGCTGACTATGTTGGTCACTAGACTGCTGCACCTCGCCCGATTCTGACTCCGAAAGCTCACTAATCGTGTATTCAGAAGTCTCAATGCATAAACTAGCAAACCTCTTCTTAATCAAATCCATCCCGCCATTGGGGCCACCTTCGAGAACTGTCTTTGGATTTTCGACGATCCTTACCGGGACCCGTTCAAGACAGGCTGTGTTCTCTTCTTTCTTTGGACTTTCGACATTCCTTTTCGCAGCTCGTTCAAGATAAGCTTTGTTTCTCCCTCTCTGAGCCCTCTCACGTCTTGCAGTTCGGATTCTCTCCCTCGAGTCTCTTCGTTCGACCTTAGCAGCTGCTTCTTTCGGCAACTCGTTCATTCGATTCTTGATGTTGTCCATGCCGGTTGACTGAGGCGTAACTTTCTCCATTTTTCGGATCTCCTCTTCATCTTTAAAGGTTTGCTCACCCAACGGCGCAATCTTTTGACGAAGTGCTGGGTTGTTAGGGACAGGCGTAGGAGGAATGATGAGCGACGCTTGATGGTTATCACAGCCTCGGGTCCGGGATGCTAATGTTTTGTTTGTTTGCGGCCTAATATTAGATGGCGATTTTGGCGAGTCGGCATTGGTAAACATCTCCGGACCTGCTGGAAGGAGAGGGGGAGATGGATTTGATTGGTGATTCCCTAACGATCTCGTAGCATGTTCACTGTTCTGGACCAGTATAGCAGAGTTACGATCATTGCCCATGCTTATCGTGCTGTAAATAGTTACATTTGAAGCTGGAGAGTGGTCTCGGGAACGGGTTCGGTGGGGCCTGGGGAAATTTGTGTTAGTATTTGGCGCAAGAAAATCACTATGAGGGTGTGGATCGGACGATTCTCTATAGTGATGATCCACGCACCATTCATCTTCTTCATCCCAATGGTCAGCTCTAGGGAAATTTGCCCGGTGGTCTGTAGAGCTTATATGTCGCATGAATTGGTCGCTACGAGGTGCTGGTGAGTGTCTAGGGTGAGGCTTTCTATAGAACTGTTCGCTGAACCAGTCATCTTCTTCGTCCCGCCAGTCGTATTTCCGGAGGGAAACCCTGCGAGCTTTGAGGTCTCTGGATGGGGAATGCGTCGTACTTGTGGGAGAAAATGCAGGTGATGAAGGGGTGTACGTGTGTGTGTCACTTTCTCTCCCTGATATAAAAGAGCTCCTGGTCGCATGAGATGGTAGCGTTCTTGAAGCATCGTATATGAACTGCGGGTTTTTCCCTCTTTTCTCCAGGCTTCGAAACATCCGCAATGGCTCGTCATTAGGAGCCGGGATAATCTCCTCCTCCTTCCAAGGAGCATTTGGATCTTCATTGTAGCCAATGATGATAATATATTGCTCAGGAGGAAAGGGGAGCCTCATTCGCTTAAGAGCAGCGTTAAGAACCTCGGGAGTCTTAGCATCTGTAGATAGACCCCACGATTTAAACTTTGCAATGACGTCTAGGCCCTTCGGTGCAATTGCGATATCTTCTTCCGCAGAACTATCTTGAACGCCTGGTGGGGAGGTCGATCGGTGGAAGGTAGGATCCTTGAGAATCAAGTCGGCTTCGAAGCTTGATTCTTTTAAGCCTGCCATACCGGACGCTAGGAAATCGATGTCCATATCGGGGATCCTTGAAGGCTGTGGCAGCAGTGACCGTCTCCTGGGGAGCTCTTCATCTTGACTGTCTCTTGAGTATGTCACGTCCGCTTTTTGGCCCGGAGCTTCTGTTGGGTCGTAAGAATACGGTATTCTTGGTGGGTGCTCCACACGCGGCATACTGGTTCGTTTAAACTTTGAGGAGGGAGATCGTTCACCCTGACCACGCTTTTTCTGGTGCTTGGGTGGCTTCGATCCTGACATCCAATCCACCCAGTCGGGCTTTTTCTTCCTAGATTTTCTCTTTCTCCTGGTCTTCACAGGGTCCCTGATGAGATCTGTCATTTGCAGTGGCGGTGAAGGGAGAGATGGGACAGTTGACGAGGAGTCCAAAGGCAACAACCCTGATTTAAGATTGGGCCACAGAACCATAGTGACACTCCATCCTGGCTGAATTACTATCTGCCAAACAGTGGGAAGAATTATCTCCCCATGTGGACTAATGAGGTCATAGTAATGGTTTTTTACTTGTTCGTAGAGACCTTCAGTATGGAGGAAAGATTGATTGATGAGGGCTTGCATTCCCTGGATAGCTGCGTTAGCGATGAACGCATTAGGATAGAAAATTTGCACCAGACTCAACTAGTCCTAGGCCAACCTACCTGCCAAGTCCTACAGAGTCTGAATGGGAAACTAAATTTTCTGCCTACAGCATCCTTGAAACTGATAGGAAGTTCTTGTTCAGATATAGAAGCGGACTTCAAGGACCTCATGGTAGCTTCTTCTTCTTCTACTTCCTCCTCTGTTAACGCCACTAACGCTCTTGCCTCCATTTCTATCTCCTCAATTAGGTTAGCAGCTGCCTTTTGCTCCGTATATTTTCGTGCTACCTCCGCTGCATCTTGTTCCTCCTTTTGACGCCTTCTCTTGGCTTCTTCAGCGATTCTTTCTCGTTCCTCTCTTCTGGTAGTCTCTTGCGTCTCCACAATGTCTCTCTTGACCTCTTGGCTTGTGTGAGATTCATAGGCTTGTCGAGTAAGGCCTGTGAATGATTTACGCAAACTGATGGTATCCTCACTTTTAGTCCTTGACTCCATCAAAACCTTCTCTTTTCGTGGATTAACTTGATAGAGAGCGGGCTTTTGAACACCTTTGGAGCTTCCCAAGATCACCATATCTAGATGTTCCCGAGCCCGAAAGTAGGTCCCAATAAGCGATTGCTGATGTTCCGATGGATTCTCTTCTTGCACAGGATTGGAAAGCACTTGCTGCAATTTCTCGATATCTCCCATGAGGTCATAAATGTAAGATACGCATGTTGCTAGGCTTTCATTCGTGATAGTTGAGGTAATTGAAGACGAAAGAACAGCCATGCTGGCCGAAGCGCTCGGATACTGAATATCCTTATTGGCGTCGTCATCCTCACTAGCAAATTAGCATGCGTCTGGTAGTGGAAGTACTGGTAGGTATACTCATAGGCTGTACTATCCTCACTGAGGCTGTAATTTCTCAAGGACGCTTCATACCGTTTTGTAGACTCCTTTTTGCCCTGAATCAAGGCTTTGATCTGCTCGCGTTGGGCTACTTCAGCCTCTCGATCGAGCTTCCTATAGACCAAGTTAGAACATCGTATCGTATGCTTCTTTCAGCATATCTGCATTTAGCAGGAATATGGTAGAGATAAGAATGAAAAATGCGTATCCTCTTGCTGGAATAAGCAAAGTTTCAAGAAAATGCAGAGTTCCGTCTGAATTAGATGGTTTTGGTATTCCACTACAAGTGCCAATGTGTCGTAGAATGGTACATACTGAGAAGCGATCTGGTGCGCATGTGTCAAGACTTGCATCAGTAACTGTAGTGTGCTCTTTAACTTGTCGATGTGGCTTCTCAGTAGGTCTATTTTGGATTCGCGGAATGGAAGCATGAGTCGTCCTAGTGTATTCTTTTTCGTCTTTTTAAGCGCGGCATCTAGCTCAGCGAAGACCGTGGAGCACTCGCGAACTGTCTCGTCCGCCGTTTTCACGGCTTTTTTTGAGAGCACCGTTGCGGTTTCATCCTGCTTGAAAACATGTGCGAGTTCGTCGATGACAAATGAAGTCAGTTCAACGTCCTTCGCAATATCCTTGATTCTGCGGTCTGCTGATGCTACGGTCTCTGCATATTGGTAGAGTGTCTGGGACAGTTTGAGGCCTGCCCCAGCGACTTGGATGACGCTTGCTGTGAAGAAGTGTTAAGGACGACTTCTAGGTAAGAGGGGAATATAGAATTTAAACAAGCGCTTACCAATGAGGCCTATTTCAGCCATCTGGGGAAATCGGTAGGATGCGAATGCTCATGGGTGTTAGACGGATGTATTTACTGTCCCACGATTATAAGATTTTGAAGGTTGGGGTTGTGTGGTGCCATGAGGTGTCATTTGGGACCTTCTCAGCGTGTTGCCTCCGAGCTCGTATTGGGGCATCATAAGGCTTGGCCTACAGATTCTCCAGTGGTTCATGAACCGCGAAAACAACTCGAATTTTTTGAGGCCTTGAGATGATGCCGAGGGTCAATTTTGGACTCGAGTATGCGGAGGAGGCAGGACTCCGCTCGAGTTAGCATTGCGCCACACCTCGGGCAGCTGTTCTAGTTAAGGAAAGCGCGAGCCAAACTGGTTGGTTTGGCTTGAGGACTTCTGATATCATTCACCCGCGCACATCACTCAAGGAGCATCAACCCTGTAGCTCGACAGGCCACAGGATTACTAGCGTTCAATAAGAGCTCCCATTGCCATAGACATCAGTTTCCAAAACGAACCAAAGTATCATAAGCCACACCATGCGCCACAGCTCCTCCAACATGACATCATGTTCAGAGACCTGCTTATGGTGGGATATCTCAGGCTTCCGATCGTCTTCTCTTTGCAATTGATTTTGATCCTGGGCAATTTCCTCTTCATTTTCTTGTATGCAATGCAAGATAATTCACGACAGAGCGCAAAGCTCGTAAAAAGAAGACCTGTACCTTCTCCCTGTCGTGAAAGACAGCTCTCTACAACCCGACCCTCTGGGGATACCCCGGCTCTGTCTACATTGAATACCAGCGAAGTCAACGAATCCTATTCCACCATGCCTTCAAATAGTTTGTCCCCCCCTGACAAGGAGAAGAAGTCGAAATGGCGCCTTTCGAGCCCATTCCACTTCAAGGACAAGGAGCAGAAAGATACCCATGAATCTACAGGAGATTCAGCGTATGGGGGTAGCGAAGCGAACAATAGCTCCACCTCACATTCAAACGGCAGTGGAATACCCAGTTTTTCAAGTAGCGAAAGGAGTAACTCTCAACGCCCTGTAAATGACGAGATGCATCTAAGTCAGTTACGCCCTCCCCTAGCGAACGTTCAAGCGCCAAAGACAAGCATCACCCCTCCGACTCCTCCACCACAACCTCAAGAACGGCCTCCTACGCAGATGGTCAGCCGCCCAACAGACCAAGAGAACATATCGAAAGAGACTTACCACGATGAGAAGACTGGGAACGTCGTCACTACGACCACCACTACCACAACGACTACTACAACGACTACTGGTCCGGGGGGGTCCACAACGGTTCAAGTGCCCTCTAGCGGGGGCGGTAATGAGAATGTGTCTGCTCTAGCAAACATTACAAATACCACAGGGCCAAGTCCACCATCTCCAGACCCTCCCATTCCGAAAACACATCAACTACAAAGTCCTACACAACATGTGCCGAGTCACACAAATCCCTCGCCACCATTACCAGCTAGGAGTAATATGCGCGATAGGGCAGAGCTAGATTCCCATTCTCCAGCTGTCGAACAATCCAATCCAATACCTATTAGTCCTACTAGTCCCACACGAGCGAACTTCTCCTACCCTTCACGGACACCCCCCACAGGGGCCCCTCGAAATGTTCCGGCTGAGCGGATGTATTCGCCGCAGCCAGGAGAGCATTTACAACTGCACCAGCCCCATCACCAAGTCGTGGATGGCGAACCGTCGAACGCAGAATATCCGGCAGCATTGCGGCCTGGCCAACCCCCTCAACAAGGTCAACCTCAACACAAACTGTCGACATTAGCAAATCTAAAAACTGCTGCTGCCGGTATACATGTATGCCTTTCTTACTCCTCTCAGTCACCTTCGAAAGCTGACCAAAATTCTAAGGGAGCTGGGGAGACCCTCCGTGGTACTCTTAATAACACGATCGATAGACAGTTCGCGAAACCAACTTCCAACATACATGCCAAGAACGAAGCCACTATCAATGCAGGCCATTCTGAAATTGAGACCGGGAGGTTTTCCCGTAACCAGCCACCAACAGCCCCAACTCAACGGCAGCCAGCTATGCAGCCTGAGGAGAACCAACCATACGGCTATACTGCGAGTGTTACGGGGCCTGGAGATACACAATCTAGAGGAAAGTGTGAAGGACGCCTAGGGAGTTTCGTGATGAAGATGAAGCAAGGTCCGCTGAACTCTGAGAGAATTGATGGTAAGGCTGGAAAGCTGAGGGTTGTAAATGAGTAATTCCTCGGTTTAAGAATGATGTCATCGAGGTGTTGGATTGGTTGTACAACATGAAATGACAATAATAGGTTGAGCTATGACTTTGCGGATTTTTGTATATATTGGTCGGTAAATAGGGGTAGTGGAGAATACAATTGGATATCTTACGACTGACAGAAGGTACTCAGGGTGTCAGAGGGGTGAGGCGAATTATAGTATGTCTATAGCTGCTCTATCTACCTCACATCAATGAGATACACCCCGAGTACTTTCCTAATATTCCCTTCTGTTTCGAAGTAGGATCCACGCTCTGAATTTGTGGTCTAGCGTAAATGTATACATTCATTCTGAACACTCACACCATCAAGCACTTACAAACGTCCATAAAAAAATTAGAATCAGCACAGCAGCCATGTATGTGGATGCCAGCGGGCCTCTTCGTTCTGTCCAGGCGCAGTCTTAACTTCACCATTAGGTATGCGAGCTCGACCCCCACAATGATCTCTGCCACTGAGAATATTTCTCTATTCTTTTCTTCGGGATTATATAGCAGAGTCCTTTTTTTGTTCTTAAGGGAACTGAGAATCTAACTTTACACTTACTAAACTAATCGCAGATCACCATTACGGCTCGCCACCATGTGTTCTTCCCTATCTTCAGTTCCCGCATGCCTTCGTCTATCTTTGGATGAGCTCATAAAGCCACCGGCCACGGAACCTCTCGAATTCACCGCCGGTTGAGAGAACTCCTTTCCCGGCCTATTTAAAAGAGAAGTAGCTACGCGTGCCTATTTTGTTAGCAATCCCCTAACGAAATTGGTAAGCATGCCACCTCCCTTGTTCTTTTACCCATTATGATGTCCCAATTTCTATCCCAATTAACGAGGCAGTCCTTCAAGCAAGTTGCCGCCTAGCAGGCCTCATCCTCACAGGCCTTATCTAGCATATCTACACCGCCCTCGCGTGAGGCAACTCCTTCAACGCATATGCGAGATACCTAGGCTAAGGGGCACCTAAAAAATGCCCACTATCATGTCAGTGTCGCCTTTAATATTAACTGGGATAATATATGGTGTTCTGGCGTCAAAATAAAGCGCGGAGCAGCTGGGATATTAGCTATCACGGCTTCCTAATCAGGTATAGTATCCAGCTTTAGCTCAAACATTTCATAATGCTTCAGTTACTGTATACCAACCGTACACCTACGTCATCTCCTCCGTACAGTTAGTTAGTAACAGCCGACTGCTCCGTAACTGTACTATTCAGCCTTCAAAACACCCCCTAGTCAACGGTTGGACACACTGGTACTAGATGATCAGGTATCAGAGTCAGTTTGGGCAGGGAGTATATAGTTGAAAGATTTATAGGGGTGCTTGCTAGGTTAGAAGAAGCAGTAAGGAGGACCAAAAAAAAATGCTAGAAAATATATGGGCAAACTTGCACACTACGTTTATAGTGAAGACGCCAATACTTAGCAGTTGTGTTTAGTAACTACAACTTTCAAATGTGCTCAATATCGTTCAGTGAACTATGCTCTGGGATTGAAGGGACTTTGGTAATATAAAAGTTTATCATGCATTGAGGCAAGCCATTGCTAGGCTTGAATTTAAGCAAGAGAGATCGTAGGTTATGTTAAGAAAGAGGTGCTGGCTGTAATACCCTGTACTAACTGCGGTCTATCTATCCTGGCTATATCTACTGCGGCGGTCCATAACAACCTAGCCTAGCCATGGCGCTACTCCTCAAACCTCTTCAACGATCTAAAACAAAGGGTCTCGGTTTCTGGCCCTTGACCTAAGAGACAGTCATAGGTTCAGGGAAATAGATGGTTCGTACCTGCCTGTTTGGAAATAAGACAATCAGAAACCCTGGTTTACTGGACCCCCCCACCCAAACGTCTACGTACTTGCTGCCATGTTTGAGTTTGAAGAGATTGTTATCTCTTATGATGAAAAATTTAACTTTGAAGAGGAGAATTTCTATCAAAAAATCTTTGTTCCGTGCAATAATGGGTACCGTCTCGTCAAGGTCAAGCTAAATGAAGAAGCCGTCCTAGTTATACACTACCACAAGCACCTCACTCGTACGGCCGGAAACAAAATAAAAATCCTCGTCGGTGGACAAGAAGAGGGAGGACCTACCATTGGGACTAGGGTTGTCGTGTGTGAATCTGAGTCTGGGTTTGAATTCGTGGTAGCATTGTTCATGCCACAAAAGTATTTCCGGAACAACAAGTCAAGTGCGCCCGTGATGCCTACATACAAGTGGATCCGGCCGATCTCTTCCACAAGTCCGCCGCTGATTATATTGCCTATAGAATGCGGCCTGCTGCGGCGAGAGTCGAGAGGCTTTTGCTGCCATGCTTGGGGGTCGTACAAGCATTACTGAGAATGGGGAAGAGAAATCTGGCCTGTGAGTCACTACAATCCCTATCAAGACTGAGGAAATGCTGTGGACCAAGACACTATCGCCAGGGTCAATGAAGCATACATCTGTCTAAACTGTGGGAGCCACTTTTCGATAAAGTGTCCAGGTCATAGCACAGAGTTAATTCATGGGGTCTCATTGCCGAGCTGAAGGCGCCTCCGTTGTTGCTATTATTGGAGTCAGGCAAGTTTAGATCCTTGCTAGCAATTACTTATTCTAGGGAAAACGTGTCCAAGCTTATGAAGGATTCAAAGCCAAGTGAGATACTTGGCCAGGAGGAAAGGGCGAAGCCACTAGTCATGAGGACCAATGTGCTCTGGAGGTAGATGGGAGAGGCGTGGGATGCAAAACACTTTGCACGGTGTACGTAGAAGAGACGAGTTAATACTTAATTGTCTTATGTGTGGAGTGGCCCTTGGAGAGCGAACGCGATACTAAACTCTCCTCTTCCTTGGAATGAGTGAAGCGAATCGAGATTAAACCCAATAATGATGCAGATACCGACATTTGCCTAGAGAGTGGTGAGCATATTGAGAAGTATATGGATCTGAATAGTGTCTTAAAAAGAATAGTATTAACCTTTTACAAGTGAGAGTGATAGGGGGGCATTTAAAATTAGAAGAAATATCAGTGTCTACCTATTTTCTGTGGTAGAATTGGCACATGTTAGGTGAAATACCTCGCAGATTCCGTACACTCCCATATACTACATGTCAGCCCGTGCCCTTTATTTCACTTGTTAGAAGCATTGTGCTCCCGAAGTAGCCCGTATCGAATGTCGTCACGGCTAGATAGTAGGCATACTAAATTTATTGACCTTTTTTGGTGCGGTAAATGGTGTCCTATTGTCCAGGAACGCTCCTGGTGTGAGACCAGTACTTGGCATCGAGATCCTTACACTTCGACTTGCTTCTATCCATGTAGTCCAAGCATAGACCGTTGAAGTAAGTAAGGGTAGTGAAGCAAGCCTTCTGTAACCCAAACTCCCAATCAATATTGCCGTAATTATAGCAGTTGTCAGAGTAGCTGAACTGAAATTGGCTAAGCGTTCTATGAAGTCGTTGGTGTTTGTATGAGAAATGAACTCACCTTGAAGGAACGAATTCATATCGACAAGGGCCGTGGCGTACTGTCCAACACTGCTAGCCTAGCATGTGCAGCGCCTACCTGCAGATGGGGTGGTACAAGTTAGCATAATCTTCCAAACATGGGTCTGCTACATCTAACTATGCTCTGTCTTAAAAGCGGTTGTATCTATGACAACGCACCAGATATGACAACGCACCAGATTTCAGAAGCATCCCTACCCTGTACCATACATTTTGATGGAGTACAGGCCGCTGCGAGCATAGTTTACCGCGCCTATACAGCATATTATCCCAAAATAATTTAACACCAATTGAGGCGAGGAGATCGTAAGTAAAATGGGAGATATACTAACAAACTCAGGCGGAGCCAGGTGGGGCTGCTGGAATATGAACCCTTGCGGTTGCTTTTCCTGCACAGAGTCGGGGCGATTGTAGGCAGGGAACATAGTTACGTTAGCAAATCCGGCTGCGCAGTCAAAGAATAGATAAAGCAAGGCAAGCTGTCGAACTAAATCGTTGTTTAATTCTGTGGCAGCAACGGTCATATCGTTCTATTTGGTGAGACAAGGTCTCAAACAGAGCCGCGCCTTGTGCAGATCCACCATAGAAGTCGATGGTTCGCAGTACATGCCATACCATAGAGATTGAGACCGTATAAAAGCTATTTCCACAATAGCAAACATTCATGGGCAAGCTTGTTCTTGTCCAGAATCGCCATCATTGAGCTCCAATTGTCGTGAATGAGCACTCGTAAATAGCTTGATTGCTCTCCCCACGGGTTCTGGATGACACTTCGAAGTGGTTATTTGGGAGCTTCATAACGGTAATTGTGGGTCCGACAAGTGTGAGATAGTGATATCTTAGTCTTGGATTTATGAGATCGGGCCACTGCTGCGCGTCAGGTTCTGGTCAATCATGGCGATCACGGAGAAAGTAGAGGAGCGGGCGAGGGCAAGGTGAGGGTACTGGATCAGTAAGACGGGGGGCGACAAATAAAAGTGCAGCCACCTTACGATCGTCAACGCGCGGTCATGTGACGACGTCGACGCTGGCGGTGGGAGCGCTGGAGTGGTGGATATGTAACAACATGTGTGTTGAAGGACGACACCCCTGCTTGACTTACTATTTGAAAGTCTGCAGCTAACATGAGATATTACATAGCCTACCTTAGAGGAACATTAGAACTTAAGGACTCTCAACTATTCTTGAATGAGTCTGCAGTTAACATCTGAATTCTATTAACTCCACACTAAAAGCTGTTGATGGGTGCTTGATTGCATTAGGGCAAGGCATTGACGGGCATTAGGCAGGGTTAATTGAACAGGAGTTGTCCGCAACCCCCATATTGCCCTAAAGGTTGCGTAACTTTACCAAATAACTTGTCCTCCCAAACTGAGCAGCACATCCGACTATGCGGCATCTTAGGAGTTAATTCTCATACTGAGTCGCGAAAGTTTCTCCCAAAAAGATCCGCACACGTTTTATTACCCAGAGTATTCGCCCTCTCTAAGTCTTAGTTGCCTGATACTTGGGGTTTAAGCAACAGAAGCCTTTACCTTCTTCGCCTTCTTGACCTTCTTGGCCTCAGCTCCGTCTTGATCAGGGGCTTTAGCCTTGCGTTTCTTCTCCTTGATCGTCTCCTCAACAACACTCTCTGGTTGACCTGCCTTCTTCGTTTTCTTAACCTTTCCAACCTCGCCACCCTCGACAGCTTTTGTCTCTTCTTTTGTCTCTGCCACCACGCTAACCTTTGGTTTTTTATCTTTCTTAATCCTCTTCTCTCTGACGGACTCAATTTTCTCGCTAACCTCCGTTGCTGCATTCCCGGTAGCGCCAGTCTCGGGCTTGGCTTTGGAACCTTTCTTTGGCTTCTTAGTTCTGACAGTCTCAGAGACGACCAGCTGGCCAGGGTTCGTCTCTTCGTCTTTGTCAGGCTTCTCCTGATCAGCTGCCTCAATGAGCAATTGCTGAGCCACGTCATCTTCAAGAGCCTGTTCTTTCATCGGGACATCATCGACGGCCTTCAGTGGAGGTGCAGTGAACTCATAATCCATCTGTTCTATGAGCTTCGCGTTCCTGCTGGCCCTCTTCTTAGTCTCCCTCTCCACCCGCCTCTCCCAAACCATGCGCTCCGCACCCCGTTTCATTTCACTGCCTGCTATTTTGTTTCTGGGCATGACTTTGAAGCGGGCGTTGGCACCTTTGAAGAGATCCACATGAACCTGCTCTTCTGGGATGATTTTACATTGCAAAATGTGACCAAAGAGAAGGTACTTGTCCATTGTTTTGGCCACGACTTGTGCAACTTCTTCAGAGGCAAATTCAACAAATGCGAAGTGCTTCGAAGCGCCCGTTTTCTTGTTGCGGGACAGACGGAGACGTGTAACGGTGCCAAATTGCGAAAAGTAGGCCTTCATCTGGGGTTCGAAAAACCCATGTGGAAGGCGACTGTCGGTGTTAGCAGGTTCAGTTTAGAGACGTGCATATGAAAGTTTAAGTACATACCCAACGAAGATCACTCCCACTTTCCCGCCTTTTTTCCCTTTATTCTTAGCAGCCTTGTTCAGTTCATTCCGGAGCATCTGGGGAATGGCGGGATTTACTGTCCCGTCAAAATCCGCATCCTCCTCCGGGTCGGCATCGTCTCCGTCGCTCTCGAAGCCAGCAAGAAGTGCCGCGGTTTGGTCAGCCTCGTCGCTATCTTCATTTTCCACTGCTTCCACTTCTTTAGCTTGAATAGCGGGCTCAGAAATCATCTGCTTCGGCCCTGCCGCCTTTTTGGATGCATTCTCTTTCTTTAACTTCTTGTCGCCGCTGGGCGCAGGAACCTCATCCTCGGCCCTCTCCTTCATGTCCTTGTCAACCGAGACCTCCTCCACTTGGCCGACAGGCTTCCCTTTCCCTTTCTTCGACTTCTTGGCCTTCTTCGCTGGCATAGTAGAAACCTCCACACCAGCTTGGACCTCAGCGTCTGCGCCTTCGCTCTTGTTTACCTTGTTTGGTTTCTCGTGCACAGAGGCAGCGTCTAATTCCATACCCGCTACACCAGTTTTAGCTCCAGCAGGTTTCACATCGCCCCTCTTGCCCTTCTTGTACTTCCTCTCCTTCGCAGTCTCGTCTTTGGTGGGCTGAACTTCTGGCTCGAAAAAGTCCTGGGCTCGCGGGCGAGGTACTTTAGCCGGAGATTTCGTGGAAAGCGCATCGACGGGCTCGATAGCGGCTTTGAGAGCTTTCGTGGACTGCCTCGTCGTAGTGGCCGCATTCTCTGACTTCTGTTTTTTGGGTTTTGGTGAGACGTCGGTGGCGCCTGTGCGGAAGTTAGCCGAAGCTGATAATTGGAGAGTAGAAGTATAAACCCTTGCGCTTCTTCGTTTTTAGGACCTCGGAAGCCATTGAAACTGGATGTGCTGGCGCAGTTACTTGGAGAGCTTCCCAGCTTATTTGTGCGGAGGAAAAAGTTCGAGGCGGAGGCGCTCGGGCCAACGAACATACTCTGCGCTAACAGGGCAAGGGAACGTGCTGGCACCTCCGAGAATCTGCCGAAGGTGAACGCAACCCACGGGATCGAGATCGATTTGGATCATCACGAGCTTCTTCTGTTTGTTTGATACATTTAAACCACTGCATGTTTTGTTGCTTTGAGGCGCGGAAGAACAATCAGGAACAGTCGGACTCGGCCCTCTACGCTTCTAGGGTTCATCATCAGAGCATACCGCGAAAACGCAATGGCGCCTGGTATCAGCATCGACGACCGAAATGCATGGGATGATACCAGTTTGGTTGACGACTGGAATGAGGTGGTGGCTGAGTACCAGGTTCGCCTGAAATAAGCTCAGTGCCATGCGCTTCGTCCCTGGTAGCTGACTCTCGTGTAGAAATATCATAGCATCCAAGCACAAGGCAAACGTCTAGAGGACGTTCTTAGCAAAGACGAGCTGGCAGAATTGAGGCAGTAAAGTTTTTTCTCAGATCCTTTGTTATGTGGGCTGACTTTTGGAGGGACTACGAAGATCTGATGGGAGAAGAAGAAACCAGATCAAACAATGCCGATGCAAACACCAAGGCGGATCACGAACCTGCCGGCAGACCTACTGAAGACACTAATGATGATGGGTGTCTTGGTCAGGATGCAATTCAGGCAGAGGTATTTGGTATCCGCCTCGGCACTTGTTTCCAGCTTCCGCTCACGGTGGTAGGAACCAAAGTCTTCCGGAAACCGAGAAGAGTCAAGAACGGCAGAATCCTCAGCGCCAGTGCATGATGTGGCTACAAATCCTGCCATGCCACAGGCTATTCTCGGGACCGGTATGTATCCGGCTTGTCCCTCCTCCGTTCCGGACGCCTAGAACAATATTTTCCCCCAAGAAACAATCTGATTTATCACAGTGCAAGACGAGAATCTCAAGAACTTAATGATGTCCTGGTACTATGCTGGCTACTACACCGGATTGTACGTCGGGCAGCAACAGGGGACTCCTGAGGCACCTAGGTGAGGCAAAAGTAGGATTCGGGTTGGGTTTTTCTCGGCCACCGCAGTCGAGGAAATGGATTGCGATGCCCGTCAGTAGTCTTGAACGAAGGTATCAAGAAATGCGAAGCCGATAGCCATGGAACAGGCCAATCAATAGTGAGGAGGCGGCCTCAACTGGTATCTTGGTTAGCACTAACACGGCAACAGCCCGGCCTGTGTGGCGCACTACGCATCAAGCCAGTTCGGTATCATCGAGCCGCGAAATGAGGTTTTCATCTTTCAATGCAGTGTGATCTTTCCCACGTTGTCCCTGCAGGCATACCCCTGAAAATTGTCCCCGTATTTAAGGCTTGGTGAAGCTTGGTAACCCGTTTTGGGACCGTGCGGCGTGAAGCGAGACAGATCTGCGACACTGTTGCGACGTCCTGGCACCCACCTCTCACACTTCCCCCTTCAAACCCCCCCTTCACGACCGCTATCGCCGCCTGGCTCAGCAAAATCAATTGGACCCTTGCAGATAGCTTCCTGTTTTTACGGATAGTTGCCAAGCCGAGGGGGCATAATGTTTCGCCATGACCCCGTCGGAGCTGCATCTTCTCGGAATCCCAATTTCATGCGTGAATTTAAGCACCACAGGCTCCCTTGATGGCTACTTTCTCCTCGATTTCCTCTCTCATATCTGTCTCGGTCCCGTGCTAAACCATTACATTCTCTTTTTCTTCTGGTTGTTCGCTTCACATACTTACTATTACCGAGCCGGCCCTCGTCGTGAGCCTTTCGATCTTTGCCTTTCCTTCAGGACAGTTTCTTTCGCCCGCAGTGCAGGCAATTACATTCTTTCAAAGGTTTTACGACAACACAACATCTAGTCATAATGAAGTACTTCGCGACACTACCCCTGGCAGCGAGCCTTGCTGCTGCTCAGATGTCTGTCATGAGCCTGGCGCCCGCGCCGTCATCAGGACCAATGACACATACCGTAAGCATCTTACTCTACAAATTGCCTTGAACATCGTCTGACAATACTGTAGGTCATCGTCGGAGGAATGAAGCCCGTCGCGACCGGAATGGCACCAGTATTAGGATACTCACCGGAGGCGATTACCGCAAATCAAGGCGACATGGTCAAGTTCGTCTTCATGCAAAAGAACCATACCGCGACTCAATCTACCTTCGCCGACCCTTGCAAAAAGATGGATGGGGGCATGGACTCTGGCTTCATGCCCAACCCTGAAGGAAAAGCTGGTGTTGAGTGGAACATGACCGTCTCCACAACAGACCCAATCTGTAGGTGACCCAGTCGACGTGGAAGAGGTATGGAATCTGACAATCCGAACAGGGTTCTACTGCAGACAGCAGAATGGCATCCATTGCGGGAAAGGTATGGTCTTTTCTATCAACGCGGCCACAAGCGGCGATAAGACCATGGCCGCCTTCAAGCAGCTCGCCATTAACCAGAACGGAACCGCCCAACTTACCACGGCCGCCATTGCACAAGTCGGAGCAACCGCCGCCGCTGGCGGTGCCAGTACCGTCACCGTTGTCGCCGGAGGAGGCCAAGCTGCCGCTACTGGCTCTGCGGCCGCCGCAACAGCATCTGTCGCCGCAGGACAAGGTCTGACTGGCGATGGGCAAGCGTGCTCATGCCAGTGCTTGTGCGGAGTCAACTCATTCCCGGCTGCGGCCGCGCAGAACAACTTCGGGGGTTTTGCCGGAATGATTCAATAAGCTGGAATATTCGAGGAGGTGAAATAGATGAGGGTTTGGGGCACTGGTTCTCGGAAGATAATAATAGCTTCCATTCAAGAAGATGATTCAGTTCTAACGACGGGTTTCGTTTTGATGCCTCCGGGGTGGCATACCAGAACCCTGATACCTTTTTTGCTAGCTTACTGGCGTTCGCATTATACCGTAATCCACATTTACGATTGGGCGTATGTGGTGTTGTTGTAAAACTAAGATAGAATCTTGAATGAAGCTCTCCGTGAGATCAACTTATTCAATTCTGATGACTATCCTGTGTTCAGTGTTTCTGAGAGAGTGCGCGCTGTTAGTGCTATTACCAGTGGATGAAGAGTTTGACCGCACTAGACAGCGTAAATATCACACCCGGCCAAGTCATGATTATTGATAGCGCGGAATCGCAGGAAATATGCACCCAGAACCCAAAAAAACCCCTTTCTACGTCCAGAAAACTCCCAATCCGCAAGTCGCTCGACATTGCACTGGGGATGCATCGAAGCATGTCGGAAGAACTCAAATACCGCTTCTACTTCTTCTTTCCGCCGGCCGCAGAGCCCTCGCCCTGCTTCTTCGCATCGGCTTCAGAGCGCACACGTGTCAGCATATCCGGATGTTGCTTTGATATTCATGCGCCGCCGGAACTGGGTAGCGGATCGACGCGCATCCTGGGGTGGACGTACCAGCGGCCTGTTTGGCCCGCATAATCGCAGCCTGGTCCTCCTTCGTTCGGGCAAATTCTGTGCCAGATTGCTGTCACACACTCGGTTAGATAAAGCGCAACGTGCCGCATCCGGGTGTCAGATGCCGGCTGGATGAAGACGTACTGTATTCTTGGCTTTCTGTGGCCGACGAAGTTAGTACTAATGTCTACAGAATACTTTGGCGCTTTGGAATAAGGAAACAGCACTGGAAGATGTGGTGTGGATGATAGTGCATACCTTGCCGGCTTGATCCTTCAGATTCTTTTCACGAGCTTTGTCACGCTGATTACCACGCGCCATGTTTCTCGTATAGAGGATGCCCCTTCGACAAGAGGCGGTGATGGATTTCGCTTTGTGGGGTTCGATTTCTCGTAAGCGTTGGCGGTATCGTGATGTTGAAGAAGAAGTTAAGGTTGGGAGGTCAGCAGTCGATAAAAATAGGCGTGCCGCTGGTGCTAGAAGCGGCGTTGGCCACCGCACAGCAGCTGTGCCATGTGAGGAGTTTCTTTTGTCAACATCACGAGAGATCTTGCATTGCCGTGTTGGGTTGTGAATTTCACTCTTCATTTATCCTTGTATGTAGTGAAGGCTTCTTAGGTTATTCTAACCTCGGAAGATTGTCCTAGCTACATCACGTGACACACGGTTTCTGCTTCAACCTTGGAAGGTTGCGAGTCCCGGGGTCATCCTACAAAGTTGAGTCAAGCCCTCTTATTATAGTTTTCGCTTGCATCTATTTAGGTACTATCTAGACTTACACTTCTCACCAGGCACGCATTCGTCGACTACCAATGTCTAGACGTAACTGTGGGGTTGTATCTTTCCTTGGACCTTGACCACCCCTATCTGTCCATGCCTTGCTCAATTCATGAAATGGGTCAAGAGACAGGAAAACTGCACGATCTTCCGCTCCTCGGTAGTTTGAGATCGTTCGAATTGTCCTCCATGATAGGCGGATGAGGCTAGACAGGTTACGTAAGAGAAGGTTCGTTTACTTCAATGGCAGCATGTGAAGGTCTCCTTCATACTCCTTATAACATGCTGGCGAAGTGTATCAGAAACGAAAATTTCTAAACCAATTCCTAGGATGTTGATAATTGTCGGAGAGCTAGAGTCTCTTTAATGGAGCACAATCTACTATAAGTCGACGCATACTTCGGACCATGAGTGAGCCAAGTAAAAGTTCTAGCATGTTGCTAGGATGAAGAAATAGTCTACAGAATATCTTCTTGCATATTAATCTGCACATCCAGTCGACCTCCCCACTAAGTGCAAGCATGCAGCATGATCGGATGTCGGATTGATAACATCCGGAACTGAAAAACAGACAGCCAACACGAATATATAGAGAGAATTCAATAGGGAAACGTAGGACAAGTCTGAATGAGAACAACAATAATTCTGCAAAGAAGCAATGGTCGAACTGGGCCAAAAACAGTTGAACGCGGATGAATGTCATTACTTCATCCTCCTTTTACCTTTTTTCTTTATCTTTTCTCTTCTCTCTTTTCTCTTTTCTCTTTTCTCTTCTTCAATGTATGCATGAAATTTCTTTTAAAAGAGTACTCCCATTTCAATAAAGCGAAAAGAAAGTACGATGCAAAAGCGTCGGTCTACGTGTCCGGATGCTCTGTCAACGACATCCGGATCCGAATCTTGATATCAGATACGGGCTGCAATGTGATCACATTCGGCTTTCCATTCTGGGGTACGCTTGGCATTAGGTACGTTGACGTGGACCATTCCGAGGCCTCGCTGAATGGTATCATAAGGCTGTCGTCTCCACAATGGCGGTCTCAAGCTCTAGCGTAATTCCTTCAGCATGCTCGAGCATGCTACGGAACAATGGACTGGGGTAAATTGAATCTTCTAACTCGTTGCTGAAGATGCAGGCTTCTGTCCTGAATTTGACATCCTGAGCATGTCCAATGTACAGCATGCGCAACACAAAAGTCACACAGGCGACATGAAGCGCCTGAGGTCGCAATGGAGGAAGGATCGGGCGATGCGTCATCTGAGAAGAGCTCGGCTACAATCTCAACAAAGTTTTGCTAGAAAAATAAGGTCAATTGGACACCCCCCGAGCTAGAGTTGAATGGATAGATTGGAGGAGCGCGGTTCGTGAAGAGGTGGAAATAAGGTGGAGAGGCTGACTAACGTCCATTCTCGGGCAGGCGCTCTGGTGTAGCCTTCTCGACTCTCCTGCACCATCCCCACGCACCCCGTGCTACGACACTGAGCCCAACTGCAAGCCTGTCGTCGCAAGTCCCATGGAGGAAAAAAAACGACTGTCAACGATTGAAGGGTCGACGATTCTTGCCGCCCGGGCATCCGTCGCTCATCGTCTGTTTTAGGATTCTGAAACACGGCGCGCTCGCGGGAGCGACCGCGTCGAGGCCACTCTCACCCAATCGTTTCGTGTGACCTTCACGCCGTCCAAACCTGCCTCACTTTTTTGCATGCCCAACCTTGGAGGCCATCGATATTGGTCTGCGAGGAAAGCCTGGCGAAAAAGCAGGTCCATTCACTGGTCTCTCTGCCGTTCAGCTCGTTATCGATGTGCTAGGCTTGATCGAGGGGTTTAACCGCGTTTCACTCTCTGCGGTAGTACAGATGGTTGCAAATGTGGTGAAATTTGGGCCAGTCAATCTTGAATCAGTCTGAGATGGCCAGCGCGACGTCCTTATTCTCCCTATTGTGACGTTCGGGAACAATAGCAATTGATTAAAGCGAACCCTGGGCCGGGTTGCAGTAATAGATTTCCTCCATCCCCCTTCTTCTGTCCACCTCTTCCGGTTTCCTATTGTCGCTCTCTCATTCACCTCACCTATTGATATTATTGTCGAGCAAGAAGATTTTCCTGCCTCGCGGCGCGGGATCTCTTCCTCATCGACTCTTCCCACCGTTTCTTTGCTGTACTTCTTCAACTTCTCGCTGGTACCCAATCGCTCGACGCGCCCTCTCTCTACGACTGCCGGCCAGCTCCCTTCAAAGCCCAACCACCCGCTACTTCTGCCCTAATATCTACAAACAGCTCTATATCCCAGAGATGGCTCTTCTGTCCGCTGAACATCTGGCCGGTCCAGGCTACATAATCCTCAATGTCATGCGGGCTATGAACATCGTCACCTTGATGGCAGTGGTCGCCAGCAGCGTCGTTATGCTGGTCAAGACATTCATTGTATCAAAGGTACATATCCTTCTCCTATACTTCTGTCTCAATATCTAACGGCTTCTAGTTCTTCTTCTTCGACGCCACTAGCCATGTCGTTACTGGCATCATAGGCAGTAAGACTCCTTAAGCGATGAAACGTTCGTTGAAACATTTGTCGATCTAACAATGTAACAGTGTTCCTCATCGCATCCGAATGCTCCCTGTTCCGCGGCTACTTTGCTCGAAATTGGCCCCTGCTTAGCCCCAGCCACGGTTTCGTCGCCTTAGGTACTGCCATGATGGTGCTTGGCTTGAACCTGCTCGGAAACATGAACAAGGAGGCAACGAGCCAGAAGTCGCTGGGTATGCCATTTTGGCGACTACTTCTTGCTTCAGGCGTACTCGCCATTGTCATTGGATTCTTCAATGTTGTCGCCGTATGTAACCCTGTTTACCCTCATTTTTGTGTATCCTAGTTAATATTTCTACAGAGCTACGTCTTCTGCGACAAATCGCGCCACATCACGGCCCGTCGCGTGCGCTCCCATGGCGCCATCACGCTCTCCGAAAATGGCGACGTTGAATCCGACCCGAAGGCCCTTAGCGTCACAACCCACCACACAGGCTCAAGCTGCTCCCGCACAGGAACACCTCCATGCCGCATGGGCACGCCGCCAATCAATCTAGGCACTCCTCAACACCTCACAGCATCACCATGTAAAGAATCCCGATTCTCTCAATTCAACTTCAGCCCTGTCCGCACCCTCCGCAATGCGCGCCAATCTATCCTCCCATCCTATCATAGCTCTTCACCCCTCCGCATGTTCGGTCACTCAAGATCCTCTTCTACGTACTCCAGGTCAACCTCTGGGGAATCGAAGAAGCAGTCTAAGAAGAAGAGGGAGAGCGACGTCCCAAGGATGCCGATGGAGATCTCTGCACCCTTGAATATCAACCCTCAATTCGCACACCTCGTCAAGCCGAACCTGGCACACCATCCTAGCGTGCGACGAGGAGAGCCTCATGGAACTCCAATTTAGCCAGGAGTAGCAGAGAGAAGTAGGGGATGAGAATGACAGACAGACAGCACACGATGCGATCATGATACCACTCTTTCCTTATTGTTTAACTTCTTCACTTTATTACTACATAAGACCTCGCCACTTCTAAAAGCCAATTTTTAGCGGCATGGCAGGCAGCTAGGCAGGCACATTAAGGTCTCTGTCTCACGGCGCATCCGGAAAAAAGGGATGCGGTCTCATTCTTTTTCGGTTGAAATGGCGTTGGCAATGCTAGATGAGACCCAGATCGATCATTTTCCTTTGTATTAAGAGGACAAAATTCTTTGCAACATTAGCACAGAAACAGATACCACTTCAATGAATTCAGGATAAATACCTTCATGATGAATATTTTAATTTGTGTGATCTTGGAGGGATATTTACAGATAGTCATACATCCACGCACATAGTTTATTATGTTTGGCCTTGTCAAGTCGAGCTCGTGCTCCGGCATGCCCAATGGCGTCTTTTCTTCCTCTAAGAACTTCATTTTGCGTTTGCAATTGTGAACAGCGCTTACCCGGCTGCCAAAACACAAACCTAGTCTCCGTCTTCTCCATCAGCCTTTCTATTCGCCGAGCGGATCTTTGAATGGATCAACAGCATTCCCTTCGGGATCATATAACTGAAACACCTTCCCATCATCCATGGTAAGACTCCATTCCTGTGTCACAAACTACACGAGCGTCAGCAACTCTCCCCTCCCCCAAATCAATCGTGAACTCACATAACCACTCCTCCCCCTCCTCCGACACCTCAGCCTAACCTGGCCTTGGCTCTTCGTCCCCTTCACCCAAAAACTAATATCAATCTTCCCATGTACCTGATTAATCTCGCCCTTGATCCACGGGTACTTGGAAGCGAAATATATCTCATCTCCCAATTCTTGCCTGACCAGCGGATTCGTGCGGAGAGAGTAGAGGGTCGAGGTGACGACGGAGGATTCCTGTTTCTGGTAATTAAAGAAGGCGAAGATGGAGATACCCATTACAAGCACAAAGATCGGAAATGTGCGGGTTATTTGCGTGGGTATGAAGGGTGGGAGACTATGTCATGTCCTCGTTAGTTTGCGTTGTATGGGGAGGGGAGAGTGCTGCGTACGGTGGTAGATCTCGATTCGGCTTTCGTTCAAGTAGAAGCTCGCCTTCTTTTGGAGGAGGGATAAGAGGTTCTGGCGGCCATGCTGTTATGCTGTGTGGTGTCTTCCAGGGTAGTGCGGTTGGCTGGGCGGAGGATGGTTCGGTGGAGACGTGACGAAGGGGAGATATTCTTCGCAGGCATAGGAGAGAGGGTCGTGGGTGGGCAAGTAGCAGGGTATGATGAAGTCGCGAAGGCGGCATGGTTGAGCAGAAAGAAGGAATTGTGACAATGCAATTTAAGCAGAAAGAGAATGACCTTGGTGGTAGTCGAAAGATCTATCGGAGATGCTTGCGCACGTTTGCTCAGTTTGCATGTCGGAGCTCGGGCCAAGTGCTCCGTTAACCCATCACCACCACCCACCGGGACGCTATTAGAACACAAATTACAGGCGAAAAGAAAGCCCGAAAACACGAAAAGACTGGTTCGGGACCTAACCGGAGAATTTGGAATAGCTTGCACTGTTGTCAAAATCCGACGCTCTACCACTGAGTTACTGGCCAACTCGTTCAATTGGACGGATCTCAAGATCCAATGGGGATATATGGCTTTTATAAAGAGCGTGCAATAGAGAGGGAAATGTATCTGGTGCTCTAAAATATGCAGGAAGTTACAGAAGCAGCTATCTCCTAGTCAAAATTATTCCTCTGCGCTTGGCATGAATTCCCATACGGTACATGAGCGCAAGGAAGGGAGCGGCTCAAATGACTGAGAGAAGTCATCTCGGGGCGTCTTGAAAAGTCACCTACTACATCTTATCACGTAACGTGGAACATTCCAGGGGTAATTTAAGATAGGAATTCGTATTCTACTAGACGTTCTACTAGATTCTAGCCAGAAGTTTTATAGATTGACTCCACCCAATTGATGTTCCATGTTGTGTGACAACACGTTATAGCCTACTTCCATCATGTTTTTGAGCCCCACTCCCTTCTAAATGCTCCTCCTTAAGCATCCTCCCTGTCCCTGGAATCTCAAAAGGCTCGCATGGAAGTGTTACCGCTATAAAACGGGCTGGCTCGGTTTGCGAGCCGTTGTGCCACTTATGGAGTGTGCCCCGTTGAATGACGTGGTCCTATATCCGTCAACATCACCAAGTCAGATGGACACCTGCTCTACATAGAGAAAAGTAAACACTTACGCCAGGGTTCAAAGTCAACATCTCCCCACCATCTAGCTCCATCTTCACGACTCCTAATACGCAGATACTAAAATCTATACTAACGGTCCTATGCATTTGACTCTGTCCACCCGGCGCAATGTCCACAACAAGTAGATTTGCACCCTGCCCAGTTGGGCTCACAATATCTGTCCCTTTATGGGACGACGCACCGGACGTGGAGAGGTACGCATTAACGTCCGCGTCGGCTTTCAGAATAGCGGGCACTGTTGAGGTAGAAAAGGAACGTGCCATGCCGCCTACACCGGCCCGCCCATGATAGAGTTGGGGTGGGGAGGAGTGCACGATAGATTTTCCACTGCTCTCGTGCGTGCAGATGTAGCGTCTGTTTGGGGGGAGGGAAGTCACAGTTTCGGTCCAGGAGCCAATTGTGGATTTGTCTGCCATTGCGGACGGGGGCCAAGTCAAATCAGGGTTCCAAGACTTGAAAATGGACTTCGACAAAAGTAGGAAGGTTTAAAGGCTTGTCGTAAGCGTTTAAGATCAAATTCAGCAACGGTTAGGAGTTGAAGAACAAGGGGAGAAGTGAAGAAAATTGGTGGTACTCAGACTGATGCTAGAATTTTTCTAATAACTATTTATGGCTTTGACTCTGGAAATGTACATCCGCACTGTTAGTTGTGCCCGGAAGAGGTCTTGGGGAGCTGTCGCGGGGCAAAGTGGAGCTTGGAGGAGCTGTGCGATGACGTTCTATGAACGAGTCAGTGAACCTCAGTGTGAAACAGTAAGGGAGTTAAAGATTGCCCCTTGTCTAATCTGTCTTGGCACCTAATTAACTCTGTGCTAATCTCTATTTGACAGACTCTTAGGTGCAGTTGATAGTAAATTAGATTTTGAGTACGTGCTGGTTTTACTATAACCAGGGATCATGGGATCGCATGCTCTCCATTTAGAACGAACACTGCACACGGGCAGTCTCTAGAGTGAATGAAATGTGTCTTAACTAATTCCACAGTGGCCGTAACTTTGAGATCAACGATGCTTTCTCGTACCCACGGCTCCTGTTCTAGCTATGACAGTACGTCCAACCCAAAACCTTGCGCCTTTGGTTGAATGAGGCTATTCAATGAACCTTGCCGAATTGTCAGCTCTTTGTACCTGCTTCTCCTCTCAACCAGTCCCTGAAACCGCAAGCTTCATTAAATGGTCCATAAACGTCTGCAAGCTGACGTCATCCGTGAAGATTGTCTGCGCTGTCTGCGAAACACCCCCATACGAGCCTGTGGTATGTGTGGTCGAAGGATTGAGCTTGGAGAGCAAGAAACGGGCTTGGGAGCCACCGGCATCACAGACAATGAATCGCGGTAGCGGAAATCGGTCTTGGATCAAATCTTTGGCATCTTCTTTGGGGGCCTCAAGCAGTGTCCTGAAGCTGTCATAACCTTCTTGATCCTGGTAGCCTGCTTTTCGCCACTCCGCCATGGTCTCACCGTGGAAGATGAGGATGTGGAAGAATGTGTCGAGAAGCAAGATGGTCTCGGACTGAATTGAGGTGGAGTCAAGGAGGACTGGTGTGCTACCTTCGTGATCGAAGCCATAGCTATCCAGGGTAGGTTGAATCATGATGAGGGAGTTGCTGACATCCTCGTGGTTGAGGACATGCCGATAAAAGGCAGTCTCATCAGGGGAGTTATTGAAGACTTGCAAAAACTGCGAACGTCGGAGATGGAACATAAATTGAGGATACAGGGTGAAGTTTTTCTCGAGTCTATTGAAGTTAGCATGCAGTCTGAATAAAAGCCGTGCGTAGCATACCTGAAAGATGAGGGGTCATCCTTTCGGTACTCTGCAAAGCGAGAGCACAGCCTGATGAGCATACGATCAACCCATCGTAGAACATCTGGTCCATCGTCTACTTCCGCTTTGAAGACGGCTATCCGTGACATAAGAACGGCGGCTGCTTCTTGATCGAATGACTGAGCAATTGCAGGATCTCCTGAAGGGCCACTCAGATTACGAGCAACGGTTGTGACTATTGTTGGTTAGCACTGCATCGTGATTCCGACGCTTGAACATACCTCTCAGATGGTATTGGCCAGCGGAGTGCTGGTAATATGTGAGGAACTGCATCATTCCCTTTTGCGGGCCTTGTTGCAGCTGGCTTGGACCGCCTTGGCTAGCAATTTCGAAGTAGATGCCGTAGCTCGCCTCTGGATCAATGCCGCACATCTTCCATGAGCAGGTGTTGCCAATGCCACATTCCGTCTCGCCCACCGAGGCAGACTTCTTGTTCATCGAAACGGCGTGTCCGATCAAGCCAGTCACCTTGAGTTCCTTGGTAGTCAGCACTTCAAGGGAGGCATTGAAGCCCATCAGGAGATTGTCGTCCGCATCCTTATTGAAGACCCGAGCGAATGACTGCTTGTACATAGAAGATGTAAAGCTGTCAGTCAGGATCATGTGACCGCCGGTCGAGTTAGAGAGTCCTTTCATCTCGAGAAGACCAACTTGATCAAGACAGCCAGCGAAGATGTCAACGATGTGTCCATTGTGTGATACGCGCTTTGCAAGGGTATCATAGAACTGACCTTGTCAATAGCTATCCTTGCGCAAGTGCAAATTCGAAACATACCTTGAGCGCCTTCTTGTAGTACTTGATGTTATCTCGGTCAATATCATGATGCGATCGAATGGGCTCCCTCAGTTCTGGGCCGACGACCATGCCAGGCCCTTCTGTAGCTGGACCGCCGCTGAAGAGCATGATTCTACCACCCATGTTCACGAACTGAGTCTCCAACAATCCCACGGCGACGCTAAGAGCAACACCGGTACACCTCAGAGCACGTTTGTCGTTCGCGACTGGCCAGGGATCCTTTTGCAGCTGCTCGAGGGCATTGGTCAATTGGAATTCGCATTGCGACACTGGCAGGAGGAATCGGGCTCCAGCACCAGCGGGCATGGGAGGCCTTCCGGGTTGGACTTGCATGTTTGGCCGTGGACCCAATTGCCCGAGGCCGAGCATCTCCTGAACCTGCTTGGAAGTGTAGTCCTTGCTCCCCCGGAAGACATAGGATTTGGCACACTCGGTGTAACCAAGCTCGTGAACTTGCGCCTGCAGATTGTTAAGAACTGTTCTCTTCTCATATGACCATACTACCCACCATAGTTCCAAACGTGATCAGGCCAACCAGGGCGTAAGGTGGAAGTAAACTCAAACTCATGATAATAGAGTCCTTGAGCGCCTTTAAGCTATCTTCCTCCTGGCAAGTATCGACGACGAACAAGAAAATGGGCGGGGAGGGGGCTGGCCTCGCGAGTCGGTATTCAATGGTGGTGCTGTTTGGGTGGAGCTCAGGAGGGATGGCATCTTGCGAGATGTCCTTGTAGTGAGGGGGAAGGGCGTTTCGCTGCAGACAGAAGGGACATATCCAAAGTCTGGCACGCATATCGACTTGGCTACATATGTGTGAGAAATGTATTGCTGGTATCTATTGTCGGCCACCTACCAAAATGGGTTGAGGACCGCCCGGCAGGGTGCCTTGCAAGAAACAGGCTCATACTGCAGCAGCGGTGTGTCCGTCTTCTCCTTCAAAGGTGTATACAAAGCGCCGATGGGGACTAAACAGGTTAGCAGATTGAGGGTCTCGAGAGTCCATATGGTTCATACCAACAAGCCGCGATGCTTCCTGAGCGAAGGTTAGCATTCCTCTTGTATCAAAATATGCCCCCAGCTAGGCCTACCATTCGTGAGCTGGGAAAAGTGTTCCAACTAAGGCGGACTCCATCCCGCTCCTCAATCTCACTCCACTGATCCTTCAGCCCCTCATAGTCCATGTTGGAATGCAGCACGGTGTGGTTCGGGGGTACGGTTCAGGGTTGCGGCGGGACCGAGGCGGTGCCCACAGTTCGAAATCGCGGGGTGAACGTGAGAGAGAGTGGAGAGCTGGACTTGTAGGTCGGGGAACTAGGTGAATGATTAAATAAGGGCCCAGCAGCTGAGTATGGGGGTAGGCTGCAGCCAAAGCGTAAAGATGCAACGTTCCCAATTCCTCGCCGAAGACGGTTCGCCGATGAGAGAATGGTGATGCCCATGCGGCCAGATTGGAGGTTTCGAGAACTAGAGCCGAAGGGGCTTAGTGCATAATTCCTGTCAAACCTCATCTTGGCCTCCGAAATTTCTTCCCTTCTTTTCTCCAACAACCGCCAGCTTACAAACACTACTTTTCGGCAGTCTTGACACCCACAATGTTGAGCCTGCTTTCGCGCTGTGCGTAGAGGAGAGCAGGCCCATGGCTGGGCGCCCGGTCTGGAAAACCCGTTTCGGGTATCTTGAGAGATTGGGAATCAGCAGAGGCCACATCTAATAATTGTTCGAGCATCCTTCTTCATCATCTTGCAGAGCAAGTGAATGTTTAAAGAGTATGAAAATAGGGCGGAGATTGAGGTTCTCTCTGCCAGCCGCTGATGAGCGAAAAGACGGCAAATTCGTCATCATGGCCGAATTCGACGGAATTGTGCCGCAAGTCAAGCATATATCCATTAATCACGGGTTTCTTTAGAAACGAAGGTATGGAAAGGGTGACGATATGCTGCCAGGCATAGCGGCAATACCGCCCAAAAACTCCGTGTGTTACAATGCTTGCATCAGGCAGCTCCATATAATACAATTCTACTTTGCGGCACTTCTACTTTAAGTGCATGTCCCTCCGCCATTTGTCTTCTGGATATACCCTCCTCTTATCTGGAAGATGATTGTCCTGCACGTTCTTCATTCTCTCTACCATTCCTCGCAGCTGCGCCACTCCGTTTTTCCTAAACTGCGTCACTTTCTTTACGTTTCTTGCTGTGACCTCATTAATCTCTTCATCCTTTCCTAGTCGAGCAAGAGTCTTCGCTGTCATTGCGAATCTCATATCCCGGCGACTGTCTACGAGCTCCAGGATTGCGGATTCCGCCTGGTCTTCTTTTATCGGTTCGACTCGAAGGACACGAGTGTACCCACCCGGTCGTTTGAGATATCGATCTCTTATTGGGCCAAAAAGTTTAGGGACCATCTTTTCAGGTGTCTAATAGCTATTAGATCAGGCTGATAGCAAAGTTCTACGCGCTTCCGTACGAAGAATATTTGATGTGCCCGGCGCCTCGACGCTTCCGTGTTCCTTTTCCCCAGCGTAACTAGTTTCTCTGCTAGCCTCTGGGTCTCCTTTGCCTTGTGCCATGTTGTTGTTATCGTTTCGTGCTTGAAGAGGGACGTGACGAGATTACGCAGAAGGGCCTGTCGATGCGACGAGGAGCGGCTTAAATGCCGATATTTCATATGTCCGCCCGCCATGGTGATAGATGGTGACCAATTGAAAAGGGAAGGAAAGGAAAGAGGCAGGGACTCGAGATTGCGGGTCAGAACGACGCTCACAAGGATCGTTCAAGCTGCCCACCAGCGAAAAGCTCGGGCATCGGCAATCGGCGAATTATTTCACCGAAATTAACCGCGTCTCCAACATATTTCACGTGACTATTATTAATACGCTCGGCCGTGTTTTGCCTTCAAAACGCGTCCGTCGCGTCTCCCAGTCAAGCTCTTAAGATTCTGCCAACCCCTCCGGAGCCTTCCCCTCTCAACTCACCACACCCACGCACAAGATACCCATATCCCTCAGATTTTTACACTTCCAATATGTTTGTCTTCAAGCGTGGTAAGTAATAGCCCGAGTTTTTCTTCCAATTGCAGTTCTTGCACCTGCTGCTTCCTACATCGTCGACGGTGCTAATATTGTGCCACTAGATGGACGCAAAGAACGCGTGCAGTTCGACAAGATTACGGCCCGAGTCTCCAGGTTGTGTTATGGACTAGACCCGGAGCACATTGATCCCGCCGCAATCACCCAGAAGGTCATCTCTGGTGTGTACCAGGGTGTCACGACGATTGAGCTGGACAACTTGGTAAGAAATCGTCCTATCACACTTCACTCCGGGTTCAAGTACTAACATTATCCAGGCCGCCGAGACCGCAGCGTATATGACTGTCACCCACCCTGACTATGCCATCCTCGCTGCACGTATCGCAGTGTCAAACCTCCACAAGCAGACCAAGAAGCAGTTCTCTGCTGTGATTTCAGACCTACACGACTATGTAAATCCCAAGAACGGGACACATCAGCCGATGATCTCGGACTCGATATACGATATCGTAATGAAAAACGCAGACGATCTTAATTCCGCCATCGTATACGATCGCGATTTCAACTACCAATTCTTTGGCTTCAAGACGCTTGAGCGTTCATATCTCCTCCGCATAAATGGCAAGATTGCCGAACGCCCACAACACATGCTCATGCGTGTGGCAGTCGGTATTCACGGTGAGGATATTGAGAAGGCGATTGAGACATACAACTACATGTCCAACAAGTACTTCACACACGCGTCTCCAACGCTGTTCAACGCTGGAACACCTTCCCCACAGATGTCGTCCTGCTTCCTCATCGATATGAAGGAAGACAGTATCGAAGGTATCTACGACACACTGAAGACCTGCGCCATGATTTCCAAGACCGCCGGCGGTATTGGCCTTAATGTTCACCGCATTCGTGCTACCGGCTCATACATTGGTGGAACGAATGGAACTTCCAATGGACTCATCCCGATGCTTCGTGTCTATAACAACACTGCTCGCTATGTTGACCAAGGTGGTAACAAGCGCCCTGGTGCCTTCGCCATCTACCTGGAACCATGGCACGCCGATGTCTTCAGTTTTCTTGACCTCCGGAAGAATCACGGAAAGGAGGAAATCCGTGCCCGAGATCTCTTCTACGCCTTGTGGATTCCAGACCTCTTCATGAAGCGGGTGCAGGAGAACGGTGAATGGACTCTCTTCTGTCCGAACGAGTGTCCTGGCCTAGCCGATGTATATGGCGACGAGTTCGAGGAGTTGTACCACAAGTATGAGGTCGAGGGTCGCGGTCGCGAGACAGTTCGTGCTCAAAAGCTTTGGTACGCCATTCTCGAGGCTCAAACTGAGACTGGGAACCCCTACATGCTCTACAAAGACGCATGCAACCGTAAGAGCAACCAGAAAAACCTCGGAACCATCCGCAGTTCCAACCTTTGCACTGAGATCATCGAGTACACCGCCCCTGATGAGGTTGCCGTCTGCAACCTAGCATCACTTGCCCTCCCTTCCTATGTTGACATCCAGCGTGGGGAGTACGACTTCCAGAAGCTCCACGAGGTCACCTACATTGTCACTCGTAACCTCAACAAGATTATCGAGGTTAACCACTATCCAGTCCCGGAGGCCCGCAAGAGCAACTTTAGGCATAGACCCGTTGGTCTCGGTGTCCAAGGCCTTGCTGATGCGTTCCTCGCTCTGCGCTTGCCCTTCGACTCCCCTGAAGCGAGGAAACTGAACATCCAGATCTTTGAGACAATCTACCATGCTGCTCTCACCTCGTCTTGCGACTTGGCTAAAGAATTGGGCCCTTATGAGACGTACGAAGGTTCTCCTGTCTCCCAGGGGATTCTCCAGTATGACATGTGGAATGTCACTCCCACTGATCTCTGGGATTGGGATGCCCTGAAGGCGAAAATTGCTCAGCATGGTGTCCGCAACTCCCTTCTCGTTGCACCCATGCCGACGGCTTCCACTTCTCAGATCCTCGGTAATAACGAGTGCTTCGAGCCTTATACATCCAACATTTACTCCCGTCGTGTCCTGGCAGGCGAGTTCCAAGTCGTGAACCCATGGCTGCTCAAGGACCTCGTCGACATGGGCCTGTGGTCCGATAACATGAAGAACCGTATTATCGCCGACGGTGGCTCTATTCAAAGGATCCCTAATATTCCCGATGATATCAAAGCCCTCTACAAGACTGTATGGGAGATCTCCCAGCGTACCATTGTCCAGATGGCTGCAGATCGTGGTGCCTTTATCGACCAGTCTCAGTCTCTCAACATCCACATGAAGGAGCCAACAATGGGCAAGATAACTTCGATGCACTTTGCTGGATGGAAGCTTGGCCTGAAGACTGGCATGTACTATCTCCGAACGATGGCCGCCTCGGCTCCAATTCAGTTCACGGTCGATCAAGAGGCCCTCAAGGTTGCCGATACTAACGTAGCTCGTACCCTTGGCTCCAAGAAAAGGGGCTTCGCAGGCGGTAGCTACCAAAGCTCACCCTCTCCATCATCGGTGCCTCGACCAATGTACATGGCTAAGACTCCCAACGGCACTGCCAACGGTGCTCTAACCGCCTCTGCTACTCCGCCTCCGACCTCAGAGAACAAGCGGTTGCCCACCAACTCCAAGGATAGCGTTCTTGCCTCGAAGCCATTCACAGCAGATGCAGAGGAGGGCGACAGCCCCAAACTTCTTACTTCGGATCCCACTGGCAAGCCTGCAGAAGAGGAAGCTCTTCCCGAACCGGCTGTCAAGCAGGAGGAAGACCAGGAAGAGGAGAGTGGTGCACGTGAAGACGACATCTATTCTGATGCCGTGCTTGCTTGTTCGATAGAGAACAAGGAGGCATGTGTCATGTGTAGTGGGTAAGATTGTAGGATCGGTCTTTGCATAGGTAGAAGTTAGACTGGTGGAAGCAGGCGACTGCCCTGTACTCTGGCGTATTGTTTTGGTTTTGGTTTGGTATTGGACTAGCGCGAGGAGGAATGAATAAAGGTTTATGAGTTTGGGTTGCTACCGGATCTGTCATTTTGCGTATCTCGAGTGCCTATGTAATAATGAGCATCAAGCCTTCTATTCTAAACTTAGATGCGACGGGTCTAGGCCAAGAGTTTGCATCATCATGTTAACCCGCTTCCGAATTCCAGCAAGGGTTCTAATCAGAGACTGGCCTAATTGTATTCCACGTTGTGTGATAAAAGCTGTACTCAGCTAACGTGGAAACATAAGTAGGGCAGCGTTAATCTATTAAACATCTTAGTAGAATCTCGGAGGATATGCATAAGATGCAGAATTTTGTCCTGAATCGCCCTCCTACTATGTTCCACCTTTGTTGGTGACAGGACTACCCAAACCGACAGAAACGGGTACGCCCGGAGCCATAATCACGTGCACAATTCTTGGCACATCGAAGGATTAGTCCGGCTTCGCATCGGATGACTGTGTTGGGCCTGGCCGGTGGCTGAAGCTCGGATGCAGATTCTTTCTCCGAGGGCTGTGATGACAAATGCGCCACGACCGCCGCCTTTTCAAGCCCAGAGCGGGGGACGATTGGACACAACCACAAGCCAGCAGGAACCCAAGATGCCCGCAGCACTGCAGAACCCCCACTTCAATTGTGTTCACCACCGCGAGAAGCGCCACACTGAAATTAAACCAATTTGACCGACTCAACACGGGCAAAGGGTGCGTCTGCCGGTGGCCGGGCCCAGTCCGCTCGACCCTAAAGTACCAAGGCCTCAAAAGGGAAAGGGCGGCCGTACGCGGGGCTGGCTTTGTGAGCAACGGCGCACCAGCAAATCTTCCCTCACCAGACCTTTTACACTTCTCAACATCACCACCTCGCAACGATCTACCTGCCAAAATCCTGCTGCACTTCAACCGCCTGTTTGCGCTCCTTCGAGGCCATCCTGCGGTGTCGTATCCGGCGTACCAGATCTGCAATACATAAACTCAGTTCCGGAATTACTCATCTTGACGCAACCATACCTCCCCCCTCCATTACCCGGACAAAACACCACCGCCGTCTACGATATATTCCAAATCCCCCCCCAAAGCGGAAGCTGAATAGGACCTCGCGACTGGCATCGATATCCTCATGTCAGGGTACAACGGGCGACGCGGGCCCAACGTGTCCCAATACGTCGCCGGCCTGAACATTCCCACGTCGAACCTGGACCATTTGGCCGAGCCGCTCAATCTCGAGGAGGATCTTGCACTGTTCTCGAACTCAGATTTCATCGACTGGGATGCGGGCAACGGCGAGTTCGACCCGCAGGCTCTGGACTTCAACCTTGACGTCGACCAGACGCCCACCCAGCTGAATCCGTCGGAGACAAAGGACTTTAGCGACAGCGCGCACAAGACCACCGGCTCACGCGAACCGAAAATGGACTTCAATCTCGATGGTAAGTGTTTCACTCTTCGATGGCTGCATCGTCCCGCTCGCGTTGCTTGTGTTTCGCTGTTACATTACCCCGGGCACGCCTGTGCGTCCAATAGCTGGTGGCCCAGGGACCATGCCGACCCCGCCAGAGCGCCTGCATTGCACCACCGCACCAAACCCCACGCCCAGCAGCCATTCACACACGCCCTCTCACTGCATCTCAGCCTGCATCAGCCCTTCAACGAGAGCAGCGCTCTCACTAGCTAAACATCTCCCCCCAAAGCACGCAATTGCCCGTGATTCTCCCCAACGACCACGACGCTGCGGCCTCCCTTTCCGTAGCGCATTTCCCTCTCTCCTATTCCTAACTGCCATGACTAACTTCGACCCTTTCTCAGGCGACTTTCAATTTGCCGATTTCTCAGGCTTCTCGAATCCCATTGTGGATCAGTCCATCCCGAGCCTGCCTCACTCCCAACAACCACAGCAAAGCTCGTTCCCAATCCCGCCCAACTTCGCCTCGCCTGTCACGAGCTCCGTGTCTCCTGTCACGCCACAGTTTGACCACTCTGGTAAGAAGCGCAAACTCGATAATGAGGATGCGCATAGTCACCAAGCAATAGATGAAGCTGCCCGCGTCGCCGCGGAGGAGGACAAGCGCCGTCGCAACACAGCTGCCAGCGCACGCTTCCGCGTCAAGAAGAAGCAGCGCGAGCAGGCGCTGGAGAAGACGGCGAAGGAAATGACAGAGAAGGTCAACCTGCTGGAAAACAGGATCCAGCAACTAGAGACAGAGAACACTTGGCTCAAGGGCCTGATCACGGAGAAAAACGGGGGCAAGTCGTCAATTTCGGATATCAGCGCGCTGCTGAAGAAGCACGAGAAGGAAAACGCGTCTGGAGAGCGGAGTACGGGCAACAGGACTGACGGAGTGGGCACTGCGGTGAAGGACCCAAAGGCTTAGGCCCAATTCTTTCCCTTGGATTTACTAGATTTCCTTAGACCTGCCCTGGCTTTTTTCGGGTTTGATTGCTGACACGGTTGTCCGTACTTGTTGCTTTTCTTCTATTCTAAGCGCTGGGGGGAAGGGCAAGCCATGCATATCGGCAACGGAACAACGCATGAACGGTACTTATGATGGCATGAGAGGATGGGATGGGCAGCTTGATAAATCTTGGGAAATCATACTTGTTCAAAAAACTTCTATCATCCACTGCACCTTCTTACCCAACTTGGAACATAACCAGGGCAGAGCCAAACAAGCCTCTTGCTAGAATTAGGGAGGACCTCAGAAGGATACAAAGGATACAAAGTTTAGTCCCAAATTGCCTCTGTCATGTTACACGTTGACCGGATGCAGAATACCCAAACCAACAGATCTCGCAAATCTTCAAACCTGCGAATACCACGGTCTAGGGTATCCCAGCTACGCTATGGAAGACAATGTAGATTTGTTTCTGATTTGAAATTAGCACCTTCTCCGCTGTGAACTCGCTCCTCTTTCGTCCGGATCATGTGGGTGTCGAATTTAGCGAATGTTGGCGTTTGAGGCGGAGATTGGGCAACCTATCACAACATTGGAGTCCTGGCATCAAGGAACAAGGTTCCCGGCGAATGGGATCGTGGGGGGGAATTGGGCGAGAACGTGATATAATTTTGAAACTCTATCTGTGCTGTATTGTCCCTTCTGGGGCTGGAAGATCTGGAGTGGAAGTGGAAGGGTAGACGGGGAGTAAGATGGACGAGAAAGATGGATTATTGGAAGGACTTTTCAACCGGTCCAATTTCATACCCAAGCAAGTATGTGCAAAGGCGTTTTCTCCATGGAATGTACGAAGTATGGAGACCAGTGACCACAGATGAAAATAAATATAGAAGATAGTGGTCGATCAGACGCCGGGCACCCGCTGATGCAAGTCGTCAGAGCAGAAACTCTTATCCAAGGCCCTCATCATCATCATCATCATTTTTCACTCCTACAATCGCGCCTTTCCCCAAATTTCACATGGTCCATCCGCAGATCAGCAATTTACGTCGGCAGATCTACAATCCAACCCAGGTTAAACTAATCACAATATCCATACCCTTTTTCTCTGCACCCTCCCATTTATAACTCCAGGTTCCATCCTTCTCGTTATTCCAGTAAGCGCCAACAGCGCTGTGCATACCACGGCGACCACCGGTTGCGTGCTCGGACGACGAGCTGATGTGCTGGATGATGGTGCAGTTGGCAATGTATTTAAAGGGCGGGATGTCGTGAGGACCACCTTTGGTCTTCTCGATGACGACGCGGAGAATTTCGTTCTGGGGTAAAGTGTGAGCTCAGATCAGATCAAAACATGTTTTAACAGTGAGAGAGGGGAAAGATGGGATGGAGGGAAGGGGGGAAGGAGAATTTACAATGATTGCTGAATTCCAGTCGGCGACTAGGGAGTGTTGGTAGCTTTCTGCGGAGCCGAGCGCCTTTTCGCAGGCCTAGAGGTATTGTGAGTTGAGGCCGTAAAGCGTTTAGGGTCGTGTGCCTACAGCGTTGGCGATCTGCGTGAGCTCTTCGGTTGATAGTGGGGACTGTAACCAAATTAGGACCACTTCACTTAACAATACAAGTTGATTTCTTACAGCCATTATGATTGGGTTTTGTTGTGCTGCTAGGAATCAGACGCAGTGGGAGAGGAATAGCAGTGTGGTGAGTTAGGGAGTTGAGAGGGATGTTTACGGTCGGTTGTTTGGCGGTGCAAATTCCGTGTTCACGACTCACTCGTCACGTGGACGGCTGGGGCTTCTCAAGTTGACTCGCCTTCGCTCCACCCGAGCAAGCTGGTTGGACCGATCACATCGCAGCGCTGGGAAACGTGCATTGTCCTCACTTCCGCCGTCGCAAGAGCTTTTCTTGACCTCCTCTGCTCGATAACTTAACCTTTCGCTCAAAGCCTGCTGTCGAGCTGTAGCATATCCGTACGGGTTCATATATAGCCAATTGTCCCCCAATTCGAGCTTCCCATTCCCATATCCTGTTCGTTTCTCGCAGCTGGGGTGCATCAACCACCATGTCCACCCAACCTCTCCTCCAAACAGCCCCAGGTAACCCCCTCCACAGCCACCCCTCCCCCAGTCTCATCCCAACCAACATTTCTCAGGTAAACGCATCGCACTTCCCACGCGCGTCGAGCCCAAAGTCTTCTTCGCCAACGAGCGCACTTTCCTCTCATGGCTCAACTTCACCGTCATTCTCGGTGGCCTCGCAATCGGGCTGCTCAACTTCGGCGATAAGGTCGGTCAGATATCCGCCGGCCTCTTTACACTCGTGGCTATGGCCGCAATGGTGTATGCACTGTTTACCTTCCATTGGAGAGCGAAGAGCATACGGATGAGAGGACAGGGAGGCTTTGACGATAGGCTAGGCCCGACAATCCTGGCCATTGCTTTATTTGCGGCGGTGGTGGTAAATTTTATTTTGAGGGTTACGGGGGCAGGGGGTGGTCATAAGTGAGGCGAATTTCTATCAAGAGAGAATGGTTGGAGAGAGAGACGAAGGACGAGGACAAATTGAGATGCGCCAGCATCGCAATGTTCACTGGGAATGTATAAACCCTGACCGTAGGATCGGCAAGCCGATGGGCACATAAGCGAAGGAGCCAACTCCATTTTGGGGGCATATGAGTTTCAGAAAGAAGATGCGGAGGGTTGAAGCCCACTCCATGGCTGAGATTTGTTGCTAGCCAGCCCTTGATATCCGACTAGATTGTTTTTATCTGTTTGCCCTACAACTACTCCTTGGCTATAAGTAAGGAGTATTTTCTCAATTCTCTTATTTCGATGCAATTCTCCACCTACCTCAACGTTGAAGGGTCCTCGTTCACTCTTGAAAATGCTCTTTCTCATTTTGCTGCAAATGCTTCTTATGTACAGTGCTTAGGAGCGCCAAGCTGCCATTTCTTCACGTCCTTAAAAATCTCTCTCCCTGGCCGCCGACAGAATCGCTCTGATTGAGTCAAGACCCTTCTGGTAAGCATATCATGATCACGTGCAGTCAGGTTACATATGTTTGCGAATTTAGCTCCTTACGGCTTCCTGTATTTACCACTCCTGGCAGTCCACCAACAGCCCTTCATATCTCACCTATTTTGCGCACATTTCAACTTTCCTCTTCTTCGTCGAATCCAGCCCAGCAATGCTCATTCACGTCTGCTGCACCATTCAGAAGCCCTTCCACGACTTAGGTATCCTACTTTGCGCATGCATTATTAAGCATGGCTTCGCTGAACTTGTTCTTTCCTGCTGGCCAGTCCAAACGAAATCAATTTCCCATTTCAAAGCACAGCTTGGCCATTAGAGTATTGTTCCAACAGCACTTGCAGCGGCTCGTTGAATTCTCCATTCGGGATATAAACATCGGCATCATAGGAGAGAAGGATCTTAATGCCTTCCTCATCATTGCCACCATTTTCCGGAATAAAAGGCTTCTTAGAAGCGATAATGCGTAAAGCCTTGTCTCTGCCACCCTTACGTTTGGACTTGCGCCTCTTGCGTGGAGGAGCTTCATAGCCAGATTGTACACGGTCGAGACAACGCCGTAGCAGGTAAATCATCGAGATCTGCCGACGCGCATGCATTAAAGAGTTTTAAAGTCTTTGCTCGCGTAGTACTGCGTTCCATTGTCTATTTGGACCTGCATCTATCTGATCGACAGAAGACTGCCACGTGGAGTGGTGTTCCGTAGACATGTAGTCCAGAGCGTTCGAGGCCATACTTTGAGTTGTTCAGTTGCTTCATTTGCAAGATATTTCTGTAAGGGGTAGCGGGATGGAAGGCTTAATCTAGCTAGATAAAGTAGTAGTCTAGGGGAGGTGATGCGTTAGCAAACCTGTTTATTCGGCTCTGCGTTCCCTGGGAGACGGTTTGGTTGATCAAGGCTTTGGCTGTATGAGGCGAAAAGGAGTAGCAATATAGACAACTGCGTACTTGCGACTGCTTATTGCCCAACGCAGAACAAGGTAGGGGTAATTTAATGTCAAAGTTTGCATTTTGTTAACGTTCGCCTTAATTCGAGCAAGTCGTTTGCCTTACCTAATCCGCCCCAGGGAACTTCATCGACAGTTAATGCGATAATTGGGAAGATGTCTAAGAACTTCGAAAATTTCGAGGTAAGGATACGAAGACCAATCCCCGGAATAGACATAACTGATGCTCTGCGAACCGCAACCAAAGATTGAGAGGAGATCAGGCTTCAAGAAGCCTACATGCCCAACGAAAACCTCACTTAAGAATAACAACCTTCATCTCAGGCTTAGCAGCCCACCAAGCCTTCTTCTGTATCTTTCCTAATCCAACCCTAGTAGCAAAATCCTTCCTTGATTCCCACTCCACAAACATAACATTGTACAACGGAAGCCCAGGTACATCAACCCTCTTTTCATTCCCCCAATACTGACTCTCCGAAAGAAGAATAAAATCATATGGACTACTAGAGAATCCTTTCCGGGGATCCGTCGGAACCACTCTACCAACGACATTGTCGAAAGCGTCAATAATTTCGGCTTCTGGGATTATGAGTTCGGTGTCGATAGCGAGCCCTTTGTTGGTGCGCTTCCAAAGGGTTTCGCGTCGAGGTGCAGGGTTTCGAATTCTGAAGCCTGCGACTTGCGTCTCGCAGACAAGATGACGGTTGTCGATTGGGATGTCGGCTGGGACGGGTGGAGGGCCGGGGTCAATGGTGGAGTTTGTCTGCGTCCGCAGTCTAATTGCGTCGTTTTGGAATTTGCGCAGATCCTCCCCATCCGTTGGACCCAACGCGAGGCCTAACCCATGCCCGTTCACAGGAACAAGAGCTACTGGAGCGTTTGCACCGGTTGCCTGGGTCTGGGAATACCTCTTCATGACTGGAGAGGCCGGTGGTCGGAGGCATTTATACCACATAACCAGCGGCTTGAAGCGCTCTTCAGCATCCCCCATACCCTCCTCCTTACCCTCCTCCTTACCCTCCTCCTTACCCTCCTCCTTGCCCTCCTTCTTGCCATCCTCCTCACGAACAACGACCTTCTTAAGCGACAAATCTTCATTTGTGGCAACCCAAAACGGCTCTTCGAACCGCACACCTGGTTTGGCGTGAAACACAGTCGCCGCATTCGGGTCGAATTCAGGGTCTTTACTCACTTCCCATCCCGCCCAAGACCAGCTCGGGAGATCGTCATGTGCACGTTTCGTGAGATGTACACCTTTGGCTGCCGGGGGTTGCCAGAGCAATGCGAGATCGAGAAATTTCTCGGGGAGGCCGTGAAGGGTGTAGTCTGATGGTGTAGTGTCACTAGGATGAGTAAGGAGCTTGTCGGAGTTAGTCATCTTCTCGAGGACTTTAAGGAGTCCGAGTACCGCGTTGAGAGCGTCCATCGAGTTGGTCATATCACGCGATGTGTACTGCGCGAGGAGATTTGCGTATTCGCTGAAGAAGGGGGAGCGTAGTAGTACTGGAGTACCGTCCCAAGCGCGTTTGATCATGGATGTGGGCTTCTTGTCTGGCAACGAAAGCCAGGGAATTTGAGCAGGGCCATTGCCGGCATGGCAGGCGGGCATATCTTCTCGCAACACACTGTGTCGGCAATGGAAGCTAACGTAGCCTCCGTTGAATATGAGCATCCTCTTCGAAAGCAGCTTCTCTTGGAGCGTCCATGCTCTCGTGTCCCACTTGCCGTAGGCATTCTTGTATTGCACTGCCAGCAGAACATTGATACCCAGGTTCGGCTGCACCGCTTCGGCAATCTGATTCCGGGGCGGCTGGGATGAAATACCAGGGAGTCCAGCTTCGGCATCCAGCCCCTCTGCCGCAACAATTGTTATAGCAGCATGGCCGTATATCCTGTCCATTTGCTCGATTTGCGAAGCCCGCGCTTCCGGACCGTCTTCACCTCTCTCGTCATATTGAATGATGCAAAGACTGTCCACCCAAAGGTACGGCAATCCCATTCTCCTGGTCACTTCGATGGCGTCGCGAATCGTCTTCGCGATTGGTAGTGGTTGTTCCTCCAAACTAGAGCTAAGGTCTTCCAGATTTCGCATATGGAGATTCAGGCACTGTTTCCCTGCAGCACCCCAAACGTATGATAGCGCGGCGTATGTCGGCCTGTCCTTCTTGTTCCCAGTCATGTCTTTTTGGACGAGTCGCATGCCGTTGACGTCGATGAGCCGGAAGTGAGGCCCAGATGGAGGTGGCAACTCATTCCACCAGCTTGGCTCGTCGCATTTCTGCCCGTGTTGTCCAGAACAGTTCTCAAGCCATCTCTTGCAGTCTCCTTCGACGTCTACCTGTGGTCGGAGTAGTTTCCCATAATTGAGACTGCCGCCAGGTCCAGATTGATAGCCAGAGGCGATACGAAGATTGAAAGTACTAATGCGAGAAAGCGGTGCGCGATAAGCGTTTCCGTAGCCCCAGACATCGACATTGAGAAGCCCCGCATCTGCATCGTTCGCATTATGAATGATGATGGAGACAGCAACTGGCAGCTTCGCGTCGAGGTTGGTCATCAGCGACGTGACAGTGGGTATGACGGTGCCAACAGTTGCCATGATCTTCACACGCTCTGTATCCGTTTCATTCCACATTGCAACGTTAAGAGTTGCGACTCCCGCCGCGCTCGCATACTTGGCAGTATCTTCAGAGGCCAGCTGATCGGTATCGGTAGTCCCTTGGACGAGAACACTCTCCCCATGAACCTCTTGCTGCAGCTTCACACTGTCCTTGCTCCGTCCAAACGGATAAGCCGACTTATACAGCGGTACAAGCTGGGTCCAGTCTTGACTCTCAGCCCATTTTTTGAAAGTCATACCAGCGAGCTCTTGGGGAAGATGATCTTTCACTGCGGGATGTTGGAGCGGATCATTTTCAGCGATGGCGTCGAAGAGCAAACAACAAAACTTGCAGTTATTTCTCTTCTTCTTCCTTAGAATGCGGTCCAGGAAGATTAACTTGCGAGTGAATTTATCACCCTCACCCTCCTTGGATACAGAGTCTGGGGAGACGAATTGCTCGAAGTTAATATTTGAACAAGCGGTGCAGAGCCCATCCCTCCTTTTCTTCATCCTACTTTCAGACACTATGCTGATGTCACCACCGCTTAGATCGATCTCCAACTCACTAAGATTGGCGACACTACGCAGCGTCTTGGGTACTCTTAGCTTGTACTGGGACTCGGTACGTTTTGAGGAACTCGGTGTAGTGGAGCTGGCTGGCAATAAGCGTTCGCTCGGAGATTCTATCTCTGAATATTGATCCGGTTTGGGGGACTTTCTGAATGACGTAAAACTAAAACCAGTCGATTTGCTTTCCAGTTTTGGCCGTCTAGGCTCTTCCGGGATTTCAGAAGGGGTATTGGGCGAATCTCGCGAGATCTCATGGTATGAGGGAGCAGCACTCTCGTTAGAGATAGTAGTCTCACTCGTGTTGATACCGAAACTAGTTGGTGTCGGAGAGGTGTTGTCGAGATTGCTGTGACTCGGAGGCAGAGGTGCTGCGGGTACAACTGGGCCTGCCGAAATACTGGGGCCTTCAGCTTGAGCATTGGCTTGCGCAAGAGATGGAGGGACAACATATTCAGAAGACGGAGGACCAGGAGGAGGAGGAGGAGAGGGCGTGTACGTTGGCTGCGGAGTACCTGTAGTAGTCGCTTGATCGCCGGGTTGCGATGGAGATTGAGAAGCAGGAGCTCGTAGATTGGTGAAAGTCTTAGTTATAGAAGCCGAGCCCTGGAAGCTGAATTTGCTAGGAGAACTTGTCCCTGGCTCACGATCTCCCGCTCCTTCAGAACCAGTACCTGGCGAAGAGGAGAAGCTCTCGGCTGCCTTCTTACTGAATTTGCTGAAGGAACGCATTGCTATTGATTTACTTGTGAACAAAGAGAAAGTAAAAAGTCAGTTGAAGTTTGAAGTTACTCAAACTAAGTCTTCACATAGACGGTAGCGGGCGCAGCCCAGACTAATATATCTTGCCTCCTGAGCTCCTACAAACCCCTCCATGAAATACATGTGGCGCTCAGAGCTGAACAAGAGCTGAGAGAACGGTTAAAGGACCTCGTGTTTTGATGCAAGTTCGTTAGAATGGGGATGCTATTGTGGCATTACATTGGGACTCACGCAGCACGTGGTATTAGACAAAATCCTACTCAATTCCCGACGGAGCGTGCCAGGAGGGTTCGTGTGAGGTTAAAGGGCGGTTAGGAATGAAAGCTCCTACCTACTTGGATATCCCTTTCCAGTTCATCACTGTTTCAGTCACAAACTCAGGTGCAGGGATGTAGGCAAGGTTTGGGGGCGGGATTCATGGGGAGACGTTGGCCAGTCTGCAAAACATCTCGGATCCGATTGGTGAAATGATGGACATGGGAGAGGGCTGTTACAGGCAACAGCATGATCCCTCCTCAAAGTGCGGAGTACTTACGAAGATTGTTGAAAGCAGCCGATAAATTCACCGGTCAACAGAAAACCCCTGGTCTGGCACATGTGTGGTACAATTGGCGGAATTGGTTTTAGCCCCCGACATTCTCTCGATAGGGGGGAAAGACAACCTCCTCCAGAAAGTAGTAACACCAATCAGAAGGTCCTCTGTACACGAGCGGCGGTTGGCTGTAGCCGCCCTTGCGGAAGGGCTGAAGTACAGAGCAACGAGGGGGTGTGCATTGCTAAATAAAGACTTACGGAGACTTTGAGGATATCACCGATCGAGATGGAGCGGCAGGTCAAGTTCATGGTCTCAGCTTTGAGGCCAAGCTTGGAAAAGGTTGGTGTGGAGGAGGTGAAATCCGTGCTAGAACGAAAGTGGAATAACGCAGGCCGTCCGATAATCCTTCACCATTGACGACACCACCATTGGCGTGAATAGTCTGTCCGCTTATCGGACTGCTATCGATACTCGCCAGGAATACGAAACAAGTCGCGATCTCACTCAGTTGTGATGGTCTCCCCATTGGACTCACGAATTGCTTCATGGCCTCGTCCGTCATCGTTGATGGTATAAGTGGAGTCCAAACCGGACCAGGCGCGACTGCGTTGACACGGGTACCACGGCCGATATACTGGTTAGATAGGCCACGAGTAAACGACACAATAGCCCCCTTCGTCGACGTGTAATTCAACAAATCCGGGGGGGGATATATGCGTTGATGAACGCGTTGTTGATGATGGTACTGCCCTTCTTCATATGGGGTAGAGTGTACTTAGAAAGGTAGAAGAAGGGATAGATATTAGTGTTGAAGCTCAATATCCATTAGTCTCTGCATGGACCATTAACATTTTCTTGGCAGGGGGATCCTAGAGATGGACTTACTCGGACGGGTCTTTGATGTCTTCAACCATCATTTGGTAAGCATGGTTGTTTACTAAGATATCGATACCGCCCATCGCCTTGACCGCTGCATCTACCAACTTCTTGCAATTGTCCCTATCCTTCAAATCGGTGGGTTGCAAATAGTATTTCCCTTCCTTCCCTTCCACACATTCTTCGTCTCTTGAGCATCCTTCTCCTCCTCTGGAAGATACGCAATGAAGCTGTCAGCACCCTCCATAACGTACAGAATCGCAATTGAACGGCCGATACCAGAGTCACCTCTGGTCGTCAAAGCCTTCCCTCGAGCTTGCCAGCGGCTTTGTAAAGCTGAGATCCTCCACTAGGGGTCGGAAACATGATCAAGCTGAGCTCGGACTCAAGACCAGGTACTTTCTGGTGCTTAACAGGAGCAGAGTGTCCTTTGGCTGTTAAATTGATGAACTTGTAGATGGGTAAGAATGAGGACTCAAAGGCCAAGCGCTCACCCTGCTCAAACTGTGATTTGCCGCTCATCGCGAAGAGTGGGAATATGTGTAAAGAGACGTGGGATCTCTCATTCACGCTAGCACTTGCGATATAGTGAATTGGAAGAATGTATTGGACGGGAATAACTGTTGTTTGGAAATTGCGGTTTTATTTGATAGATTATTTTACTGTGACATCACGACCCTGTCACCAAAAGTCAACCGCTAGGAGAAAGGGCGGACTCCTTTCACGATAAGTGTGGCAGCCAATTGACTGAAGTCAACGCTCGTAATTATTCGTGAAGGTAAACACTACTGCACTTTTTACTCATCGTTATAATCAGACTCGGCCCACGGTGAGGATGCCGGGTTTCAGAGCCACCAGGGTTCTTAAATTTCATGCTTCACCCATCATCCGGAATGAATTGCTTCAATTTTGGCTGAAGTGTCTCAAGTCTAACGATGTGGTTGTGGGTAAGGAAGAGAAGGAGCGGTCGAATCGTCGTGCACGCTTGGCACAAGCCTGCTCTATGACGTTGTGTCGACTCCAGATACGGATTAAAGAGATTAAGCCCGGAGAAATCTTTCAAATTCCCTGCCCACGGGATACCCGGATCCTCTGCATTATACCAAACGCTCATCCCACATTTTCAATCGCGATGACGACGTGAAGCCATTCGCATAGGGCTGAAATGACATCACCTTGTCCTCTCAATCAGGGTCCCAAAGCCCCACTTAGCCACATTCGGCCACAAGCGCACTTTCATTCGCGTCTCGATCTCTGCAACACCCAGCCACGCACTGTATCGGCGGAGAGCAGACTCGAAAGGGAAATGCTCTGAAACACAGCAAGCCACCTGCGGATGGTGCCAACATCTTGTGTGGTGGAGCGCTTGTTATGCGCCACACCATCACCTGCTAAGGATGTCCCTGCATGACGTCTCTGGTGATGATCCTAACCTGAAGTTGGAGAGCTGTGTGAACAACCTGTTTCACGGCGCACTCATTGTGAATTGGAACAGGGTATAAAGATACCTATATTTCGCCTCTTCTGTCTCGTATCCCACTCTAACACTACAATATTTGGACTACTTCCAACGTTCTTCAGACAACCACTCAGCTATCCACAACTTCAACACCGGCGAACGATCATCATGCCTATCATGCGCCGAACACACCGCACAGCTCCCCGCACCACCCGAGCCACCCGCACCACTGCCCGCCCAAGCTTGAAAACCCGACTTCTTGGTCCTAAACGGGCAACCCGAAGACCTGTCACTACTACAACCACCACAACCACCACACGCACTACTCGATCTACCGCAGCTGGCGCTGGAGTTCCAGTCCACCACCAAAAACGCCATGCCACCATGGGTGACAAGGTCTCCGGTGCTCTGATGAAGTTGAGAGGTTCTTTGACACGCCGTCCTGGTTTAAAGGTAAGCTATTCTTGGTCGAGTTTCCAATTCCCCTGCTAATATATACTCAGGCTGCTGGCACCCGTCGTATGCATGGTACTGACGGTCGTAATTCTCACCAGCGATACTAAGCTTTTACCTTGTGCTGTTTTCTTTCTTGTAGTCTCCCACAGTGAACTGTACTATTAGCATGAGGACGAAGGGATGACTGCTATACGATAACGCACTTATTGATACCCAACGCTGTTCAGTCAACTATACTTTCTCCATTTAATGTGTCTGTGATGTTATCGCTACGCTCGAGGGCTGTCCCATGGATCCCATACGTTGCCATCGAGCCCGTTGTTTCTAGATAACTTAATCTATAATAGGCAAGGGTGTTCGAAAGATGCTGTCATGGTTAACAAAAAAAATATATACCTTCGATGATGGCACATGTTTCCTTCATGGGTACACTTGGACTACCAACTTTCTTCTCCAGGTGACATTCATCATCCTGTCATTCTCTAGATGCATCTGCCTCCGTCAACTTCTAAGTTGACGCCGGTTATAAATTTTGCCTCAGTGCTAGCCATAAACACACAGGCAGACGAAACGTCATCAACTTCGCCAATTCTCCCCATTGGCACGTTGAACGTGAACTTTTGGCGGTTCTCTGGTGTATCCTCCATCCCAGTGAAAGATGAGAAGAGCCCCGTCCCAGTGACCAAAGGACAGATGCTTACACATCGGATTTGATGAGCGCCATATTCCGCTGCAAGACCCTTTGTCGCCTGTCATATATTTAGTTGGCACTTACAATTGACTCGGAAAACATACGTTCCATATCGCGCCTTTCGACGCATTATACCACACCAATCCCGGTCGTGGTCTTGTCGCACCAACACTCGCGATATTAATGATGACGCCTCCTTCTTTGCGCTCAATCGCCTGGGGGACCCATGCATTGCATCCCAAATAAACGCCTTTCACATTCACATCGAACGTCCTCTGAAATTCCTCCTCTGTGACATCCACTGTAGGCTTATTCCTGTAACTAGTGCCAGCGTTGTTTACTAAAATGTCCACTTTGCCAAACTTCTGGATCGCGGCGTCCATTGTCGACTTCCAGTCTGCACCTTTCGTAACGTCCATCTTGTGGAATGCCATCATGGAGGGATTCGATTTGACGGTGGCTTCGCCACCGATCTGATTGATGTCGCAGACAAGTACCTTACAGCCTTCTCCTGCGAATGCTTGGGATATACCGGCCCCGAAACCTGATCCGGCACCTAGATGCGAATGTTAAGAACTGAATAGACAAATGGGAATTTGGGCCATACCTGTAACGATGGCGACCTTATCATTTAATCGACCCATGATGTTGATATTGCTGGTGTGCTCGTCGGCTAGCTGTGAAGATAGGTAGACTGAGTAAGGGAGACTGTCGAGTCAGCAGAGACGAAGACATTATTAGTTATCATATGCATGAGACAATTTGTTATCCCCACCAATAGGTGGAATCGTAGATCAATTAGGTATCCCATGTGGCTGATTGCCGAAGCATGCCGCAACTCCGACGTGAGAGCTGAGGGGTTGAGGTTGTGTGAAGAGGGGAAGTCGACGTCGATCCAGGTGCCTTGGGGAATTGGGGGGTTGCCAAGGCGATCCAGTCAGGGGAGTGCGGAAACAGTTCCAACATCTCAAGCCTTCGGACCACCGCTTTGGGCTCCCACACAGCAGTTGCTCTCGCCAATCAAGCCATGTGCTCGGATGGAGACAAAGGTGGGGTGATGAGATGTCGTCGTGCAAGGAGTGTCAGCTTTAAGCTTGACGCTTGCTGGCGCCGCATGCTTGGATTACCCTCGATAAATTTCAACTTGAACTTCAGCTGTGATAACATTCCATTTATTTTCTTCTCATATAAAGCAACTGTGGGTTTGACTAATACCCCTTCTCATTCATTCGGGCTTACATTTTTTATGTCATAGGGCCGCATCACCGAGGTCCAAGTCAGTTGCTAGAGAAAACCAACCATCCATTCGCCATGTGCTCAATGGGAAAATACCAGTTGCCGTTCAAGGCATGTCTGCCTAGAGACTTTACAACTCTCTCCGCAGTCGCTGATTGCTTCGCAGCTTAACAACCCAGATTTGCTGCGCAACGAGTCCTTTGTGCACGGCAGTTGGGTAAAGTCAAAGTCTGGCAAAACTTTCGAAGTAGTTGGTTAGTCTTACTGCAACCACTCGAAGCCAAACTTGAATTAACGCATATGAAGATCCTGGGACCGGGCAGCCTTGGGCAGAATGCCCCACTAACGACGCATCGGATGTAGACGACGCTGTGAAAAGCTCATATGAGTGCTTTGGGAGCTACCGAAAGATCAGCCCGCGGGTTAGAGCCCAGATGCTTTTCAAATGGGACTCCTTAATTAGAGAAAACAAGGAAGACATAGCAACTATACTTGTATACGAGACCGGGAAACCTCGAGCAGAAGCGTATGGCGAGATCGACTACTCCACAGGATTCACATGGTGGTTTGCTGGAGAAGCTGAGAGAATTCAAGGTACTGTATTCACTCCGGCTTTACCGGATCGACGAGTCTTTACGATTAAACAACCCCTGGGAGTTGCGGCTGCTTTAGTCCCTTGGAACTTCCCCATAGCTATGGTCCTTCGTAAAGCTGGAGCTGCTCTCGCCGCTGGATGCACCATGATCGTAAAACCAAGCCCTGAAACTCCCATCTCTGTGCTTGCTTTGGCGTATCTTGCGGATAAAGCCGGTTTCCCAAAAGGGGCCCTCAATGTCCTCACGACAGATCTCAACAAGACTCCAGAGCTTAGCGAGGCACTTTGCCGTCATCCTCTAATCAAGAAAGTCTCATTTACCGGATCAACCAGGGTTGGCAAGCTTATTGCTAAGATATGCTCAGATAATCTGAAGAAAGTCACTCTTGAACTGGGTGGCAACTGCCCTGTGCTAATCTTTGACGACGCAAACATAGACCAGGCAATGGGACAGATCTTCGCTCTAAAGTACCGACACGCTGGTCAGGCCTGTATCACAGCAAACCGTATCTATGTGCAGTCAGGTATCTTCGAAAAATTTCTGGAAAGATGGAATGCCGAGAGCAAGAAGATCGTTGTTGGACATGGCTCTGATAAGGCGACCACCATGGGGCCTGTGACAACACCACGAGGCATCCAGAAAGCCCTCGCGCTTGTCCAAGACGCGAAGTCAAAAGGGGCCACTGTCCACATGGGCGGGAACAAGATCTCGAAGAACGGTGGATACTTCTTTGAGCCAACAGTTATCACTGGAATCAAGCCGGACATGGATATTACAAAAGAGGAGATATTCGCACCCGTCTGTACCTTCATTAAGTTCGACACAGAAGAAGAAGCCGTCAAAGCTGCCAATGACACCAGCATGGGACTTGCATCATACTGCTTTACGAAGAATGTCGACCGCATGTGGAGATTGTTTGAGAATCTCGAGGCGGGCATGATTGGGATGAACACTGGTAAGCTATTCAGTGCTGGATGACGGAAGGGCCATACTGACTGTGTGACCAGGCAATTCTTCCGCGGCCGAGTCTCCATTTGGCGGAATAAAGCAGTCGGGGTATGGAAAGGAATCAGGGAAAGACGTTGCAGTTGCTGAATATCTGATCACTAAGACTGGGACATTTACTCTTGAGGGCTGACCGTAAGGCAGGCGAGTGGATGGATGCCCAGGACGATATGGTGAACCAAGGAGAACGGAAAGCATGGGTGGATTGGGGAACTTTCTTTCGTCAGCCTTACATAAGGAAATCTTCTCTGTAGTAGAACAAAAGGCTATAGAGTCCTTGAAAGATCTGCATTGGGTTTTGGAGAGCAATTGGTAAAACTATCAGGATGATCGTTTGAGTACCAACGACTGCCCCATGCTAAGCCACACTATGTGGCTAGGGAAGTGGCGTTGCAGGGAATGATATCACATGCTATCGGGCCCGTGCACCACGCTAGCGGCGCGAACCATTTATCTCGCGCCCGGAGCATTCACCGCGATAATCCCCACCGTGCCTCACCACCACGGTCCCACGAAAGCCTCTCTGTTGGCTCCTGGCACTGTCTTCTGTTTCCTGTCAACTTCAGGCGGCAAACATGTCGGACAATACGTTAACCATGCAATCAGACTTCGACATCGACCTTGACGGCGACGTGGACATCCCGCAGCCGATGGAACTCGACACGGTCCGTTCAAAAACTTCGCGGCTGTTGTCTCTTCATACTGACTGCGCCTAGGAGCAGACTATGATCCAGAACCCTCAGGTGGATTCCAGCATGCGTCCCGCTATCTACGACGAAGATGTCGACGATTTCTTTCCCATTGCCGAGCAGGTCAACGTCCAAGTTACCTCTACCGACTTCAAGGAAGACGATCCTCAAGTCTATGCCAACCTGCACTTCTCTGAGTACGACCCCGTTGTTCACTGGGTCAATGACAGCTCCTTCAACCTCGAATACCTTGATGAGGCTGTGGCGGCGCAGGCTCTTAAGGCTTTGAGCGCTACCGACGCTAGCCACCTTTCGGCACAGACTCCTAGAGATGCTAGGCGCTACCCTTCCTACCCGAACGTTCAGATTTCTGTGCGGCAGGCCAACTCAGGCGACAAGAAACCTAAGGGAGCGGCCAAAAAGAGCCTGTACTACAAGAAGAATCCAGACAGGCGCCCCCAAAACCGACTCCGCCACCCCCCGGCGGGATACGTCGATCACGATGGAGATTTTGCTGCCCGACGACCTAGGTCCGTTAAAACTATACATGGAAGGCATTCAATTGACCGTGTTAGCATGAACTTTGACGTATCTCTGTACGATGAAGCTTCGTCAACGGACGATTCATACGGCGAAGAGCAACCGAGACTCCGCGATGCAGACAGACGTGTCCCGGGTATCGAATGGGAAGGCGTAACAAAAGATCGTAATCGGGACCGCCGTAACAATTGCCATCACGACCGTCAACGCGGAGATACCGACAGATACTTCCCACAGTCTCGCCGAAATGGCAGGTCTGAGCCAGGAGATAGGAATTACGGTAGGCTCCGAGACCGTAGCGCATCGCCAGCCGCCGAGGGTGATGGGCGTTTGGGTTTTGATGAAGGTGGCTCGTCCCTCCGACGCAACCGTGGCAATCAGAACTCCCGTCCGTCCCGACGGGACAGGGATGGAGCGGAAGCCGGAACCGCCTGGGTGCATGATCGCTATGGATCTCACGACGAGGACCTCACAGCGACTTCCGTAAAACCTGCCAAGTCAGCGAGCGGACTGTCGTGGAATGACTTCAAGGGAGACAGGTACAAAGCCGGATATGTCTTCCCCCACAAGACGGACGTGAGCAACCACCGTCGAACGGACGCGACTGACGAGACTGCGAACTCTGGCGTGCGTAGCCTTGCTTCACGGATGACAAAGAACGGTCAGCCAGTCCAGATCCCACTCAAGGACAGGATGACGCGCACCACTGGCCAAGATTTATCCTACGGTCGATTGAAAGACGACTTCAACCCGCCATCCTTCAATGACTTTGAGGTTCCTGGCGTGGACCTCAAAATCCGCGGAAAGGCACAACCTCCTGGCGGCTTCCAAATCAAGGGCGCGGCTCGCGACTCTTAGATCTTCTTTTATCTCTACGTGGCGGGGTGTTTTATGGCATTTGGGCGGTGTTTTTGGATCCTTTTGCATTCTAACGGATCTGCATGGCGTAGTCTGGAGGATGGATAGTTTGATACCAAAACAAGTGAATGTCTCCTGTGTCTTAAGAGAAGATTCTATAGGGAAAACCCCCAACTGTAACCTGGTGTGAGGTTATGAATACTGCATGTTATGTCCCTGGCATGCTTGCTCTGCTTACAGAACGTAATATACAACTAAGGAATGTTTGCTATATTCAAAGGTCTAGCTAAAGGATGCTAAAACGGTCCGTAATCACTGGTCGTTCTTCCCTAAATTGTAGCATCTAATAGTATGCAGTGGCTCTCTACTAACACACCGTATGAGGTTACGTATGTATATATTATCTCCTCAAGACATCCACACTCCTCCTGCTCCTCTTATAAACACAATATAACCTACCGGACACTTGCGAGATTCCCACCCCAAACTCCTACAATCCCCTAACCTGCCTCCAACCACCCCGAAAAAGCGCAGCAATCCTCCTCCTCGTCACCACTAACCCCCCCAGCATAAGCACTACCACACCCGCCACGCCACCCCCCTTCCCCCATCCAGCTCCCTCCCTCGCATCCTTAACCCACCCGCCAAACCTCCCAACTCCCTCCTCCTTATCCTCTAAATCTGCAAACGCCATAATCTTCACTACCAGCGCCGTCCACCCGGTGAAATGCTGTGTCTGCTGCCCATCTCCGGTTTCGGGGTTATACTGCTCCCACGCGAATCCAGTGGTACGCCATGAGGAGTGGACAGTTTCGACGACATTCCGTCGTAACTCCGTGTAGATGGTTCGACAGCGGTGTTGTAGCGGGCCTGGAGTTGTCGCAAGCTCTAGGAGTCGAGATATGGCGAGGTAGTTTATGTTTAGCCAGATGGGACCTCGCCAGTAGTTGTCGCCTGTGCCGTAGCGTGTGCTACTAGGTTTTAGACCGCGGAGGCCGTACGGCGTCCATAGGCCCTCGGGGCTTGAGTCGCGGATGAGATTGAGGGTGGCGTTAAGCTTGGGATGGGTTGGGCCGAGAAAGGAAGTTAGGAAGGGGAAGAGCGAAAGGTAGCCTTGCACACAGGTGTATGCGTGATGATCTTCCCAGACCTGTGTGTCGCAGTATGTTTGTTGTTCCTCTGACCAATGTAACGCGTCTATGTTTTGGGAAATCGCTGCGAGTTGAGTTGAGAATGTTGTGATTTCTTCCGGGCTTTGGGCTGTGTATTCGGCAAGCTGGAGAAGGACGGAGGCCATGACGCCGACCCAACATAGGGCGTCGAGGTGCAATTCAGTGGGATTGGGTGGTTCCGCACGAGGATAGTCGTCCATGCCAGATGCAAGGTTGTGTTCAGGGGTTCGGCCACGCCAGCGGTATCCCTCGTTTAGAGAGGCTTGTGGGATTGAATGCTCTTCAATGTTTCCGGATTGGGTTCTGCGAAACCACGCGTAATGCCGCTGAAGAAGAGGGTAGAGCTCGGTTAGCAGAGCCTTACCGCTGTCTGGCTGGCTGAGATAGACGGACTCGTGACCCACGTACTTTGTCTTTCCGGACAGCATGTCGATGAATCTAGAGACGATCCAGAACAGAGTTGGGGGATTGGCAGTTTGCGGCATCTGGACTTGGAATTCTTTGGGGACTTTGCTGCGTGCCTCAGGGCCTAAGATCTGTTCTCTGGCGATCCAGCCATCCTTGTCCATGAGCGCCAACCAGCTCCGAACTACTTCCAAGGCAAGGTCAAGATCCCAATCCAGAACTAGCAGGAGGTGGAACCCTTCACCCCAAAGGAAGCCTCGCGGGAAGAATGGGCGGGAAGGCACATGGCTGAAAAGCTCAAAGGAGCCTTTGCTACTATGTTTTGCGCGGACTCGGGATTCAGCGATTTTCTCCCAAAAGTTTGGGGCTGTTTCTTCGTATTCGGGAGCGTGTGAATCGTCTACTAGGCTATCGCCGTAGAAATAACCCAGCCCGCCGAGCAAATTTGAGAGCAAGGTTTGGGAGAAGACTGTGTGGGATTCGCTACCGAAAGGCGTGTTGGGATTGAACACTGCTGAGAATCTCGATTGGAACGACTGGAAATTGTTCTTGACTTCTTTCGTGAGTTCAGGAGCTATTGGTGTTAGCAATAGTTGTGCGTTACAAGTATCACACAACATACAGGTCATGGAGCGGCTTGCGGCTTGGGAGGAATAGATGATGTCAAACTATAGAGTTAGCAAAGGCTCGTCCTAATATAACGGACTGACATGGCTGACCTCGAAATCGTCCTGGAACACTAATTGGACGAAATGCACATTCCCTGCTCCCGGGCTGTCTGGAAGATACCAGTTCACCGCGTCATTTCCCCGTGTTTCGCGATTCTCTTGCAAAACTGCTTGGAAGAGGGCTTCGTTCAGAGGCCAATTGTTAGCTCTTGAGAATTAGAACGAAGGACGTAACCTAGAAGCAGAGAAACGAAGGCAGTCGCTAAGTCGATGGAGGATATAATTGTATTGAAGAACTCAATGCTGAATTTGTAGAAGAAATGCCCATGCTTACACTTCGATTGCCACAGCATGTCCTCGGTCGTATTCATGCTGTTTACAAACGTGTTTTCGTGCGTCCCTGTGTTGTTCGGTCGATCGGCTCGCTCCGTGCTCTTCAGACCCGTGATATGTATGACCGACGCTCCAAGTCCGGGGTGTTTGACATGAATATCCACAGCCTCCACAGTCAAGTCATCTCCTGACCCTTTCTTCTCCGTTGCCGCTTCCAAGCGGCACTCCGGACATGTATCCATCTTCTCCATGGCTACGTAGAACACTACCGACGTCCTAAGGCCGGCAGTCGCGACATCCCTGGGTGTCCCTCGAACCCTCAATGCCCAGTTCCCTGCAGTTTGTCCTTCGTATTTCTTGACAAATTCGGTGGTGATATCCACCATGTTCTCAGCATCTCTGATGGTTTGTGTCCCTCCCTTCCGGGTATCATACGCGGTCCAATCGTAGCCGTCCATTCGCTCATTCTGTTCGCAGGTGTGACGAAGCTCTAAGACACCTTTAGTAGCGATACAATAGTCTCGGGTCGCATCAAACGTACTACTTGCTCTGTCTCCCAGTCTACCCCACATCAATCCCATGAGCAGGCTCTCTGGCACCCTTGGGCGAATCCCGAGGTAGAGATTCGGACGGTAGGGACCCCATAGCAGGGAGGCATTACTCAAAGCGATGCCATCGGCTGAGATGAGGGTGGATGCAAGCAAAGTAAGGATAATCCAGATGAGGCACCGGCAACTTGGTAGCTGCATCTCAGGCTCGGAGCTATGGCGGATCCGTCAGCGACCAATGAGAATAGTGTCCTTGCTTGTCTCAAACCATCTCTTCTTGCTTCTCTGCACGAAGCCCAGGAACACAAATGTCTCCGGCAAAGATCAGGTGGAATTTAGTGGAGGAGGCCTGGGCTTTGCCTCCATGTCCACGCTCAGATATCTCTCTCCATCACCCCCTGTCCTAGTCTTTGTCGTCCGTACCTATTGGTCAATCCTTCCACGGAGGAGTCCGGTTCTTTTCACGCCCCAAACAGCCAAAGATCTTTTTTCTCCCCTCCTGAAATCTCGGCAATGGCAAATCCCACAGGCGCGATAGTGTACGGAATGGAATTTGCCCACTATCTTCAATACGGGTATCACGTGCCCCAGCTCACCCCCCGCGAACGACGTCACACGCTCTAATTCAGGCTGTCTCGCCTCGCACAGCGCTATGTCGAGCATCCCACGGTCTACATTCCTATGGGAACTACGAGTGAGAAATCAAACTGTGAGATCGGCGGGTTGGTGATCTCATTCCCCCGTTGTTCACAGAAATCATAAAAACTGCCTTGAACTGCACCAGTCTGTTTAAATCAGCTTGAGGGGTGGGGCAATTTTCAAGATGGAAGAACAAGTCGATCGCCTCGTGAGCAAGACCTGGGGTATCTTACTGCTCTTGCGATTGGTGTAGAAGCGTTACTAAACCCGCATGCTAGAGAAATTCAAAGATGTCCCTAAATCGAAGCGCCTTCTGATCGCCATATCTGGTATACCAGGCTCGGGTAAGATCAACTCAATCGTCCCAATTTATCTAACATTCCCAGGTAAAACCACCCTCGCAGCAATAACTGCAACTCGCTTGAATGGGCTGCAAGCAAAACACTCTCCAGGAACGCACATAGGCAGCCCTCTTGCCGCCTTCATCCCAATGGATGGCTATCACCTCTCTCGAGCCCAACTCGACGCCATGCCCGACCCCGTATCCGCCCACGCTCGCCGAGGCGCAGCTTTCACCTTCGACGGGAACTCATTCCTCACGCTTGTGAAGAAACTCCGCGAGCCACTCTGCCCAGAGACCCAGACCCTTTTTGCTCCATCATTCGACCACGCGATCAAAGACCCTGTCGCCGACGACATCCCCATCGCGCCCAGCGTCCGCATTATTATTTTCGAAGGAAACTATCTGTCCCTCAATAAGCCCCCCTGGAAGGATGCCGCGGAGCTAATGGACGAGCTGTGGTTCGTCGAGGTGAATTTCCACGTTGCGAGAAGCAGACTAGTGTATAGACACGTCAAGGCAGGTATTGCAAAGGATGAAGAAGACGCAGGGAAGCGTGCAGATGAGAATGATTTGGTGAATGGGAGAGAAATTATCGAGGGTAGGTTGGATGTTCATGAAGTTGTTCATAGTAATGACGATGAATCATGGACTCCGGAGAAGCAGGGGGTTGGGGACGGAACAGATAAGGCATCAGACGAGGAAATGGTAAGTTTAATATGAGTTCTAATGGGATATAGTATCCTTTGACAAGGTGCCCTGTTGCGTGCAAGAGGCCCAGAAGACTAGTTCCTGAACTCGAAAGATGCGCACGAGAGTATAGGCGTGTTATTGAGACATTGGTGAATTGCTCCGTTAGATGCTTCATTTTCAAGAAAAGTATAGAAGAGGGTTAGCCTATATAGGAAATCTGTGTAACAAAGTCATCTTGCTTATCTAAATCCCAGACAGCGTGCCGAGCAATCCCATGGTGATCACTCTTACCCGGCCTTATCCTAGCCCTTTACCGCCTGGACAAAATTCAAGATCCCAGTATTTAGATTTAAAACCAATCAAATTAGCTGGGTGAGGCAAGTTCTCTCTGTGTGATTTTCGAAGCCTGGTTGATCCTTGCAGTGCTGCAAAATACAAGTCCCCTTCACTTTCCATCTGCATTCATCGCAGAGCCCGTGCCAACAATGTTGCCAAGCATCCTTCAATCACCAAGCATGGACTCTTCATACATCACGGAATAAAGAAACGATTTGATTGACTTTTTGAGGCGGCGTTCAAGCAAGAAGCAACCAATGTAAATGTCGATACGGCTTGGCACCATTATGACCTCACGACTTTGCTTCGAGGAGCAAGGACCAGCAATAAACATCGCCCACCACCTACATCAGCACGCCTCCTACTCGAGTTTCACGCGCTACGGAAATCCGGAGCTGTGACCATGGCGATAGTACAGAATTGGTTACCTCCGTCCCGCGAAAACTGGGAGCTCGTATGCTACATCTGGCAGTTTTTCCCTGTGGTACGTTGGCATCGTCGACCTAGTTTTACAACCGCGAGAATGTACGACTAAAGCTTTGACTCTACTAGATTACAGCGTTTCAATGGCTACTCGACTGGTATCCCCAGGGCAAGACGTCGACCAACTTCCGCTTCAACATTCCAGGCGCCATTGGATGGGCCACAATGGAATCTGCAGGCTTTCTAACGCTGGTCTACATCATGAACGCGCTACCTAAAGAGCTGGGGATTGAAGAGCTCCCATGGGGCAATTGGACTATGGCCGGTTGCTTCGTACGTCACCTTCTGATGCCGCGCTATTGCTACGGCTCCTGACAAGTCTCTCCAGGTTATCCACTACACCTACCGTGCCGTTCTATCTCCGCTGTTTCTTAACCCCAGCATGTCGCCCATACATCCTCTTGTTTGGACCCTGGCATTTCTGTTCCAAATATTTAATTCGACGGCGATTGGGGGCTGGCTCGCCGGATACGGCCCAACAACTGTGCACGACTGGGCAGGGCGATTTTGGGTCATGGAGATAGGACTGGTACTCTGGGCTTGGGGCCTTTTGGGCAACATATTCCACGATGACGATCTGCGCGAGATCCGAAGGGCAGCCGATCGCCAACAGAGGCAGGAAGCCGAGAAGCTCGGGAAGCCGCCCAAGAGCGTGCACAAGGTGTACATGATCCCGAAGAACGGGCTATTTAAATACGTGCTGTATGCGCACTACCTCTGCGAATGGATCGAATGGGCGGGCTTCTGGATGGTAGGTGGGTGGCATTGCGGCCCTGCCAGGATGTTCTTGGTGAACGAGATTGCCACAATGCTCCCAAGAGCGCTTCAGGGCAAGAGATGGTATATACAGAGGTTTGGTAAGGAGAAGGTTGGCAATAGGAAGGCCATCATACCCGGCCTGGTGTAACGGCTGCGCGGACGAGTGTTGTTGCAGTACAACAAACCGTATAACCACTGCTCAGTCATCACACCGCCTTGCGCTGCCATTGTATATACGCCGTTTCTATGTATCAGGAATGTCTAATAACCCTCCTCAGGCGAGCCGAAGGAGAGACAGCGGCGCACAAGACTAGTGGGATCCAGAGGAGTTCCATGCAGCAGCACTAAATGAAACGTTCAAGCATGACAAACGCGAAAAGAGCATGGCAAATTATTGAACATCCTGCTACTTCGTGTTGCTCGCGCACCTGACCCCGAGACTGCTGGAAAAGGAAAAGACGGCAATCGTGTTCCAATCTATACGGGCCGGACCCGAGCATCACGGTGGGGACACGGAGGACTCGATGCCCTCGATGGAAAAAGTGTCGTCAGATGTTGCAGGTGGACCAGCGCACCAGATGGCGCATGCAACGCACTTGGGGGGAACTTTGCTCGTGTCAAGGGCTTAATTTAGAGTGGCCAATCAGGCGCGACTGCTCATTCGACAGAACAAGGCGCGTTGAGGATATGATGTATGAGAGCCGGGGTGAAGGGACTGGGGTAGTGAACGAGCTTCGTGAATGATGGCATTGGAAATGGCATCGTGTCATCCCTCTTGCCATGCTCTCACCTGCTACAACGCCGTGCTGCAGACGTGCTTCTGGTCCTTGAAATGGGTATAGGGCTGGGGTGTCTCCAGATGATGAGATGGAGGAAGGACTGTACAGCCACCGCCGACCGGATCGCCATCCTCCTAGCGTCGCATATCAGCCTCCTCAGCTGCCCAAAGGGGCCGGCGCTAGAAAGTATTGGGGCCGCCTGCTCCGCATTTTGTCTGAACAGGCCACTCGATGCCACAGCACTGAGGGAGTGGGCTGCCTTGGCGTGAATCAAAAGCAGCAGCGCACCCATTGACGGCCGCACATCGTCGATGCTGTCCCAGCCAGCGCCCTTGAGGTTTTAATTTTTGTCTGGAAACGCGTGCCCCTAGGGGACTCTACTCTACATACGTACACACTCGCTTCGCATACTGGGACCGCCGTCGCAAAGAGCCGTCCTTGTGTCCTGGCACTGCGCGCATTGGCCCCGTCGGCTGCTACAAGGGCTAGCGCTCAACTGGATCATCCTTCTCCTTCACCCGCTTTCTCCACTCGTCTGCGAAAACCCACCTCACCTTCCGGTCGAGGCCCCAAATTGTGTCGTGCTCAACAGCCTGGGTCTCTTCTTGTCCATTCACCATCGTCATAATCCCAGTTGTTGGGGTTTTGGTTGCCCGCGGCCTACCGGCTTCCAGCGACACCACCACCTCCTCTCTCTCTCTGCGACCTCGCTGACACATTCTGCGACTACCATCTCTAACTCCTTGTACGACCCCAATTTCATCGTCGCCTGAGTGCCAGCGACGTCTTTTCTTAACTTTCATATTTCTCTCGTCTGCCTTGCTCGCAATGGCGTCGTCGAATAACACTGGACCCGGTACGTCGAGTTTCTTTGTCTCTTCATCCGTCTCTCCAAGCGCAGAGCCAACAGAGTCTTCTGCAGCCTCATCTCCTACTCCCACTCTCACTCCCACTTCAACGCCGCCTCCGTCTTCGACGCCGCCCCTAACTGAGTCTTCTTCAGCTTCCCCTACCGCGCCGAGCTCGACGCCTGTGACACTACCTTCCTCGACGCCACCGCCGCAGTCCTCCACTCCTCCTCCAGCATCCTCATCGGCTCCTGCATCCTCCAACCCGCCAGCAACGTCCGTTGTCACCGCCTCGTCTAGGCCGCCGTCGACACAGGTCATTACCTCGTTCATAACACCATCAGCGTCAATTCCAGGCGAAACACCATCAGTTATCGTCGTCACTTCCGTTATTACGAACTCAGACACACCACAACTCACGACTGGGAGCCCGGCAGGATCCGCTGCACCGTCTTCATCATCAAGTCCGCCTTCGCTACAGGGACTGGACGGTAAACAGAAAAGTGGAGGATTGAACGCTGGTGGGAAAACAGCCATCGCTGTGGTGATTCCAGTTGTTGTGGTCGCTGCATTGGTTCTTGCGGGAATATTCTTGTGGAGAAAACGCAAGCAACGGAAGAGCGCTGAAGAAGCGAGGCGGAAGGAGGTGGAAGAGTATGGATTCAATCCCAACAATGATCCGACGCTGCCCGCTGTCGGTATGGCAACGGAGATGGCCGAGGACCAGAGCGGATATAGAGGGTGGGGAAACACCACCACGAGTTCGAACCGTAAAGCCTCGACGACCCTCAACAGTGGCATGACGTATTCGGATGGCGGCAGCAACCCTGGAGGCCCAGGATCACCAACACAGGGAACTTACTCTGATGGCCATTCCGTCGACCCCTTGCTCAACGGTCGACGCGAGACGCTGGATTCGGAAGGTATCAGTGCTCTCGGTGCCGGCCCCAACGCCAACCAAAACCGCTCAGACATCCACCGAGGACCCTCGAATGCATCGTCGTCCTACTCTGCAGCTAACCGATCTGACACTTCTGGTGATTACCCGATACCTGTTAACAACCCCCAGGAATACTACGACAGCAACGGATACTATCAGCCAGGTCCGTACGGCGACAACGGATACAGCGGTGGCCAGCAACCGGTCATACGCGACGTATCTGCGAGGCGAAACACAAGGATCGAAAACCCATCCGTCTTCCCGCAACAAGGGAATTCAGGCATTGCGCAGAATTTTTAAGTCTATATATATTTAAAAGCCCTCTTTGTACTACTCGCCCTCCTCCCCCCCCCCCCAAATTCATATATCCTGGCCGGCGTTCATTTTTTTTGGTGGTTTATGGTCTTTAGCAATCGCTTTTGTTTTGGTTGAGAGATTGCATTGCCCGGTCGTGTTAGCGGGTATCAGCAGACACCAAATCAAGCCCCTGGTGCGGTGCATTTCGCGTTCTTCCGTCGTTGGCCCCACTCTTTTCTGTCGTGTCATATTGGGTAGCTCGTTTTCCCGGACGCAGACATTGATGGGTTTATATATATACAGTAATCATCACAAAGGTTCAAAAATGTGTAGATGCACCCCTCTTTCCCTCTCTCGCTTTTCATTGGTTGATTGATCGGTTTTTGAGGAATTTGCGCCAAGGCGGTACGAGTCTCTTTTGTTAGTTGGTCGTGCACACACGCTTACTGGTGTGGAGTGTATGTTACTGTGCGCGAGTTTTTAACCTTCTTATTGTTTGTAATTACTGTCTACTATTCTTCTTCTCGCAGTGTTGTTGTGGAAGTGCTATTGAAGGAGGAACGAGGGAATGGCTCAGATACCATACCAAACCATACCATACCATGCCTTTAGCAAGTTGTTTGAGGCTTTCGTATCTCTGTCCCGCTTAGCCTCTTTTTTCGATCTTTGTCTTTCTAGACTGGCTGTTTGCGCCTGTTCCTTCGTCGCACGGGGATTCCTCCCTCTCCCCTCCTTGTGTCCTACCTCTCGCTCCGTCCTCTTAATTTCCACGTCTTTTTGACCTCTCTATGATATGCTATGCCGAATGGGAATTTGTCTGTCTAGAGTTGACTTAATCGAACGCACCCGGGTCGTTCTACGCATGCACGCAAACCTCAGCTGGAGGGAAGGAAAGAAGGACCATTAATGATGACTCCAAACTAGATGTCTGTTCCACTCCATGCTAAAGCTCGATACTGTAGGTAGGGAAATTATAAAGCATTATCATATAAGCCATATGCAAGCTGCGTATTTCTAGGGGTGGTCATCTGCAACGGCTGAACGCTTGAACAGTAGTCTTCGTATAGGGAGGGTTGCACTACCCTAAAGTACGAAGGAGCCTTAAATGAATAAAGAGGTGGCAATTACTAGGTGTAAGTTTTAATTAGAGATCATGTTTGTTAGGTGGGTGTAAACCTGAGGCAAAGCTATTCCTTCTACTGCATCTTGTCGCCCAACATGGACCATGACAGAAACTTACACTCTGTTCGCTTTCCCTTTAGTTCTGGCAAGACGTTTAATATGTGGGCTTCCCCATAGCTATGTTCCACGTTTTGTGATAACATGCTGTACAATGGAGAGCCGCTTGCTAGGGTTAGCTTGACCCTAAAAGACGACTACGCTTAGATGGCGTTGGAATTGTCGTGGGGAAGAATCCCGACGTGAGGTGGATAAGGGAGGATGTTGAGTTATGTGGTTTTCTCCGCACTCTGTTCGGGGGTTAGAGATTGAGGTAGTGGAGTGTTGATGGTACGTGGCTGATGGGATTAATCTTTCTCGAGCTTACTATTAAGAGTGGGGATTGGACTAGTTTAGGATGGTGTATCTGTCACGCCTCCGAATGCGGTCGAGATGTTGGGTGCAAACGGAAATCGCCTAATACCTAAGCTAGAAGACAGATTTTCCGATAGTCGCCTTGGAGCAGACTTGGGTATGAGGTTATTTACCCCTCCCTTCCCATTTTGCTGTTCTTCTCTCACCCTCCTGCTCACTCTAATCCTCTTGATAGCTCTTTTCGGCAGAAGGTAGCATATCATTGACGGCGCCTAGTTGCGAAAACGTAAGGACAATAGAAAAGGCTGGGCTCTTTTCCTCGTCTTCAACCCCTCTCTTTGTCCTTATCAGTGAATTCTCGCCTTTTACGGCCATATCGGACCTCCTTAGATATTTGAATGCCCAATCAAAGGTCGCTTTTTCATCTACGCTCCATGCAATGCCTTTGAACGCTCTCGCAACACTCTATTGGTGTTCTAGATGGCTGAGCCACACGAGCGAACTCAACAAGCTATGCATCTGAACGAATCGCTTGTGGGTTTTCCGTCTTCTGTGATGACTTCCGCAAGTTCTTTGTCTAGAGATGAGAGATATAAGAGAATTTAGCTTGTATGCTCCTATTCAGCATGACTTCCGTATTCTTCATGGTCACCAACGAGTCTCAGCCCCTTCAATATTATTCCCAGGTCTTTTCGAGTATTTTCTTGGCAACCTTCAACCATTCAAGCAACATCTTCAAATCTAAATTGCCTGCGGAGCCCAACTAGTCGGTATATCCATCAATATAGTGTCCTAAGATATATACGTTGGGAAAGACTTCCTCCTCACTATCGCCTTGCGTCTTTTGAACCCCTTATAGCTAATTTAAAAGAATCCCCCCTAATATAATTTTGCTGTTGAGGGCGTTGGGGGCGTTGGGAATCTCTACATTGTAATGGGTAGGCTTACTATTGGGGTTGTTGTAGACGATATCATGCCTAGATTCAGACTAAGTATACAAGAGGGTCGTTACGAATTGGATTTTCAGAATATGTTCCAATTCCTAGTCGAGTGGTTCGTACACCTCTTTGTCATGAAGATTGACCCGCGCCAAATCTGCTAAGTATCCTGCAAACACCCTGCGACGCTCTTCTTCAATATCCTGAGCCTAGCTGTTTGACCCTCCATGGATCTTCCACCCCCTCTTTAGTTTAAAGTGTTCTTCTATGTGCTAGTATAAGAGGCTTTCTGGCATGGTAAATAAAGAGCAATGCGGACTCCAACCAGGTCAAAATTGCTCTTCTCTATTTCCCCTTCACTTTAAAGAGACCCTTTCCCTCCTCCCTCCTCGTCTCATATATTCTATAGCCTATTTCTTAGTTTATATTGCCTTTCGTGTATTAGGTGATTAGTAATTGAATATTGTGAAGGAAGTCCATCCTCGCAGATGTTTTTCACGCGGTTCGCCAGAGTCTAGTAATGTGTAGCATTGCGGTGCGTAGCGAAGCTATTAATGAGCATGATATTGGCCGAAAGATCTGTCGTCATGCACGCCTCTGTCTCGTTAGTCACAATGTGTGAAATTATTCGTTGCCGGCTTAGGATTCCTAATGATTTAGAGTGCATCAATCCAGGTCACTCGAGCTAGCCCCTGTGGGAAGCGGCTATGTGGGCGCAGGTTTAGCTACCGTGAAGTGAACATTGAAGAGGCTTGGAAAATTGCATGCAGCCATCCATTATTCACTTCTCTTAAATTCTCGCCTAATTCCATAGCTTCATACTGACTCAGCGTGACATTGAACTCACTTCAAGTAGCTGATACGAAAACTTCCCCCCGACGCAGTCAACCTTGCTTCACTGCCTGGCGCAACAGGCTGCACACATTGACCGCTTATCCGGTATGAGTCTAAAACTCAGGCCTAACGAGTCTTTGTTCTAAGAACTTTTATGACAGTCGTTTCTATTACTATGCTCGACTTTTTTAGTCACTAGGCCACCGCGTATATCCATAAGCCGAACACTTGGGCGTACACACTGGAATAGTAAGCCATTTCTAAGAATTGAATCCACTCACTTTACCATAGATAAGAAGCCGAAGGATTAAATTGCTGGGTGGCTTAAAAGAGACTTGTTCTCGAGGCTTGCATTGCTTGGAGTGCTGCACATAACTCATGGCGGGCTTATTGTATGATAGGGGGTCAATTAGGTAACTCAGTATTGTAGTGCGTAGAAAATCCCAAGAATGGCCGGAGGCAATGTCGGAAAGACATGTCTCACTGTTGCACGCATGTTGAACAAATGGCCATTCTAGACACACTTACCTCTGCGAGTATCTTTTTGTGGGTCCTGGCATGAACTTAACCCAAACCGCCAATCTCCCCAAACCCAATTTCGACCACCACCAAGCTCACCTCAACCCTGATTTATTCTCATCGCCTGCTATTGGTGGCCGATTCGCTGAACCTCCCTAGATCAGCTACATAATTGATTGGAACAAATATCCGACACATCTCCTTCATTTCTGCTTTTCACAAAGAGGAAATAATTCAAACCGGGAGCACCGCCTTAAAGGGGCAAGCTCCCGCAGCTAGAGATCCAGTCAATGGCTTCAAACAAGGCCCAGTCATACTTAGAGCACGCGTTCGACGTCGGAGCGGCAGGAGATTCTTCAACCGTTAATCTGGATCGGAGGTCATAGCGAATGCGATTCGTTCCTGAGCTATACCTTTCCACCGGAATCTCGACTTCCTGCTCTGGATAGTGCTTCTGAACATGCTGATCAAAGCTGTCTCCTCAAATCCATTTCTTGTTTTTCTTCTAATGCGTGGGGAGAGTACGTCGACAAATTGTGTTTTCGTGTACCGTGCTTACTTTCCAGGTATCTTCGCAAATCACTCTCTAGTCTAAGACAGTCCTTGGATCTGCTCTCATTGCTAAGTATGTACAAGAATATGTTATTCTAAGTTCACGGAGGTGCATAGCATTTAGTATGACTCAACTACTTGTCCTAACATCTGATCCTCCACTTGTAGTTTGTTATGGAACACGAATATGGGCGGTTGTACGTCTCTTGTCGGGGTCCTTGGCCTCGACATGTCGTGCCGACTCTTTTTGGTATTGGAATTTCTGGGGACACCCTTCACAGGTGTGTTTTCGTTCATTCAGGCTTGGGTGTCTGGCTTGGTGTTGCTCCAGCGCATAAGCCAAAAGGGGCAGCCGTGCAATCTTACGGGAGATCGTAAGGTCTGTCAAACATGACAGAACACCTAAATATCGAGGATTGCATGCGCTGCTTCTACTAACGGTATACTGGAATATTCGTCCGAATTTTCCAAGGCATCAAACCTTGAATCCCAGCTAACGTGGAGCACTGACAGCTGATCAGATATCTAAGGATTACATGGAATTCACCCTTTCAATTTAGTCCCACAAATCGCTCCATGATGCGGGCTTGGTTCACTAGATCTGATCCTACTGCGTTCGTATCGTATTGTGCTCCTCTATTAATCTCCTCGTAGAATGAACTGCAGTCAGCGAGATCGAGGGGACTGTCGTTACTAGAAGAAAAGGGGTGCAAGAAGGGGTGCCATAAGTGGCAGATGCCACAGCTTGCCTTGCCTAACAGATAGCTTAGTGAACATATTCTTGGCCCCATCCGACTTGAGAGAGGACTATTGTCATAAGCATAGGAACATCCCGGGACCCGCACCAACGCCCGGGTTGAGATTATATCACATATCTATACTCTGGATACTACTCCCGCTTACTATTCTCCTTATTCTCCTTATGTTTGTAGTCGCATGGACACGTGTGGAGATATAGTTGTAATCAGATCCGAACGCAGCTCTTCAATAATCCAGTAATAGCTTGCTATGACATCAATCGTGGATTCCTGTGATGGTTCCTGCATCAATTCTTTCCGACATCCAATTCCATTGAATGGGAGCTAGCTGGACATATCGACGGGTAATACACGAAGAGAAGATGCGTCTGAGATATGAGTTTGAGTGCTTTCGATAGCGGACGGAGTTTGCATTTGCCAGAGATTTTTCACAAGGTGCTCTCTTATGGGACCTGTTGTATCTCTACAGAGTTGAATCATATGGTAGGCATGTGCGGAGATGAACACATCGACTGCTACATCTACCATCGCCCACATTTCGCACAGCTTAACACAAAGTGCATCTTCAGAATCACTGTCATAGTTCTCGTTCTAATCGGCCTGGCAATCTTTGTAGGCTTTAATTTCTAGCTCTGCGAGATGGCAAAAGCCATCTTAAAGGCCGGAGAAGCGAAAAATTGAAAAGAGAAGGAAAGGTAGAATCAAAATGGGGTCTATATTAATTTGGTCAACCTGGTAGATAGCAGTGTAGAATTTGGCTGACGGAGTAGCTTGCTCGACACCATTTCCCCTCTTGATGCTTACCATTGTAGGCCCCCGGTTCACAGGTATTAAGGATTGCTGAAACGTCCGTTAATTACATAGAGTGGAAAGCAGTAATGAGTGGAAGGATCACCGCTCCGTTCCTCCGCGGGTATTTCGTAGCACGGGGCTTTCGAGCTCTCATCATTCTTGTGCTCACTCAGAACATAGAAATAGTTGACTTGGTTATAGTTTTAGGGTCGGGGGGACAAGGGGAAGAAAGGAGAGCTACGGTGGTGATGAGATATCCTGGAAGGATCAACATACTCATCGACAGCAACTTTGGCTTCTTGAGACTCACCCCATTCCGCTCGAACTCACCGTCCTCTTTGGGGTCCTGCATCGTATAGTATCGGCCCCTCGAGTCTACTTTGCCACATTAAAACCCTGAAACCACAAGTTCTACAATTTGACAAAGCTTCTCGAAGTCTCACAGGAACGCTAACTAGCGTATTACTGCATGGATGCCTGAGCTGGAAAACATCCACACATTTGCCTCTGGTGAGAAGTAAGCTTATGTTTAGCACCGCAGAAAAGCAAGATGCGGAGATAGGCGTTCCTATCGATAGTCAGATCATGGTACTCCGAAACATTGTCTGCATGGATAGGTAAGGCATTCCGATGGACTGTATTAAGTTATTGCAGTGGCACAGTCTCCGCCTCATGGCCATGGTAAGGTCGCACAGTTTCACCCAACGCTTTCCCAACGCTAGCATTTCCCGGCTGTAGCCAAGCTAGAGTAGAGAAAAGAAGACGTAAGCTTCTCACACCAATTCTTGTACAATAAACTCAATCAGCAACTCTAAGCGGAATATCCGTGCGTGTTCTGCAAACTGTGCCACACCAAGTATCGTTCTACGCCGCCACACCAGTTTCAGGTTCCCGCCACGCTGGATAGCTGACCGTTGAGAAGGCTCAATCCGGAGAGATGTACAACTTCCGTGCTCATTGCATGTGCACGGTCTACTGGCTTCTGGAACTTTCGTTCTACGTTCGATCCTGGAATCCTGATGATGGCCTCGGGTGCGCCTGCAAGCCAACGAAGGAAAGGAAGGATCCAACGGGATCGCGCCGCACATCGCACAGTCCATGTTGCACGGAACGTGGACGGAGCTCTAACAGAGGCGGCTCGACGATAACGGGCATGTGATGCGAATTGCTTCTGCGCCACATACACCAAACCTCCGAATATCCACAAGTGGCGAACTACTCCCCCATCCATCTCATACGGAATTCGTTTAAAGTCCGACGGGAGGTTCGAGACGATGGACAACGACGCGCCGGGGCGAAAGTGCATAACCGCCGTTATGCGTGTGCTGAAGGGGCGCTCGCCAATCGATGAAGGGAGACAGAAGCATCTCAGACAACAACTCCGCAAGGCACAATGTGGAATCTGGCGATGTGTCAAATTCATTGCCAATCTTCAAGCCCGCTGGATGAGGTGTTGAGTGTTAATGTCGGGATATGAAACACGGACTACTGAAGCGGAAATTGAGCGAAACATTGTACGATGTCGAGCTTGTGTGTGTGATATCCAGAGGATGAGAAGAAGTGGATGAAATTTAGGAAGACGGGTCTTCCCAGGGCGGCTACAGGAGGGGTAATCCCGCGTGCCACTAGATTCAGCGGAGGGGAACAGCAACTCGGACAATTGAGTAAGTGACGACGGACAAGCAGAACGGAATGAACGATGAAAATGAGGCAATTCTGAAATTAGATCAAATGGATTGATGGTGAACTATCAGTTCGTAGAGCCTACTCTCTCCCTCTATGGAAACGCATGTCGCGAACCAGAACTCCAAATGTGAACGAGCTATACAGAAACCAAAATAGAGCTCCGTGAATACAGAAAACACCAATTCTTAACCCGCTCTTTGAACCAACTGTAATAATCCTAGTCATCTTCGTAAACAGCATCGCCATCATTAGGCGTATAACCCATGGCAAAAAAATTTGACGGTAGTGGTATCCAAAGGAGAGTGCAAATGGCCGTTCCGAATCGTGAAGTTAAAGAGAAAAAGTAATTGAGAGTTCAAGAAGTTAGAAAATAAGTCTTAAAGGTGACGCCCGATTCATGGGAATCCCAAGAAGCAATTAGCACGGATGGTGAATCATCGCGCGTTTGCTTCGTAGTCACTTGCCCAGCCGCCACCGTACACAGCTTGGGCAGTTGGATAATCACCCTCTTCCTCTTCGAAGAGTTCGCCTCCACTGCTGGCGTCGAAGCTGCTCCGGCCACTGATGTCACCTTCGACGTCTTCCGGTGGACCAGGGGGCAACTGGTCCCACTGAATTCCAGCAAGAGCAGGGTATTGCGCCAACAGAGCAGCTGGGAGGCCATATTGCGGCTGCTGCATAGCTGATCCGGCTGAGGGATCCATCCCGCCAGTTACTGTCGGGTACCCCTCATAACCAGGTTGTGGAGGCATCATGCCACCATAATTCTGAGGCGGCAATGGACCGCCAAACATGCCATTTCCGTTGTCCATTGATTGGTTCTGGCCCTCCCAATTGCCTTTTTCTTGCGCCTCTTCCTCGAGGAGGGGCCGTATGCAGACACGACCAGCTTCAGATCGGAAATGCCGCCCAAGAGCGTCAGCACGAGCAAATCGCCTTCCACAGCCCCAGTTATTGTTGTCCTTGAGCACACCACGGCAAACAAATTTCTTTTCCCCAGAATGGAGACCTTCGTGCCGCTTGCGGTCGTGCTGTCGGGCAAATGCTTTGCCGCAAACACTGCACACGAACGGACGCTCATCTGTATGGGTGCGTAAATGCGACCGGAGATTGTAGGCACGAGTGAAGCGCTTTGGACATAGAGTGCACTGGAAGGTCGCAGGGTGCTTCTGAGTGCGTTTCGTGTTCGAGCCATCACCGGCTTGACCGGAAGTGGGCCTAGATGGGTCTGCGAGATCTAGGATGTAATCACGGTGGGGGATGCTAGAGGTTGATGAACGTCGCGAAGACTTGGTCGATGGAGATGGAGAGCGGGACTTTGCAGCACTGGGAGACAGTGATCGGTTCACTTCCGAAGCAGGCGTAGAGGCACGCGAGCTGGCGCTGCTGAATGGGTCGGACTTTGCGCGGATTCGATTGCGGCTGCGGGCTACAGCGCTGTTAGGGAAGTATGCGCGAACAGTTTAGACACTACTTACATCGATCTGGGGGACTCAAAGCATCTGTTTGGTGGCCCGGTTTGGCGGGCTCAAAGCTCGCTTGCCGCGATGGTGGGGCAAAGTCGATGTTGATCTCTGGGGGTGACATAGTGTCAGCCTGGCCAAACTCGGGCCCAGGGCCTTGGTTAATAGTGGGGAACGGTTCCTGCCCCTGTGGCTGATATATCCCTAGATTTTGCTCTCCATAGTGGTTATTCATTCCCGGGTTCAGACCGAACGTAGAGGGGGTGAACTGAGGAAGCGACTGCTGCTGGGGCAACAATCGTGGAGATATATGTGGACTGTGGCCGGGGCTGACATGGGCATGATTGTCATTTAGGTTGAATTGGCCGAATTGCATGACTTCTTGGAATAGCGAAGGGTCCTGCTGGGCGTTCAACAGTGGTGAGTGGTTATCGTGATCAAAGCTGTCATTGTTCCCCAGATACGGCGAGGCTTGAGCCGACGAAACGTCGGAATATGTCTCTGATGGTGTTCTTCGATGTCCCCGGAAGGCCGCCATGCCGCCCCATTCACTTCCCGGGCCTTGTGCGTATGCTGCGCTGGGATCCAGTGACGCATGGCGAGAGTGCGAAGGCGATGGGAATGCGCCCTGACTCATGCTGGGAGAGGCATGAGGACTAGGTGTCTGCTGGTGGTTCATACCAGGCTGGAGGAGGTGGGGAGGAGTCGGTGAGTGCGCTTGCGTCGTCGCCATCTGGTTCATGAGATCGGAGGGGTCGACGGACTGATTCTGCTGCTGACTGTCGAGCAGCTGAGGGTCGAGAGTGTTATTTAGGAAGGAAGGATCAATCGCCTGATCCTGATTGACGTTGCTGCTCTGGAAGAAGTTGTCGAAGCCGACGTTGCTGCCGGTGTTGTTAAGGTCGAGGGTCTCGGGTGACAGGTGGTTGCCTTGCGGCCCGAACTGCGGGCTTGACTGCGCTGATATGCGCTGAGTGGCCTGCAGGAAGGTCGGGTCGGCGACGGCGGAAGGTTGTGAGAACTGCTGCGACTGGGTGGTGGTGAGGTACTGCGACGATGTGTCGAAGCTCTGTCCCGCGGTGGTAACTTGGGCGTTGAAGGGAGTCGAGTACGGGTCGTTGGTGGGGAGCGATTGATCAAGCCCCAAGCCAGAGGCGTTATGAAATGGCGCATGAGGGGACGGGGACGGTGAGTGTCTTATATGAGCGCGCTGGGCCGCTGAGGGCGACCTACCGCGCTGTTGGGGATCCATGATGTCGTTCGTGCGGCGTGTTCTATCCTTGGAGTGCGATATGGGGAGGGCCGCGCGCTTTGACCACCACGATCGCCTGTGGTGAATAAGGCACGGTCGGACGTGGCTACGAGCGGCGTCAAGAGAGGCAGACTCTGACTGGTCCACACAACAGCCTGAGAAGACGGGGAAGAGGTTCCTTGAGGCTGGTGAGTGAGTGTGTGAGAGCGGTGCACAGCCTCAGCGTCAACACAGCCCACCGAGTGACCTATTAATACCAGTGCTAGACTGATTTCGGCCGGCCCTGGATGAGCAACCCACGAGAGTCGGCAGCGGTTGCCAGCGGGACTGGAGGGTCAAGAAGAGTCGCTCGTGTTTCAGAGTTTGCGCGATGAAACAGGTGAAGTCGAGTGGACGACCTGGCTCCAGTCGCCGTTTTCCGAGCGGCACCTTGCACCTGCCGAGGCCGTTTTCGACGAACTGCGCGAGGAAGGCGTACGTGTGCCGGAGTGAATTGCACGTACCCGCAGCTGGTCGGGTGGAAGAATAGACGAGCCTGTTGGTCGCTTTCTGGGGTTGTTTCGTTTAGAGACAGAGGTCGATGTTGAGATACTCTTGTTGTCGAGGAGTCCTTCGGTCCCAGACGGAGAATGCTTCACGAGCAGGGCCCTACTCAGCCTCGCCCTTCTTGAGAATGTTTAAGTATTAGCTTAAGAGACTTGTTCACTCTTGTCAATTGGATCGGATAAGGTGGAATTCATGCCCTTGGTCAAAGGGAAATGTCCCGTCATGTCCCCGCTATCTGCCACTGTCACAGAATACTCGCCCGCGATCAGACCATGCAATGGACATTAGCTATTCACACGCCAGTCATGCTGATTTCACCAAATGTGACCAGTGAGCGCCGCGTGTTTGGAGAGGCCCCAAACCCAAAGATGTGATTTCCCAGCACTGCCACACACCTCAAGGCTGCCTCGAGGACCTCAAGGCAGATTTCTTATTCAAACCTCGACCCACGCTCATTTTCGCCCGGCGTCCTCTCTACGCATCACACACCCTCTATCACTTGCTGGATGCCTCCCAACGGCTGCATTGCATCACCATGCATGCCGCTGTTAATAATAGCACGCTTCTGGTGATCTGATTCCTCCACCTTAGTCAGGCACCGTGCATTCTTATTGCCGAGCATTTATCATCCACAAAATGAAATATGTATCGAATATCAAACACCTGATGAGCAACTATCCAAATTTAAGACCTTTGGCAGGATCCCACCGCCCGCCTTGCGGTGGCCCATTAGCTGGTCGAGTATTGCTTGTTGCTGTTGGTGCACCTGCGAACCTGATTCCGACTTCGGGCGTCCACATTCCTGCGTGCGGCCCTACACTTGCTCTCGTCGGAGTGGGAGCCATCAGAGGCTCCCCAGCATGTGCATCAACCCCATATTGTGGGTTCTGGGTTTCTGCTTGCCGTTGCTGCTGCAAAGAGCTAGAGTTTGCCTGGTGGAGGTTTAGTGAGCTCATTGCTGTTGCGATGTCACTGTCAATTGTCAGTTTTGCTTTCTCTAAGAATACTCTTGGCAGAACTGACTTCTCGACCTGCGACGCTTCCGACTTCCGCTGATACGAAAAGCTCCGACAGTCGTCTCTGAACCTGCTAACGATCTTGGCAAGATCATTGTAGAACTTCCTACCCACGTCGAGATTCGAGATGATCTCCTTGTATTTGAAATAAGCATTTTCCAGACTCTGCAAGGCCTGTTCACGCTGCTTCGTCGACTGATCCCCTTTGCGGGCATTCACGAAGGCTGCATTTGCGTCCTTTACCCGCTTGATTGCCTCTTCCTGCTCCCTCGCCTCCTCCTTGACCATGTCTTGATCCACGTCGTACATCTGCAGTCGCTTATCGAAGAGGTTCTCGAACTGTACAGCCTCAATATTCTGCATAGGGTATTCCCGCTCTAGGCGAGCGGCCTCGCGGAGCAGCTCGGGATCTATAATTCTATGAGTATCATGTTTCTTGAAACAAGCGCGCTACTCACTTATGTCATCTTGTTTGGCCTTGGTCTTTAGAGCTTCAACTTTGCGCCTCCTCCTACTCTCTAATCGGCTCGCTTCATTGAAGCAGCCTCGAAGTCTCCCCGCTTCTCGCTCAACGACTCCTGTGATTGCGGGTCTTCGGCCACTTGGAACAAAGTTCTCTAGTTCGTGGTCCGGGCCATTCAGTAGCTTAATGTGGAACTCATTCTCTTTCAGTTTTGTCTTAACAATATTATCGCTGTTTACAGCTGCCTTGAAGTAGCCATCAATCTCGCCAATCTGGGCGTACAGTTTTGGAGCGGCTTGCTCGGATGGTGGTCGATTCCATCGATCTGTTCCATACTTTCGTCGCGCCGCCTCGTCCTCTGCGGCTTCCGATTTGAGAATATCACAGCCCTCGTGATAGATGGCTTGATCGCTCTTTTTTAACTTCTTTGTATCCTCCATGGAGCGAAGCAATCGATTCAATCCATCCTGTTGACGTATCTCCTCGGCATGTGCCATGAGCCCTGGTGGCAGCCCAAGCGGTTTCTCGAGGGCTTGAAGCGATCCTGGAAGATTGAGGCTCCTCAAAACCTCGTGAATCTGAGTCGTCAACACCTCCAGGTCATCGATGATTGTGTTGTTGACCAAGCGGTCACGGCGGTCGACGTAGATGCTCGCCGCTAGGTGAACAGAGTATGGGACTAGTTTGGAGAAGAGCGCTTGCCCTAGCTCTCCATTATCGCCCAGCATCGAATTCGAGTCTGATATCTCTTTCGGCACTCTGGAAACAACCATGTTTGCTCGGTCAAGAATCTTCAATTCAGACTTCGGCGGCACGGGCAGCAAATATATCATGTCGTTATCCTTCTCCGCTCGCTTGAGGTCCTCCGTTACTCGGTTTTTCAACCCATTCAGATCTGCCAACACAGCCTTATTGATGTACCTTTGTTCCTTAAGAGCCTCATTGACACAGATGAGACTGTCCCGGAGCCGGGCCACTTCTTCTCCATACTTGCGCTTCTCCAAACAGTCACAAGCAGCCCTATATTGCGCCGCTGCAGCGAAATGGTGGTGTTTGGCCGTCATATGGTGTATCCACTCGCTGCTAACGGAATCAGACTGGATTCCAGCGTCGCTAGCCTCATTGTATAAATCCAACACCCGCGCCGCAAGCTTCGCGATGGTGGCATCTTTCAGTCCGTCTTTGACAGCCTTCTGCCAGAAGCATTCTTGCCCCTGGGCCAGCATCAACTTCTCCAGACTCTCGAGCGTCATAGTATCCATATCCTCAGGAGGGGATGTTCGCAGTTCGGGTAGTATCTTATCCCGAAGATGAGAGAGGACACCGGCAGCGAGGCAGAAATTGTTGGCAGCGAGCTTCAAGCCTTCCGATGTGCTTCGATTCGAGGACATGGCTAATTGGGAGTACATGGCAGCGACGTTGAAGACAATGTTGGCGAGTTCGAAGCGGAGATTGTTCTTGGAAACTGGAGAAACTGTTAGACACGCTGGGCCAGGAATATAGGTTCCGCACCTGGACGATTTGTGTTGTACCCCAGCGCGGGGTACCAGGGAAAGTCTACACCAATCTACCTCCTGATCAGAATGCTAGCACTTAAAGACCTAGATCAAGCCCTAGCTTACATCAATAGGGAACTTCCCGCTGATCCAAACGAGCTGTGCAGCGTAGGATTGTAGCTTTGGGATATTGCTCGGATGGGGGTCCTGAGCGTGGATCGCCGTAGAGCGAAGCTTGTCGATTGTTTCCAAGTCCTTTGTAAACATGTCTGGGTGCTGGTCGTACTTGGAGGAGATGTATTGCTTAATGGCTTCGGATAGGTTTACAGAGTGAGACCGCCGGAACGGGAGGAATAGGATGTTTCTAGAAAAGCTATTCAGTAGACGCGCAGGGAATGGCAGAAAATGCGGCATACGAAGCCATATCCAAGGCGCCCTCGAGTAGGAATGAGGGGGAGCTGTCGTCGTTATTTCTAGTGAGGTAGGACGTTTGGGGGGGCCTGCGGGCGTATAGAGAGCTGGCAGGTGATCCCTAGGACGATGCTAGAATGAATTCATAGGCTAGAAGAAGAAGCCTCCCACTGATCGGAAATGTATTTGGAGCGTTGGTTGTTGTTTACTGAGGTACTAGAGAAAAGTGACCATTGTGGGGGCTCCGCTTGGCCCGTGACGTCGCGACAGGGATGGCGCGCCACACGAGGATGGAGGGATGCCCGAGGCAGCCCTAATTAGAGTGCCGAGATCTCAAAGTGACAGTTTTGTTGCGCTTTGGGCCTCGATCATCCCGCAACCATTCCATGAGCACATTTTGCGCCGCACGATACTGTTTGCCGGCGGTGAACCTCGTCACTTGCCATAGCGCCTCCGGACGGTTTGCGCCATTGATACAAAGGTACCAAGCGCGAGACTTTAGTGAAGCGTCGCCAGTCTCACAGATGGCTCAGCGACTTTCCCTTGAGTGGCTATATGCCAGCGAAGCAGCCACAATCTAGAGTAATCTAGAGGATTGCGACACCATCGCGAAACTTGCTCATTCCCACTGCCGCTTCCGTGCTTTGTGACCGACCGCTTCTAGCGACCATAGCAAGGCATAAAAGCCCGCCAACGCCCGTCACATTCGACCCTGTCTCCATCACTCTCATCAAACCCAAAGTACCCCGCAGCCCCTCCAAGCACCCTACCCCCCTCCCAAAACAACGAGCAGTTGCCCTCAGCTCTACATAACCTAGTCTGATTCCTATCCACACATATCCACAGCAATGGCGGAACACACCTACAAATTCAATGTCGCCATGAGCTGTGGAGGCTGCTCCGGTGCTGTCGAGCGTGTGCTCAAGAAGCTGGATGGTGAGCTACGCACACTTGTCTCCCTCCTCTTTCCCCGCCTTATCTGACATTCGTTTGGTAGGCGTCAAATCATACAACGTGTCTCTAGATACCCAGACTGCCGAAATTGTCGCTGAAGACTCCCTCGACTACTCCACCGTCCTCGAAAAGATCAAGAAGACTGGCAAAACCGTGAAGTCCGGAGAGGCCGATGGTAATCCGATGGATGTATAAAACGCTGGTCAATTTCTGTCTTTGGAGTTCTGGGTATCATTTGTATCACGAGGAACAATGGGTCTTTTGGCTGGCATTATGTTGTGACAGGCTTGCTCCCCGATGCCTTGACCATGTACTGGGTCTTTTCTGGGTGGGATATGGGATATAGAAGAAAGGGGTGGTTCGGGCCCTGAATAAACTCCATGAACCCAATATCGCTCTGCAAGGTCCAGTGCTTCATTCATCCCCTTGTGGGCCAAGACCGCTTCTCCTCACTCTTTGAGAGGGTCACATGCGGCGTCGAAAGGGTCAAACCGGGTTGAAAATTTCCCCAGAAGCGCATTTCTAATCCATCAATTTTGACTCACGGTTCGCTTTCATCTCCGCCACCTCTTATTTCCCGAGAGCTCATCGTAATTTTGCCACATGACCTCCAAATGTTTGTGCCTGAAAATTTGGCGTTCCTGTGAGCAGCTCAGAGGGGAAGTTGGTCCACGTTTGTTCCGACTTCTCCCACGTCCGCTCAGGGACATGTCTCCTTAGCCACGATCTTCATCCACCTTCATCTATTTCGAATAAGTCACCGTGAAACAACCATCGAATCTTATCTGATAGAGTCATTGACGCTCGCAAGCTTGGGGATCCGTCATTTCGTATTCCGGTGTTCCCGCGCTCCCGGCAAAGGTTATTCCAACGAAAGGCCAGAGAATTCTGCTGCCTGACAGCCTCTAACAGCCATTTTGCAAAGCACGCGTACCTTAGGCACCAAGCTACGCAAGTCACACGCAATGCATTGTAACGAGTGCCATTTGGGATGTCTTGGGCTGTTTATTCGAGAGTACTGTTCCTAATAGTTTTGTCCTTGGACGAAATTTCAAGCGCGGGCCACGATGGGTTGCACCTGTGGACGTGGTACCCCCGGCGGTTCTAGGCAATGCTACTAGACTTTCAGCAGAGGAACGTAAACTTGAAGCCAAACAGGTATGTAGAACCGTCGCGCCTCTGACTCTCCGTTTAGCATACACCGTTTGGTGCTCGGCACGATGAAGCGCGGAGGGCCGTTCACACGTTCCTCGACTAAGCGATCCCACCGGACCAGCCTTAAGGATGGAACCGAGCCGTGCGGCTTCTACGCACATATCGTATCTCTAAGGATCCATATTGTTACAGCCCCAAGTTGGCGTGTGATTCATTTCTAGTCATGACGCGTTCCTAGATATGGCCAAATATTCTTTTCCCGGCTCCCAGCCAGCCTCCCTCCCATGGCGTACATAAATTCCATCCTCAGGCTTCAACGTAAGAACGTCAGTCAGTCCACTCTCGCATTTCTCCATTGATGACTTCCTTTTTTTTCCTTATCATCGCTTTTACCAATCAAGACTCTGTTAATCATCACCGTCATTCATTATTGTCCTTCTACCCATGACTTCAACTCCTCGAGGATACACGCAGCTCCCTTCACAAGCAGACCTCTTCTATTTTTGTACAACATTATCAACATCTGAGGAAGACCTGAATATACATCACTACCCTCCCTCAAAATCCTCTCTGAAAATTGGGGTCCTCCTGCTTGGCCAGGAACGAATTCAGTTGCTTGATCTGGCACCCGTCGACATGCTGGCCATGATTGGCAGGGATCGCATCAGCCAGTTGAACGCTCCAGAGCCAGCGTTGTACCAAGCCGTGGATGAGCTCGATATCCGGTATATCAACGAGAGGGGGGAGGGTGCTTCTCCTGTCACGTCTTCCACCCGTATACCGGTCACGGTCAGCCTCTGAATCAGGAAAACGGGCTCAACTAACGATTCGTAGAACTCATTTGACAATTCGCCGGAACTCGACATCCTCATAATCCCTGGATCTTTTTCCGCAGACGAACTCCCAGTCTCCGCTTCGGAATTTATCACCACTCAAGCATCTAATCCTAATCTAATCGCTATAATGAGCATCTCATCAGGCGTTCTTTCGCTAGTGCAGACAGGAGTTCTGCACGAAAGACGAGCAGCCGCACCTGCTTCACAATTGGCACACCTGCAGCAACGATATCCCGAGACTTCTTGGCAGGAAACCCGGTGGTCCAGACACGGCAACCTGTGGAGTAGCAGCTCTGCGATGACAGCCATGGACATGGTGACGGCATGGATGAGAGAGTACTTCTGGGACAGAAGCGAAGCCGTCGAGTGCGCGCTGACAGCAGCTGGAGTGGCAGGGTTGGAAGAGTACGACGGCTAGCCGTGGAGAGCAGGTGTTTCGTAAGCATTGCATAGCTAGCATATTCGGCGTTTGTGTTTTACTCACCTCTAGTTTTATACCCCTCTCCTGGTTTGGCTTAAGCAAGCATACAGAAGCATTTGTTATGACTGTATATTATTTCAATGCATGACGGCGGACCGTTACGCGCTTGAACTGTACTACTAGATAGACGACGGCGATGGCACGCTAAGGGACAGGCAGCTATCAAAAGGCAGCAAGCACTACTACTTCCCGACCATTTATCTTTTGCCTTGATTAGTGCTCTGTGACAGAAACAGCAAGCCATATAGCCCTTGTCCAGAATTAAATGGACAGCCAAAAGGATGCCTCTCTCCATTACAAATCAGTCACTGTCCATCTTTTAGCGAAGAAGTCTCCAACCGATGACGTCCGCTCAAGCTCGCACGACACATCCCCGTGCGAACAGCATTCCACACCCCGCGATCGTAAACCGAGGCCCGATGCGGCAACACTCGCTCATCCCCGCGATGCCCTGAATTGATTCTCCGTCAAGGCTGCGCTTGGCCAACAAGACGCCAGAAATTAGGAAACAAGGGCGTCATACGGACAGAGTCGGGATCGATACGAACGTCAGCGACAACCAAGATTTGGAGAAGCGCGAAAGATATTGTAATTACCAAGGCAAGGCTGGAGCAGGCGATCAGCGGTGCATTCGGGGGGGCGGGGGCTAGATAGTCGAGGAGCCGGATGTGTGGCAGCGGATGGGCAAAGTGCTGGGCAGAAATGCTGGGCTGTGGCTGCCGAAAAGCTTTCACAGGCTGGACTGGAACCTCGACGCGCGAATTCCGTCAGCGACTCCCCCAAAATAAAAGCGATCCCTTGTCTCCGTGCAAAAAAGCCCTTCAAACTCTTTTTATCCTCACTCTCCTTTACGCCGTCTGTTGCACTGCTTCACCGCTCACCTATATACATTCACTTGAGTGGATTTCTGTGACTTGTCGGTCTGTACGATTGCATCTACGCCTTTCCCGATATTGCCTCCCCCGGGTGCTTCGTTGGTCCTTGCTTTTTCCGTTTGCCGAGCCCGCGCCGAAGTTTTTTATCGACGCCTCCCTAAATTCTCAATCAGCGACTCAACACAACACTCGACACCCCAATATCCCCGTTAATCCCACTATTTTGCTATCAATCCGGAGCACACTAGCTTTTGATCAAAGCCTGGTGGCTGGCTTGAGCGCCCGCTCGTCGCCTCTCCCTTCACCGCGTCTCCGAGCATTCCCGGTTCACCATGAAGATCTTCCAACAATCCTCAGAATTCGACTACTCCTGGGAAGAAGTCTCGACATCGAATTGGCGCAAATATGGGCCCTGGAATGAGAAGACACCGCATGTCATCGCCGTCGATACAATTTCCCGGACAATAGACCCTCACACCGGCATCGTCAGTGATTCCCGCTCCTTCACCGCCCCGTCAAAGTCACCATAATTTTCGTTTCACGCTGACTCGTTCTTTATATAGCTTCGAACCGAGCGCCTCATCACCTGCAAGCAATCAGCACCGAAATGGGTACTCTCGATTCTGGGGGGCCAAGACACGTCGCTCGTGTATGAAACATCCTACGTTGACCCCGCGCACAAGAAAGTTACCATGTGCGCAATGAACATAACGTGGTCAGACGTGCTCTCCGTGCGGGAGACGTGCGTGTACCAGCCTTCATCGTCCGCACCCGACGCAAAAACAAACTTCGTTCAGCGCGCCGAGATCACCGCGCTTTGTGGCGGCTGGCAGAAGATCAAGAACAGCATCGAGCAGTTTACGGTGGAGAGATTCCAGCAGAACGCGGCGAAAGGGAAAGAGGGATTCGAAATGGTGCTCGAGATGAGTCGGAAGGTGTTTGCGGAACAGCGGGAGATGTTGAGATTACAACAAGAGTCTAAGATTCTCCAAGAGGCGAGGATATAACCGCGCGCCCCCAGATTCCCTCAGCATCTCTGGTTCTATTCTCAACAAGACTTGCAGCTCGTCATCGGCAAGCCATACCTACATATTTACAACCCCACACTCGGCTCGCCTATAAATATCCTCTTACCACCCTCCTCTGTTTCACCCCAGCTCCACGCTCTAGATGTCGGCGTTACAACTCTATTTCCGTCCTTATTCTCGTTCCCAGTCATAGGAGGCAAAAGTACTCGATTTCCCGGCGTTTTATAGCATGACATGGCATGGCAAGGCGTTCCTAATACCCTCGCTTTTCAAAGATCCTCGAGGGCCCAATTTGGGGGACTTAGACCTCGTTTGTTCATGCGAAATCTGATTAGATGATAGATGAGAGAGAAATGATTCAGAGCAATTGCATTGAATGGTGATTGCTAGCTATACATAGATTTTGGTTTGGAATGGAGTAATTCATGAACGTATTGGTATGATTTGCAGAGCTTTTGTGAGTGAGTTTCTTGGAAAGCTAGTTTGCTGCGTTATGTGGTGTTAGGCCCTGTTCGGTCCTTGCGTCGAAATCGCCGTGATTCCATGGGCCTTTACATGCAAAGTCATCCTCTAGGTTGCTTGTCCCGCATCTTGCTCATGGCTTCACGTGCATGTCTTTCTGGATTATGTCATATCCATCATAGATCCAACCCCAGCCCTAGCCTTGTATCAACCTAGTTCTGTATAAACCTAGCTCATTCTTCGCTCTTCCTTCCCCTCTACTTTGCAAAGAAGTCCGCTACGGACCTCTGAAAAGACTAGGTCTAGATAACAATGGCTCTCTTTGAGACTTGAGCTCAAAAATAATTCAAAAGTTCTTCATGTTTGCGGTCTCTATGTCTGTCTATGGGACTTCAAAGCTACCATCATGGGATCTAAGTTGGCGCCGTAGTGGAATGGGATTATACATCAAGCAGCGCGGAATTATGCTGCTGTGTGGAAGTTTAGAGGTGGTAGAATTATTAGAAGGGAACAGGGTGGAGGTTTACAAGAGGCTTACACGTCTACAAATGCCGGGGCGTAGGTCCCGGGCTTCAAAACGACTGTGACAGAAAACTCGTAGCTGGGAGGGGGAGGCACTGGGCACAGTTTATGCAACTTTAGTCTAGGATTGGGCGACTAAGGAGGAATGGGGATTCCAGGGGATGCGAGTGTTTGTGGTGTGAAGGAATCAAGGCGTGATGGTGAGCATCTCCCGTATATTATGTGCTCCAATTCTTCGCTGGCATCTTCTGCAATTTCTACTCTCCGCTTAGGTCCTCACAACTCTCTCAGTCCAACGAGTAGTCTCTAAAACACTTAGTAGCTCTTACTATAGGCTCGGGCCGGCGTCCTGAGGAAATATTCTATACATCGTCGTCACGTTGTCTCCCCGGGATTAAATCCAAGCTGCCGGGTTTGATGACTGCGGAGAAAGAGATGAATGCTGTATTAAAATGCCAGTCCCGAGGGCCAGCGAGGGGAAAGTAGAAATAGTGTTGAATTTAGTGAAGAAAACTGTGTCCTTACTATTGAACCAGGTTTTATACCCAACATCTAGCTAGATTAGGGATAGCGTTATTAACAAGATAGTTAGCGCTACTTGCAACACAACTGATCTGTACTGCAGTTTGCTGCACGTTGCTGTAATATACTGCAGTTTATTACATTTTGCTACAATTTACCGCAGTTTGCTACAAGTTGCTGTAGTTTGCTGTAGTTTGCTGCAATTTGCTTTATGCCTTTCCTAACGCTGCCAGCTAATCTCTAGCCAAGGCACCAGCCCATTTTCCAGTCCCGAGGGCCAGCGAGGGAAAAGTAGAAATATTGTTGAATTTAGTGAAGAAAACTGTGTCCTTACTACTAAACCAGGTTTTATACTGCAACACCTAGCTGTTGTAGGGGTAGCGTTGTCAACAAGCTAGCGCCACTTGCAACACACCTGGTGGTACGGCGGTTTGCCGCACGTTGCTGTAATCTACTTGCAATCTACTGGAGTTTATTGCAATTTGCTTTATGCCTTTCCTAACGCTGCCAGCTAAGCTCTAGCTGGTACCCCTAGGCACCAGCCCATTATAGTTAAGCGCCAGTTCAAGAAGCGGAACTAGCAGTTGTGCTCAGTTGTGCTAGCAAAATAGTTGAGGGGTCTGTAACAGCAGCAAGAAGATCCTTATCCTGGAGGCTATCATCTATAGGAGTAAGTAGGTGAATAGCTGCAGGCGGTGGAGGAGGCTGCGGTGGGTCATGATAGAGTCTTTGCGGCGATAGAGAGGCGGAGGCAGACAACAGCAAGGACGGCGACGGACCGTACAGCCAGTCTCTAAGAACTGCAGCGGGACTACGTGGCAAGAAATGACTGGCAATGAAAAAAGTATATACCTACTATATTTGCAGTTGTTAACACCTGTAGCAAGACTATATAGTAACAAAATACATACTGTTCGTGAGGGGAGACGGTACAGGGAGAAAGTACAGAGAGAAGAAGAAGAAAAGAAGAAAAGAGGGTAGAAATAGCATTAGAGATTCGCGGAATAAAGTTACCCTGATGGTCCCGCACAGGTAAAAGTGACAACTTTGACCGGTTATAACAACAGCTACAGGGCTAAAAATGTTGCAAAAAACAGCAGGAGGAGATACTAGCGCATGATACAAATCTAATGAAGACTACTAGAAAGGGTGCAGGGGGGTGGTTGTGGAGATAGTAACAGTCAAATTCTATATAGATGTGAATTTACTGAATCTCACGTTGGGGAGCCGTGGGCTTTCGTAAAGGCATGACTAAAAGCTACAGTTAGGGTGAATATGAGAAGAGCTGGGCGTTGGAAGTTAGCATTGATTCGAAGAGCTTACATATGCGGCGATGGCGAGCACCTCCTCTCTAGGATGCGTCATGCGAAGTAACGGGTACCGGTCTCCTCGCATGGAAGACGTCGTAATTTCAGGGGCTGGTGGAGCATTCGATGCTCACAACTCGAACTTTGTCTTGGATTTCGAATGCAAGACTCTAGAAAGTTGCTTCTGAGATATGTCTGTGGCTGAACCGGATTGTCCTGCGCCTTGTTCAGCCCCCTCGAAATCGATGAAGATGTGGAAGAAAAACAATTCTCATCCTCCAACCATGGCTAGCATCTCCGAGACGCTTGAAAGCGTATTGTAACGTGCATCCCTGCGTAGTGAGACACCCTGGGGTTCTTAACTTTCAGCAACTGGAAAGCCACGTGCACAACGAAATATTGCTATATTTTAATAAAAACAATCTGCTGTAGCTAATTCTGAATGTTTATCATCTGCTCATCTCTAAAAATTACGTTTGCATTGTCGCCTCTAGACCTAATTTGTACAGCGCTAACTTTAAGCCTTTATAACTCTAAACTTTATAGAATAACCTTGTCTGAGCTTTAGAATCTCCCTCTGACGCTCAGAAGTCAGTATTAGCTCTCTGTGCGCTATTGTGGGCAAATCTATGCAAGGGCGCCATGTCGATTGGTACTTCCAGCGGAAGCAAATGACTGATCCCGGCGAATGCGACAAGCGCTCGGAATATAATTAAATCCGGCTTGGGATTGGGAGCAGTGTCAAGACTTAAGGCGCTTGGCGCTTGTTTAGTCAGCCAACGTGTGTCGAAACCAGCTTCGACACAGCCATCGTACAACTTCGAGATGCGGTCCAATGCATACTGATACCTACTTTCGTAACATGGAGACATACCATCCACGTCGCTCTCGAGCCCAAAAATCCACCGTTATCCCCTCCGCCGACTGAACGAAAGACCTGATCAAGCCCGCCACGTCCTCATGCATTTCGAGCCCACCAGAGCCTATTCCAAGACCAAGCAGCAGCCGAGAGCTAGTCTCAGCTTGTTGAAGGGGAATACGATACAATAGGAGAGGTAAGAGAGGTATAAGATAAGATAGAGTGCGGCGGCCCTGAAATTAAAGCCTGTGCTTCAGCAAGTGGGTTAAGCGTCACTGGCGGAACGCCGTTGTTACAAGCGCATATAAAGGTAGAAAGGCTTGATATGTTTAGGTAATACAGCTGTTGTATAGTAAAAAAACTAATAGCTTCTTTCATGGGCACTGCAATCTTTAAGGTTGTAGAGATGTGCTCTAGTTTAACCTTTAAGGGTCATAAGGAGTTAGAATTGTTTATGTTTATAAGGGATGAGTACTAGCAAAGCTGTGATGCTGGCTATGCTTAGCACGGCACTACGCTATCTTAGGCTGCATGTCGTCTTCTGTCACTGGAAATGATCTTTATATCTCTTCCCAACGCCATCCATTCTAGACGTTTATGGCAAGGGTGTGGCTGGTTCTAGTCGACCATCGTACCTGCTAGCGGTGGAAAGCATATAGGGAAAATGTTCACAATAGCTGACTTGTAAGTGTACTTTTGCATTCTCTGCAAGCTTTGCTACTCCTTTTGACGCCGCAATCTGTACAGCATAGAGCGTAGAGAAAACGTGTGGCCAATGCATACGTCTAATGCGATAGTGCTTTAGCTCTTAAAGTGATGCTGTTCTGCTTTAATTAACGTGAGAACGCTCCCAATGCAGTTCTAATTTTTAGCGAAGCTGCTTCCATTTGTGGTGACGCTACTTTTGTGTGATATGATGTTATTAATCTTCTAACTTGTTCTTTCTTTCTGTGGATAAAGGGCTGGTATAAACACATGCGATAAAGAACAGCAACGCCGTTAAGCATGCTGTTGTAGAAGGCGGTTTGTTCTGATGCAATGCGGCTAACCTCGACCCGCCCTAGACCCTACAGGGTGCTGTCCATATTCTCAGAAACTGCTAGACCTTTATCAACGCTGCGCTCGATTATCTCGTATCTGCTTATGGGTGGACTACTAGCAGCGCTACAGACTATGTCACTAAGATGTGCTCTTTGCTAATTAGCATAGGGGGATCTAGGGCCTTGGATTTTGATCACGTGGAATGAGGGGTAAATTTGCACAGACCCACTAGTGGTATGGTTTCGACCTAACATTCAAGCCGCTAAGTCACAGTCTCCCATTTCTACTCTACCTGTCTCATCTAGACTTTAAATTCCATACGGCAGCGCAAGTATAAACTGCCCCAATTGTTTAGCTGGGTGTGAGCTAGCTCGAGAAAAAGGAAGTTTAAGGGGTGAGCGCTTACCAGAGAGTTGAACAGATTCCAGTTGTATAAACAATCTATAGTTATAGAGTCTTTGAAATGAGTAACGTAGGTGAGATTGATACATGTATTCTTTTGCGGATAGCTAATGCTAGCCTTTCTGGTGGTTATAGACTGTAAGTTATTCCCTCTGTGTCTAGGTATGCTGCTGTGCATGGATAGCTAATACTAGCCTTTCTGGTGGTTATAGTATGTAAGTTATTCCCTCTGTATCTAGGTATGCTGCTG